AACCCAGTCTACGACATTGAGCCTATCGAGAAGATCACAGATGCCTATCTCGACCAGTACCTCTGGTACCAAGCAGATCAGAGACATCTCTTCCCTGCTTGGATCAAGCCTTCGGACTCTGAGGTGCCTCCTCTTCTCACCTACAAGTGGGCTCAAGGTATCAACAACCTGGACAAGGTCTGGGAGACTGCCGATGGAGAATGCAACGTCATGATCGAAACTCAGCTGTCCAAGGTCTACGAGAAGATCGATTTGACCTTGCTCAACCGCCTGCTTCGTTTGATCATGGATCACAACTTGGCAGATTACATCTCATCCAAGAACAACGTCCAGCTAAACTACAAGGACATGAACCACACCAACAGCTATGGTATGATTCGTGGTCTTCAATTCTCAGCTTTCGTCTTCCAGTACTACGGTTTGGTCATCGACCTGCTGTTGCTTGGTCTACAACGTGCCAGTGAGATCGCTGGTCCTCCCAATGCACCAAACGACTTTTTACAATTCAGAGATCGTGCTGCCGAGACTAGACATCCTATTCGTCTCTACACAAGATATGTTGACAGAATTTGGGTCTTCTTCCGCTTCACTGCAGATGAGTCCCGCGACCTGATCCAGCGTTTCTTGACTGAGCAGCCTGACCCGAACTTCGAGAACGTCATTGGTTACAAGAACAAGAAGTGCTGGCCTCGTGATTCTCGTATGAGATTGATGCGTCACGATGTCAACCTGGGAAGAGCCGTCTTCTGGGACATGAAGAACCGCCTGCCTAGATCAGTGACCACCATCGAGTGGGATGACACTTTTGCCTCTGTCTACAGCAGAGACAACCCTAACCTTCTCTTCTCCATGTGCGGTTTCGAAGTTCGTATCCTGCCCAAGATTCGCAACCAGAATGATGAGTTCCCAACCAAGGACAGTGTCTGGTCTCTCGTGGACAACTCTACCAAGGAGAGAACAGCCCACGCATTCTTGCAGGTCACCGAAGAGGATATCGCCAAATTCAACAACCGCATTCGTCAGATCCTGATGTCTTCTGGATCTACTACATTCACGAAGATTGCGAACAAGTGGAACACTGCTTTGATTGCACTCTTCACATACTACCGTGAAGCTGCTGTCAGCACCGTCAATCTGCTTGATACCATTGTCAAATGCGAAACCAAGATTCAGACTCGTGTCAAAATCGGCCTGAATTCAAAGATGCCTTCAAGATTCCCACCTGCTGTGTTCTATACCCCTAAAGAACTTGGTGGTTTGGGTATGATTTCGGGTAGTCACATCCTGATTCCCGCAAGTGACAAGCGCTGGTCAAAGCAGACAGATACTGGTGTCACTCACTACCGTGCTGGTATGTCTCATGACGAAGAGACTTTGATCCCCAACATTTTCAGATACATCATTCCTTGGGAGGCCGAGTTCGTTGACTCGCAGCGTGTCTGGACCGAGTACTCGCAGAAGCGTCTTGAGGCTCAGCAACAGAACCGCCGTTTGACTCTGGAAGATCTCGAAGACAGCTGGGACCGTGGTCTTCCTCGTATCAACACACTCTTCCAGAAGGACAGAAGCACACTCAGTTTCGACAAGGGTTTCAGAGCTCGCACTGAGTTCAAGATTTACCAGCAGATGAAGAGCAATCCCTTCTGGTGGACATCGCAGCGCCACGATGGTAAGCTGTGGAACCTCAACGCCTACCGTACCGACGTCATCCAAGCTCTTGGTGGTGTCGAGACCATTCTTGAGCATACTCTATTCAAGGCAACCGCCTTCCCTTCATGGGAGGGATTGTTCTGGGAACGCGCGAGTGGTTTCGAGGAGAGTATGAAGTTCAAGAAATTAACGAACGCTCAAAGATCGGGTTTGAACCAAATCCCCAACCGTCGCTTCACCTTGTGGTGGTCACCGACAGTAAGTACTGCCCCTGCCCCTATCCTATCTCCATACATACTGTCCCCGCAGTGCGCTATGCCTTTGAGCCCTCTATCAAAATGCACAATCTTTTATCTGAAGATGCCGCTTCCACTGAGAGCACACTTTTTTGCGCTCTCAGTGGATACGCACCACGATGGGATAACACCGTGCATTTTGATAGAGGCTTGCCGTCAACTCGTGCTTTGGGAGATACTCTACTATTTCAGTTTTGTCATGAACCTTGCTAACTTTTGTGTTCACAGATCAATCGTGCCAACGTCTATGTCGGTTTCCAGGTTCAACTCGATTTGACCGGTATTTTCTTGCACGGCAAGATTCCCACCCTCAAGATCTCGCTGATTCAGATCTTCCGTGCCCATTTGTGGCAGAAGATTCAGTAAGTTTGTATTTTTTTCGCACTTTATAACATTGGCTGACTTTTTCGTAGCGAATCCGTTGTCATGGATCTGTGTCAAGTCTTTGACCAGGAACTTGAGGCTCTTGGTATTGAGACTGTCCAAAAGGAGACCATCCATCCCAGAAAGAGTTACAAGATGAACTCGTCTTGTGCCGATATTCTTCTATTCGCCAGTCACAAGTGGAGTGTCAGCACACCCAGCTTGCTGTACGACACCAAGGACAATATGGGACAGACTACTACCAACAAGTTCTGGGTCGATGTTCAACTTCGCTATGGTGATTACGATTCTCACGACATTGAGCGTTACGTTCGTGCCAAGTACCTCGACTACACTTCGGACAGCATGAGTATCTACCCATCTGCTACCGGCTTGATGATTGGTATTGATCTTGCTTACAACCTATATTCTGCTTACGGACAGTACTTCCCTGGTCTTAAGCAGCTTGTTCAGCAGGCTATGGCTAAGGTCATGAAGGCTAACCCTGCCCTTTACGTTCTTCGTGAGCGTATTCGCAAGGGATTGCAGCTGTATGCTTCTGAGAGTAACCAAGAGTTCCTCAACTCTCAGAACTACTCTGAACTGTTCAGCAACCAGATTCAGCTCTTCATTGATGACACAAACGTCTACCGTGTCACCATTCACAAGACCTTCGAAGGTAACTTGACCACCAAGCCCATCAATGGTGCGATCTTCATCTTCAACCCCAGAACTGGTCAGCTCTTTTTGAAGATCATCCACACCAGTGTATGGGCAGGTCAGAAGCGTCTTGGTCAATTGGCGAAATGGAAGACGGCAGAAGAAGTTGCAGCTCTCATTCGCTCGTTGCCTGTTGAAGAACAACCCAAGCAACTGATTGTCACCAGAAAGGGTCTGCTTGATCCTCTCGAGGTCCACTTGCTTGACTTCCCCAACATCTCCATTCGTGCTTCAGAGCTGCAACTGCCTTTCCAGGCTGCCATGAAGGTCGAGAAGCTTGGAGACATGATCTTGCGTGCCACTGAGCCTCAAATGGTACTCTTCAACTTGTACGATGAATGGCTCAAGTCCATCTCATCCTACACTGCCTTCTCGCGTCTCATCTTGATTTTGCGTGCTCTGCACGTCAACCAAGATAAGACCAAGTTGTTGCTTCGTCCTGACAAGACTGTCATCACTCAAGAGCACCATATCTGGCCGACATTGTCTGACGATGACTGGATCAAGGTTGAAACGCAGCTGCGTGATCTGATCTTGAACGACTACGGAAAGAAGAACAATGTCAACGTCTCTTCTCTGACTCAGAGCGAAGTCAGAGATATCATTCTGGGTATGGAAATCAGCGCACCTAGTATGCAGAGACAACAGGCTGCCGAGATTGAGAAGCAGCAGGAGGAGCAAGCTCAGCTCACTGCTGTTACCACAAAGACTCAGAACGTGAATGGTGAAGACATTGTTGTCACCACTACATCTCAATTCGAGCAGCAGACATTCGCCTCAAAGACTGAGTGGAGGACACGTGCGATTGCCACGTCGAACCTTCGTACTCGCGCCAACAACATCTACATCTCTTCCGAGGACATTCGTGATGATGAGGAGCACTTCACCTACATCATGCCCAAGAACATTCTCAAGCGCTTCATCACCATTGCCGATCTCCGTGTCCAGGTTGCTGGTTACCTGTATGGTTCATCACCACCAGACAACAAGCAGATTAAGGAAGTCAAGGCTATCGTCATGGTACCTCAAGTTGGTAACACTCGCGACATTCAGCTTCCTCGCAACTTGCCTGAGAACGACCTTCTCAACTCTCTTGAGCCTCTTGGATGGATTCACACAAGCGCAGGCAACGAGACAAACTACATGACGGCACAGGATGTTACTCAGCACGCCCGCCTGATGAACCAGCACGACTCTTGGGACAAAAAGACCGTCACTATGACAGTCTCATTCACCCCTGGTTCCGTCTCCCTGTCAGCCTGGTCTCTCACTCCCTCTGGCTACACATGGGGTGCCGAAAACAAGGACATGTCATCCGACCAACCCTCCGGCTTCAACCCTGGCGCCGGCTTCGGCGAGAAGTCCCAGCTTCTGCTCTCCGATCGTATCAGAGGAATGTTCTTCGTCCCTGACGACGAGAGATGGAACTGGTCGTTCATGGGTTCAGGCTTTGGCGACAAGGAAAAGGGACGCATCTATGTGGATGTCGGTGTGCCCAAGAGATTCTACGATGGTGTGCATAGACCTGTCCACTTCCAGAACTTTGCCGAGCTGGAAGATGTGTGGGTTGATAGGTCTGATAACTTGGCATAGAAAGGGTGATGGGGATTGGTTTGGGAGTTTTTTAGGGACGAGAATCAAGCATGGCGTTCTGTCAACATTGTAAATGAGTCTATATTAGTCATGAAAGACGAAAGAGCAGAAAATTGTATTCTAGAACTTCAATGAGAAGGAGCGATCAAGATGAAATCAAACAAACCAAAGCACTGAGTTTCGTGATGTGTTCATGTCGAAAGCAGCAGGCGCAACCTGACAGCTCGCGACTTCTCTACTTTGAGCTTGAAAAGGCAGACTTAAGCAACGTACGAAGCGGCAAATATGCACATAAAGAAAACTTGACATTCAAACATTATCATCTATACTCTTTATCCCCCCCTCCTTTACTCTATCCCATCCCTTCCCCTTCCAACATCAATGAAACTCGGCCTGCACAACCCCATACCCAACTCCACCAACTCTCAACTCAAACACCAAATCCGCACTCTGAATCCTCATGACCAACTCAAAGTCCAGATTCAAAAACTCATTTCCCTTACTCGTTTTGAGTCTAGTAAACAATTCTTGCGGCACAGCTCCTAAATCTGTGCGTAGAGTACAAACTGTAGAAAGCGTTTTTGTGCGTGAGGAAGGTGCAAGGTCGGAACCGCAGGCTATTAGTTCGTCGGTTACGATTAGGGATTGGTGGGGCATGAAATTGCGAGTGTAGTGGAAGGAGATGGGTGTTTCGGGGGAGATGGCGGTGTTCTGTGAGGGAGGTGGTTAGTTTTTGGGTGGCTTTTTTGAAGAGGGAAGGGGAGGGGAGGGTACTGACTTTTGCGATGTGCCATTGCATGCGATCGGATACCATCCAGCGCTCCCACAGGGGTGACCAGTAGCGATCTGCTATGTCGTGTTTTGTCTCATCAAAGACTGTGGCGTAGGAGGTTCCGTAGTGTAATCTGCTGCGGCGAGAAGATACCATACTGTCATCCAAACCTCTGATTACTGCACCTCTGACCACAGCTGTCCATGCATATAGTGGTTGAATCACTTCCACAGGTGGGTATTCGTGTTGTTGCACCTGCACCTGCACCTGATGCTCGTCCTTCTCAGCAACTGCAGGAGACGTTGCGGTGTTGAAATGCGACTTCAACCTATTGTAAAGGTGATTACTCTGTCCAAATCCACCCACAAGGATAATTCCGGACACGGTATCGCCTTTATTGCGAATAGCATCGACCTGCCCATCCAACAACTTCAACACTTCATCAATGACAGGGTCAAAAATAGCCTTGACTTGCTGCGAACTCATGACCATGAATCCACTGTCAATCCCTGCCTCTTCGTCATCAGGAAGACCAGGAAAAGGCACATTGACTTCTTGATTTTCCTCTTCGTTGTAGTTGCGTTTGACGAATTCTTCAAAGTATTTCAAGCCCATCATCCAGGTTTTGGGCTTCTTGTTGCGCATGTGGGTGTAGCGTTCTGTGCCGAGTCTTTCTTTGACGTGTTCTTCGAAGCGGTAGTTGAGGAATGCTGAGCCGCAGAGTCCGCCTGTTCCTACTGCGCTCTCTTCGACTCTGAGCGGAGATAGTTGAGTAATTTTGCTAGATGTGATTGTTAGCATTTTTCTTCATCCTCAAAGACGTAGCTGATGACGAACTAGGCGATCAAATCTACGGTACCACCCCCTGCATCGCAGATGACAAAGTTGTCTCCGACCTTGAGATTATGCGGTTGTACTGTTTTGAGTGCGTGCAGCATGGCAGCTTCAGGCTCACTGATCAACCTCAACTCATGCTTCTTGCCCATGCCTGCCTTTTCTGCCGCTTGCAAGGTCGCATTCTTTGCAGAGTCTGACCAGACAGCTGGAACAGTAAGGACAAATTCCACCTTTGTCATGGCCATGAAACTTTCGCCATAACGTCTGTTCAACGTCTCCATGGTATGCGTATATATCTGCCCTAAGTAATCGCTGACAGCATCCATGACCGTGCGATCACAGCTCCTCAAATGCGCAGCCGTATCCAAAGGGCTCACAAAATGCGGCAACTTTTGGTTTCTGTCCAGGAACAGCTTTATGCATCGTAAACGTGGTTCTTCTGGCTTGAATTGGAAGCCCCATTTTATCCTCTGGACGGTAGATCGGGCACCGCCGCCTTGCTCGGGTGTGATTGTGTTGTTGGTGACTGCGGGCAGTTCGGTCGTCTCGTAGGCGATTTCGGTAGGGACTTTGTCGGAGGTTATGCCGTTGCCTCCTGGCCATCTTTCTTTCTCGTCAGCCTCGGGTCAATTTTGACTGCCTTTGCAAAAAGGGCAAAACTGTTCTTGCTTACGTCTTGATAATCTCGATGTCGTCTGGGGTTGCACTGTATGCTGCTGCTACACTGTGGGGCTTGTTAGCCATGGCTCTTCTGTAGACGATGTACAACACACCCAGAATACGTAGTGCCGAAGTCGACTCCAACGATGATTCTGTCTGAAGTAACTTGATGATATCCATTGCTATCGCCATTGACGACCGGCGTCGGGGCTGCAAAGCTGACGTTGGGACCAGCCATTGACAGAAGATACTCTTGCGATATGTCGAGGAAAGGAGCGAGCGTCACCAACGCAGGTTAGTCACAGACTAGGTATATACCAGATGGCAGCGGAGAAAGCAATGGAAAGACGAAAAGCAATCGGACAAGTTAGCAAAGAGCTGAGATCAGCAGAAGAGACGGCAGACAAGGTGGAAAGAAAGTTGGTATTATGACAAGCACTGCCGGAGAAGAAAGGGAAACCTCGGATCAACCTTAACTCAAGAAAGACCCACGAGGAAAGAAGGAGTGACAGACTGCAGCCAGCCCAATGTAAGCAGCCAAAGAGTGGCTCCATGACAGCTCGGAGCAGTGCGTGCATCAGACAAGCCCGACTCGGCAGCCAGCTGAAAACACGAGAGGGGTACGCCAGAGTCTGGAAACACGCACTGTTCAAGTGTCTCTCATCTCGAAGCAGCAGCGACCAGCGATGTTGAGGCTGATCAGAGACGCACTTTTCCCCCTTGTCCGAGTCCGAAACTCAAGGGATGCAGATGGTCTTGTTACAAAGAGTGCCCAGCAAGTGTGAGAGAGCTGGTCAGATACGACTACGTCCCGACCGGGGAATGCCCCCACATGCCCGCAGTCACCCTGGCTTGTCTCGGACAATTTGTTGTAGATCATCTCCCATTGTGGTCTTCTGGAGAGCCGCGCCTTCGGGCTCGTCTCTGTCGACAGCATCATCATCATCCTTGGCTGTCTTCTCTACCAATAAATTGTGGCAGCAGAGAGGCAACATCACCCTTGTTCGCTTGTACTACAGATTGTTCAGGTCAGATTGTCTAGAGCATGCCAAGCAGAAATAGAGTCAGCCACGCGACTAGAGAGTTTACAGAGCAAAAGCTTCCAAGTTTCAGCTTGCGACCTCGACTCAGGCCTGAAACTTGCCTCACCATGTGCTACCCTTCCGAGGCTTGGTATTTGCAAATAGCATATCAAAGTATTCTTGGTTCGCCTTTCGCTAGACTGATGATGAACGAGCGGTAGAGCGGGTGGTCGATCGTTGTTCAAGGTAAGGGCTAGTTGTTCGGTAGATCTAATGTAAGCTTTGCCTTGTGTAATCAACCACTGCCTTTGATTTACCTCCGATATATGTGAACCGCCTTCCTCGCTTGAGTCTTGAATTCGTGGAACCTCGACGACCATTCGGCGCAAGGACTCTGAACCTGAAAACATGGCTCGACCAGAAACAACAAAAAAGCGAGTCTCCAATCTTGTCGGCCGCTTCGAACAATTGGCCCAGGCATGTCCAATTCAGGAGTACATCCAACTAAATTCAAAATCACCAACATCACCACGACCAGCTTCACATCATGGCGAAAAGACATGGATGCCACAAGACCGCAGGACTTTATCTCTATCTTCAATGCCAAACTCCTCCACTCTTTCAGCCAAACTGGAGCGCGAAATCAACCGCAACGCACAACTACGGCAGGAAATTGAAACTTTGCGTCGTCAATGCAAAGAGGACGAAGAGATACTGACGGCTTTGTCTAGACGTTTGGAAGAAGGCACAGAGCTGCAAGCTTCTCTACACATGCAGACGTCTGGCTTGCAGACAAAAGTCGACAGATTGGCAGACAAGCTTGCTCGAAGAGACAAAATCCAAAAGGCAGAGTATGAGCGAAGAATTGCGGCAGTGGCCAACGAACGCGATATTCTAGCTTCGAGATTGCGCATGGCTGAAGCAAGTGTCGAGAGAGCTCGAGCCGTGGAAGACAGCGTTAAAACTGCAGATGAAAAGATCAGAGTCTCGGAAGAGAGAGCTCAGACAGCGAGTAATCAAGTAACAGCGTTGCAACAACAACTGCTGGAATTGAAGACAGATATTGCTGCTCGATCGGGACAGCATGATAATGTCAGTGATCAAGAGATCCTCGATATGACGAACAAACTCAACCATCTCGTCCAAAATTGGTGTGCCAATAGTTTCCGGAAGATCAAGATTGGTATGTGTCCTTAACACAATCACTCCTAACGTGCGCTGACATATTTCAGACCCACACAGGATGCTTTGCAGATTCGAAAAGATAGCAGCTCTACAGGAAGCAAAGTTGCTACGAAGACTTTATGCCACTTTCGACACAAGCATAAAGATCTTCACCTTCCAAGCTACTGTGCTGTATCTACTCATGCCAATCTTTGACACATATTTCTTTGGAATACCGGATGAATTGAAGGGTTTGGACTCAGCTGCTTGGGAAATGGAATGTACGTTTCTTTGTTCGACTTGATGTTTACTCTCATTTGCTGACTATCCTCCAGCTTTGACAACATCCTTTAACGAGTGGCGAGCAATGACATATGAATTCTTGCGGAAAAGTGACAACGATCTCAAGAAGCGCTGTCAGATTTCACAGACGAAAGCGCAGGCACAGATGGCAGAGCAAATTTGCACAACGATGTCATCATTGACGGGCTTGACCATTTTGGAGGAGCATAAACAAAGTCTAGGCACTTTGGTCGAGCATGCTGTCTCGCTCTCCCAGGTGTTGGGAAGTCAGCGAGCTACATATCGGTGTTTTCTGCCGCAAGCTATTGACCAAGACGCCATTGAGTTTGAGAACACCACGATGGAGAATTTGATGGACGATCAGGAAAGCGATGGTATCGCAAGGGATGTCAGATGTGTCGTGTTTCCGGCTTTGATTAAGCAGGGAGGGGAAAGAGGTGAAGATGTAAGACATCCTTACCGTGTTACAGAGATATGGTTGACTGACCCTGAACAGATGGAAGTGGAGAATGTACTTGTCAAAGCCAAAGTCCTTTGTGTTGAAGAAGACTCTGACGATGACGATGATTTGATGGATTGAAGATAATCTCGACATCACAAGGTGTTCTCCCTCTGGCGCATGCCCAATATCCTGGGACTGTGAACGACAGGCATGGACTGAGAAGGCATATGACGCTTGGGTATTCTGTCTGCATGTGCCATGGCAGCAGCGTCCAGGGTTTTCTCGACTTCGTGCACAAGCTCGTCAGCTGTGGCAGCGTCGGCTACGATGGCATGTAGACGAACGAAGATAGCGTCAAGGAAGGTATCCAGGAGAAGATACATGTTGTGTTCTGGCTCTTGACGATGAAGTTCGAGAAACGGCAGATAGACAAAGTCATCGTAGAGGGTAGCCATGCGACGAAAGACCTTGGCCTCGACATGATTCGGTTTGTGTAGTCCACTGTGTTGTGTTTCAGTCTCATATCTTCATTGACAGCTAGAAAGACTGCTCACTCAATGATGTCAATCCATCTGGTGACTTCCTCAAGAGCAATCTCGGTTGGCATCTGATAACGTGACAGCTGGTCTTTGGCCGAGCTCGCAGCATCGAACCTTTGCTCCAGCTTTTCCAACACCATGTCCAGGAAGTCGCATATGTCGTGCGCAATGTTTTCAATATCGCGTGCAACATCGCCACGAAGGATGTGTGAAGATGGGAAAAGCTGGTGAGATATGTGGACAATCATTCTGACCATAGCCAACAACATGTCCTTCAAAGACTGCTCGATTTTCGATGTGCGAATCAAGTGCATCAATCCCTGAGGCAACAGATTGGTCTTGGAAGAGAACATGGAGGAAGTTGGCGTAGGGGGAACAAGCGCAGGGCGGCGAGGTGCTCGAATAGTCGATCCATGGTGTTCAGAGTCATTGAGGTAGTAAGAGGGAATCCACTCGATGGTTGTGTCTAGAACGTCTGCATGGATGAAAGGCTCGCTGGTAATTGTTGACATCGATCCTGTCGCACTGCCATGACTGTGTGCTGAAGGAGGCTTGCTTGAAGAAAGACTTGCGCTGTACTGGGATGATGAGTTGGTTGTAGTACGCGAGTGCGATGATTTTATCGAACGCGACATCTGGCTTGTTATTGCAAAAGAGAATGCTGCTATGGAAAAGGAAAGCGATGGATTGTTGCGGACAAAGAATCAGGTACCAAGTCGTGCTTCCTGTTGCGGCAGACGACAAAGAGGCAGGAACGATGACCTCGTCCAACGAATCACAAAAGCAACGAACAGTAGATTTTTCTGCAACAATGTGTATGATTGGAACAAAGTGAATATTTCTACAAACCAGACAAGAAATGTGTCATTCTCGTCGAAGCCATTCCGCCATGATGTTTCGTTGCCGACGGCGAATTAGCTACCTTTTAAACAAGTTGACAATGCCCACAAGTCACCACCCGAGTGAACAAGACGTTCGGTTCGGGTAGTAGATTAACCTGAAAAGCGTTCAATCTCCGCAAGTAGACTCGATCACCACGCCACTGAATCGTTTCCACCAAGAGGTGAAATCGGAGGCATGACAACTTTAAAGAAGTGCGGGTTCTCAATAGAAACATTAACATTGGAGTGTATCATTCATCGTCCTCATCGTCATCTACACCAGGGACGTCCATTACACGTTCTGATGCAGCGGCGAGAGTACGCCGACTCCAGGCTCGAACACCTTTCCAGACAGCCTAACAACAGGATTAGTAGAGGTTCCAGACGAAGAAATAGAGCCAACATACCCATATGAAGGTGAAGATGCCGACCGCTACAGCGATCCAGCTGATCTGGGCCATCCTATCTCGACCAGTGGTGCGCCCACCCCCAACTGAAGTGCGCATATTGTATAGATGCCACGGACTCGAAAGCAGAAACTTGGCAAACCCAACCAAGCCTAAAGAAGCAAAGCCCTTGATAAAATGCTCGGTCCATGTGACAGGCTCATCTGCAGGTAACAGAGGCTGGGAGCCGTGGGCAATTGTGTCGTAAGGGTCGAGATAGAGATTAATGATAGGATCAGCCACGTAACCTAGAGCAAATGAAGAGGCGATGAAAATAGCCAAGGTAAGCATGATTTGAGCAGCTTTGGTATGTTAGTAGGATGGAACAAGACCAGATTTGATCGAACAGCTTACCAGTACTACTGATCCAATGTGCCCAATTCATTCGTTCTAGACGATATTTGTACCTACATGTTGGACATTGCCAGTAGTTACGTTTTGCAGCAGGATTCTGAAGACGCCAGGCTTGCAGACACTGCTCATGGACATATTTCTGACTACCCTTGCATAGACACGGGCGAAGCAGACGACCACCATCTTCGCTCTCGTACGTGACGTTCGGGGCAGACCGCATGAAGGCTGGTAAGGAATCTGACGGCGGGTGGTATGTTGGCAAGACGGACTCCAAGCAGATACGACAGGTGCGTGGTCTGTAATGACGATCGCGGCGTTGCTGGCCTGTAGAATGTGCTGAGGCTGAGGGAGGTGGCCGAGGTGGAGCGTGGTGGCCCTCTTGGTGCTCATGCTGTTGCTCGTCCTTGGGTTGGGTGTTGGTCTGAAATGATTGTGGCTTTTTCTCCTCTTTGACGATGTCATCTGTCCAAGAACCAGGCAGGTCCTCGGGCCAAGTCCAGGATGGCGGGTCAATGGACGACGAAGTCATGGTAAGAATGCAATGTTCAGGTGCCGGTAGTGTTTGAGGTGCAGTGCAAGGCAGGAGCAGCAGCGGTCATGATCAAATGGAAGAGTTGAAAAGGCCAGCTGGTGTTTCTGCCTTGAGCCTTGTCACGAGTTGTCGGAGAGAAAAGCTTCTTCTGCTGGTGCAGGCTGCTGGTTGCAAACGGAAGAAGAGGAAAGAACGACTTGGACCACGCCTTGGCAAGTCCTGGCGGGTGGCCCGAGCTTCCCCTCTCGGTAGCGCGTCACTGAATGAGCGCCTGCGCCCAGTGGGCGAGAGCAGCAGCAGCAGCAGGAGCTTGATCCAAACCATCAACCCATAACGTCTGTTTCTGTCGTCTCGCCGCCTGTTTTCACTTTTGATTGCAGCTTCGTCCATCTCTCTGCAGTCTCCTCCAGTCGCTTCTCCATCCTCGCCTCGCCCTCGTCCACACTATGGCGGATCGCTACTCGTTCTCGCTCACTACCTTCTCCCCCAGGTACTAACACTCCATCTTGCTTGCCCGAATCATATGCTAACTCTAATATAGCGGAAAGCTGGTACAGATTGGTGCGCTCAACTAGTCTTTAATCCTCAAGAACTCCGCTCATGTCCTTCCAGAATATGCTCTCAACGCCGTCAACCAAGGTGTTACCGCCCTAGGCATCAAAGGTCCGCATACATCTACCTTGTGAAGACCCACTCCGTCTGACACCTTTCCTTAACAGCCACCAACGGTATCGTCCTCGCAACCGAAAAGAAATCATCATCGCCTCTCATCGATGCCGCCTCCGGAAGCAAGATCTCTTTGATCACTCCTAATATTGGTACCGTCTACGCTGGCATGGGTCCCGACTACCGCATTCTCGTCGACAAGGCTCGCAAGGTCTCACACACAAACTACAAGCGTGTCTACAACGAATACCCCCCTACTCGCATTCTGGTTCAAGATGTCGCTCGTGTCATGCAAGAGGCTACCCAGTCAGGTGGCGTGCGGCCGTATGGTGTCAGTTTGTTGGTTGCCGGATGGGATGACGGTATTGAGCCTGAGAAGGAGGCTGCCGATGCTGGTGATGATGCAGAGAAGAAGGCTGTCAAGGGAAAGACTGGCGGTATCCTCAAGGGCGGTCCTTCACTGTACCAGGTTGACCCCAGCGGTTCCTACTTCCCCTGGAAGGCTACTGCTATTGGAAAGAGCGCCACTTCGGCAAAGACTTTCTTGGAAAAGCGCTACACAGACGGTCTCGAGCTTGAAGACGCCATTCACATTGCTCTTCTCACACTCAAGGAGACCATTGAGGGCGAGATGAACGGTGACACCATCGAGATTGGTATCGTCGGTGCTCCTGCCGACCACTTGCTCGGTGTTGAGGGTGTTGAGGGTGCTCAAGGTCCTCGTTTCAGAAAATTCAGTTCGCAAGAAATTGAGGATTACCTGACGAGTTTGTAAACGGAGCATTCACGGGCATGGCGTTAATTTCGAATCTTCTACACATGACGACGGACGGCTCTGTATACTAACAACTGGCTGCGGGTATGCCGGCCAAAATGACATCTACTTCTTTGTCGACTCGACTTTTGCATGACCAACCCACTTGCCGTGAAGTGACTTCTCGTGATACTAACCACTGACTTCAGAGCACTAAGATACTGATATCGCAGGTCCAGAGAGATCCTGAATGCTTTTGCACAAGATTATCGAAATCATAACCTGTAATGCAAAGGCAATGATGCATTGGTTCGTTAGAATGGTATACCAAGTGCTTAGCTAATTCAGCTACAAAAAATCCAAATATTCGTTCATCCAAAACTTCATTACAGTCCCAGGTCCAACAGTCTCTTACTGCAAGTCCAAAACGACTCTTCCTTGAATCTTGCCCTTGTCCATCTCCTCAAAGATACTGGTCAACTCGTCCATCTTTGCTGTTCTAAAGTGCGTCTTGACGATACCTCTGGCAGCCAAATCCAAAGTCTCAATCGCCTCCTTTCTGTTTCCTACAGCGGAACCCACAATTTTTTGCTCCATGGCTACGAGTACTTGTGGGAAAGCAGTTGCGATAGGCTTCAATTCGCCCTCGGGCAATCCCACACAAACAAGTGTGCCGCCAAATTTGAGCAACTGCATACCACTGCCGTAAGCTGCATTTGCTGCTGTCAAGACCAGTACGGCTTGGGCACCCAGTCCTCCAGTTAGCTTCTTGACTTCGGCAGCAACGTCATCAGTGGTGGTGTGGTCGATGAAGTGCTCAGCACCGCTCTGAAGTACCAGGTCTTTCTTGCTGCCGTGGTCGATGCCGATGATGCGCATACCCATGCCGCGAGCACCCATTTGGGTTGCGATGTGCCCAAGACCACCACCGGCACCGAGGAGAACGACGAAGTCGCCGGATTGGGCGGTGGACTTGCGGAAGGCGGAGTAGACTGTTACACCTGCGCAGAGCCTGTTGTTGTGCTGTTAGTATATGGTATGTCCGAACTAAGGCGGCCAAGAAGTCAAACTTACATCGGCGCAGCAGCAGCAGAGTCCAACTCATCGGGGATAGGAGTAACATAATCCGCAGGACCCACAACATATTGCTGATAAGTGCCAGGCGTATAGTACCCACTAATCTTCTGGTTGAAACACACACCATCATGTCCACTCAAACACGCAGGACAACCACCACAAATTGCACTGATCCACTTGATACCCACTCTCTGCCCAAACTTGACAGCAGCATTTTCAGTACCAGGACCCATGGCAACGATCTTGCCTACACCTTCATGGCCACCCACTTGACCGGGTTGGGTGGGGTGAGGCAAGGCTTTCCAGCTGTTGGTCATGATGCCAAAGTCTGAGTGGCATACTCCGCTGTGGGTGAGGTTGATCAGGACTTCGCCGGGGCCTGGGGTGGGTGTGTCGAGTTCGACTACTTTTGTACTGATCTCGCCGGGCTTGTCGTAGATGACTGCCTTGTACTTCTTCGGGATATCGGGGGAAGACATTGTTGCTAAGCGAGAGGTTTTGGTTTATGGTCTGTGGTATAGAGTGCTTAGGAAGCTGTGTACTAGAAGTTGTATGCTTGAGAAAGGTACAAGTTGTGAGGGAGGAGAGGTAAAGATAGCTTCTTAACTTAAGACGAACTACTGCAGGTAGATAAGCAGGCAGGGCAGATCAACGACCCTTGTACCTTCTGGGAGACAAACGCCTTCTCCTCATCTTGACTCCTTCGCCGAGGCAAGATTGGCAGACGAGGTTGTCGTCCTGTATTGATCTTGGTCTCAATGGTGGGGCAAAGTTGCGGGGTAAGGTTGTAATGAGGGGCATGCGGAGACTTGCCAGGTCAGACGATAGGATTATGCTTTTGATTACTCGTGACAGACGCGGCAAGAGAAGAGCATGTGCTTTCGTGGCTTGTATAAGGATTTGCTTAGGCCGAGGAGTTAGTGAGCTCTCGGTGGTCCAGAGAACACTGTTGCTCCGTACTGGGCTTGTTGACGTGTACCTAAGCCACACGAGAGTACAGATGGAGATAACAAGAGCTACTGAGAGGACTACGTGACTTGATCCAGGTAGTAAGTTGTGCTGCATGTATATTGCTCGAGAGCTTGAAGTTCAATTGGACTCATAGCTGAGCGGGCTTCGGACATCGGAGGACTTTGCGTGAAGTATAGAATGGTAAGATGATCTTGTAACAGCATTCGCGAGAGCTGTCTACCAAAGCAATGTACTACTCTGATACCAGTGTACATCAGTCTGTATTCACGCATTGTCGCTAAACAACTTGGACGTGGTCTTATTAAGTTGAGACTTCACGCGAGGTCCGACAAGAATGCTATGCAGCTTTGCACGGCTTCCACCCCACTGAACGGATGCATCGGTTTGCATTGTTTGCAAAGGTTCTCCCACAGGCTATAAAACTCGCCACCCGCCGCACTCAACTCGGCTCTTTTCTCTCCATGAAAGTTGTTATATTCGAAAGAGTATAACCAAACCTGATAATTTGATTTGATCGCTCTATACGCCGTGGGCTATTGAATTGAACGTCAGGAGAGATACATTCCAGTATTAAGAAGCGACGCTCCTATCACCTTGGGCCTTGTCTCCCGTTATCTGGGCAAATCTTTTCTTTTCAGTCGTTCTAGTTGTCTTTCGGTTCGTTGCGATGAACTGATCGCAAGGTCGAGTCCACGTGACAATGGTTTGGACTTCGACAGACGTTTAGAGACCCTGGACGCTTTTCCGTTAGTGTACATACCTACCTACCTACGATCTCGAACAAGACCGTTCTACTACCTAAACACTGTTGCCACGCATGGAATCGATCGCGTCGTCGTCGTCTTCGGAGACGTCTAAGAAGCCCTTTCCATTTTTCGAACTCCCATCCGAGTTGCGCATTAAAATATACCAATACGTGCTGTTCATCGAACACGGAAACGGCGTCGTGGATCTGGACTACTACAACGATAGAAGAATCGCCCCACGTTTGACATGTTTCCGTGCTTGTCGGCGCATGCACGATGAGGCCTACCCAATCTTCTATGGCTCGCCACAGCAACCCTTTAGGCTGTTTCCGACTGGTGGACACATGTACAGAACCAAGAAGCCCTTGCTCGAACTTCTTACACCGACATATCGCTCTGCAATCAACACGATCGAGCTGCGTCTAGGGCCAGGATGGGAAAGGGTTAGTTCGGCGCGAGTCACATAACAGTGGATAAGATGCTAACGATTGTCCGTCTCAGATTCCTAAATGTTGGCACACCGGTCCCTCATTAGGCCTCGCCGATTGCGTCTCCCTACGTAACCTCAAAATCTTCGTCCAAATAGACCCAACCGATGCGACCTTCAAGGGACACCACGGAAAAGGCAATGACCAATACACATATATGAATATCTCTGCAGGCTGGTTGCAAGAAATTCTCCAGCAGGTTCCGAGCATCTGCAATGTCGAGATTGATGCATGGGAGGGAGTGGACATTGTCTCACCAATGCTCAATGCGCTGGCCTCAGTGGTCTTGACCGCTGATAAGAGGTTGACTTGGGGTCCGCAACGTTTGAAGAAGCTCGAAGACGAGAAGCTGCACAAGGCACGCTGGGGCGTGTCATGCGGCATGGAGTCTATGGATGATCTGGAGGATCTCATGACGACCATGGTCATATCACGGAGTGGGCTGTAACATCTTGATTTCAGGAGCATGCGATCATGGGAGCGACAGGCGTACGGAGTTTAGCATCTGCTTCCTGGATTATGGTCCTTATCTTTATACGACAGCAACAGCATTAAGCAACAATCAAGTCTTTCTGTTCTTTGAGGGTTCCCATTCGATGGCGCATCTCCATTTACACAGACCTCGTGTTTCTCCAGACTATCTCCGGCAAAATCTCCATCCGTGAAACATACCCTTATCGTGTTGGGGAGTCAAAGTCCGCCATATTTTCGTCGAGCTTCTCAGCTCGCTGGAGCAAACACAGCTTACAAAGCTGTTGGGCCTTTTTGACGAGGCATCCGAGAATCCGAGATGAACGGCAGCGGTGAACGTCATGTAGAGATCCGTGCGTTGGTCCACCACCTTCCTCGCAGAAGCACGCCTCCATTCCTCATGTCAGTCTCACTGTGCTACCTCAGTCATGCAATTGCGTGGTCAAGGTAGGTCTCGAACATGTTCAAGACTCGGTAAGAAGCTGCCGCAGTTTCAACAACAACGGCAGAGGCAGTCGGTAGGGCAAGCGTGCGACAATAACGAACATGATGTAAGGCCGGAGTTAAGCAGTGAAACAGCAAAACAACGCCGGCCGAAATTCGAAGATGGCCTTTGGAAGGACATGGAGCAAGACAAAATTTCTAGTCGCAAATCGCTTGCGTGTTTTCATATATAGCAATCGCGACCTTTCCCGTTGCCTGCCGTTCTTTCCTCTCCTACTCCCTCTCTTCACATCACTCTTCCTTTTTATCCCTCACAACACCACACATCTATCACCATGTCTGCTGAGCAAGTTCCCGAGAAGTTCTCTGGCTGGTTGGGCCACGAGCCTGAGGCTGCCAAGGGCAAGATGGTCTGGGGCGAGTTCGAGCCCAAGGTGAGTTTGTTCAACTCGTTGATGCTGTTGACATCCACTAACAATCAATGACAGACCTGGGAGGAGACCGACGTCGACATCAAGATCTCCCACTGCGGTATCTGCGGTTCCGACATTCACATGCTCAGCTCCGGCTGGGGCCCTACTCCCTACCCCTGCTGTGTCGGCCACGAGATCGTCGGCAAGGCTGTCCGTGTTGGCAAGGAGGTCAAGAACATCAAGGTCGGCGACCGCGTCGGTGTCGGTGCCCAGGCCCGTTCCTGCCTTGAGTGCGTCGACTGCAAGAACGGCAACATGACCTACTGCAAGAAGGCCGTCAACACCTACGGCTCCGTCTATCCCAACGGCAAGGACAAGTCCTACGGCGGTTACTCCAACTACAACCGCACCCACGGTGCCTTCGTCGTCAAGATCCCCGAGAACATCGAGTCTGCCCACGCTGCTCCCATGCTCTGCGGTGGTGTCACTGTCTACTCTCCCCTCGTCCAGAACGGCTGTGGCCCCGGCAAGACCGTTGGTATCGTCGGTGTTGGTGGCCTCGGTCACTTCGGTGTCCTCTTCGCCAAGGCCCTTGGTGCTGACCGCGTCGTTGGTATCTCCCGCAAGAACGACAAGCGCGACGACGTCCTCAAGCTCGGTGCCGACAAGTACATCGCCACTGGTGAGGACAAGGACTGGGCCTCTGAGAACGCCCGTACCCTCGACCTGATCGTCTGCACCGTTTCCAGCGAGAAGATGCCCATGAGCGAGTACCTCTCCCTCCTCAAGGTTGGCGGTACCTTCATCCAGGTCGGTGCTCCCGACGGTGGCAACCTTCCTCCCATCAACGCCTTCACCCTCATCGGCAACGGTATCAAGGTTGGTGGCTCTCTCATCGGTACTCCCAAGGAGATCGAGGAGATGCTCCAGCTCGCTGCCGACAAGGGTATCAAGCCTTGGATCCAGGTTCGCCCCATGAAGGAGGCCAACCAGGCCATCATCGACTTCGAGGAGGGTCTGCCCCGCTACAGATTCGTCCTTGAGAACTAAGGGTTCTGACGATGACATCTTTTTTGTTTGGACTTTGCTTGGAAAATAGAATGGGCATCATGAACAAGCCCTACTTAACGAATACCCCTACTGTAGACTTATAGACCGTAGACTGCTACGAATTGCATTGGCTCTTGAACAAATATGTTTCCTTGCTTCCTGTCTTCGTGATCTTGAATAGGTGTGGCTATACAAAGGCAAGATACGTTTGTGCTCGGAGTGAATTCCGCTGAGGGAGTCTTCAAGAAACCGATATCCTCTCTCTCTCCAGGCATTACACCCTTTGAAGTCTATTGTACTTTCTCACACTACCGACGTCCCATCCCTTTATTTCGTGCATGTGCTCCGCAGATCATCTTTGATTGTCACTACACTATGGATTCTGCAGCTTTTCATCAAACGATCATGGACGTGGTGTTCGTGGCTCGTGGGCATTGACATCACAGGTCGGGCAGGCATATCTCGCATGCATGACGATTGATGGATGATGGGGATGGTTCAAGGATGGAAGAGAAAGTTTGGAGTTGGATTGCGGTTTGTTGTTGATATAGGAATGTTTCGTCCTCGTTGGTATCGGTATATATTGAGTCTTTCTACGTGACAGATCATCCTTGTGGTGAAAGCTTCAAAGTCAAGTTATAGAAATGCATAATGTTTTATTGAAGGGAGTATTGTCCGCAGATACGACAGTATCTGGAGGTGTTTTTGCGGCCAAGTTGCTGTTTGGACAATAATGTGCATCTTGGTAGCTCAGTATCCATGGGGGATAATGCACTGATGGTTGATTTTGATGGTCTCTGGCCGGTTCAAATGGACTAGCCAGTTCTAATTATGCATAGACGATTCACCAGGGCTAAGTCTTGTCTGCATCGGCGTGGACACTGAGTACGAAAGCTCTTTGATACAGAACTTGTCTATATGCGCAATAGCTAGAACTAGGAAAGTACCCTGGTTGCGGAATTGTGAATGCAAGGCCAATATAGCAAAAAGTGAATGCAGCGAGTGAGATTCGAACTCACGTTTCTACAACTCCAGTGATCAGCCCAGTACTCTGGATCCCTCAGCGAATGATCGCCAGAAGAAAATTCACACCTTACATGCTTGTGTTTGCAAGACATTTGGGTGTAGCGTCTTGACCACTAGACCATCGCTGCTTTTATTACGAACAATTCAAGTTTTGGAGATCAAAAAGGGTTGGAACCTCAGAAGGTCATGTGTTCGATTCTTCGATGGGATGAGAAGAATAGTTTTGTGCTGGTTATGTTTTTCTCCTTTGACAAACGATGCCATCAGTTGATGGAGAGCAAGCCAATCCGTTGGTCTCCTTTGCTTTGCTCTTTGAATAACCTGATAGCTTAGTCAAGAAATTGTCTTTTGAAATGCATTCTATCTGCTGGAGCAGCAATTCTGGGGTTTTGGCAACCACACGGAGGCCCTGTTGGCATGTCCATAAAGAATCGGGAGTAGAGAGAGCCTGAGATTAGAAAGCCACCTGCGCAAGAAGCGTTGTCCAGATCCTCAATCTCGTTAACAAGTAGATGTGCTCCGTTTTGTTATGGTTCTCCGTTTCGGCTCTGACTTTTAAATTCGTGGACAAATGTCTTGATAAACAGCAAACAAGAGGAAAGCAGTCAGACTGAGTTAGAGACCCATATGGCCTTGTAAGGAAATCCAGCAAACAAGAGTGTAGAAACATCCATGGCAGCTTTCGGTGACTTTGTTCAAACCATCGAGCCTAGATCTGATGGACCTGGTTGAGGCACATCCGGAATGATTCTCCTAAGGAATTGTGCCACGCTGGTTTGAAAACGTGCAGATCTTCCTGTCGGGTCAACATTCGTAACCAGATTGTAATCCATGGTCCGGAGATAGAGGCTCAAAGAGTACATATCACAATTCGTGCTTGGGTTTTTATGAGAGCCCATTCAAATAGGATGACATGCTGGTGTCAGAAAGGCGTACCTCGAGCCGTAAGATTAGAAGAACGAGTCCAAAACATTACACAACACAGGTTGTTGTTGTTGACATGAAGGCCTCAGCCTGTCCTTTCGATAGCTTGGTCAAACGGTGAAGTCAATTTAGATTTCACAATAGGTATAACTTGCATAAGCGCTACATAAAGAACTGACCAGTATGGCTTTCGGCCTTCAGAGCCATACAGCAGCGTGTACATCGCGCGGAAGACACGCAAGAAGGGGGCTGGCAGTTATGGAATGCAGAAGCTGAAAGGTGGAGAGAGAGACGTCACATATTGGTACCTTCCAATCGCAGCCACATTCTCCCTGCCAACGGGTGCTTTTAAGAGGGGCTCTGGCTGCCAAGACCATGGTCTGTCTACTCTTTATCGGCCTTCCAAGTGCACGAAAAGTACTGCATATAGATGTAGACCTGTGCATGGTAGTCTTGATGTCCACAAATTGCAATTACTGTCTCTCAGGAACAGGTTTGTCATGAAAAAGACATGACAATTGTCTGTATCAGAGTTTCATTCAGCGACCAAGCTTGCGCGCGATCGGCTGTGAGGGGAGATCACGTGCACTAGCTGGACGAGGCGTTGCGTAGTGAGGGTCACTCATAGTCCCCGTCACCTAAGAACTCTGCAGTCCTCTCTTACTGTCTCTCTAACAGAACTCGCTCACCAAAAATCCATCGCCCATAGTAAGTCGCGCTGCGCGTCTCCCCGAGCTTCGAGCTGGCTTCACCATAAACAGCTCTACAAACACATCAAAAAACCACCCTCACTTCTTTTACACAACAGGAAAGAACGATCCGATGGCTCCTTCCGTCACTCGTCTTGTTCTATTCCTTCCTTCACGCGCGCTCGACTGCATTCATCACTTGGTTGTCTTTCATCACAACGACTAACACAACCACTTTAGTCGCCTCTACACGATAACAACACATCTAACTCTTTCAATCACTTCGGTATGTCAATTATCCTTTCATTTGACGCGTCGCTATTCCCAATTGCGCCCGTACGACGCGTGTTTGGTGATGTTTCCATCCTCTCACTCTCACCAAACACGCGCGCGGGCTTGACCATTACATCAACCGGCGCATCACCTCACCTTGTCGCATCGACTCAATTTTGAAATTCATCTGCTAACCTCGACTGCGCGACTCAGATTAAATCAAATCAACATGCCTAAGGAAACTGCCACCCGCCGTAAGACCGCCAAGAAGGACGGTGGTAAGAAGAAGAAGGGTAAGTTTTATGCCAATCACTTCATTTGTTACGGCGCATTGTAGCTGACCTCGTCGCTAGACCCCAACGCCCCCAAGCGTGGTCTCTCCGCCTACATGTTCTTCGCCAACGAGCAGCGCGAGAAGGTTCGCGAGGAGAACCCCGGCATCAAGTTCGGTAAGTTGAACATTACTCACATGCAACCCGATGCCAGTCAACCGACTAATTGTATCTACAGGCGATGTTGGCAAGATCCTCGGTGAGAAGTGGAAGTCTCTCAACGAGAAGCAGAAGACTCCCTACGAGGCTAAGGCTGCCGCCGACAAGAAGCGTTACGAAGAGGAGAAGGCTGCCTACACTGCTGTAAGTTTCTGCTGAGCATCTCATACACTTCTGACATGTAAACTAACTTGACATTAGGGTGGCGATGCCGACGAGGAGGAGGACGAGGAGTAAACTATACCCTCTCTCCACTCAATGACATGAATCGAGTCGCTCGCAACCGTCACGCCTAATTTTCATTCATGGCCTTGTCTTACTGTTTATCACATGGAATTGCTTCTGAAGTTTTTATCATTTTTTCTATCGCATGTCTTCTACACAACACGGATACGAACACAGGGGGGCCGGCAAGGTTGGGAGGAGCAGGAGCAAACAATGAGCGATGTTTCATCACTGGCTAATCCGGAATGGGGATTGTGGTGTTCTTTTCTCTACTGGCTTATACCCAACGCATCAATGTTAGCTACTGCAATATGCCTCGCTCATCAAACAGACAACGAGGCCGCGGCAATTCGAAGGTCAATGTTTTCTTGATTGGTTTGCTTCCACCTTTCATTCTTGTGGTCATTTTTACGGCAAGATAGTTCGTGACACTTTAATTGACATTCGCGGTGCAAGGTCTGGTCCTTCGTCCTGCTCGTCTGTGGACGTAAATGCTCTGATAGCCCTACTACGGTTTCATGGCGCAAGTCATCACGCCTATCGTTCTGAAAAGTAGATATACCACAAAATCATCCAATTGTTGGGACAAACATCAGGAATTATACTAGCTCATTTTGCTATCGAGAAGCATTCGCGAGTATGCCACTGGCTATAACACAAGTCCTAAAAATCCCAAACTCCTGTATGAAATGCACAACACGCTTGCGACTTTCCTATTTCCGTGTCCTCTTGCTCATCATTCTCGTTGGAAGACGACCGTCAAGCCCATGAACGCCAGCATCACGGTCTTGAGCCAAGGGTACTCGGCCAACAAGATGGTCACGTAACCTACGAAAGGCACGTAGCCAACCACACTGCCGATAACGTCTGTCTTGCGGTTGAGGAAGTCCTGGCCTCTAGCGTAGAGTTCGGTATCATCTGCTGCATTGTTGTCGCCCTTGGTAAGAAGTTGAAGCGGAGGAGCCTTGGGTCTGTTTTCCTCAACTGTCAGCATCTGTTGTTTGCACTGCACCTTGACAGTAAGAGACAGAATCAACATACCCACTGCCACCACCAAACCTCCTAACAACCCTATGCACGATAGGAATATCCTTGCCCTTGACATTATACACCACCACCTCTCCAACCTTGGTATCCATTCCTCGATTCCACAAAAACAGCAAGTCTCCACGTTGGAAGGCGGGTTCCATGGATCCGGAAAGCACGACTACGATAGGAGAGGAGGAGTCGGTTGCGACGGAGAGGCCTTTCCAGAGCATGAATGCTGTGCTCAACACCAGGGCGAAGTTTAGGACTTGGGTGGCTAGTTGGCGGGGTTGGAGAGATGAGAGGGAGGAAAACATTGTTGCGGTTGGTTGGCAGTGGTTGTATGGGAGGTAAGAGGATTTGTTCGGAGGAGAGATGTTGTTGGCGTGGGAGATATGGCGGGTGCGAGGGTTCCAGTCGTCGCAGTCAAACTTTGGAGGAGCACAAGGTCGACAGGTCCGGGAAATCTTGTCAGGGCCAGTAGTTCCTTCCCTCTCTTTTCTGTTCCAGATACGCGGTGTGTCGAAAGCTGCAATTGCGATTGATTGAATGTCTTGAAAGTCAAAGCTGTCCTGAGCTTCACTTGGATCGGGGAAACTGCGGGGTCGTGGCTGCAGTGTCCATGTCTTTCTTGACTTGGGTATGACCCTGGTCTTATCTTGCCATGCTGAACAACTCCTTCGTGTCTACTCGAATCTGAGCTCCACGTGTGGTATCTATCTGAAATAGCCGTTCAATGTATCCCTAATCATCACAAGCTTATGCGACATGGTGGTGGTGAGCTATGTCTATGCTCGGAGATTTGTCCATCTCAAAACCAAGCCCCGGCTTCGGACCACAACTCTCTGTCTTCATCTTGCTGGCCATCAAAGTCAACGACAGCACATCTTGGTATAACATAAGTTGGAAGGTTTGGAGTTCAAAGCACACGATCTACAAACACCAGAATGCGAGTACAAAGCCGAAACATCAAAGATAGAAACGACGAAACAAGCACCTCATCTGACAGTACGTGTGAGAGTAACATACAATGAAATACAGTCGCACACCGAGAGTGACCGCCGGATCAATCAAACAATGGCAAAACTACAACGACACAAGAATTTTCAAAAGCAAGATACAGTATGTCTAGATTCATGAAGATATACACAAAAACGCCTCTCAGCCCTCCGTTCCATAGATACCCAGAGTCCTAAGCAAACAAAGCCTCAGTACTAAGCTTCCCCTTCTGCTGAATATCTCTAGAAGAGAAACCCAACTGCAGCTCGAACTCTCCCATCGGCAAGACCCAGTTTTGAATCCCGACATCCCAGAACGAAAGATCCTTTCTCGTCAACTCTAGAGAAACCTCAACCCGCTTCTCGGGAGTCACGAACAACTTGTCAAAGGCACGAAGCACGCGGACAGGGAAGTCGACTGCATTACCCAAGGAGTCGGTGATGGGTGTGGAGGGGTAGGAGATGTAGAGTTGGACTACACAATCGCCGGGCAAGGATCCAGTGTTGGTGAGGGAGGCTTGGACGACAGCGATGGGGGTGTAAAGATCAGGGTTTCCGCCTTCTGCTCCACCTGCTGGTGAGGGTGATTGAGCGATCTCATAACCTTTGGGGTAAGGGTATTTGCCAGTCTTGATTTCATCCACGGACTTGATGTAGGGGTAGATGTATTTCTTGAGTGCGATGAAGTTTTCAGGCCAGAGTGCTGTGCGTGCATCGGGGATAGACACGTCCATGTGTGGAGGTTTAAGCGCTTCAGGGCGCTTGGCGGGAAGAGTAGCAAATTCAGTAGCCACGGGGTGGATGAAAAGGCTGCTGAGGTGGAAGGTCGTGTATGAAAGACCATAGCCGAACTCGTAGCGTGGCTCAATGTTGTGCTTGTCAAAGTAGCGGTAGTCAACGTACAAGCCTTCCGAGAAGTTCTGTTGAGGGATCACAGCGTTGGGGTGGTAGAGAATCTTGCTCGTCGGACCGTAGTCGTCTTCGTGCTTAGCGATTGTGTATGGTAGGCGACCTGAGGGATTGACGTCTCCAAAAATGATGGAAGCCAAAGAACTGCCACTTTCTTGTCCTGGCAAGTTGGCGTACAACACAGACTTTACTCCAGGTAGATCAATCCACTTCTCTAGAATGACGGGACCAACGGCGTGGACGACGACAATTGTGGGACCGCCACACTTAGCTGCGACCTTTTGAACCAGTTCGTCACCACCCTTCTGAGCGTAAAGATCGTTACGGTCACCCTTGATGTCTTTCCAAGCAACATAACCTTCTCCACCATCGCTGTTGATCATGACAAAACACAGATCCTGATCGGTCGCACGCGAAGAATGCTTGTCCAAGTCTTGGTAGTTTGAAGGGTAGTCTGAAAGAGTGACGCTCTCTGCATCGAATCCGAGGTGGATTCCATCAGCAGGAGAAACAAGGTAAGGGAATTCGACTGTGCCAGATCCCCAACCTTGGGCAAGAGTTCCTTCGTTGCAAGCACGGTCTGGGCAGGCGTTGGGTCCTTTGCCATTGTTGAAAGCATCTTCACCAAAGATAGCGACGCGGAGCTTGTCGCCATTCTTGGTCATCTTCTTGCCATCGCGGTTCAGGGGAAGAACATGGTCATCATTCTTCAGCAAAACAGTGCCCTCGGCGGCAATCTGGCGAGCAAGTTTGCTGTGAGCATCTTGTCCTTCGCCTTGGACGTTGACAAATTTATTGACGACTCCCTTGGTAGTGTCGTTGCTTCCAGGATGCAATAAGCCGATCTCATCGTTAGTCCATGACGAGAAGTTTGGACCGCCACCGTCCTTCTCGGCAGGCCACTTCGACTTGTCGTCTTGACCAAATTGGTACCAAGCAGCGACAACACGCAAGACCATATCGTTGAGGCGCTCCATAGGGACACTGCCGTTGAACACGGCCTTAGTCAGTTCACCACCCCATAAAGATTGACCGTCCACCCAGCGGAGACCATCACCGGGCATGCTCATGTCAAGACCAGCGAGAGCAGAAGCAACACCACTTCTCTGAGCGAGCCAGTCACTCTGCACGAAGCCTTGGAAGCCCATTTCGTCCTTGAGAATGCCGTTGAGCAGCTTGCTGTTCTGGCAAGCGTAACTCGAATTGACCTGATTGTACGAACACATGACGCTGCCAACACCAGCCTTGACACTCTCGGCAAATGGCCAAGCGTAGATCTCGTGCAGAGTTCTATCGTCAATGTTGCTGCTGATGGCGTTGGGAGTGCCCCATTCCCAGCTTTGGCGGAAGTGCTCCTGCTCGTTGGCAATGTAGTGTTTTGCTGTCGCGATAATGCCCTCTTCTTGGATACCGCGGATCATGGCAGCAGAAGCGAGACCTTGTAGAACAGGATCTGAACCAAAGCCCTCCCAGTTTCTGCCGCCAGCGGGTAAACGACCGAAAGGACCCATGCTTGGACCAAGCACGATGTGAACACCTTTGCCGTAAGCTTCACGGCCATGGGCACGACCCTTGAGATAGATCAATTCCTTGTTCCAGGTGGATCCGAGGGTGATGCCAGCAGGGAAGGCAGTGATGTTATCGGCGAACCTGAGACCAAGGGGACCGTCCTGCAAGCAGAGCGAAGGGAAGCCCAATCGTTCGACAGGACCAGTGTTTCCCACGCACATGCCCATTTCCCAGCCAGTGCCAGTGGTGATGTTTACTTTCTCGACGACAGACATCTGAGAGACCAGGGCAGCAGCCTTCTTGTACGCCTCTTCCCAAGCAGCAACGGTACCTCCTCTTGGTGAAGGGTACCAAGGATCACTCTTGCCGCCCTCAGGCTCAGTCTTGTAAACCCAGATGCCCCCAGCGCTCAACAGCAGAACCAGAGCAGCAGTGAAGAGCAGGACCATCATGCAGCACATGCGAGATGGGACCAAGTAGCGGCGCCATGTTGAGCGACGGCGCGTGACGAATACTGAGTCGGGTGCTTGCGATGTGTCGTCCTTGTATGGTTTGTTTGAGGCCTTGAGAGGATCGAGTTCGTTGATCGAGGACGAGATGGAATCGCGCGACGATGTGGTAGACAGACGGTAGTCTTCGGGATGGTCGAGCGATTGACGGGGTGACGCTCGATGCGTCAACTCGTAGCCTTGCGACATGGTTATGTGTGTAGAGTGCTAGCGTTATGACATGTGAGAAGATCGTAGAGTGAATGTCTTATGCTGCGGTATCTACAAAGATACACAGATGTAGAGAAGCATAAGATGCACCCTCGTACCTGACGAGTTACGCCATCTCTGTCGCAGTTTCACAAGCCGCATCTTGATTTATCGATTGCCCCACATCTGGGCCAGCACATTTCCTATTTGGGTAGGGGCATGCAAGCCACCCTCAAAGTCTCAAAGTCTCCGACACTCGCAGAAAAGCAGACGGACCAAAGGATGAACAATCATACAACAAGTCTTTGTTCAAACATGCAATGCGCTTCATTATTTCGATGATAACATACACAGAACACCGACCCATCACACTCGTGTTACAATTCGCCATAGCACATCATAGGTCCAGCGCAGCTTGGGCAGGTCCGATCTGTGCTGTGAATCAGCCTTCCGCTCGGGTATCAATTTGCGGCTGCTCAACGTCGTGTCTGACCCTTTCGAACGAGTGTTTCCTCTACAGCTTGGAAGCAGGAGCGGGGCTACCCACAGAAGTGATCTCGTCGTACAACAACCTGTGTAATCCGCGTTAGCAATCTTGTCCCACTCTGTATCCTTGAACGAGTGGCGCGTGTCACTTACGAAGTCAAGAACTCGTCATACTGCTCTCCAGTCACTTGTGTAGCAAAGTACTTCTCTGCAAGCTGGTACTTGTGGCCCTTTGGTGCCTTGGAACCGAGCTCTTCAGCCTGCTCGTGGAGGAGCTTGAGGGCGTACTCCTTGTTGATTGTCTGGCCTTCGGCTGTTCTTGCTTGGTGCTTGCACCACTGCCAAAGCTGACTTCTGCTGACCTCGGCAGTTGCTGCATCCTCCATCAAGAAGTTGATGGGCACGCAACCAACTCCTCTGAGCCAGCCCTCCATGTAGCCCAGACCGATGTTGAGGTTCTTTCTGATACCGTCTTCGGTGATCTTTCCAGGCACATTCATGTTGAGGAGGTCGTACTGCTTGATGTTGACGTCCAATCTGCGAATGTGGAGCTGGTTGGGTGTGGGCATGTGCTCGTTGAAGACCTCGGCAGCAATGCTGGCAAGAGCAGGGTGAGCAACCCAGGTACCGTCGTGGCCGGCCTTGACTTCACGGAGCTTGTCGGCACGGACACCGGCCATAGCCTTGTCGTTGGCCGCCTTGTCGTTCTTGATGGGGATCTGAGCGGCCATACCACCCATGGCGTGGACGCCTCTACGGTGGCAAGTCTTGATCAAAAGCTTGACATAGGCATCCATGAAGGGAGAAGTCATGGTGACAGCCGAGCGGTCAGGCAGAACAAAGTTAGGGTTCTGACGGAAACGCTTGATAACAGAGAAGATGTAGTCCCAACGACCACAGTTCAATCCTGAAGAGTGATCACGGAGCTCGTAGATGATCTGATGAAATGTTAGCCAGCCTCATGAGATGCTCTCCTAGCAGAACTCACCTCGTCCATCTCGAATGCTGCCATGATGGTCTCGATCAAGACGGTACCTCTGATGGTACCACGGGGCATGCCGATGTAGTCCTGAGCAAGGTTGAAGACATCGTTCCAAAGTCTAGCCTCAAGATGGCTCTCCATCTTGGGAAGGTAGAAGTATGGGCCAGCTCCTCTCTTCACGAGCTCCTGGGCGTTGTTGAAGAAGTAGAGACCGAAATCGAACAAACTACCTGAGATGGGCTCACCATCGACGGTGAAGTGCTTCTCCTCCAAGTGCCAACCACGAGCACGGGCAATGAGTGTTGGTAGCTTACGGTCGGTGCGGAGCTTGTACTCCTTCTCGCCAATCTTGAAGTCGACCTGCTTGCGGATGGCATCGTAGAGGTTGAGCTGACCATTGATCATGTTGTCCCAGGAAGGTGCGCTTGAATCTGAAGTTTTGTTGTTAGCAGCTTGTCCTTTTACAGATTGCTAGCTCACATACCCTCAAAGTCTGCCATATATGTCCAGACATCCGAGTTCAGGGCGTTAACAACCATCTTTCTGTCGGTAGGACCAGTAATCTCAATTCTGCGGTCGACAAGACCGGGAGCTGGCGGAGCACCTTTCCATGCATCGCTGTCGCGAATGTGCTTGGTCTCGGGAAGGAAGTCGGGAAGTTTTCCAGCGTCAAGCTCGGCCTGACGGGTCATGCGTCTTTGCAACAATTCCTTGCGAGTCTTGTTGAATGTGCGGTGGAGAAGAGCCAGGAAGACGGTGGCCTCCTTGGAGATGACCTTGCGGGTCTTGTCATTGAGAGGTCCGAGGATGTTGACCTCACGGAGGATATGCTCTTGGTTTTGTGCCATTGTTTCTTTTTGCTATTTGGAGTATAAATGTGTGTTGCACAGATGAAAAAGGAAGGTTCAGAGAAGAAAGAAGGAACGAGGAGCAGGTCCCTTAACGTATATATGTATCTGTCTTTGTATGCCGTCAGAGATAACCTTACCGAGGCTAGTGATCTAAGCTCTTCTACACCTTGTGCGCCGAGCAGAACGGCGGGCGAGGGGAGGAGCACACGAATGGTCGAGATTCGGGGAAGCTGATGTGGGGAAGTTCTTGATCGTGGTTCACGTCATCCTCTTTTCGGCAATCAACTTCTTCGCCTTCGGATCATCAATTGTGTGTCATTAATTATCTGTATACATAGTCTTTTGCTCATTTTCAAGTTGGAAAGTGCATTCGTGTCTTGGGCAGACGAATAGGTACCGCGGTCTGGCAAACAGTGCGCTCTCTTGCTCTTCACATGCCGATGCCGAGGCAGAGAAACAGTCACAGCAGAATGTCAAGCTTGCGCAAGGACCCGACACCGCTCCGTGTCTTTCCATTCCGGTACCCCGGAAAGCGCCGGGCTCGTGATAGGCATCTGAGAGATGGCTTCTTTACATGTAGCCATCGAGTCACCCTCAGGTGTTTTGATCGAGTAAAACGAACAACGCAGCTTCGTATCAACGCTCAACACTGTTTCTTGGGCTGCTTTGAAAAGTGATTATATGCTTCTATCGAGTAAAACGATGGTGCTATCTCATACCCGCAAATTTCACTTTCCTTCGCCGTCGCACGTGTTTCCTGCGAGCAAAAGAAGTTGTGTCGTCGAGGGGGTCTTGGATCAAGTCCTTCATCAATAGCACTGTCTAAACTACTGTACCTCTAGTTCACACGTCTTGGTCTCCACCTTGATCACCATCGACTTTTTGCTTTGAATGCGTACATCATATCGTATGCACAAAAGACTCCCAACTGCAACATCCAAGCGACAGCGAACTTACACCTCACCATATATGTCCCTGTCAACATACAATCCGAATCCGTCAGATGATGTGCTGATCTTGCATATTGTACGACTAACCCCCCAGCCTGAAATCATATCAGAACCAGCCGATCCTCAACATTGCAGCATCCTCTCTATCAGCAGCCCTTTAGTATGCTACGGTCTGTTCAAGAGCACCGCTCCAGACAATGCATTTTGAAATTACAGCAAGCGATGTTCCTTCGTACCGAAAAACCTCGTATCTCGACCTGCGCACGCGTCTTACGATGTCCTCGACGAGGTAATCTCTCCGCCGGTGGATGACAACTCATTCGATAGACGCTATCACGATGCACATCCACATATGACAACTTCCAATCTGAAGTTTGACAAAAACAGGCACAGAATTCATGTCGACAGCGAACTCCGTCTTGTGGCCTTGTACTTTGATCCGGCTTCTGTCGAATTGTTGTTGTCATGTCTCCGCATGACTTGCTATGTAGAAAGCCGAGTTCGGAAGCCTGCACGCAGCACGCCGAGACGTCGGCTTCTCTGGGCAAAACTTCGTGCGGAGTGAGTGTTTGTCACAGAAATTCACCGCGACTCAAAAAGTGGTCCTTCCATGCAAATTCATGTCCGTCTTCGACGTCATACGGAAACGGGCTGTAGGACGAAAAGTGGAAGACGTAAAAGCTGCAGTACGATTTGAACGAACAGAATGCTTGCCCGCCTTGCCCAGGATCTGTAAGGACACTGACTACCAAAACCTGTTGCCCGACGCCGCGAGACCAGTTCAAGGATGCAAAACTTTTCCTAAAAACGTAAAAAACTTGTACCTGCAGCATGGCACATCTTCGAGCTTTCGAACCCTAGTTTCGAGTTGAGCCCTATCTCTCCAGCGTACCGCCGCGTAACGGTCAGTGCCATGTCAAACCTATCCACCTACGTTGATCAGCAGAAGTCTTGCAATAAGTGATCCACTGATGGTCAAGTACAAGAGCTCCGAGATGCCCACTGGATCGTCATAGTCTTGTGCCTCCATTTTGAAGTTAGAATTCGAGGACCTACTGATCACATTGCACACTACCAATCTCTTCCTCCCACCAAAACATTCTTCCATTCCCTATTCCATCAGCTTCCTCCTGATCTCCTACAACGGCATTGATCCTTGATTGGTTCTAGTGCTCCTTCCCTGCTTCTGATAATACCCGACACACTTTGCATCTTTTGACAGAGTCGAGCAACGAAACATTGTCTTCTTGACTGCTCAGATCCGATTCGAGCTGTGCGTTACGTGCGTGTCAGGCATCTTCAACATCGAGTCATCTGCCCAAGCAACATCTCTCGCCAAAGCAACATCATTCGCCATAAGTCGTACACACTACCAAAGCGGCATCCTTTCGATCGATCACGCATTGAGACAAGCGGTCACCCAAGGACCATCGAGCGCACCAAAGCGCCAAACCCTTTGCGACGTAATATTCTGCAATACCATCCGTGTTCAGCTTCAAATACTTCGACATGGCCGATGGCAAAATCGCCAAAAGCGACACTATGTTGCAAAGTAACGCTTCGTCTAGCGAATTGGCTGGCTCATTAAGCTCCGATGGTATACGAAATTCTACTGTAGGACAAAGTCATGACCTAAAAAGAAACTATTCGCTTTGGTCGATCCTAGGAGCTGGTTTCTCGCTCACGAACTCTTGGGTTAGTTCACGACATACACAATTGTCTCCTTGGGGCTAACGTACTACAGTTTGGTGTTTCTATTGCAATGGTTACAGGAATCAACTCTGGCGGGCCGGTCTTGCTAGTTTACGGCATCATTATTGTAATGCTGGTTAGCATATGCGTTGGTGTCAGTCTGAGTGAACTTGCTAGTGCACTCCCCAATGCAGGTAAGATCCAACACATGCCTTCGACATATCTCGCAGGCATCTGAACCATGTTCTAACATACTACCAGGCGGGCAGTACTTTTGGGCCGCACAGTTATCGTCAAGAAAGTACGCTAGGTTCTCTAGTTATCTTACCGGCTGGTTCTCGTGGGCTGGAGCCATTTTCTCATGCACATCAACCACTGTTGGAGTCGCAAGTGGGCTAGTCGGTTGCTGGCAGCTCTCTCATCCCCACTACGTCGTCAAGGACTACCATGTCTTCGCGACTTACCTCATCCTCACATGGGTTTGCTTCTTGTTCAATTGCTACGGAAAGATTCTGCCTGCAGTTGCAACTACTGGTCTATATTGCTCCTTGATCTCCTTTGTCGTAATCTTGGCTACTGTACCTGCAACAGCACCCAGCCATCAGAGTCCCAAATTTGTATTCGCGACTTTCATCAACAACACTGGTTGGTCCAACGCCGGTATCGCCTTCATAACTGGACTGATCAACGCCAACTGGGCATTTGCCTGTCTCGATTGTGCGACTCATCTTGCGGAAGAAGTTCATCAGCCTGAGCGTATGATTCCAATTGCAATCATGGGAACCGTCGCTATTGGATTTGTTACGAGCTGGTGCTTCGTTGTATCCATGCTGTTCAGCATCATCGGTGATTTCCAGGATGTCGCCAATAGTTTGACAGGAGTCCCTATCCTCCAGCTTTTCTACAACGCTTTGGACAACACCGCTGGAGCCATTGTTCTCGAAGTCTTGATCATCTGCACAGGTTTGGGTTGTGTGATTGCTGGACATACCTGGCAAAGTCGCCTCTGTTTCTCGTTCGCTAGAGATTCTGGAGTACCAGGCCATAAGTGGCTTCAACAGATTGATCCTCGGCTGGACGTTCCGCTCAACGCACACTTCACTAGTTGCGTTATTGTCACGATTGTAGGCTGCATGTACCTAGCATCTACAGCCGCATTCAACGCGATGTCTAGTGCATGTATCGTCTTGCTCTACATCTCCTATGCCATCCCCGTCATCTGTCTTCTGTTCAGAGGCAGAGAAAAATCACTTACTGGGTCCTTCAACCTGGGAGTGTTCGGACTCATCTCCAACTACGTTCTACTTGCGTGGACGGTATTCACATTAGTCTTATACTCGTTCCCGTCATACATGCCCGCAACTGCAGGAAACATGAACTATGTCTGTGTCGTATACGCAATCGTATTGTTCATCATCGCAGTCGATTGGTCTTGCCGAGGCAGGAAGCATTACAGAGGACAGGATGAAGGACAAGTCGATATCGGACACAACGATATTGTGAAAGCAGGCCCGGCAGAACCGTAGCTGCATCGGTCTTCTTTCCTTACTCGCAGCACGACTCGTGTAGACACTTTCAATCGAAACGTTCCATTCGCTAAAGTTTGACACTTACGTCGCCCTCGAAACCCGCTGTTTCTTTTCTAACCAGAGTTTTGTCCATTGAAGGCACTTTCATTTAACCGCTGTCGCCGTGCATGATCTTCTTCTCGTCTTGCCTCGTATAAAATTCTCAACTCTTCTACGATTGCATGATGTGCATCGCGATGAGATTGATCACCACACAAGTACCTGGTACTTCGTGTACAAGGTTTTTCCGGAAATGTTCTTTGAGCATTCCCGGGCTTTCAAAGCCTCGAGGTGCGCCAATGAAAAGACACAAGCATTTCCCCACTCGGTCGGCTTTGCGTTTTAAGCTGTGCCGTTCGAATCTTGTGCACGCTTGTCAGAAGTTTCCAAGCCTCTCAAGCCTTTTTCCAGCCTCTTCCGTGATCCGTCCTGCCTGAGCGCAGGATCAGGAAGACATCACTCCAGAGAGCCTTGAGGCTCATCTTTCAAGTAACAGTATCGTGACATTGGAAATCGCAAAGACGGATTCAGCGCTGTCAAGAGCTCTCATAGTGTTGGGCCTGACCGGGTTGAAGCGGTCTCGCGACATTGAAAACGTTACCTCGACAAACTCGCGTGGTGCACGGCTTGAAGTGGTCGCAAACATGATCCGAGTTCCGGTTCAAACTCGTCTTCGACCACTCAGGCGGCAGTAAATAATGAAGCACCTCGTCATATCTACAGTCGGACCGAAAGCATGCCCTCACCGGTGGGCACACCATTCCTGAAAGGACCTTGAAGCGGATCTCTGATTCGGACCTTTTCAACAACCCTTACATGATTCCTGCAAGGTTTGAAGCAATTCTGGGGCAGTTCTCCATGGAGCTGGAGAGTTGGAGACCGCCTGCCTCCACCTTCGCCAGTATCTGCCCACGGAGAGCGGATCGGCTACGATGCACGAGCGTCCCCATGGCTCTTCTCCACTTTCATGGAGCATACATAAGGGTGGAGGGGCACCCATTCGTTGTAGAGTTTCCTTTCTGACGCATTTCTTTCCTCCTCCTCTTTATCTATCACCAAAAGTACTCGTGCATCAACATGGGTAAGGGTGTCAAGGGTGCCGCCTCTGGCGAGCAACATGAGAACATCGAGATGTTCGAGCCTGCTCAGGGAAGCTACATGGACCGCCGCGATATGACAAAGGATCAGATGGAAGATGCTGTCCGCACTGGCAGCGTTCCTCACGTCAACACCAACGAGGCCATCGACATTGCGAAGAACGGTGGCTGGGAAGTCGACGCCCTCATGACAGAGATGCAGAATGAAATCGACTCTCAAGGTGGAGATGGCTACGGCCATTTCGATCTCCAATTCAAGAACCCCAAGCATTTCACCTGGCTCATCGTGGCATTTGCTTCCATGGGTGGTATGCTTTCTGGTCTCGATCAATCGCTTATTTCTGGTGCCAACCTTTTCCTTCCCAAGGATCTTGGTCTCAATGATCGCCAGAACAGTCTGGTCAACTCCTCTATGTCTCTCGGAGCTGTCGGTGGTGCCTTCCTTCTTTCTCCTGCTAACGAATACCTTGGACGTCGCTGGGCTATCATCTTCTCTTGTCTTCTCTACACCGTCGGTGGTGCTCTCGAAGCTGCCGCCCAGGACTACGGTATGATCATTGCTGCGCGGCTGATCCTTGGCCTGGGTGTCGGACTTGAGGGAGGAACTGGTCAGTAATTCTCACGCTATGATATCGATATACCACTGATATAAAAAAAATTTAGTGCCCGTGTACGTAGCAGAGACTGTCGAGAGAAGACTCCGCGGTAACATGGTCTCTCTTTACCAGTTTGCCATTGCCTTCGGTGAAGTTCTTGGCTATGCGGTTGCTGCCATGTTCATCACTGTAAGTTCTCTTTCGAAGCAAAGCCTTCCAAATCCAACAACAAAGAGCTTGCTGCTAACCCTAATCAGGTTCCTGGCAACTGGAGATACATCCTTGGCAGCTCGTTGCTCTTCTCTACTATCATGGGTATTGGTATGCTTTATATGCCCGAGTCGCCTCGCTACCTCATGCACAAAGGAAAGCCCGTGGAAGCCTTCAAGGTCTGGAAACGCATTCGCGGTATCGAGTCCCTGGACTCTCGTGAGGAGTTCTATGTCATGAAGATGTCTCAAGAGCAGGAAGATGAAGAAATCGCCAATGGTCGTGGAAACTCAAAATACCCCTGGTTGGATCTTCTCACAGAGCCTCGCGCACGTCGCGCCTTTGTCTATGCCAACATGATGATTATGCTCGGACAGATGACCGGAATCAACGCAATCACATACTTCATGAGTACCCTGATGGAGCGTCTTGGATTCGACAAATACCAGGCCAACTACATGTCCCTCGTTGGTGGTGGTTCGCTTCTGATCGGCACCATCCCTGCCGTTTTGTACATGGAGAAATGCGGTCGTCGCTTCTGGGCTTGCGCAACACTTCCCGTCTTCTTTGTTGGTTTGATCATCGCTGGTGTATCTCAGTACTGTGGCGGCCAAAATGCCCAAATGGGTGTCTACCTCACCGGTCTCGTCATTTACGAGATCTTCTTCGGTAATGATGCTTTTGAATTAAAAGGGTGATCAAATACTAATGAATGCACAGGAACCTACGCCTGTTTGACCTGGGTCATTCCCGCTGAATCTTATCCCACTTATCTGAGATCATACGGAATGACTACTTCGTACGTAACCGTTTAAACCAGACACTCAATGACCCGCTAACCTGATTCAGGGATGCCTTGCTGTTCCTTTTCTCATTCATCGTGACCTACAACTTCACCGCGATGCAAAACGCCTTTACAAACATTGGTCTTACTGCTGGATTCTACGGAGGAATCGCCTTCGTCGGGTGAATATTGACTGACTATCTAACTCCATGAGAAAATCCGCTAACTGATTCCCCTCAACAGATGGTTCTACCAACTTTTCTTTATGCCCGAGACAAAGGATAAGACACTCGAGGAGATCGACCTTATCTTCTCTCAGCCCACCAGCAAGCTTGTGGCCCAAAACTGGAAGAACATCAAGGAAACCACCAACGATCTGCTCCGTTTCAGATTCAAGAAGGTCTTCATCGATGCACACAAGATGCCCGCAGTCGACTTCAGCCAAGGCAAGCAAGACCTTGGTCATCAGGCATAAGCTTGAGGATGCTGCCTACAGATTGAGGCTGGATTTCCTCAATCTTGTATAGGATTCGAAACATATCAAGAGGTGACGTTAAGATTAAAAAGAAGGATGTGCTCTTGGCATGATTGAATTGCCAAGGCTCAGGAATAGATACTTGTACATGACCATAATAATGTGAGCTTACGATTTCAAAGCGGACTTCATTTTTTGTCTGGGCCATCTTGTATATCAGAGACTATTTCAGCGTGGGAACTTTCTCAGTCTATCTCTGTGGCCACCCCTCTATTCAGAGAGTAACTGTGCATTTCTATAGCTGACAATTCTGCCATGGCTCACGATGGGAGAGACAGCGTGACAGCCTGAGGCAGGAACCCTGCCAAGAAGCCACTGCTGTGTGGACGCCATGTCTTCTCTGCAACAATCTTGTTCCTTCCCACGCACGACACCGCCCTCGTAACTCGTAAAGCTGCCCCAGACAGTATCAAGCTATTAACACATTCAACACCATGATGCCATTGAACATCGCGGAGCTCGGTCGTTGCCAAGGCAGGTATTGCGTGACCGTATACAAAGCGAGAGGATCGTCCTGGACGCCTTCCGAACTCAGTCGCAAAGGATTTACTATACACTTGGCTTGACAGCATCAAGGTATTGGCATTCCTCCAGGAGGTCAGAATCCGGATTCACACCACAGTATAACTGAACACTGTTCCTGAAGCCATGCAGCGTCATAACTCATACGGCCGCAGGTAGAGCACGAGGCCATGAGATAGTATGCATATAAGCAATGACTTGGCTCTCCGTTCTTCATAACCTCCTTGCTCTACCTCAACATCTTTCCAAACCACGTTAAGATACGCAATGCTTGCTACACAACTCATTTTGGCCTTAGTGCTGGCTTCATCTCAACATGCCCTAGCAAAATCCTGCTCCCAGTTTGAGGTCATCAACAGATTCAACGATTCTACCTACACAGCGACCGACGGCTCCCGAGTCATCAGCAAGGGCGCCAATTGTCCTCCTACAGACGGATGTTCGGTTCCTTACGGCGGCTACGTGACTACTGGGCGCACCCTCAACATCTCAGACCCAAGCTACGCCGACTCGGTCTACAAAACCATCTCCTCGGCCGTTGACCTTGAGTTTGTAGAAGCAAAAACCTATCCAGTGTCCAACGGGACGGAGAAATTCGAAAACGGCGCATCGGGCTATGTCATATTCACACCTTATACCATCTGTACCACTGGAACACTCTCCAGCTGCGATGCAGATGGGCTTTATGGAGAGATTGTGGAGGCTTGTACACCGGATCTCCGTGATGGCAAAATCACCGGTGACATAGGTCCAGTCATCAGCGTTGGAGGTGGTCTTGAGAAGTTGACTTGCAACCCCTCCAACACGACGCAGGCGAAGAATGGAAACTATTCTGCTTCTTGCACTGGGTCTGACGCCGAAGCCGACCATACTGGAACTGCTAATCCGTTGGGCGGAGTATCGCTATTGCTCCTATCTGGTTCGCTGCTGGTGGCCTTTATTGGTTTCTAGTCTGCTTGACACTGCCTCTCGTGCGCTAAGAATTGTTGGAGTTCAGCCATAGATATGCACGATATTTTGCAACAATTTGTGGTCTCCACAGAAAATCTCTCCGAAGGTTATCTCCATGGACAAGCTCATGTTCAAATCGCGACTATGCATTGCGATAGCCTGTGTTTATCCTCATACCTCGGGATGGGAAGGGAACCGATTTCAAGATTGTGACGATCTTTGGCAGGATACACGGTGACCCAGTCTGCTTCTATGTCAGGGTCATACCTTCAACCATACCTGTGAGGTCCGACGACGATATCTCACACCAACGAAGGGTGCCTCATGATACCTTACTTGATGACTATGTTTTCCTGGGGATTTGAATCATTCCCGTATGTCTTTAGGTTATGTTGCATGCTTATTCACCGTAGAACAACCCAATATTGTTTTATCATCGTGATATTTTGAAACCCTTACCACAGCTGCGTAGGATGCCTGCAACGTTATTGACTCAACACGTGAACCCCTCATGTTCGTATATAGTATGATGACCCGAATGAAGTACTTGGGGATGTTGAGAGACAAACTCTCATTACGCGTAGGCTTACTGGTGCCATATGAGTCCCAGGTCAACCAGGGAAGCTCTTTCTACAACGGCATGTGACATTCTAGGCCACAGAGATGCACAATACTTCTGAAGAATGGCTCGTGTGCGTGGAAGACAGCTTCTCACACATGTGTTCAGGGTCAAACTTCAGATTTACATTGTAGTGTGCACTCAATAGCTAAACCGTGAGTGTCTTCAGAAAATGGAGAGGCAAGGGGTTTATGGAGAGTCATCGATGGACGTCCAGGCACAGGTGAGCGACGACAATGTGTAGATAGTAGACATCTTGGCTATGGACCATTGACTATCGAACGATCGAAACGCCTCTGGAAAAGTGATATACCAAGAATGATCAATGTGGTTTGAAGCTTGTAAACAGTGCTTCCCGGAATGCTTCTGTCTTTTGTTTGTTGACTTTGAACTTCTCATTGCAGAGTTCAACCAAGACACGCATGTATGCCTCTGTGACCATGGGTATCAGCTTACCATCATCGGCCTCATAGCCGATAACACTGTCGAAAGCAAGGTCGGTGTTTCGGATTGCAACCATAGCAGTCGATGCTCGAAGATTGTCGGTTGATATGCTTGATATACCACTTTCTCTGAACCCAGACTGCAATGCTGCCGTGTCTAGTTTCTGCGCGCTCTCAAGTGATGCGCACAGTATGCGTAAGCACTGCCTTGTCAATTAACCTCGGGCTGACGTTCCATTTGAAGCAGAACTCAAGAGCAGACTGAGATAAAGCAAAGTTGGAGAAGAGGTTGGGTTAACAAGACACGAAGATGTTACCTACCATGGGTTCAAACTTGCATCTCACCCATCTGACGCCTTCGATAGACGGGGGAACGCCGAGGTTGGTATGATCGGCGAGCCCCAACATGGGAGCCACAAGACTCTTCCCTGAGAGGGGCAATGGGTCGTGCGCAACGAAAAGGGACTGTCCGTTATTGTCATCAGCAGCGATAGAGGCGCCAGAGATTCGCGCATGATCTTCCAGATTCGAGCGCGGAGAGGTCGAACTCCTGCCTTCCAGATACACAACAATGCGGCCAGCACAGCTATTTGTCGTTACAAGGGTTTCTATCTCATTGATCTCATCTACTAGCTTTCGAATGCCGACGTCTATGGGTGAGATGTTATTCAGGGCGTCGGGCGCTGTAAGTCGCAAGAGTTCCGTCTTCTGCGTCGCAAAATGCGATGACATCGCAAAGAGGTTCCTCATAGCAGCGATCACAAGTGAGACGTGGCTCCGTTCCGGTTATATTCAAAGCTCGATGTGTTGAAAAGCAGTCGATCAATGGACGGAAAGTCAGCAAGATGTGATGAGATGCGATGCAATGTTCGGAATACAGCTCATGATGTCATTTGGAATGTGATGCTTACGCGATGCTGACAGTTTTTGTTGTCGCGCGGATACGAAGTTGGGACACACGGACAAAGTACACTGGCCTTCATCGCACTTTCTTAAATTGATCAAAGTCTGGTTCGGTGATTTTTTAGCTACGGGACTGGTGTCTCAACATCTACAAAGCACCAGGATTCACTGGACCCTCATCCCCACTTGGAAGGAACCACTCCTGGGAATCTAAACAAACGACACGCAATATGGCACGCAAGTCAAAAAAGGCGCTTGACGAGAACGAAGCGACGGTCCCAAACAATGGGGATCGCAAGAGAAAGCAGGAACCTGTTCGAAGTGCTCGAAAAGCTGCTACCAAGAGCAAATATTTCGAATCAGAAACTGAGAGCGACTCTGAAGTGGAGGAAGCCCCTGGAGATGGATCATCCAGTGCTGTGGTAGAATCCGAAGATGAATCTGATATCTCAGAGGCGTTGTCCGAAGATGAAAAGCGCCCAAAGAAGCGAAGAGCACCAGCATCTTCAAAGGCAGCCGAATCTGCTTCTACCTCAGGCGAGAAGGGCAAAGAGCTTTGGCGTCAAGGTGTCAGCACTGGACTTGCTCCTGGAACCCAGATCATCATCAAGAAGCCAAAGCCTAGAACGCCAGGAAACACTCCCTACTCTGATACTACGATTCATCCTAACACTATGCTGTTCCTCAAGGACCTCAAAGCGAACAATGACCGAGAATGGCTCAAAAGTAAGTTTTTGCGCGATCCAGACCACCACGCACCCTACTCCGTGTCAATGTCAAGGTTCTTAGTGAAGGATGTTATATCTCCACATCGCCATCTCGTTGTGGGCAACCGCCAATACTCGCTTGTTCATCTCCTCATAACGACTGCGATGTTCAACACAATCCTTGACATTGCAGCACAACCACGAGACTACCTGTTCTCGGCCGAAAGAAATTTGAATCGGCTGATTGCAAGTGTTGTTGGTTCGCTTTGCAGCTCGAACATTTGTGCAGTAGCTTGCAGCCAGATCATCCAAAGGACGTTCGTTGGTTCTCGCCATTACTCCACAACCGACCACCCGCTCGAGCGCCTAATCACACCGCTCCCTGAATCGCGCCCCCATCCATCACGCATGGATGGGATCACTCTTTTTGACGTGATTGAAAGCACTTGACTGACTCGTGACCGCTTTTGCAGTGTATGACGCCGATTACCGCTCAAGTCTGAAAGACTGGAACTCGTTTGTGGAGTCTTTGACGGAAGAACTTACCAAGATTGACGACACTATCCCTGAACTGCCACTGAAGGATGTGGTCAGTAATGCTCACAATATGACATCGATATACCACTGACATAGATCTCGATGAGCAGGTCTTTCGTATCTACAGAGATATACGATTCAGTAAAGATCCTACGCCTTACAAAGTGAGTACCAGAAGACTTTCGGCCGCAAGGAATCCTGCAGGCAGCAGCATCAAGGTGGCCCATGTCGTCCACTGTGACGCTAATACTAACGCATTGACCTCACATAGCCATATTTCTCCGCCGCCTGGTTAGTTCATCACGCGTGAGCAGGAGGATCAATAACACGACACTGACCAAGATATCACGAAACGTCTAGGAGCCGAACGGGCCGCAAAGGACCATATGCTGCCTACTATGTTCAAATTAGTCCGAACGACAGCTTCGTTGGTGAGTTCTATGATTTCTATTGGCATCCTTGATTTTCTTTTTCTCCATATGGCGCTTGTCGGACTGGTGCGGCTGTGGCTTGCTCAATCTACTCGAGGGTCCTTCCCGCTCCCGGCACGATACCGCTCTTAGCCGATGCCCGCGCTCCCGAGGAACATTGATCGTGAAGTTCTCGAGCACAACAGCAATCACCTGGGCTCAAGCCGTGTACGATGAGATCGTAACTCGATCGGCTAGCCCCGGCTTGACCTTCACGATGGCCCGGCGACATGTTTCATGCGCTAGAGTTAATCGCTCCCGCCAGAGCCTTTCCTGCAAGAGGCCTGGTAACAGGTCTGTCTGTCTGAACGCATAATGATCTGGCATTGATGTGGTCTTTTCTGAGAAGTGACAATCTCCTCTGCACTCTCAGCGGGTATAACTCGGATCTAGAGAAGACTATGCCTTGTTGCAGCAGCGACAACGAGTCCTACCACATCTCGACGGAAGTCCGACCTAGGTGATGCATGACCGTATCTGAGAGCGGATCTCCGTCGAGACACATTGATTGAGGTGTCCAATGGTCCTGTTCCCAGACGGACGATGTTGTTCCCATGCTCTTGTACTTGCTTTAATGTAGAGACAGTGAGATAAGTTCGAGGCTGCCATTGTGCTTGCATCGACAATCTCTTTCTTCGCATGGGAGGACATAACTGGGTCGACACTTAGGGTGTATGGGTTTTTGGAACGACGGTGCGAATGGATGATGATTACAAGACGGTCAAGCGGTGCCTGCAGCAGTGGTCAACATCGCTGTTTCGTTCTACTCATCCATTGCACATCCTCTTGCTGCTGTTCTGAGTTGAATCAGGAACAAAACCTCGCTGCCTTGTTCGGAAGGGTTCGAGATTGGGCGAGGCGAGGTCGATCGCAGGCGCGTCAAAGATTGAGTGTTGAGCTCCTTTGCTGGCCACAAGCTCTCTGCAGTAGATAGAGAATCTTCTTTGTACTGAAACTGACTCTTGACTCTGTAGGTGGAGGCTACTGGTCTCCAGATGCCAGGGCCCTAGCAGCTCTTCGCACTACCATCGACGAGAATCCGCAGCGGCTGAAGGATGTCTTGATGAACGACAAGATGCGAGCCGAGTTCCTCTCGGGGAGTTCGAAGAAGACAGCTGTGAAGTCTTTCGTCAAGACGAACGCAGAAACTGCGCTGAAGACTAAGCCAAAGGTAAGCAGCCAACCTCTCCTTGTTCCACTCCCTACATAGATCGTGCATGTCCTCAACCAGTGGTTGAAGGCAAAGACTATCGCGCCAATGCTCCAGTCTTGCTTGCGTCAGCAAATAGGTCATCCATGGAGGATACCCTGCGCTCAGCCCTCTCGGGAGCTCCGTGGCTGGCAACCCTGACGACAAGCCCCCTGGACGAGTCTAGGAGGAAGCGAATCTGTTGCTCCTGCGAATCGTGCATCTCTAAACGGCAACGAGCATCAAAATCCTGGTCAGCCGAAGACTTGATTGCAGAGGAAAAAAGAAGCAAAGTTGATCAGTCATCCCTGCTGGACTGTGAAGAATGCAAATCGTCACAGCCTCGCAGGTGATAGCTTAGGAACCTCCGGTCCATGCTTCCTGCCGGACGGGTAAGGGTTCTTCGCTACTACATTACTCCCGCTCGGGCTGGAGCGTCCCGCGTTGCCTCTTGCTTCAGACACAACGTCAAGATGAACAAAGGAGATGATGATTAACCCCTAGCTCGACCCGAGGGACAACAGGTACGTATTGCAGATGCTTACCCTACTCATCCAACACGGTTAATATCTTTTCACTTACCTTTCATCTCTTGCAGACGCCTAGCGACACATGCCGAGATGGCGAGCAAGACTCGTGAAGTGGTTGTTCTTTGGTAGACTAGTCGGTTGGAACCCGCTAGTCAAACCTACCTCGATCCCATGTGCCTCATGGCATGAGCGCCAAAATTAATGAGGATGGTTCATGACGGGCTGGTCACACAAAGTGTCATACACATGCGAAACAGAGATTGGAAACTGACCCTTCTTCATGTGCTAGGGCTACGACAGTGGTCATCCGGACATTGATCTTCTACGCCTCAGACGCTTCACAGTCGGTACCAAGTTGACTGACGCTGAGATCCTCGACGCGCAAGTCCTGCGCCGAATTGCGGACCTGTTCTCGGCGTTGCACCCGTTTGTGAGTTTGTTTTCTGTTTCCTTGCCCTGCCTCAATATCTTTGTGAGGAAAATGTCGCGTTCGTGAACCATGGTACTCGAATCGCACCGTCTCTTGACTATACGATGATAGGGGCTGAACGGACCTTTTATGGTTGCGAGTCAGTATCCACAAAATGTCAACCGTCCGGCCCGCGGTACGGTGCGTGGTCTGTTTTGGGGTTTAGTCTCTACGGAGCAAACCCATGGAAACCTTCTTCGCCCAATGCCAATATCCCTACTAGCCAACCATGGATCTTCAGAAATGCGATGGCTGATGGTAGTTCAATCCCAGGTCGCTTGTTTGAACCGTATCGTTCTTCCGGACCCGGACGATGAAGATGGCGAGGATGAGGATGATGAAGACGACCAGGAAGAAGAAGCCGAGGGTGACCAGGAGGAGGAGTCTGGAGCAGAGACTTCCGACACCTAGGGAGTAAGGTGCGAAATTGGTGCATGTTTGTCAAGGTGTAGAGCGAATTCAGAGCAGTGCCGTTGCAACGGGCAAGAGCTTCCAGCATTCATGCAAATTCTCTGATCACTTTAGCAGGCAGCAGCGATTAACAAATCGCCGACTGCCACGAAATGTATCATTTTTCAATATTCGCTGCGTGATATTCTGCTTTCATCTACTCGCATTCTGCAGCACTTGTCGTCTGTGACAGGTCGATGTTGAACTTTCAAGAAGAATGTGCCAGCGCATCAAGGCTTCGCATAACTTATGATTGGTCTCTTACATACTTTAAAGCGTGCATTGTGCATAGGGAACCCGCATGAGATTTCAATCACCTGACGACGCACCATGCGCTTTTAGGCCTAGAGCCCCCACGGTACATGCGCGCGCTGGGCCATCTTTTCAGGTTGCTTTACGTCTGTGCTACCCATGCTCGGGTGTGGTTCAAGATTAGCAGGGTAGATGGTTGGGTAGAGACAGGGAAGGACGGCAGAACCTGTATGAGGTTCGACCACGATTGATACAAAGTGCAGCAGCTCCCAGGTCCGGGCAGGGAATGCTGGGCTGCAGGACGTGGCTGTCGCAGTGTCGAGCTTGCGCGGCAAAAGCCTGTTCAGTGTTACGACTTACGAATGATCTGTTCGTGTCGCTCCATCTTTTTGTCATTGACCGAATTTGGACGATCAAGGTTGAACGGACGGTCCTCGTTCGATCCGCACCGCCTCCCAGCGTACCGTACCTTATGTTCATCGTTCGTTTGCAAGGCTCAGGCGCGGGTTGCAGCGAGCTTCTCGAAACAGACGATTGCGATCGACCATCCGGGAGGCCGCGGACGGGTCAACGTTACCGACAGATTACAGGTCTCTGTGAGATCGCGTTGTCTCTGCCTTGTCTTGTGTTGTTTCATTTTGTAGAGACAAAACACATCGTCCAATGTTTCTCGTTTAGTCCGGCTTTGTCCAACTCCGGAACGGACCGCTGTCGGTAAGAGGGGTAGGCCTGACGAGGGGGTGCATACAATCCGCACATATGACTGCATCGTAAACAAGCGAAATTCAGGGCTTGTAATCTGACATGCTGGTCGGCATTCTCTATTAGGAGCCATGTTGCGAAAGAGTAGGACGCTTAGAGTTGTGCCCAAGTCCTTACCGAATCTCAATATAGCGGTGTCGCATCCGACTATCGTAAGACTGCATGAAATGGAGCTGCGTCGGAAGCAAAATAGGGTGTGTTTAACTAACTTTCCTGATCATGCAGGCTCCGTCTTTATCGCGAAGATGCATCTGCCCGGCCCGCCACTCCACATGCTGTACGCTGCATGGCATTTCAGCGATGGCCAGGACGCAAGGAGATGAACGAGGGAAGATAGCGTGATGTGATTCGAATGCCATGCATTTGCGCTTCGTCCCGGGCCTTCTCTGAGACTGAAACCTTGTACGGACCCCTTTGCATACCGCTTCGTCTTGGATGGTTGATAGATCAGAATTTCTCGTTGCGTACCGCTGATGTAATTGGAGATGTTTTGATAGAAATAGAGAGCGTTGGAATAGTCTCCTCCATGAGCACTCGACCAAGTCCCTTTCCTTCGCAAAAGTTCATGACGTGCTGCTTCTCTGAAGCAAGACAGCGCCCAGAAGACTCCTTTTCTGTGGCTCCATTGGTAGAGTTCTACCCAAAAAGGACGAGAACAGCCCAGACGAGGCAAGCACCACGTCTGAGTGTCGACTAAACCAAGCAAGCGCACCCTCAGTCTCACTCCCTTGATTGCAGTCGTTGAAACGGTGGGATCTTGAACATCATCCTAGCGGCGAGTAACTCTCGGGGCGCCGCATGAGCCAGCGGGAGGACGGTTTGGACTAAGGTAAGTGTCCCGTACGCACGTGTCCGTCTCAGACATGGACGACCTTGTCTTTCCGTAATCACCATTTGACAAGGCGCAAACTGACTCGAAGGGAGGGTAGAGCATGGAGTGGTGGTCTGATACAGTCATCAATCTTTATTGAGCAAATTGCGAAAGTCACCGGTCAAGCGAAACGACAGGCGGAGTGACAAGCGGCGGCCGCAACAAGAGTGACTCGCCAGAGCGGTCAGCAGGAAAGATCGCCCCTAAGCGCGTCAAACAGACGCGCGCACACGCCGGAGCCGCTGACGGAGCAGATTTTGGCGAGGCTCGCACCGTCACAAACGGCGAACGGTGGCTTTCACCCTAAACGCAGATCATTGCATTCCTCGAGATCCTGCTTGGTCAGAGAGTTCGTGCTGTCGCGTGGCAAGCCGAGGGTCAAGCCTGCAGAAGCACTCGGACCAGGCAGAGCAAGTTGCTGATTTAGCGCTCCTACACAGGACGGCGACCACAGTTCGAGTCTACTTTGAGCTAAGGAGCAGCTTAGCAGGATCGATCAAGGCCTCTCTTCCGTGGCACGTCCAAATCTCGCTTTGCCCTGCCCTGCCGGTAGTAGTATTTGTCTTCTGACCGACCGCCTGCACGCTCAAGTGGAGTCTACCACCAAAACAACGTTTCGATCACGGCACGGCTCTCTGCGCACTGAGTGGCAGCGTCCGTGAAGCTAAAGCTGTGCTCCGACACGGCGTGGCTGCCTTGACCCGCGCAAGCTGGCTGATCGACAGGATTGTTTATTGCGTACAAATTTGTTTGCGCTAGAGCCGCGCATGCCCTGATGTTTGTGAGATTGAGGTGTTTAGCGAAGCAGCAGACACAGAGTGGCCACACGAGGAGCTTGTTCAAGCTCACATCGATAACTTCCAGACTGGGTCGTGGGTGCGCAGGGTGGCCACGAGCCAGTGGTGTTGGAGGAGTGTCGCAACAGGCGCTCGGACATCTGACAAAATATTGGATTCTCAAAAAGCATCCACAAACTCACGGACACACTACCCGTCCGCGTTTCTCGCTAACCAGAGAGCGCCCCGGGCCTATCCACAATCCCGTCTGAGACCAGTAACGCCCTCAACCAACCAAATACGACCGCTTCGACAGCCGGTCGCCATTTGCACCTGAAATAGCGGCAGGAACCCCACCATCTGTTCCTTGGACATTTCCGTGCCTGTGTGTCGGATTCACATCGTTTCTTTCTACCGCTCCTTCTGCCGCCCCTAGAAGCGCGCTTGAGGTCATTTGGTCCATTTTCTGTGTACAAGACAGGCTGCACACCCGCACCCGCAACATCTCTCCGTTGCTGCGCGCAAGACTCACAACTGCTGCTCTTTGAAGAGACCGTCGCAGATTCTGCTGCAGCTGTCACCCGACGCCGCTGTCTTGCCTTGAGTGCCGTTGATCCTGCAGCTCGCCTGCGGCCCGCGCCTTCCTTGTGCAACTACGACGTAGCTGCCACATCCCACATCCCACGCCAGCCGACGTGCATACTCGGCTACTGCTGTTCGACAAATCTCAGCAAAGCGCATTAGTCGCTGGCTCCCCGCCTATATTTATTTTGATATGTACCCAAATCCCGGTCCCCAGGCTGCTTGGACGCCAAATACCAATGGTCAGCCGCCGCAGCAACAACCACAACCTCCTCACCCTCAACATCCCAATCAACACCCTCAGCAGCTGCAACAACCTTTGCAACACCAGCAACCTCCCCCGCCTCCACCTTCCACCTCTGCCCCTCCACAACATCAGCAGCAGTGGGCACAACCACCTCCAACCCACCCCAACGCCCAGTATCCTCAACAGCGTCATCCCACTCAGGTATGTCGAGTCGCACAACGCAAACACTCTCGCGTGACACTGACCTTTCTCCTATCCAGATTCCTCCCATCAGTCAGGCATTGCCCCAAGGAGGACCTCCAAACATGACCACTCTTCAGCCTTCTCATCCAGACCACTACCGTTCGCTGCCACCACCTCCGATGTATGGGCACGCTCCACCAGGTCACTACCAGCAGCCTCTACCCTACCCTCCTCAACCTGCTCCCCGCCAAAGAACAGCTATCGCATGTCGCTACTGCCGGCGTAGAAAGGTATGTCCTCTTGAAACATAACTCGTTAGTACTCACCTAACCTGAACCAGATTCGATGCTCTGGGTTTGATCAGTCCGAAGATGGTCGTTGCACAAACTGCCAGCGATTCTCGCAGGAGTGTGTCTTTACGCCTGTCTCGGCGCAATCGCAGGCCTTTGTCCCTGCGCATACCGTCTGGAGACAGCAGGGTGCACCTCCACAGCAACTCTACGGAGCTTATGGCCAGCCGCTGCCTCCTCAGCAACACGCGGCTCGCGATCCTTATCCTCCGCCGCAACATGCCTACCCTCCTCCTCAGGGCTACCCTCAAGGTCCACCAGTCTACGCGATGCCTCCAAGTCATGTCCCTCAAGGACCCCCTCCTGCTCACGTAGCACCTCCTCAACCCACTGGAACACCCAACCCTGCCCAGGAAGCTGGTCGCAAGCGCCCTAACGAAGAGCCACACACGCCAACTCTCCCACCACCAAACCCTGCTCAGGCCGCTCAACTTCCCCAACAAGGACCTCCTCCACCCCATGCTCAGCCTCAGTACACTTACCCTGATCCTACTGTCTTGACACCCGCAGCTGGCTCTCCTGCTTCTTCCAACACTTCGTTCCAATCCGCTCAACCTCATGCTCAGCCGTACTTTGCGCATGCACCCGCACGCAAACCATCTCCTCAGCAAAACAACTACGCGTATGAGCAGCCTCGTGCTTCCCACTCACCACACGCTCACGCCGCCTCTGTCGCTCCGGCTGCCTACAACCCGGCTGTGACTTCTCACCCAGAATCGAAGCCCATTCCTTCGAACTCGGAACGTTCGAGCCCGACCAGCACTGCCAGAGGTGTGCGTATCAATGAACTGGTTGGTCCCAGTGGTCAGCCTCAAGCTCAGTCTCAGCAAAACCACGCCCAGGCACCTCCACCACCTCCTTCTACTGCCGCCCACTCCCAACAGCCCCAGCAAGCACCTGGTGCTCCTCAAAACGCATCGCAGCAGGCTCAGAACCAGGCCAATTCGGACGGTAGTAGAAGCCAAGCTGATAGCAACATGCTTAGCAAGCTCAACAACCCGCGCATGTAGGAATGCCACAAATTGCATCCTTCTGGCTGCGCATACTCTGTCACTGTTCTTCAGAGAAAGGGCTTTCGTCCCGCCACTGTCGAACATTATAACTCCTCCGATGAGTCGAGTTTTTGACCAACTAATCCGGTGAATGTTAGAAGCAAAAGTTACCGGGCCGCTTTTGCTCAGAATGATAAACGTTTTCTGTTGTTCTTTCCTTTTCCCAATTGTTCTTTTTTTTTTTCTCTACCATGCTATTAATTTTCTCTCGGGCAAAAGCATACTTTTATGGCCGATGCTACTTTGCTGGAACGGTTGCTAGACTCAAAAAGGCATTGATTTCTCTGCTGGCAGGAATGTTCTGATAGCGTTTAACTCATGCATTGGGGTGGTTGGTCTTCTGTCACCATTGGGCGGCACTGCTTGGTCAGTATCTTGAATAATCGATAGCTTTGGCTCCATAGAAGAGTCAAAAAGTGCTTTTTGAATTTGGTTGTTTTGCAACAAATCACATTTCTCACAAGATCAGTAATATTCGTGCCGTAAACTTCATGACTGGAAGACTTGTCAAACAAATGGATCGAGATTGTTCTGAGCAATGCGACTTCGAGATATTCTTCACATGCGGTGACAGTGATGACGACGCCAAGAACAGTCACCGCGCTCAACTTCCCTCTCGACACCTCATGATTTGTCTGTACACTCAACCAAGAGACAAAAACATCAAGATTCGGATCGGAAATCATGACTGAAGCATTGGTGAAATGGGCAGTGCCTCAAATCTCACGTCTGTTGCCTTTGGATGAAGATTCGCTCAAACAAATCATCACATACCACGACACACTACCTAGAGATGTAGCAGCAGAACAACTTGGAGGTCTGTTGGGCGATTCACCACAAGCTTTGGAGTTCATTGCTTCTTTCAATTCACGTCGCCAAACTCCACCGTCAGAGGCTCGTCCAGCGCCCGCGGCTGCTGCGGCGCAAGATGGAGGTGTACCCAAGAGGCAACCGAAACAACCAAAGAAAAAGGCAAACATTCACAGTCTACCAGCACGACAGGTCCAGGATTTTGGGGATAGTTCTGGCGCATACAGGAAGCAGGATGAAGGCGACTACATGGCTGGATCTTCGAAAAAGAAACCGCAACCATCACTATCCAATACTCTGGCTTTGCAGGAGGCACCTGATGCCAGGCAACTTCCTGTTCGCACTGCTGGAGGTGTATCGCGTGGACCCAAGGCTCCTCCATCAGCATCAGGACCTCTTATTTCTGATGTGCTTCCTCCACCATCACAATCATCTACTCCTCGCACTGCATCGCCAGCACCGACTAAGACAAAGGTCAATATCACTGGAGGTACCAATATGCACGGAGCTGGAAAGACCCTGTCGGATTTAGATTCTGCCATTCGATCTCTCGAATTGCAGACCAACCCCACCCTAGCTTCGAACTCGCAATCAGCTGAGGATCTTGCAAAGCGAAGATGTAATTGCATGGCTACACGCCATCCATTGTTGACCATTGCACCAAACTGTCTCAACTGTGGAAAGATCATTTGTGTCAAGGAAGGTCTGGGCCCATGCACATTTTGCGAAACACCACTTCTTTCATCTTCGGAGATTGCAAGCATGGTTCGCGTACTGAAAGATGAGCGTGGCAAAGAACGTCAAGCCGTCAACAACGCATCTCACAAACGCGCCGAGGTCAGCCAGAAACCTCGCGCCTTTACCGGTCGCGATTTCCTCTCTTCCTCAGCTGCTGCTTCTACTACCGCATCGCCACTTTCCTCTGCACCTCCTTCTGAAGATGAGGGCGATGCTGCAGTCAGCAAAGCCAAAGAGCACAGAGACAAACTTCTCGCCTTCCAAGCCAATAATGCTAGACGTACGCGCATCCATGACGAAGCTGCAGACTTCGATGTTCCTTCTTCTGGAACGAATATGTGGGCATCTCCAACCGAACGTGCTGCAGAGCTTAAACGCCAACAAAAGATCATGCGTGAGATGGAATGGAACGCAAGACCCGAATACGAGAAACGCCGTATGGTGGCTAGTATCGATGTTGTAGGTGGAAAAATCGTCAAACGCATGGCTGAGGTTGAAAGACCTGCTAGCGATGCAGAGGAAGAGGTTGAAGAGGAAGACACAACCCCTGTGCGACACGATGATAATGCTGGCTCTGGAGCTTTCAGCAATAATCCTCTGCTGGGTGCGCTTATCAGACCTACGGCTAGAGCCGACAAAGGAAAAGCTAAGGGCCAGGAAGGAAGCGAAAATAGAAAGAGTACTTGGAGGAGGGTGCAAGATGACAACGATGACAATGAGGCATGGATCCTAGATGGTGGTGCGTATGGTGGAAGAGTTGAAGGCAGGATACTGGGTGAGGAGGAACATGCCTTTGGCTCTTGATATGGTCTTACCTCCCTATGTGCTTAAACACAAGCTATAAAAATGTACAACACTACCAGCGGACTGGAGAGTATACAATAAAAAGCGATAACTCATAGGCTCTTCGGAGATACACCTCCGCTTTCAAGAACAATTGTGTCTTCTTATAGTGTACAATCTGCGATCTGCTATGTTCGGAGTGCCTATTCTTCTTCGATCTTTACAGCAGCCTCTTGCTCACCCTCGGCGGCCTTGTCGGCGGTGGCCTTGACCTTCAAGGCAATGCGTGTGCTGCAGTGTAAGAGACTGATTGTCGAAACCTGCTTACGATATACAGTCATTAGACGCTGTTATGTTTCGATGAAAAACAGGATGATGTTGATGAGTGGTGGAAAGGATTAGAGAGAGTTGAAGAGGAAGAGATTTGAGATCGACGCTGTGAAACAATAGAATCGGAAAGCGCTCGAAATTATGCAAGGCTCAGCCCCTCCACACCTGCCGAATCTGCTCGAGGCAATGAGCTCGACTCTACAGTCTTACGGTGCTTCTTCCAGTGGTTGTTTCATTCTTCAGCGAAAGTGTCCATCACGATTGTTTTCCTGTGGTTGTGTTGGAGAAGTATGTAAAATTTTCAAGCATGATATCGGAAAGGTCGCGGTGGTGTAGTGGTAACATTCTCGCCTTCCAAGCGTGAGCGGTGGGTTCGATTCCCGCCCGCGACATCGTTCTTTTGCTCATTGCGCATTCAACGCGCTACTTTTCGTCTTTATCGAGGTCGATTTGGCAGAGTAATGCTCATTTGAAGGTTTGATATTTTTTGAAGCCTGGTTGAAGCCTCGTACATATAGTGTACAATTGGCAGATTCCGGCTCAACACCACATATCTAAGCAACACGGTGAATACTCGCACAGTTACTTGAGACAACGCGGCATTTCATGCACATTGTGTTGATAGTGACTGCCCCTTGAGAATTTTTCTCACACGATTAGTAGTACGATAGACTTCGATCATCTTCATCTTTATAGAGCAAATCTTTCAGGAAACACAAACAGCAATGGCAGCAATCAGTCAACAACAACACTAAAATCCCAGCAAGTATAGCAATCCTCAGCTGTAAACCTTTCTCCCTCCCATCATGTTCAGCAATAGATCCTCCTCATCTCATCTCATGACATATATCTCTCCGTACTCTTTGACTCAACCCCTGTCGAGAAGTCACAGCACTCTCAACTCGATCTGCCCAAACGCCTCCTCTTGCTCAGCACTCAACAGTCTCCTCGTCACTAATGTCAGCACATGCAGAAAGCCCTGCGCAGCAACAACTTTCGAGTTGCTCTCCGGCTTCAATAGATCCTCAAACTCGACAAACTCATCTTTGGCCTCTGAAGCTTCTACGTCAAGCACAGAAGCAATGGCCTCGATAGTAGTCTCTTGTCTCTCTTGCGCCTCAGCAATACCAGCCTTGACAAAAGCGAGAAAGTTCAGAGACTCGGTGGATAAAGCGGTGGAGAGGAACTGAGATGTACCGGCGACTTGAGTGGATACAGCAGCGGCAGGTCCGAAGAGATCAAAGTCTGTGGCCTGAGAAGGACGAGTGGGATTTTCTGCTGCGTTGTCGGAAACGGCAAAGTCGTCGTTGAAGTGCGCGTTGTCGTCGCTTTGCATAAAGTTCATGTCTTCGACATTGGTGGTGGGAAGCGCTCCTCTGCCGACAAGAGGAGAAGCAGATACAGTCAGACGTCCACGATGTGAGGAAACGATGTTGAAGCCACCGCCGCTAGCAATGGAGGAACTGGATCCAGCGGCGCCAGGGCCGTATAGTGGGAAGGGAGGCACGAAACCTGTGTGAGAGGATCCGCGTGAGGGAGGAGCTGCATGGTTCCAGGGCAGTGCATGAGCAGATGAGTGACGATCTGCAAGCGGAGTTGGCGCTTCACGGCCTTGCTCGATGGTGTCGTGTATAGTATCATCGATGAAGCCAGTGTCGAAAACGACAGCGTCATTTGATTCTGCTGCTCTGCCGACTTCATTGTCGTCGCTGCGGGAACGGACTCTTCTTTCTTGATCGTCATCGTTCTTATCGACGTCTCGTGGATGCTTTGTTCCTGCTATGGTAAGTTGGATACCTGTTAGTGCCTGGAGGAGTGCGTGGCCACTGAACATTCTCAACGGCTCTGGCATGTAGTCCTCTGCTCCTTGAAACGCGGTACCCAAACCACCGATACCGTTCTGCAAAACCCAAAAGTTTGCATTCTTGCGAGCCAGGACAAGGCTCTTGTTCTGCAACTTGTGCTGTGTCGCCATCCATTGATTGTCGAGATACTCACGGTCCCAAGCTTGGAGATCAGCGTTATGGAGTTCGAGTTCTTGATCTTGGGGTAGTGGTTTCGGAACGCGAACACGGGCAGCAGGAGCAGATGCGGTGGTGGATGAAGTCTGGCTTTGTGCTTCTTCTTCTTCTCCCCGTACGGCGGTTGGGTCATCAGTATCCACTTGTTGAGCGGCAGTGCGTGGAGTAAAAGGTCGGACGTCTTGCATGTCAACATCGTCTTGGTACATCGGAAGGGAATCATCGTCGTACATGACCACATTTTGGTCAGCGTTCGAATCTGGCAGGGCACCATCGCGAGTGACAGGCGCAGGCGTGTGTATTGAGGCTGCTCTTCCGCCTGCAGGCGCTGCATTATCGTCGATGATGTTGCCGTCAACGTCGAAGTCGAGACCCAAGCCTAGGTCTAGCTCAGGGAGGAGTCCTTCTTCATTGGCACCGAGTAGTGAGCGACTGTAGCCTCTGTTGTGACCAGAGCCACCGAAACCTGCACCGCCGAGGCCCAGACCAAAGCCATCTCCTCCCACCGACGATGAGTGATTGATGACGAGGCCCAGGTTGGGGTCCATATGTTCGGAGCCCAGACCGCTGGAGGCGGCCGTACGTGGAGATAGAAGACTTGATCTTGGAGACGAGCCTTCACCACTGGTGAAACCCAGGATATCATAAGAGGGGTCGAAGTCAATGTCCCATGCTAGTTCGGGGATGAAGTTTGGGTCGTCAGCGAGGACAAGTTGACCAGGTCTATGGAAGTCTCGTATCAGTCTCGAGTTCTTTTGAACGTTGAAGAGGGATTGCTTACTTGGCTTTGTGCTTGCCATCGAGTTCGGTCGGAGCGGCATGCAGTGAACGCAACAGAGTGCGGATCTTGTTTTGTTCCAGTTGTGCATCTTTGAGGACGAAGTTGCATTGCTCGCCGTAGACACGTGTGACTCCATATCTGGAGAGTACCTGTCAGTGACACTCAGAGACTTGCATTGTGAGACGACTTACAGCAAATTGCTTTGGAGTCTGAGTGCCATGGGTGCTTCGGGTGACACGATTGTCTGACATGCTTTGGGAATGTTAACTGCGCAAATCTCCTTGCGATCGACCTTCTTGAGGGTGGATTTTGATCCCAACGTTGCAACAAGCCTGAAGAGATAGTTAAAAGTGCGGGACTTGATAGTGCTCTGAGAGGTTCTTACCAGACTGTTGCCACGCCGTGCTTGCGCGAGGTAAGAACTATGCGCAGTCAAATCAGACGAGAGAATAGAAGGCACAGACGCGTTGCTTACCCTCGTGGCTATAGAACATGATCAAGATGCGTGTGGAAACATGCGAGTGGAAGATAGAAGAAGGACAGGAATCGTACACGCGTGAAGATAGATGAAATGATGATGGATTGAGGTGTTGGAGAGTGTTGTGATGTGAGGTGACAGTCAGAGAATAGGTTGTAAATTGAGCGTGCTAAACGATGCTGAGAGCGAAGAACATGGAGAGATAATAGTGTAGAAGATGTTTCAAAGAAATAGTTTGTAAAGAGATGCCTTGGTGAGAAGAGATGATTGAAGTGTTCGAGATTGAGAGAGGAAGGATCATGCTCGAGGACGCCATCAAGGAGCAGAATGAACCAAAACACTACATTGACCTCTTCGACCAGTCTCCTTTTGATGTTCCCTGAAATCTTGTTTTTGGCCTACTCGACTTTTTGGTCGTTGAGCGTGGCTGTCCATCTCCCAATCTTCACTTCCTCTTGCTGGCCTTGACCATATATTCAATCCAAGTTCAGTCCTGCCAGCAATACGGTCCAGTGGCCCAATTGGCTAGACTGCCTGCATCTGCGATAAAACACCCGCAAGTTTCTTTACGGTACTGGCTGAAAACCCCGGAAGGTCGCCCGTTCGATCCTCCGGCGCTCCAAAGGTAGAATACTCTGTGAGCTATGATCCACAAAGAAATTTGCTCTTGCAAGACGATTCAACATTTCCTTGCAACAGATGGGGTTTTCCCAAGCTATACAGCTGCTTGGTTTTTTGCCCTTCGTGGATCTGACCTAATCTTTTGGTCATTGTTTTTGGTGGAGGGTGCTGTGGAGCTGCTCTGAGTTCTCGCCCGGTTCGCGGTATCACTCCGTCGATGACCTGACGCAGAGTTCTCCGGATGCTCCGCTGTATGGTGGCGCTGTGAACGAAGGTCGGTCGTTTAGTCCATCTGTGACCTTCTTTGTGAGGCGCCAATCACCATGGGCACTCTCCACCACCGCCGTATGGCGAATATTTTCTCCTGAGATAGCGGGCGGTCTCTCCAAGTTGGTCATGTCTCTTGGTCTCTTACTCTCCCTTCTCAGCCCTTTCCTTCTCTAACCTCTTCAACTCTTTTAACCTCCTTCTCTCTTCCTTTCTCTTCTTTGTCTCCAACTCTTCAATCTTCTTGTCGAGCATGATTTTCTTTTGCATGAGGTTGGCCCGGTAGGTTTCCAGTTCGGTGATTTGTTGGAGTGGTGTTGCTTCAGCTGCTTTTTGTCTTTCCTGAAAGCAGAGTCAGTATGACGAGTTACAGTGCAGGGAAAGTGCAGGGAGAAGGTAGGTAGCAGAGACGTACCTGTTTTATGTCTTGCTTCATCTTCAAGCCGGCACCATACCAAGCTCCAGTTGCTGTGACGGCGGCTATACTGCCCGTAAGGACAAAGCGACGAAAAGTCGCGAATTGAGGTGCTGACATGACTTTGCCCTTCTACTGGTATCTGAGCTTGGAGAGAAGGTAGAAGTGTGGTGATGGAATGAGCCAATGGTTGCAGAGATTCATTTGCGGCTTGTCCCGCCCTCCGCAATTGCCAGTGTTTACACCTCGGACTTGTGTTGATATCATCTGTCGCAACCACCATCATCCTCTGACCAGAAGTGCGTCGCAATCTATAAATCAACATCGCTGCAAAAACACACCATCACAAATCAGCAATGTCCAACTACTCATCCCGCCAATCCCTCGCACCCACCTCCCGCACCAACCACACCTCCACGTCCTCCAACCAAACCTCACGACTCTCCACCATCCCCACTCAAGCATCCAAGCAACGCCAACTATCGCACTTGAACTCCCAACTCGCGCAACTTACAGCACACATGTCTGATCTCGAGAACTTGCTCAGAATGACTGCTGTGCAAGCCGAAGGAATGAGAGGCTTGGGTGGGTATGCGGGTGGTATGTTTATGGCTGCTAGTAAGGTGTTGGGTGAGGAGGCTGTCAAGAATGAGGCTAAGGATGAGAGGCAGGGGAGATGAAGGAGAGATGGATGAATGGAGAAGCGATTGCTATTACTGGAAATGGAGAATATGAAACAAGGTCATGGCTCTGGACAATATTCTTCTCCCTGCCTGTGGAAGGCAGGGCCAACAGCAATGGAACGCTACCCTAGGGACTCTATTGTATCATGCGGTAATCGCATCTACCCAGGTTCTGGACGAACATATCATCATCAGGGATTGATCTCTATCAACCACGACTCCGACAGCGAAAAGACTGCCAAAGGACACCCGTCAGCAAATTCAGCTCGTTTTTGTCTTCCACTCATCATTCAGGGGGGCAATGCAAGGGGCGCGACCTACCACATCTCGATGGCTGGAGTATCTTGTCTACCGACAATCGGGAGCAAAACAGCCATCTCATGCGACGGGCATCAGTCATCGCGCGTATTCTTGTTTCGAGATAGCCATATCTGCATGTCTGGTGGGCTCTAGGGAGAATCAAGAGAAGCCACTGCCAGAAAGGGTCAAACAGCAGAGCCTGTAGAGGGCTTCAGGAGAGCGAGAGGGAACGGAGTGAAAATCTTGGAAGTTCATCATGCATGTCATTCCACGTTACATATCTGTCTAGAACCTCTTTGCGAAACGGAAAAAGGCTCAAAATCGCTATAGCCTGTAGACCCCCTTTTTTTTTTCGCTATGAAGAAAACGTTGCAGCAACCTCCCATGTAATCAACAAGAAAGTTGTTCAAACCCCTCTCATCTATGATTGTGTCGTGTCGTGTTACCCATTGCTTTTATCAAGGTCATGCCAAAGGAAATGAAAATTCGGAATTGGACGAAGACGTTCATGCCAAAGCCTTCTCCTGCTCCTCAATTGACTGCTTTGTGGGCAGCTCGACGGCCTTGTACAGGAGGATCAGAGCAGAGTGGCTCTCGCCACCACCGGACAGTGTCTCAACCTTTTCGGCATCAACTTCGCTGACCTTGTCGTCGTTGAACCACCACCACTTGCCGTCCTCCTCACCGATAGTGCCGTCGGGGTTCTTGCGGCCAGTCTTCTTGATGTATGAAGTGTAGTGACCACTGTCGGCACTGGAACCTTGGTGAGTGATGACGCCACGAAGCTCAAAGAGACCGGTCTGATTAGCGGTCTCGTCGGCAGCAAGTTCGGGAGAGACGTGTGCGAGAAGATCCTTTCTCATGGCAAGAATCTTCTCAGCACGCTCTCTCTCGATCTCGGCGTCGGTCTTGTAGGTCTCGGTGCCGCCCATCTCTGTATCACCACCGGATGTGCTCATGCCGACAGCCTTCTGCTTGGCGAGCTCTGCCTCAGAATCAGGACCAGTAGCCTTGGTCTCGCGCTCCTTCTCCTTGCGCTTCTCCAAAGGCTCGGAGGCAGAGGAGTTACCGGCAAGGTCATTGAGTTCCTTCTGCATTCTCTTCTGTCTCTTCTTGGCGCGTTCGACGTCCTCCTGTTCCTTGCGAACCTCGCGAATGCGGTCACGAATAGGGATGAGCTGCTTCTTCAGCTCTTCGGTGCAGAACTCCACAGCGTCGAGCTCCATAGGAAAGGTAACCTTGCGCATGATCTTTGCCTTCTTCTGAGTGTCTCTGCGCCAAAAGAAGCGAACGAAGTGTACGGGCATGTACTTGGGGAGGCGGGATATGCGAGAAGTCTTGGTGTAGGTAGCCTCACGGCCAAGTGACTCAGAGCGCTTCTCAATCTTCTCGTCAAGCGCGATCATAACGCCCTCACGCAGGTGATTGGTGTCGCCGCGAATGTTGCAGTTGAGCTTGAAGAAGACGTCGCTACCCTTGACAGGCTCTTCGGAGGCATCAGACTCGTCACAGGTCATAACTGATTCGGTTGTGCCGGCCATGAACTTGTCAACCCAGTTGTTGCCACGGACGTTACCCGAAGACGACGATGAGGACCCATCCTGCTGGAGCTTTTGACGAAGCATCTGGATGATCGAGGACCAGGCCTCTTCAGCATCCTGTTGTGCGTAACCATGGCCATCCTTTGACTTTTGATTGAACTGAGGGTAGCTCTGGCGGAGAGCGTTGAGGAAGACGAGAGGAGGGAAGCCTTGTTGAGTCTCGCCCATCTGCTTGTACAGGTCGCGAAGTGAACCAGTAAGGTCGGTAGAGGAGCCGAGGCCACCCAGACCAAACTCGCTGAGGTTGCCGAGGCTGGAAGAAGGACCAGCACCGCTGTGAGTAGTGTCAGCTAGATGTTTGACGAGAGGTAAATTTGTCTGTATGCGCGTACCTGTCCTTGTAGGTGGTGAGAGCGTCTCCGAGCTCGGGAATACTCTTCAAGGTCTGGAGGGCGGAGTTGAGGTAGCAGGTGTTTCCAAGGTTCTGAAGACCGGCGGGAGTAGCACCAGAGACTTGAGCAGCCTCAGCCTCAGTCATGTCCTCAAGGAAGCGAATCTTCTCGGTGGGGCGGTCGACCTGAGATGCGGCGTCTCCAGAGGGAGTGCCCATCATCATGAACTGCTGACCAGGCTTGGCCTTGAGCGAAGAAAGGGCGGTTTCATCCTTGAGCTGGCCTCCCTTGATGAGAATCTTTTGGCGTTCGGGCTCAACGTTGGTGAGTGAGTAGAGCTGGTACTTGAAGGTCTCTCCAGTGGCTTCGGGGTCGAGATCGACTTCGTACTTGGTGCCCTGATGTTTGACGATGACGGGAATGGTAGCCATGGTGAATCTGCGCACACGGAGGCAAGAGGATGGCGGACCAAAGATGTTGTAAAGTGTAACTGCTTTGCTTTGTCCAAGCAACGAAGCAGAGGCGAATGCAACCAAGAACAACATCGTCACTGTCGCATCGGAGGTCGGCGTTTCTTAACGCCGCCCCGCCCATTTGCATGTGAGCTCTTGCAATGTTGTCAGTTCAAAACATCAACCAGAATTTCATACAATCGACGTCTTACTGCTGCAGGGACTGCGACAAAACTCTCGGCACGACCTCGACCATCTCGGCGTCAAACTTTTCGACACGCGCTTGAAGCATACGACCAGCATATCAACCACAACACCACATTAGAACCATGCAGCAGACTTCAGCCGACGATAGCTTCGCCCATCTTAGTCGCTTGTCGCAAAAGGCAGGCGTGCAAGCAACTCTGATACTCTCTCGCGAGACTGGCGCCATCGTCCGTTCTAATGGTCTGGTCTCCCGCGACGAGTCCTCGAACTCAGAGAGCACACTACCTGCCTCGAATGGCTTGACGGATGATCGCACTGATGGTGCTATGCCGAGCGCTGAGCACGTCGCCGAAGTCGTCTGGAAGTTCGCCAAAGCTGCTGTTGACATGTTGCAAGACCTGTCAAATTTGCCCGACGACGATGTAAAGTTGCTCAGGCTGCGTTCCAAGAACAAGGAATATGTCATCTTCCCAGGTACATACATACTCTTACATTATTGCTGCCAACCTCACACTGACAACTTCCCAGATGCCAAATTTATTGCCGTTGCCATTCATAGCACTGCGCCAGCATGAAAACATGACCAACAGAGCGACATCGCCTCATCAGATTTGCCAAGATCCCTCATAACATCACGCCATCTGTCTGTCAAGACATCGTACGAGACTACAGTTTTAGGTGCTGAGACGAGGCTGCAAATTGCTCCATGCTCTTCGGCATGTTCCCTTACCAGTGAGCCTCGGAAATATTCACCGAGTTCACATCAACTCCATCCTTGAACCAACGCTCAGTCTCGCTGATCTCGATGTTGTTACCACTCATTTGTCTCTTGCGCATCTTGCCGTCCTCGGCAAAGGTCCAGTCTTCGAGACCATAACACCTCATCCACTTTCCGGTCTCGGCGTGCTTGAACTCATACCAGAATTGCACAGCGATCTTGTTGTCACCGAATGCAAACAGCTCCTTGCGAAGGCGATATTCTTTTTCTGTCGCCCATTTGCGAGTTAGAAAGTCGACAATGGCTTCAGTTCCGCTGAAGAAGTGGTCTCTGTTGCGCCATATACAGTCGGGAGTATAAGCCTAAGAGCTGTGGTCAGTACGACGTCATGGAGACAGGATTTCAAGAGAATTGATGATTGTCAAGCAATTGAAAACAACAAGTCAGGGATCGGGGTCTGTGAGACTTGAAAGATAGCTTGCACATTCTACCTTTGCAACGTCTTCAGGGTTTCTACGGGATTTGATCAGCACCTTATTCCGTAGAACACCGAACCACAACAGAAAATCTCACTGAGCATTCCACAAATCTTGTGCCTTCTTTACTTTCTCTTGGGCAGTCGCTTGTGTAAATGGTGGCTTTGACATGTTCTCTATCTGTTTTGGCAATACTCGAGATCAGACAAGGTGAAGTGATGTCCAATTGGTGACGTGTTTGTGTTGTTCATCAAGGTGACTCGGAGAGCAATCGCTCCGCCGATTTGACTCGGGAAACCACGTTTTGCGGCAAGTTCCATGGGTTTGCGTCAATGCTGTGGAGCTCTTCTCCGTTGAGCAACGAAGCAAGAGCGGTGGATCATGGAAAGTGCCAGAGACTCACGGGCTCTGGCCGACCGGATGACTTATCGTCTGATTTCAAATCTGGACCCCGAAATGATAGAGTAGCTAAGCTTTGGACATAAAAGTGCTCACCTCTCCTTTCCTTGCTCTTTATCAGATCGTTCTACCTCGACCTCCATTATTTGACCTATTCTCACCATCTTACAAACCCAATCATATTCAAAATGGTTCTCAAGGCTGGTGACAAGTTCCCCGAGGGTGTCAAGTTCGGGTATGTTCAATTGGCTTTATACACGACTCTAGCTCTGACAAAAGTTCGTTAGCTGGGCTCCTATCCTCGACGAGGACCCTACCGTTTGCGGTATCCCTCAGCTCTACGATGCCAACAAGGAGTGGGCTGGCAAGAAGGTCGTCATCGTTGCCGTTCCCGGAGCTTTCACCCCTAGCTGCTCCGCCTACCACCTTCCTCCCTACGTCCAGAAGTTCCAGGAGCTCAAGTCCAAGGGCGTCGACATTGTTGCCTTCATCTCCAACAACGACGAGTTTGTCCTTAACGGATGGGGCAAGGTCAACCAAGTCCCTAAGGGCGAGGACTTCCTCATGCTCTCCGACAGCAAGACCTTCTTCTCTGAGAACTATGGCTGGCAGGTTGGAACAGACAAGGGCGGCCGCACTGGTCGCTGGGCCATGATCGTTGAGAAGGACGGAACCATCAGCTACGCCGAGAACGAGGCTCGCATTCAGGACGTCCAGGTAAGACGTTATAGAGGGCATCTTGCAATTGGGTCGTACTAACATGAGCATCAGGTTTCCTCTGTCGAGGCCGTCCTCTCCAAGCTCTAGAAGCGTTCGAACGATAAACATCCACATAAAATAATGTAAAATGGCGTATAAGAGACCGTACTGGTACAGAGAATACACCTAGAACATAGAAATGCCGCAATGAACTACAACCATTAATCTGAACAAGCTCCAGATTTGAGCAGTGCTTCCAGAAAACAGAGCACCAGCAATTTCATAAGTCCATAGCGCAAAGCTGTGTGCCAAAGGGCTACAGATCCACACGATACAATGAACACATCAACCTGTCGAATGCGCGTCGTTGTCTTCACAGTACAGAACAATGTTCAAAATTATTTATGTTGCATCACAAACGACCCGCTACCTTCAGTTGAAATATGGAGCAGGAGATACAGGACGGACTTCTTTCTCACGCGACCCATCGGGACCGACAATGAAGCGGTCAACCTGCCTAAAAGCCTTCTCCTGTAGTATCGAAGACTCGCAGCGGGCGCGGTTGAGAGAAGAAAGACAAGAAAGCTCGTGCCGCAAAAAAAGATCAGAGTCGACCAAGATTCGCTTAGTCAGCGACAAGCTTTCAAATTCGCACAACAGCACGCCTCTCTGCAACTACAAAACCCGCAACAATCATGGATTCTCTCGACGGATCCAGCTACGATGTCCTGATTTCTGGAACAGGCATCCAGCAGTCCTTGCTTGCTCTGTATGTCTCTTCATGCTTTGCTGTTTGACTTGATTCAGAGCTTGTCTGACTGACGCAGCTTCTTTGCCTAAAGTGCTCTCTCGCGCTCTGGTAAGAAGGTCTTGCATGTCGACAAGGATGACACCTATGGTGGTCCCGAGGCTGCCCTGAGTCTCCAAGAAGCTGAGCAGTGGGTTGAGAAACTCGATTCTGGTACGTCACCACATAGACACGACTCGGTTCGAACCCCATACTGACTGTCGCACAGCAAAGCAAACCAGATTCAGCAATGCTTCCATTACCAAGTCAGCCGAAGGAGAGCAGAAACTCTCTCCTTCAAGGGCGTACAATCTGTCACTCGCGCCCACATTGGTCTACACTCGCTCCGGCCTGCTACCCATCCTCGTATCTTCCAAGACCAATGAGCAGCTAGAGTTTATGGCTGTGGGTGGCTGGTTCGTGTTTGAAAAGCAAGAAGACGGTGCGCGAGTGGTTCGTGTGCCAAATGGACGAGAGGACATCTTCGCCGACCCATCGCTCACTCTGAAGATGAAGGGTCAGTTGATGAAGTTCCTCCGTTTCGTAGCCGCGTTTGAAGAGAAGCCTGAAACATGGCAACCTCATCGCGAAGTTCCGTTCGCCAACTTCCTCTCTGAGCAGTTCGGTCTGCCGGCGGTCGACACTCTCATGGCTCTCTGCCTCAGTCTTGAAACTCCAGAGAAGACAACCACCGAGTTCGCCCTCCCCCGCATTGCTCGTCACCTTCGTTCAATTGGCGTTTTCGGTCCTGGCTTTGGTGCTGTGATTCCCAAGTGGGGTGGTCTCTCGGAGGTTGTTCAAGTTGCATGCCGAGCTTGTGCTGTTGGTGGTGGTATCTATGTCCTTGGTCAAGGCATCTCTTCCATCGAGCCTACTCAATCTGAAGATGACGATGTCGAAGAAATACCCAGAGAGCCTGAGAAGCCTGACGTCTCGCAAGACATCCACAACTTGATCACCGAAGGCGAAGGTTTTGTCGACACCGACTCAAATAACCTCGACGAACTCGAATCTGGTATCAAGGAGCAATCCTTGGACGATCTTCTTGCTGCAGCTGGATACAGTATTGCGGGTGTCGAGGATGAAAAGCCCGCACCTGCTGCTGAGGAACCTGTTGGAAACCAGACCGCTACTACTACTGTGCCTTCTGAGAAGAAGTCATTGTATAGTGTCCAGCTCAGTAACGGAGAAAAGGTATCTGCGCAGTTCATCGTCGGCTGCTCAGAAGACCTACCTGGATCCCTCCCTGCCACTACCATCGGCACCACGGTCGCGGGTGCCCAACCCGACACTGTTTCTCGCAGCATCACAATCATCTCATCACCTATGCAGCATCTGTTCGTCACCGTTGCTGAGGGCGGTGTCTCTCCTGCTGGTGCTGTTGTGGTTTTCCCCGCTGGCTCACTCTCGAGTGCAGCACATCCACCTGTTCAGATCCTGGTTCATTCCAGTGATACTGGTGAATGCCCTCAAGGACAGTGTAAGTTTCGATCCTCTCTCATCTTTACCCTGGGAAGCACCATTGCATGATGAACGATTTTACGAATACTTATCTACATTGTCTGAAACAATAATGTCGATTAACACATCTCTGACAACCTGATCGCTTTGGTCTTCCCACCATTCACAACATATTCAACAGATATCTCTCTTGCTCAAGCAGTTGCTAACCAAGATTGAACAGGTGTCGCATATTCAAGCACTGCACTTGCTGGTCAACAAGGCCAGGAGCTCCTTGCCGAAGCTATCAAGTCGCTTCTTGCAGCTCAAGATTGCGAGGCTCAAGCTCTGTGGTCGCTCAGCTATGAACAACATGCCGAGGCTGTTGCTTCGTCGAACGAGACTTCTCAATCCAACATTTTGAAATTCCAGGACCCACCACTAGACTTCGTCTTTGATGATGCGATCATAGAGAATGTACAGGCGGCGTGGCAGACAATCTTGCCCGAGGCCGATGACTTTATGGTCTTTGGAGAGAGGAACGAGGATGCCCAAGAAGAGGCAGAGGATGAGGAATAATGAAGCTAGCTATGCTAGGCCTTACTACGAATGTTTACATTACACGAATGAGATGATTGCGAACCCATACTTCTCGTATACGCTGCCTTATTTGCTACCTTGCCTATAGTGATTACGGTTGCCCAAGAGGTACTTTCTTTGTGTTGACAAAATGTGACATGAGAGCTACCCCACATGACGTAGCTGTTTCGTTCCTGCATCACCGTTCGAATATCACTCCGGTCCTGCCGCATTGTGTTTGCTTATAACTTGACATCTCTCTTCCTACTGCTTTCCCGAAAGACAGAATTGAATCATCGACTCGAACCTCATTTACCCACAACTTCTCTCAAACCACTTCTACACATCATACGTCATGTCGTCCGACAGTCTTGCCATGTTCCGTAAGAGCCTCGGCGATGAGCTTGGATCCCTCGCTGAGCAGCATTACCAACACGAGTTCGTGCCTCACATTCCCAATCCTTACAATCTTCTATGTACTGACAGTAGTCCACAGTCTTCAATCATCGGATCGCGCAGCTCTCCAAACAGCAGCCTCCCGCGTTACAACTCACACAACCATTGGCTCCATCGTAGGCTTCTCCCTTGGCCTTTTCCTCTCCTTCCGCCTCCGTGCCAACAGAACCGCCATGTTCAATGCTTTCCGCACCGCTGAGAAGCCCGTTGCCGTACAATTCGCTGGTGGCCGTACCGAGACCCTTCCTGACCTCACACCTATGCTCAAGCCCTCTACTTTCGGAGACATTGCCACATACACACTCTTCGGACTTGGTGGACTGTTTGTCGGTGGTGAGACTGGACTGCTTACTGGCAGTCTGAGTGCACAAAGTGCCATCAAGAAGGATCCTGAGGCTAAGAGAAGGATCGAGTCTGCATTCAGAAAGTTCAGAGCTGAGACGCTGAGATTCGAGGCCGATCAGCTTGAGAAGGGTGAGAGATCATTGGGATTGTAGGAGATCCTTCAAAAATATGTTTTGTAATGAGGTTGCTTTGCATTCATGATGGAAATGATAATATTTGATACTTCTCAGGTTCTGCCGACCAAGAAATAAAGTGACTATCCAGTGGCTGGACAAAGGTATTGTCAACTATCGAGATGCACAGTCACATTCTTAACATGAATTTGAACATTGAGCCAGTCATCTATGGAGTACGTCTATAAGCCAGGCTGTGACAGTGTAGAGAGATGTTGAAAAACAGCGACGCTTAACGCGGCACGAACTGCATGTACTCAAGGAGCAACAACGGTTCGGCAGTCGCGACTGCAAGTATGAGCCCAGATCAGTATCAGCTACAGATCGTCACCACGGTAGTAGGGTTCCAATCTGCATGCATATTTGCAGCGATGCAGTATGGGCGGGTGACAACCGCAACAGCAGGACTTGGTCAAGCCATCGAGTCGACAACTTTGCCGAAATATATGTCGCCGCACTCTTGCGAAATCCATACAATCTTTAAATCTGGCTAGCTATCCATATTTGCTTATGTTGCGACAGCGAGCGATGGATCTGAATCATGTATTGATTACAACGCCTTTCAGCTGAACCTAGCCATAAATCTCGCAACCGACTGCCAGCTGAATCCTATGTATAACGATCCCGCCGGTAGGCCGTTACAATGTCACTGTACTTTACACCAATCCCCCAGGATCAGCCAATTCTGTTTCAGATCTTCGGCAGGATGTATTGATACATATAGATAAGCTCAATTCGCTGGAAACCATCTCTGTCGCCTCACGCCAACTCTTCCATCAAAGACGAAAGCATGTCGCAAGACCAGGAGTACCGCAGATGGGATATTGATCAAGCTCGTCGAGATGTCATGGCTCTGAAGTCTCGTGCGAGAGGCAGTATCTCGATTCCATCACTTTCTTCCGCGTCGCATACTGCAAAACAGGTCCTGGTCTTCCTCGCCCCGACTCCTATTCAGAATCTCCTTTACCCATCAGCCAAATCTACATCTGATATCGCCACTCGTCCAAAGCCAACAGCATGGCTAGATGGGATGCGTGGTATTGCAGCATTGATGGTTTGCTTCTACCATCTGTCATATTCGACACACGATGTTTATACGGGCTGGAGCGAAGGCCACCATGAGTTTCTACGTCTGCCATTCATCAAGGGCCTGTACAACGGGTCTGCAATGGTTGCCATCTTCTTCGTTTTGTCTGGATACGCTCTCTCCTACAAACCTGTCAAGCAGATGCGCAATGGAGAGTACGAGGCATTGTTCTCTGGGTTGTCCTCGTCTGTCTTTCGCAGAGTGATTCGACTGTATTTGCCTTGTGTTGCCTCGACTTTCATGATTGTGGTTTTCTTGCGTCTGGGATTCTATAGTCGTACGAGGGAGCTTGCGACTGATCCTAAACGCTTGCCTGGTGTTCGTGAGCATCATCCCTGGCGCTATGACACCATAACAGAGCAACTCTGGATCTGGATGAGGAGCTTCTGGGGCTTTATGAATCCCTTCTCGGCGGCGGGAATTGGCAAAGGTATCTATATGGATGGCCATCTGTGGACTATACCTGTTGAATACGTGAGTATCGGTGTAAACTCGTGAGTAGAGTCTCTTAGCTAAAGACCTGCAGAAAGCATCTATCATTTTGTATGTGACACATCTTGGACTTTCTCGCCTACGACCTGTTCTTCGAATGCTGAGCCTCATGTGCTTGCTTATTTGGGCGCATCGTGTGGATTACTGGACAATGCTCCTGTTCTACGGCGGCTTTCTCATGGCCGAGTTGGACATCCGGCGCAGTGCTCCGAAGGCATCTCACAAGACCGATTCGAGCAACACGTCGAAAATCCTCTGGTCTGCTCTCTACATTACAGTCTTTTTGTGCGGCGTTTTCTTGGCTGGTCAACCTGAAAGAAACACGAAGAACACTGCTGTCTGGTCGACCATAATCCCCCTGACTCCTGCCTACATTATCGACAAGTGGAGATATTGGACATCTTGGGGAGCACTCTTGATTGTCTGGTCTACTTCTAACGATCATTTACTCCAGCGCATCTTCACCAACAGCGTGTCGCAATACCTCGGCAGGATATCTTTCTCCTTGTATCTGGTACACGGCTCCATCATCCATACTTTGGGGTACGGCTTGCTGCAGACCCTCTGGAGTGTCATTGGCGAGGATCGCAAGGAGACGTGCTTCATTCTCATGGCGGTTTGTGTTACTGTAGTGACTATTTGGTGGGCTGACATTTTTATGAGGTTGGTGGATATACCTTCGGTGAATTTCGCGAGGTGGTTGGAAGGAAAGTGTGCCGCCAGGCAGAAGTTAGAAATCAAGGAGGAACCGGCATGGCGAGATGCCAGCGCACTTGTGTAGTCGGAGGGTATTTGGGTTGACCACGAGCTGCCTCATTGATGTTAATCCTCATCGAACATTCTGCTGCGACCCAGTTATTTGAAAGCCATCTGACCAGTGATCTTTGGCGATGTCTCGATAGCCCCCCTGGTTAGCCCCTTCCATCCCGAAGCTGTTCAGCTGCCCACTCCTGAGCTCTCTGCATCACTTCCATCCAGCCGGCAAGAACTGCGAGCAGTCTCTCTTCACCATCTGGCAGCTGTGCCCAAGGTATTTGGCCATCGTCTGCTTCCGTGCCAAAGTGGCCTTCCGGGCGGTAGTTGTGGCAGCTAGCCTCATGGCGATGAAGACCGTGCCGAGCGATGGGTATAAAGTCTGCCAAACACTCCCAACAGAATTGGTGCTGACAGCGAGAACCTGCATATTATTAGCATACATCCGGCAGATTAAGGAGGGAACAAGACTCACAACTCATGTGGTCACATCCATCGCCTTTCTCGATTCTTGTGTTGCAACTAGGGCAAGACTTTGAGATTGCTTGGATCTCTGCTTCCGAGTCTGCTTCTTGTTGCTTTTGTGCTGTACTGCGGGTTTGATACTCCTCGCACGTCTCATTTTCATGCCAGTTGACCTCGCAGACTGTGCAGTGTCTGTGACCACAAGTCTGACACGAAAAGACCAGTCCCGCTTCATGAATCTGGCCAGAGTTGCAGGTCGCCGAGAAGCAATCTCTGTAATTTGGGTTCTTGGACAAAGCTGCTCTGGAAGCGAAATGCTCGTACTTTGACCATGTCTCAGGGGTTGCGAGGATGTTGATGTCCTCTCTCTGCAAGACGACAGGGCACTGGGGGCAAGATATCTGATCCCACATCTTGTTGTAGATCTCTACCTCAAGATGATTGGCAAAACACTCACGACAGATGTCGTACCCATGTTCGTGAGGGGGCAATTGAAAAGGAGTTGGGAATCTGATGAGTAATTTCGACTCATCGCAGACCAGACAAGTGCGTCTTTCGTGGGTGTCTTCAACAGGAACAGCCACTGCACGGCGGTGGGGAGCATGAGAATGAGGGTGTCTGTTGCTGACCGACTTGAGGAGCCAGTCTGTGTCCAGCTGCTTGCGTGACATGTTGGCGGTAGTCAGTGGGTTTGGAAGTAAGACTGAACCTCTGTGGAATTGCATGTTCGCGCAATCCGAGTGGTCGGTTCTACAACCCCTTCTATCGCTGTGGTAACCACAACACGGAGAATCTGCATCGTTGGTGTATGGTGGAGCCGTACATCGTGCAAAGATTTTAAGCACAATACTGATGCAGGAAATTGAACCGAATCATGGAGTTATCGACCTGCTTCCTTTCTTCGTTCATACGTTATCCAGTTTTTGATCATGAATATGATTATTGATATGGCCGATTCCAGAAGCTGCGGTCAGGTCGTTGTGGCAATGGCAAAGCAAGTGCGTGTTGGAGCATCTCTACTTCCCTCCTTCATACCCCATGACAACACACCATCGCTACTTCCTCGACGCAGGACCACCACGGACCACATCTCTCGTGCTGCCCCTGACAACGATCGACCAACTATGTCTGCTGAGCTTTTCGAAGTACCAGGTAGTACGATGCAATAAAACAATCTTCTGATCTGGCTGCGAGTATGCTTCATTGTAGAGCGCATAAACCTACGAAAAATCATTAGTATCGAGCTGATGCTTTCGTCAAAAATTCGCTCAAACTCACTGAGTATATTAGAATCCTCAAGCTCACTCTTCCGTCGAGCTATTTCCTCCTCATCCAGTTTCCTTTGATGTTCAAGAATCTCTTTTGTGATCCTCTTGCGATCCCGTTTCCATTCTTCACTTTTGAAGTTGTCCGGCCATCCGTACTCTTCGTTCAAAACTCTTTTCGTCTCCGAATACTTCACGAGAGACTCGAGTTAGATTGGCCGCTACAACAAAATGGAAAAGTGACTTACTATCGGTCCGGCAGTCAAGATGGATCCCATACTGTGGAGCCTCATCGGTAGCCATTCCAAGCTGCGGGTCTTGTCGATAATCAATTGCAAATACTCAACAGGATCATGAACCGGAAAACGCGTATAATGATCGTCTGGAGAATCCGGATTGAAGTCATGACATAGACCCGCTTCATCTTCATCTTCAGGGCTTTTCGGTCCCTCCCAAGTACAAACCCTCAACGTATCTGATAATCTCTGATCAGCTACGACAAACTAGACACCTTACACTTCAGCAAAAGGCAAAAAGAAAGGAAACTCACTTTTCTCAGTATCCAAAACGAGGTATTGTCCCTCATCTCCCATAACACTCAACGCAACATCCGTCGCCTTCAAAAACCATTCATTCTCACCAACTTCCGGATCCCTGCCTAGTTTCACGAGTTTTGCATCGACGAAACAATTTGCATGGCTTTGAGGGATAAGTAATTCATGTTCGAGCATTAGTCCTTCGGAGCAAGGACATGGTATATGTTGCATGAGTGATATGACCTCTGGAGTTAGGTTCAATGATTGACACAGCGTCTGGTCAATCTCTCTGCCTACAGGTGGAGGGAAGTCTATATCTTTAGGGAGTAGGTAGTTCAGTGAGAAGAGAAGATGGTAGTATTCTGTGATCAAGGCGATGATTTGTGATTCAGAGTAGGGGTGGGTAGACATTGTGAATGACCACGGCCAGATTGTTTAAAACGATGAGGAGAGTGCGATGGACTTAAGTATTATGCAAATGAGAATGATATGGACGTAAAGGAGGTATTGGTGTATCACGAATGGCGGTGTCTGGATCGAACTCTCGATTTTAGCCGGCTTGGCATATCGACATATACAGACTATGAGATACAGTACTGCCTGCTGAAGTACACAACCTCATACCTGAGGCATGCATGAAGCTATCTCTTTGTCCTCGTCAATTCGCCATGTTCTCCGAGAAGTTCACAGTTCTCAAGTATCTCTTGGTGATATGCTCAAACTCAGGAATGACTAGCAAATTCAATATTGATTACTCCCGTAACCGCTCTCTCCTTCCCACAACACCATTTACAATACCCTAAACTAAAGCCTTGAGTGCAAACCCAAACAAACTATCCATACTAACCCATCCCCACCCACTCTTATCCAAATATCCCTCGACCACAGCCCTCAAAATGCCAAACTTATGTCTGTTCATCTCAGCAAGCACACCCACTCTCTCCGCATCTTCGTTTTTCTTCTTGCCAGCTTCTTGAGCACTCTTCTCGACATCAAAGCATCTTGACAAAAACATGAGTTGGTTGTAGAGTTGTTTCTCAGAGTACTCGAGTTGCATTTTGCCCGTGCAGCCGTAAGCAAGACCGCGTGGACCTAAGCAGCGAGTGCCATAGACGCTCATTTGGCGTGTGCGGTTGCCGCAGGTGGCTTCGTCGCAGATCAAGGTGGCAGCGTAGTATTGGGCTGTGTGTGCGCGGATTTGACTTTCTAGTTGCGCTGCAAGGGCGAGTTGGGGCATTAAAGCGCCGCAAGAGGAAGAAGGGCAATGGATGCCATCGTTGTCGACAACTGCAGTGAGCTTTTCAGCATCAGGTGTAGGAGAAACACCCAAACCGCGGAATTGGAAGGGCGTGCGGCAGGACAGACACAGCAGACCCAGTGGTGTGCAGTCCTTGTAGCGGATCTCATCTGGGACTTGAGATTCGAGAGGGTGGATTTCTGTTTCAGCGTTGTAGCTGTTGCCGCCGCTTGCACTGCTTACGCGGTACTTGCTGGTATCCAGACCTAAGCATTCGGCAAGTAGAGTGACGTTGGTGCCTTCGATAGGAGCACAGAGACGTTCCACTGGTGGTAGAATTTGCTTGTGCAGGTAGTAGTCAATGTCAGGTTTGAGTTCGTTCTCTGCACGAAGAACTTCATCAACTGGGAAGGCATTGTTTGCTGCCTTCTCTGCGCTGCCAGAAGAGTCGTTACAGATGATGTAAGACATGACATCCTTGGCCTTGACATGCTTGCCCTTGGCCATCAATTTCAAGGCAACTTGGACAGAAGGCATGCTGTTTCCATTGGGATACTCCTTGGGGTTCTTTCCAAGTTGCGTGTAAATCGTGTACTTGCGAAGAGGGATGGTGTTGGCACGCATCTGCGAAGCGACTTCCCTGAGATGGTCGTGAATCTGAGTCACCACAGTTTCAGGGTCTTCGCCTGACAACAAGAAGTTCAAGAGCTCGGTCGAGGTGTCTTTACTCAATGCACAGTATTCTCTTCTGCGCATATCGAGACCCTTGACCTCGAGCTTGTCGATCCATTTGCCATCCTTCTCGATCATGTTGACAGCAGCATACTTCTTCTTTGCGTGCAGAAGCAAGCGGCGGAAGACGTTGTCAATATCAATCTCAAGAAGTTCATACCGCTCGTTGACGCTCTTTTTGAACTCGTTACCGATCTTCATGGCATCCATGATGTTGTCAACATTGGTGTTGACCATGACTGAATCGGTATCACCATAGATGACTCTCAGACCATGGGCAGACTCTGCGAGATCCTTGGTTGACTGCAGAATTTCACGACCCTTGTATGTGGTGAGCATGGCGAGCGGACGAGCGTAGAAGCGTGACTTGGTGTAACCCAAACATCCGTACATCGAGTTGGCAGTCAGCTTCAGGGCCATCTGCTTAATCTCCCATGTAGCAAGTTGATCAGTGGTGGCAGTCTTGTCCTTCATGAGCTTCTTGACTTCGCGACGACGGTGGACAAGTGTTCTAATCAGTCGCGGGAGGATACCCTTGTTATTGGTATCTGTTGGGACCTCGGGAACCTTCTCTTCGTCGTCATTCTGATAAACAGTCAGCTTCATCCTTCAAAACATGATTCTGAAACTTACACTTTCCGACCGCTCGACCGTGGTGAAGCAAATGTTGTACTCTTGAATGATACTGGGGTACAGAGAGTTGAAGTCCATGACAAGGATGAACTTGTCGTACAAGCCTTTTTCGGGCTCGAAGACCAGACCACCCTTGAACTTGTCCTTCTTCTTTGCATCTGCTCCCTCATCACCTTCCGGGTTGTCTTCATCAGACTTGGCTTTACCCTTGCCCCAGATCTTGTCAGGGCAGATGTACTTGTTCTTGTGGAACTCGTGCAGCAAAATGTACTCGTTACGCTCAGCACGAGTACCACTCAATGTCCTGGCCCAGGAGTTTCCAGCCAAGTTTGTGAGGACCTTGGTCAATGGAAGCATCTGAACCTTCATAGCGATCGCGGCAATGAAAAATGTGTCTGCTTCTGTAAGCTTGATGTATTGCATCAGACCGGCTCTGTTGGTGGCCATCTTGAGCAATACATCATTATCGATATCACGACGCTTGTTCTCGCCACCAAGAACAAGGTCGCACATCTCGTCCAGACTCCAGGACTGACACTTTGTCATCAAAGACTTGCCCATATCGTTGCCCAGATCGCAAAGCAGTCTTCCGGCAGCGAGCTGTCTCTCAACGAAGAAACTGCCACCACCCTTGCCGATGTTCTTGGGCCATTCATGACGCTTCAGTCTACCAATGCGATGCCAACCAGGAGTTCTGCATTCTCGCATTCTGTTGAGCAAGAGAGTGTAGTCAACATCGTCAAGTCTGTGGCCGATCAAGACGTCAGGATCATTACGGTCTAGCAAGGCCAAGAACTTGCTGAGAAGTGCACCTTCGCTCCTCTCCAACTGAATGTTGCCTCGATACTTTTCGGCATCTGTCTTGAAGCCTACTGGGTAATCTGGACCATTGGGACGCATAACTGTGAATGTCTTGCAAGGGAGTTTCTCTGGTGCGGTGGTGTCTGAGAGTGACATGCTATCGTAAATACGAGCACTGGCAAGCAAGATTTCTTGCTTGTTGTCCTTCTCGTTCAGTTTTGTCCTGAGGGCAATGCTCATCAAAGTTAATGGGGGAGCATCAAGATTGTCAGTATCCCCAAGAGTCGAGATGCCCTGAGGTTTGTCGACAAGCATCTCCAATTTGCACCAGGAAGCGTTTTTGACAGCATTGAAGTTGATACTGTTTGCGTCAATCTTGAGCCAACAAGGACCCATGATGTTCTTCCAGAGAACGAATTGTTCAAAAAGTGCAGTGTTGGTACCGAAAACATGTGAGAAAGTCTCTCCCTGGATGTCCATAGGTAGTGGCTGCTTGTCGTATGGATAAAGCAACTTCAGGTAATCGGCCTCTTTCGGGATGTCTGGCAACTCAAAGGCGTATTTCCTCGAACATGGCTTGATCTTGTGCATGTTGACATTGAACTTGGACATGAGGCCATCAACTTCTTGGTAGACGTCGCCCATCTCTACTTCCTCGTCTGTCTCGCGACCATGCTTCCGGCGGTGTTCACGAGGGAGGAAGAAGAGTTTGCGCATGATGTTATCGACCTTGACAAAGGCACTGACGAAGCGACCAGTCGACTTATCTTTGACTTTGCCAAACAAACAGAGACCGCCATTGATGTCTGTGTAGTCGAACCAGAAGAACCGTACACTGCCATCCTCCTCTTGAGCGTGTTGGGGATCCAGCTTACCGAACGTGACAGTCTCCACACCAGAACTGCTCAATACATTCAACTTGTCGGTGACGTTCGTCAATGCAGCCGTATCAATTGCTTCAGGGACCTGCCGTGAAGGAGAAGAGCTTGCTGGTGTCGGGTAATCTGTCTTTGTGATTTTAGGGACTGGTCTGTTTCCACGCATGTTGATGGCTGCTGTGCTTCGGGAAGACTGATTTGTGACTTGAGCAACCTCGAGCGTATCTTCATCCTCGTCTTCCTCGACCTTCACGTTCGACTCTTTTCGTTGTGCAGCCTTTGCAACAGGGGATGAAGGCAGAGGATCGCTCATTGGTACATCGTTGTCCTCGGGCGGCGGAAAGAGACCTTCGTCCATGGGGAAGTAGGTGTCGTCGTCAACAGGTGGTGGTGGAGAGTCGCCCTTTTGAGCTCTTGGTTCGTATCGAGGGATGTGGTTCATTTGTTCGACTGGCGGTGACAAAACTCTGGTCTTGCGGCGGCTCTCGGTTTTGACAGGATTCATTGTCGATCTAGGCTTGTATGAGGGGATGTTGGCATTGACCTCACCGAGGAGATCGGCCATGAAAGCAGCATCTTCGGCGGTTGAAGCCTGCTTGGGCTTGGGAGCAGCGACGGAGGGATTTGCGTTGAAGTACTTGCTGATGCCTTTGTTGATCTTCTCCTTCTTCTGGGCGTCTTCTTCACGCTTACGTTTTGCTGACTATGTTAGCATCCAGAATTGAACAGGAGGACTGAACGGGAGGAAGTACCAGCCTTGCCCCTTGCAGGCATATCGTCGTCGCTCTCATCATCATAATCTTGTTGTCGTTCGTTCTGCCAGTCTTCGCGTCCATCGTCTGCATAGCCTTCGCCGTTGTCGTCGACGACAAAGTCATCCTGGTCGAGTCTCTTCCTCACAAGCTTCTTGTAACTGTCCTCGTCGACTGTCTCGTAAAGTTGTTCCTCATCTTGAACTTCATATGTCGAGAAGTTTGTCCTGCCAGCCTTTCTTGCAGCACGGAGTTGAGCCAATTGATCAGCCTTAGTTGGAGGCATGATGCAATGCTTGTTGTGTGGTAATGTTGTATAAGACTGTGTATATGATGTTTGGTGATTGAGATGGACGCGGGTGGATTGATTATTGCTGCCAACGCGTCGTGTCGCGCTCGCGAGCTGTCAATCAATCTAACCCAAAACAGCAATCGGCCTAGCAACTCGACCAAAGCACCCGCGTCATCACTAATTATTATTTCTCTCCGTCACTTCTCTGCTGCAACTGCATGTTTCGCTTCATCACTTCTCGCATTCCTGTTCCTAGATACTCGACACTTGTCTCTAAATCTTCTGGACCGCCTATCCTTACATTTAATCACCGTCACTTCTCCGCCACCACCATCATGCCCGAGTCTCGCTCCAAGCACCCTCTCGTCTGGATTGACTGCGAGATGACCGGTCTCGACCTCTCCAAGGACACTGTCATGTCTCTCTGCTGCTTCATCACCGACGCCCAACTGAATGTCCTTGACGAGAACGGCTACGAAGCCGTCATTCATCACTCGCAATCCCAGCTCGACGCAATGGGCGAATGGTGCACACAACAGCATGGAAAGACGGGCTTAACAGCTGCATGCTTGGCCTCTGACAAGACTGCAGAACAAGTCGCTGAAGAATTGCTGGCTTATGTGCAGAAATACTGTCCAGAGAGAAAGAAAGCATTGCTTGCTGGAAATACTGTGCATGCGGACCGTGCCTTCTTGGTTCAGCAACCTTATACGCCCGTAATGAAGTGGTTGCACCATCGCATCCTAGACGTTTCTGCAATCAAAGAAGCAGCAAAGAGATGGGCGCCTATAGAAGTTCTCAAGAAGAGCCCTCCAAAGGCTGGAAAGCATGAAGCAAGAGCAGATATCCTCGAGAGTATAGCCGAAGCGCGGTACTACCAGAGGGCTTTCTTCCAGAACGGTGTCATCCCAAAGGATGAGCTCGAAGAAGAGTCTGCTGAGCTTGATGGCGACGCACATGGTTCAATCATTGGCGACAAGGAAGTCAAGCCAAAAGAAATAACCCAAGAAGTTGGTGCTGCAAAGGCCCAGACAACCGTTCAAAATCTTGAAGCAGAAGGGTTTGGTGCTACCTCTGGTGAGCAGGATCTTTCCAGGAACGGAGGCAATCGTGATTTGGCCTCGTAGACATTGATAAACAAAAATCAACAAATCAATAAAACTTATCTGGTAAGTGTCATAACTTCCACTTAATTCAATGCCCAAACATTTCATTGCATTAAACACACCACAAGTCACTCTTGTATGGTAATGAAAACATATGAATTTTGAACTGTTTTTCTTTTCGTGTTATGTACGCTGTGTTTCTGTACATGCAAAGTCGTTATATTAAAATGCTACATTCAAACCGGTGCGACACGCTTAGGTCTTGACATCAGGCTCGGTACGGCCAATGAACTCCTGCAACTTGAGGAGGTCGGTAGCGAGCTTGACGTTGTCCTTGAGGTAGTCTTGTGCGTCCATGTCGTAGGTCTTCTCGTCAGCATCGTGCTTCTCGACGTAGAGACGGATGGTGGCACCGCTGGAGCCAGTGCCCGAAAGACGGACAACAATTCTGCTGCCATCGTCGAACTTGACGTAGATACCCTGGTTCTTGCTGACGCTGCCGTCAAGGTCGGTGTAGCTGAAGTCATCGGCCTCGAGGACCTTGCGGCCAGAGATGGTGGAACCGACAAACTCGTCCTTCTTGGTGGTGATGAGCTCCTTCATGTGAGCGGTCATCTTGTTGGCACCCTCGGACTCACAGCCCTCGTAGTCGTAACGAGTGAAGAAAGTACGACCGTAGATCTTCCAGAAGTCTTGCTGGATAGACTTGATGCTGGGGGTCTCGCCCTTCTGCTGACCAACACCAGCGATAATGTTGAGCCATGCGACAACGGCCCAGAGACCGTCCTTCTCGCGGACGTGGTTGGAACCGGTACCGAAAGATTCCTCACCACAGATGTTCATCTTGTTGGCATCGAACAGACCGCAGAAGAACTTCCAGCCAGTGGGGACCTCGTATGATTCGAGACCCTTCTTCTTGGCGACAAGGTCAATGGCACCCGAAGTGGGCATGGAGCGGGCGAGACCGTAAACACCCTGCTTCTTGAAGTAGGGGATCAGCTCGGCGTGGTGAGCAATGATGGCGAGCGAGTCACCGGGAGAGACGAAAGCGCCCTTTCCGTAGATCATGTTACGGTCACCGTCACCGTCGGAAGCAGCACCGAAGTGGATGTTATTCTTCTCGACGGCCTCGACCAAGCTGTGGGCGTAGACGAGGTTGGGGTCGGGGTGGTGACCACCGAAGTCGGGCTTGGGAATGCAGTTCTGGGTAGAACCCTTCTGGCCGAGCTCCTTCTCGAAAACGTCGATACCGTAGTTGCCAGTGACACCACTCAGACCATCGAAGAGGATCTTGAAGTCGGGGTGCTCCTTGAGGAAAGCCTTGATCAAGTCAAAGTCGAAGATGTCCTTGAGCATCTTGACGTAGTCCTCGGTGGAGTGGATGATCTCGACCTCGAGGTCGTCGTAGGTCTTGGAACCAATGGAGCTAAGGTCGACATCGGGAATGTCGGAAATCTTGTACTCGGTGAGGGTCTTGGAGGTCTCGAAGATCTTGTTGGTGACGCTCTCGGGAGCGGGAGCACCGTTGGCAAGGTTGTACTTGATACCGAAGTCCTCGTCGGGACCTGTGAGGTGGGTTAGCTGGCGCGTTTTGTTGAATTGGCAGATTGCAAAGACTCACCACCAGGGTTGTGCGAGGCAGTCAGCAAGATACCACCAGTGGCCTTGCGAATGCGAATGATGTGAGAAGCGGCGGGAGTACTGAGAATGCCGTTCTGGCCAATGATGAGCTTCTTGACGCCGTAAGCGGCACCAATCTTTGCAATGGTCTGAGTGACCTCAGGGTTCCAGTAACGACCGTCACCACCGATGACGAGGGTGGAGCCCTTGACGCCCTCAGGGATGGACAGCAGAATGCTGGTAACGAAGGACTCTGAGTAGTGCTCCTTCTGGAAGACCTTGACCTTCTTACGAAGACCGGAGCTGGCAGAAGAGTCAGCAACAGAGTACAAACAACAAGGCAATTGAGTTGCTGGAGGCAAGCTTCAGAGGAGACAGAGGGTAAACAACTCACGTTCCGGGCTTCTGGTCTTGGAAAGGCTTCAAGGAAACAGATTTGACGCTCATGATGGATATGTTATGTGCTTGTCAGAAAGGAAGATTGGATAATTCAGGGAAACAAGCCAGAAATAGTTCAGGCCGGGTCGGTTTGCAAGCAGCAGCCACAACCTCAGCTTTACGTAGCGGGGTCTGTCCAAAGGCGGTGACGATGCGAAGCGTTGAGACCTGAGCCGCCCAAGCTTCCATTCGTGGGGTCTGCATCTAATAAAATCGCCATCCAATCGAACGCCACAATGTAACCAGAAAAACTGTAGCTCAATTCTAGATGGACCTTGATCGTCTGTTGCAGCTGCTCTTTTCCCAACAGCTATACGATCGTCTCTTTTGAGAGCTGGCTTTCGCAAGGCACAGTTCGTCATTCCCGTTTTGGTCTGTCTCACTTTTCAATCTCGAAGCTCGGACGCCTTGATTCCTATTTCTTACCGCAATGCCATTCTTGTTACTCAAGAACCCGTCTTACTTGGGTATGGCTTGTTCCAATATTGTAAAAAGTCAAGCTGCTTTGCCATTCTGACATGGTCCTCATAGAAGTCATCGAGTATTGTAGGTGGTGACAGTCGCTACTATCTGAAACATTGACTTCGTTTTTCGGCTTGCTCATGCCTGAATATCGAAACTGGACCCACAACCACAGCTACTTGTAGCTCCTGGAATTCCCGTCACCTTGAACTGACTGCCGATCAACTCCATTGTATAGTCGATCTTGCTGCCAGCTAGAAGCTCCAGACTTGGCTCATCGATGACCACTTTGGCTCCTTTACCATCTTCCGACTCGAAAACTGTATCTTCCTCTTGTGATATCTCATCTAGCGTTGTTGTCGACATAAGATACTGGAAGCCGTGGCAGCCGCCTGATTCTACCGCGACGCGGAGGCATAGGGATGGATTGTTCTCTTTCACAGAGATAGCATGCAGGCGCTAAGAACATCAATCAGCTCACTGTGGTGCTGATATTTCAAGTGTGTATAGTTACATTGACGGCGCGAGGCAAGATGTCGATTGTCATGTCTTCTCCATCCTCTTTCTTTCGCGGGTTGATTATGGCCTTGACCGCTTGCCGGCTCGATGCGCTGAAAGCTCGGCTATTCTGTGTCGGAAGAACATCTTTTGCGAAGGGCGCAAATCGTGGGAGTGGTGCAGATCGTGGCGATAATTGTGACGGACGAGCAGCGAGCGATAGTTGGCGGCGGGGGTAAAATATACGTGCGTCTCTCGATGCTTGCTTGAACGCGCTACGGCAGCATCGCAGCAAAGAGTCTCTCCCTGAAAGTGCCATGTTTGGTTATAGTGAATGAGTTCTAGGTATGCAAATGATGGAGTGATCGCATCGCATGATCGCAAAGCGGCGGCGAGAGTTATGTCAGCAAAACGCCGACAATCTCCGAGAAATCTAATCTGACCATCTCGTATTTCCCAACACGGACAAGGCGACGTGGTGAACGGGATCGGACACTGCTCCCAATCACATGTCTTCTGCCGAGCAAACATCTAAACAAGTGACCCGAGCGAGTGTCGGAATTATTCTTTCCTAGCTATGTCGGATAATCTGTCATCGTCCCCAGGAGTTCCGCGAATTCTGATCATCGGCGCTGGCTCTCGTGGTACTGCTTACGCTCGAGCTGTATCAGAATCAGGAAATGGCATTGTAGCTGCTGTCGCAGAACCTATAGCTTTCAAGCGCAACCTCCTGGGCTCTAAGTACATCTGGAACTCGAGTGGGGGACCGTCAGATGGTCAAGAGTTCGATGACTGGAAACACTTTCTGCAGTGGGAGACCAAACGTAGGAATGACGCTGCTGCCGGCCGTCCGGTTCCTCCTGGTATCGACGGCATTTTCATCTGCATTCTTGACGAACAGCATGCAGAAGTCATCACTGCTTTAGGTCATCTATCCATTCACACACTTTGTGAGAAGCCATTGGCTACAACACTCAAGGATTGTATGGCCATATCAGCGGCTATGTCCTCTCAGCAAGGAGGGCAATCAGCTATCTTTGGAATTGGACATGTTCTGCGTTATAGCCCTCACAACATGCTGTTGCGCAAACTCGTGCTTGAAGAGCAAGTCATCGGTCCTGTGCTGTCCATGGAGCATACTGAACCCGTAGGCAATTGGCACTTCACCCACAGCTACGTTAGGTAAGTATATGTCATTGACATGGTTGTCTCCTTTGTTGATCTGAATACCAGAGGCAATTGGAGAAAAGAATCCACAACAGCCCCTTCATTACTAACAAAATCATGCCACGATATTGACTTCCTTCTGTGGATGTTATGTTCACCTGCCCCGGGAACTGGTCACCCGGCTCATGTTCCAGCATCGGTGGCTTCATTCGGATCCCTGAAACAGTTCCAGCAATCTCGTAAGCCTGCAGGTGCAGGTGCCGCCACGAACTGCCTACAGTGTTCGATCGAGAAGACTTGTACCTATAGCGCTCCAAGGATATATTACGACAACCAGCTTGCCAAGGGAAATACCGATTGGCCAGTCAACATCGTCAATCCCGAGATCGAAGCCTGTTACAATGATCAGGGCAAAGAAGCAGCGAAAGCTATGCTGTTGAAGACACTTGGAAATGACTATGATGACCACACACCCTCCGAAGAGATACACAAGCGTCCCTGGTTTGGAAGGTGCGTTTGGGAATCCGAGAATGATGTGTGCGATGATCAATTCGTCCTTCTCTCGTGGAACGACGACCCTTTGACTGAAACAGTAAACGGCAACCTGCCCAACCCTAATGGCAAAGACCCTCCGGCTAGAATGGCCAAGACAGCATCCTTCCACATGATCGCTCAAACTGAGAAGCAATGTGAACGGCGAGGCCGAATCTATGGCGAGCAAGGCGAAATCTCGTACGATGGAACCCTAATCACGGTCTATGATTTCCCAACTGGTCAATTTCAACATCATCGTCCGCATAGACCTGGCGGGGGTCACGGTGGAGGAGACTACGGACTGGCAACGCAGTTCCTCAAGGCCATCAATGCGGTGAGGTCAAAGAAATTGTCCATCGAGGAGGCTCAGATGCAACACCTTGGATGTACCCTGGAAGAAGTAATCAGAAGCCATGCTCTAGTCTTTGCAGCTGAGGAAGCTCGTCTTGAGAACAAGGTCATCGACTGGCAGCACTGGTGGGACTCATGCCAAAAGAGATTCGGTCACAAAGTACCTGCACATTAACCCTTGACAGCCCTAATGTGCTCTTATTTCCACCGATACAAGCAAGATGCACTGTGTATCTGCACTCTTTGCATCTCGGTCAACCTGTTGTCCTTCATCTCAAGCCCTGTGATATTTGTTCGTCTTGGCGAATGTGCCTTGGCACGTTTCAGCAAGTGAGGCTGTGTTGACTCCACACCATGATCAACCTCATGGTTCGACACATATCACTGTCGCTAAGTGGTTGTTCAAAGAGGGATCATCATATCAAAGACTTGATTCAGACATGCCAGCTTCGCTTTCAGGAGTCATAGGGCTGGACAGTGACATCTAACGACCTTGGGTCCTCGCCCTCATGCATCATGCCTGTCCACTCCTCATCGCCTACTTCCGCGTTTCAAAAGCTAGTCAGCAACGAGCTTTCGAGGTCTTTTGCTTCCGAAAGGGCTCGATATTGGCATGACTCGCAAGTCTCGACACGCTTCCGATCTGGCGGTGATGTGCTTCTACCAGAGTGTGATCCTTGTGACATGTTCTCTCCAAGCTGCGGTGCATTCACACGAGCTTGGGTAGATCAACACATAAAAGACTGCTGTCGTTTCAGATCTGTGCAGTGCAACTTCGATATAGTACTCTTGACGCGCATCGAAGGTAATGCACGCCTAGCCCTACTTGTTTGTCGAGTATATAAACGACCATCTCTTCCGCCTTGTAACATTCTTTCCTTCTTCAGAGCCGTGCTCCAGACCAACTACACAAAACCCCCATTCCTTCATTCAGCAAAAGTCCTTCTTTTGAATCTTCGTCAACAACAACTTCTGCTTCTCTCCTTACCAACCAACCAGTAACCATGTATTTCAACACTTCCGCCATCCTCGCCGGCCTCCTCTCCATCGCTGCCGCAGAAAGACTCGGTCCCCTACGCACCCGCGCCTCCTCCAGCTTCCCCATCCCCGCCAGCAAAGGCTCCGTAACGTACTCCTCAGCAAAAACCATCTCGGGCACTTTCGACGGCGGCTACAAGACCTACGGACGCGGCGTCTCCTGCGGCGGCCAAGCCGAAGGCGGCAACTCTGATGCCGTGTTCCTTCTCGAAGACGGCGCTACCCTCAAAAATGCAATCATCGGTAAAGACCAGAGTGAGGGTGTGCATTGTCTAGGCGCTTGCACGATTCAGAATGTGTGGTGGGATGCTGTGTGTGAGGATGCGTTGACCTTCAAGGGTGATGGTGACGGTAAGGTTATTGGTGGTGGTGCTCGTGGTGCTGAGGATAAGGTTATTCAGCACAATGGTGTTGGGTCGATCTCTATTGATGGCTTCACCGTTGAGGACTTTGGAAAGCTTTATCGCAGTTGTGGTAACTGTAAGCAGAATGGGTAAGTCTGCTCTCGCTATCCCTACCAATCTACCGTGAGAGATAGACTGACAAGTTTGTTCTACAGCGATGCCAGAAAAGTCACCATCAACAATGTCAAGGCTACCAATGGCAAGTACCTTGTCGGCATCAACAGCAACTACGGCGACACTGCTACCATCACCAACACTTGTGCTTCATCTGTCAAGCACATCTGCCAGGAGTACAAGGGCACCAACAATAATGATGAGGAGCCTTCTACTCTTTCGGAAGGTCCTTCTGATGCTTGCATCTACGAGGAATCTGATGTTTCTGTCTGCTAAACTGGCTCTTCCTGGAGGGTTTCTGGGTTGTGACTTGACGGGGTTGGCACGGTGATAAATTGGAGATGGATCTCTTAAAGGATGAAGAGGTCTCCCCTGTCTCTATGGATGTTCTCGGGCTGGTTCCTGGGGACACTTTTTGCAAACAAGAGAAGTTTGAGTGGAATTGTTGTCATCGATTCATTACATATTCTTATGGACGTCGTGAAAGTGAACATAAAAGTTCGTCATATGTTCGAGCTGTAGTCACACGATGTGCTTTTACAACCATTCCTTCTTCCTTCCGACATCTAGTTCAGAAAGTTTGGGGTGGGTGTGGGGCGATGGTTGCCTGAATGTTTGTAGGAGTGTCGGCAGGGGTAGCCTGTTGAGCAGCTGGGCGTTCATTGACACGCGCAACTCTGCCAGCCTCGGCCTGGCCTGGAGCCGCACGATAATGCGTGCAACTCTTCTCATGGCGTTGGTTACCGTCTCTGTAGATATGGGTGTACGACGCCAAGCAGATCCAGCAGAATTGATGGCGGCATCTCGAGCCTAGAGAATTTGTCAGTGTTAAGCCAAATAGTTGAATGGTAAAGTACTGACAAGTCATGTGGTCACAGCCGTTGTTCTTCTGAATGGGAACACGACATTCAGGGCATGGCTTCGAGATCTTTTCAACTTCCTTCTCTGACTTTTCGTCGTTCTCGGTGTTGCGGTGAAGTTCGGCCTGAAACTCTTCGCAGGTCTGGTCTTCATGCCAGTTTGTCTCGCAGACGACACAATGCTTGTGTCTACACACCTGACAGGAGAATATGGGCTCACTTGCGCCACCCGGATGTAGCTGACCTGATTCGCAGGCCGAAGAGAAACAAAATCTGAAGTCAGGGTCTGCAGCGAGGGTTGCCCTGATAGATGCTCGCTCATACCTAGATTTTCCTTCGTCAGTCGATTCACCGAGACCATTGAAGATAAGATAGCTCACTTGGCAAAGTGCTCAGCGTTCGTCATGTGCTCGACTTCTTGGTAGGTCAACTTGATCGGGCATTCTGGGCATGCAACTTCGTCCCAGTTCTTGGAGTCAATCTCGACCTTTAGGTGGCTGAAATAACAAGGACGACAGACGTTGGCACCGTGATCGTGTGAAGAGACCTTTGTCTGGCCTGGGAACTGGCTGAAGTGCTTCTTAGTATCACACACGAGGCATGTACGCTTGCGGCACTGCTTCTTCTTTGGTGGTCCGGACTGGGCTTTGCTGGATGCAGCTGTCTCCTCAGCAGAGCGCTTCAGGGCTTTGGAAGCAGCCATGATAGCGGTGTTGTGTGTTAGAGAAAGGAAAAGACGGAGGTGGACGAGGTGAGAGATGGAGGGGTTGAGTGAGTTGAGAGAGGCACCAAATCTTTACTGGTGAGATTCGCTCAAGTGAAAGTGAAGACAATGCTACTGCGAGAACTGAATTGCAAAGTTGAAGACCTCTGAACTTCTAGTGAGGAGGAAGATGCGCACTGCCATATGAAGTCGCCGCTGAGTGAATGGTACGTTTCATGAGAGAGGCAAATGAGAGGCGGAACTGAATACAGGTACAAGCAAATTCGAATCTCAATACTTATCCCTGATGGATATGTTGAATTTCAGCTGTCAGTGGATGTGTGATTCGATTAGTCGTACTCGTCCACATAGACTGAGGGTGCCGAGAACGATCTCAACTCGAAGCAGCCATTGAGAAACTAACCGTTACCGCGACGATGTAGGTCGAGACTCATGATCGTACGAAATTCTTTGAGCATTGTTACTTCACCAGTCAACACGATGGCAATTTTGAACCTGTTTTTGTGTTGATTATGAAGGATGTATGGCTGCGTGATCAGAGTACTGAACTAGAAAGTGCAGTCAAGAGTTTTGTCCACCACAACGCGAGACCATCCAAGATTTTTGACAGCCCTTTCTTCAACATTGCTCTTTCCAGAACCCGACCTGTCCCACTGAGTCTCACTGTTTCACAAAATGTGAGTGGTTGAAAATAATCGCAGACTTACAATATACAGGCAGTCTTTCCAGCTGCGGTAGAAATCTCAACTATGGTCCGGTCAAGCAGAAGTGCCGTTCTCAAAGCTTGGGGTCGCACTTTCCTCTTTCAGTAGGTCAGAACACGACGATATGAATCGTAAATCTGTCAAAGATAGGGCGTTTCGTTCCCTCTCACAATGCTGGAATCACAGCCTTCAACAACAGCGGAATCCTAAGTACATTCTGGCACTCATCTTCTCTCACGCAACATGGACGGCCACGATCTCGTCCTGAACTGGCGCGGTGACGTTATCGAGAACAGTCATATAGTCCACGCTGCCATCGTCGACAGCGACAACAACCTCCTCTACTCTCTCGGCAACCCATCTCGTCTAACACTGGCACGTTCAGCTGCAAAGCCTTTCCAAGCATTCGCAATTCTCGAGACCGGAGCAGCAGAGAGATTTGGATTCGATGAAGCCGATGTAGCTTTGATATCTGGGTCCCACAACTGTGAAGACAAACACATCTCTCGCGTCACTGCCATGTTGCAGAAAGCCGGTGTGACTGAACAAGACATGAATTGCGGTGGTCACCCTGCCCTTTCAAAGGTCGTCAATGCTGGATGGGTAAAGTCAGAATTCATACCTACAGCAACCTATAGCAATTGCTCTGCCAAACACGTAGGCATGCTCGCCGCTGCAAAGGCTCTTGGTGCTGGAACAAGAAACTACAATGACCCATCACATCCTGTCCAACTGAAGATCAAACAAGCACATGAAGAGCTCGCCGACCTGAAACCTGAGGAACTTCGCTGGGTCATTGATGGGTGCAACGCGCCATCGCCAGCATTGCCTCTCAAAAATTTGGCGTTGATGTTCGCGAGACTAGCGCACGCGGCAGATGAAAAAGACGGCAATTCTACTCCTGGACCACCAACACAAAATCTAGCACGGATTTATCATGCAATGACAGCACATCCAGACATGATTGCTGGAGACTCACGCTTCTGCACCGACTTCATGCGTCTCTTCTCCGGAGCTTTGGTAGGCAAATTAGGCGCAGAAGGCTGCTATGGGGTTGGCATCCGAGATTGTGATGCTACGAGGCGTCTAGGCGCTAAGGGCGGGTTGGGCATTGCAGTCAAGATTGAGGATGGCAATATTGATATGCTGTATGTGGCGCTGATGGAGATACTCACCCGATTGGATATCGGCACGGAGCAGATCAGGGAGGAGTTGAAGAGATCGTATTGTACATTGCCCAAGAACACAATGGGTATCGTGACAGGGCACACGTCTTTCAAGATGGACCTCAAGAAATACAGCTAAGGTATATGTTTATGCAGTAAAATGTTGCCAACAACAAGTTGATGCAATGCAGAGCGCTTATGATATCGGAACAAACGGGATCGTGTGCTGGAGACAGGTGTTCAAGGGCCTTGATTCGTTGGGCATGACTCCTAAACCGTTCATTCTCCACTCCACGGGATTTACTCTACTTCTCGACCTTATTGACATCTTCCACAAACGCAGCTCCGCCTTCACTGCCTCTCTTCTCTTCGTGCATCATCTCCTTGGTACCCTGTTCGACGTCTCCACTCAGACTGATCTTAACTGGTTGGCTACGTCCAGTGAATTTGTGGATACCCTCGCTTCCTTCCTTGACGAAGAGGTAATCAACTTCCTCCAAAGTCAGGTTGGAAGTTTCAGGGTAGCTGTTCGATGTTATTTAGCTGAGAAGCGTTCGGAGAAGAAGGTGGTCTACTTACCAGAAGTAGACTAGAGGCACGAAGGCCAGATTTGTGCACATGAATATCAAGTAGGCTTTCCACTGCAGATTATTGATCAAAGTCGGCGTGATCATGACCACAACGAAGTTCTGTTGTCCAGTCAGCAGTGACCATGGAGCATGAATGAAGGCATCAACCTACCCAGAGCCAATTCGAAGAAATGCCGATTGCTGTACCCTTTGCTCTTGCGTGGAGGGGCAGAATCTCCGGGACATACACCCTTTGATTTGTTAGCGCTTCTCAACTTTTGACAATTTTGCAGCCGCCGATATTACCATGGGATACAGTTCGCTGAAGACCCGAATAGAAGCATCTGACAGGGGTTAGCCTCCTTTCATTCAATCCGATGCGTTCGGAACACTACTTACATAGGTGAAGAAGAATGTAACACTTGCGCTCGAAGTGGCGTGATATAGTTGTTGTGAGTATCCACGAGCAGGTGAGAAACTCAGCAGAACAGCAATGAGCATCATGGAGATGGCAAGCCCAAAAGATCCCCACATCATGGGCTATCATCGATCGTTAGTTCTGGCTTGCCAGGCAGTTCTCAACAAACTTACACGTCTTCGGCCCATTCTGTCGAGGAAGAATGTTGGAACCAGTGATCCGATGAAGAAGCAGCATTGGACAAAGCCACCTTCCTGTCGCGTTAGATCTTCCAATTGCGTCTGTGTTCGTCTTTAAGACCTACCGATGAGAAGAGCCAAATTGTGCGACAGACCGACGTTGTACTGCAGGGCAGAGGGAACATAGTAGCTGTTTCTCGATCAGTGGAACTCCAATAATACAGATGCTCATATTCAAACTCACACGACCAAGTTGATACCTCCGATCTGGTTCATAAACTGCATGCCATAGGCAAGAAGAACGCGTCTTCCGGTCTGTACTTCGTCTCGCTTGAAAATCTGGCTCCATCTGCGGACATTCTTTGTCAGTGCCCATAACTTCAGACGTCATACTACACGAAGTCCGTACTTGTACTCGCCATGCAAGCGTTCCAATGCCAGCGCATCAAGGATATCTTTCTGTTCTCGTGCAATCTTTGGGTCGTCTGGCGTGCCATCGTACACGTCGCATAGGACTTGTAAAGTCTCTTCATTGCGGCCTTCCTTGTATAGATATCTAGGCGACTCGGGGACTCCAAAGACCATGAAAATGACAACCTGCTTCTCGTCAGCTGATGTGGCCAGTATTCGAATTGTGAGCACAGACAAAGGCAAAGATGATCTGACAAGCGATTGGTAGACGCCATGCAATAGGACCTCCAGCATAGGCGATTCCGTAATCGAAGAAGTAGGCGATGACGATACCAACACCGACAAAGAGCGGTTCAGAACTGACGACACGACCACGTTTGTGTGCTTCGACCAACTCGCTTTGATACATGGGAACAGTACTAGTCTCGATACCGGTGCCGATGCCAGTAACGTAGCGAGCGACAAGAATCTGTGGAACGCTGTAGGAGGTCGTCTGAAGGATGGCACCGACAATCTACAAGAATCAGCACTGTCATCGCGTCCTTGGATCCTTGAACGTACGATGAAACCCATGGCTATCCACATGGACAGACGTCGACCAGCTTTCTCTCCACCAAAGAAGGCTAGAATACATCCACTGAAGGCACCCTGAATTCAATTAGTTTGGTTGGATGTCGAGAGGGTACAAAATGGCAATACGAGATTGTATATCGAGACAATAATGCCTTCGAGTCCGCTTCCTGGGTAGCCAAATGTCTTGCGCCAATCTGCATTTCCAACAATGCCGGAGAAGACTCCTTGATCATCTGAATTTTGTCAAATGTCTGAAACACCATGGTAATTGATGGTTCACCCACAGCCAAACAAAATAAAAGCAAGCTGTTGTTCGTCAGAATACACCAATGCAAATCCTCATCAACGTGCTTACCTGACAGGTAATTATGATTGCTATCTGCAGCGGCCTACCGCGTCTGAAGAGATTTAGGCGAGGCATGGTCGGTCTGGGTCTGGAGAATTCTCTACTACCGACGGCAACAAGATATATAGAAGTGAGGTAGAATCCAAGTCAGAATTCGCAGACCGCGTGTGGAACTCGGCCTACATATAGAGATACACATCGTATCGCTGCCGCACAGCTCTCCGAGAGAATGGTACGGTAGCTCAATCTATTGGCTATGAGACCAGCATCATCGGTAGATGTCTCTACGAGCAGATGTGGTACAAGAGTACAAGATCTGCATTCTGTTCCATATGGTGCGGGGTTGGCGGTTGCGGAGAGGATGAACCGTGGGGTTTACTACAGAGGAAGACCTGGTGATCAACAGGGACTTAACCTCGGTGGAATAGCGTCCGTTAGGTCCATGATTGGGCATACAGAATGCGGTAATCCCTGGCGCCAGCCCGTCAAGCAATAGTACCTCTGTGATCGGGAATAGAGAGCGGCAGCCACGAGCTGTGAATGCTTTTAACCAGCCACGTGAATGCAACGCGTCCATGGCGATCTTTCGAGGGTTGACTTTGCCAGTATACCATGAGAGGAAAGTGAGATTTAGTGACGTCGCAATCCTCGTGCTGCGCGGTAGGATAAGGATTGACTTTTGAAGCGCCACCTGCCTCATGACCAGTAACCAACGATGATTGCAACTGTAAGGTGCGACTGCGAACGTCGAAGGCGATCAAGCAGGAGCGACGGCACAATTGAGAATCTTTCTCGATGAACACAAGAAGCAATGTCGTGAAGTTGTTCTGCGAACATATTTATTAACAATGCTATGTTTGATGAAGTATATGCAAGTCCCGGACCACCAGCGCCTACGCTAAGATAAAGCAAGTCGAAAAAAGGTCATCATGGTTTCACGTTATCATGGCCTCGCCATCGGCGTAGTCGTCTGATTGGGTCTCCAAGCCCAAGCCAATTTTGTCAGGCAAGTCGGAGCTCTTGGTTTCGCGCGCTCTTTGCTCGGCCCATGCTCGCAGTCGCACCAGATTACGGATGCGTGCCTCACGTCTCTGGCCTTGAGAAGACAGGATGGCTTCATTGACTTGACTAGCCACTGTCTGTCTCAGACTGAGATCGAGAAGTTGTTTGAGTTGAGGCGTGAGCTTGTCCGATGGGAAGATCAACAGGGCCATAGTGCGTTCAAGGTCTTGCAAGAAAGCAGGCGAAGTTGGGGCCCTTGGAGCAAGTTGCGAGGTTGCAAACTCAAGAGCAGGTGTGAAGGCAGTGGGCGATGGCGGACCTGGTGCATTGACGATTTCACGAATAAGTTCGATCAACTGCAAGCGAAGTAGCTGGAAGTGCAGAGTCGGGTCATTGTCAAGGATCTGTACCAACAGTTGTTAGCATCAATGTCTTTGAAGGAAATGATGTGACAGTGAGGTGTGAGAGTGGTTGTTGGGTCATACTGAGGACTGAAGTGTGTGTGGTTTGTATCATCAATGCCCGAAGCTATGCGTGGTGCATGAAAAAACCGTATAATCATAACAACATGGTGTGAAGGGGGAGTGGGTAGTAGATATGGAGACTGACCTGTGGGTTGAGTTCATTGATGCGCTCAATGGCAAGCTGTATGTCACCAGTGTGAATGGCGTTACGAATGTCTACTCTTTCTTGAATGGCTTCGCCGTCGGCCGAAGGAACGATGCTGGCTTCTTTAGCAAAGTTCATTGCGGCGTCGGGGTAGCCTTCATTGATCAGATAGTCCATGATGAGGAAGTTCAGATCTCTGTTGAAGAGCGTCAGTCAAGGAGGTCCTGAAAGAGCAGTCTTCATAATGTAAGGTGAAGGGGTCGAGTCAGAAGGACAAAATTCTGTAGTTCTCCACAGAGGTTTCGGAGAGATTCCCATTTTGAGTGTAATCAACATCATTCGATGGAGGGGTCATGGAGCGTGTGTAATATGAAGAGAAGACTTACGCTTTGGATGGTTTGACCTCGTCCACGCGGCGATCGAATGGATGCCGCAAGGACGAAGGTGGTGGGATAATGGTGCTCTGCGTGAGAATGTTAGCCGCTTTTGGAATTGTTTGCTGAATGATTGCGCATTGCGAAGCGCATGTTGTTGTGACGTACCATTGTTGTAGACGAGTCGAGCTGCAAGGGCCCATCAGGTTGGATGACGGACTGGAGCAACTACAATTCACAACCTGCTCTCTCGTGTTTCCAACAGACGGATGTGCGAAAGGCAGAGAGGTGCAAGATGTGATGGAGATGGGAGAAGAAAGCTTTGTTGGTTGGTGAAGAAAAGAGCTGTTCTTGCGCTCGGTTGTGCTCGGACCCGATACTGGACGGCATGTTCCACCAAGAATTTGGCAGATTCCTTTTCTTCACAACCGTCACCTTTCACTTCTGAGCTTGCTAAGCTATCTCTTTTGCTTTGCTTCGCCATGGTCGTGTCACGATTGTTCGTCAACGACTGAATATGGCCGCCCCCAATGCTCTCCAGAGAATGGAGCGCTCCCACTACTCTCCGCCATGGGCCAACACGAGCATCATTGGCGTTGCCGGCAGCTCGGGTTCCGGCAAGACGTCGCTTGCTCTGGCTATCATCAAGCAAATGAGCCTGCCTTGGGTTGTCATTCTGTCAATGGTTCGTTTGTCTGGCCCCTGAGTGAGGCTTCGTTGTACCAACTCCTTCCAGGACTCGTTCTATCGTCCCCTCACTCCGGATCAGATTGCCGCTGCGCATAGAAACGAGTATGATTTTGACTCGCCTGATGCTATCGACTTTGATGTTTTGGTTGAAAGACTAAGAGACATCAAAGAAGGGTATGTTTCTATTTGACTTCACACTCCAGCATCCTTTGCTAACTCCCTGATAGCAAAAAGGCCGAGATCCCTGTCTATTCCTTCGAGAAGCATTCTCGTCTGGACAAGACTACAACGATCTACTCTCCTCACGTGCTCATCCTGGAAGGCATCTTCGCTCTCCATGATCAGCGCGTGCTTGATCTTCTCGATCTGAGAATCTTCTGTGAGGCAGACGGAGACCTCTGTCTTTCACGAAGAATCGTTCGAGATATCAAGGAACGTGGTCGTGACATTGAAGGCTGTATCAAACAGTGGTTCACTTTTGTCAAACCAAACTTCCACAAGTTTGTGGAACCTCAGCGGAACGTAGCTGGTATGTGTTTGCCTTTTTATCTTTCTTACCTCACTGTCTTTCATGATGATACAACCACCATAAGCATAGTTCAACAGAATACTCGTGTTGATAAACCTTACCATCATCTTTCGCTCCTATCTGATTTATCATACTCAACCACACATCTTCAAGTCTTTCTTTGAGATTGACCGATGCTGACTATCGAGTATAGACATTATCGTTCCTCGCGGCATTGAAAACAAGGTCGCCATTGACATGGTGGCCGATCGCATCCACAAGACTTTGGATATCAAGTCAGAGGAGCATCGCGCCGAGTTGAAACGCTTGGGCAAAGAGACCAAGGATCTTCCTCTCTCACCAAACGTCGCCATCCTGGACGGCCCTTCGCAAATCACAGGCATCAACACTCTCCTCAACCGCAAAGAGACAAGCCGTGAGGACTTTGTCTTTTACTTCGATCGTCTCGCCGCTCTGCTTGTGGAGCGCGCAACTGAGAACGCCGACTTTGATCCCGTCACTGTCACCACACCTCCGCCCCACGATCATGAGTACAATGGCTTGCGCATGACTGGCGAGGTCAGTGCTGTCGTCATCCTCCGCGGCGGAAGCATCCTCGAGACTGGTCTCCGACGTGTCATCCCTGACTGTCGCACTGGTCGCATGCTCATCCAAACATCGTACCGCACCGGCGAGCCCGAGCTGCACTACTTCAAGATGGCCGGCGACATCTCCACACACAACAAAGTCTTGCTGTTGGATCCGCAAATGTCTAGTGGTGGTGCTGCTCTGATGGCTGTTCGTGTGTTACTGGATCACGGTGTGGAGGAGAGCAGGATTGTCTTCGTCACATATATTGCTGGCAAGAGAGGATTGAATAGACTCATGACTGTCTTTCCTGATATTCATGTTGTCGCCTGCAGGGTTGTTGACGACTATGAGGAAAGATGGGTTGAGAATAGGTATATGGGCTGCTAGAAGGCCCGTTACCATCTGTACATACAATGAAACAACATACTCTTCAACTTCTCAACTCCTCATGATTCTTGCTCGCTGTCTTCTTGAGCCTCTTGATAGGTTGATCACATCTTGTCGTGTGCCGAGTGATCAATCATGAATTCGTAATGTTGCTTCTTTGCCGGAAAACATGAAAAGACTTTTGATTTTAACAAGCTCTCACAACCGTGGGTATCTATCTCGTTCTCTTCAATCCTCCTTGTCTGCAATCAATCCCTCGTAAGCACCTTTAACCTTTTCCTCCATAAACTTCCACAAAGTAGCATCAGCATACGGCTTCTCAAACTCTGGTTTCTGAGCATCCGGAGGATGGAACCAATAGTTCAGAGCAATATGCACGTTATCCTCGCTCTTCTCATCACTGAACGAGGTAACCTCATGGAACCAACTAGTAGGCAAGTAAAGCATATCGCCTGCTTTCAGCTCCACAATATACGGTTTGCCTGCTTTCTCCAGCGCGGCAGAGGTTTTCTGAGTCGATGTGAGACCGAGGTGGGAATGTAGATCTTGTGTCGATACTTGAGAGAACGAAAGAGGTTCGGTAGGGAAAGCAGAGTCCTCGCCTTGAGCATTGGCAAAGGCTTCTTCGAGGTCAGAGACATCTTCGTCGTCGTCAAAGTCGTCGCGTTGGCCGTTTTGGGCGCGTTCGAGGGCTTCGAGGAGTTCGGCGTCTGAGTCGTCGTCGTTGGCATCAGAGTCTTCGTCGTCTTCGGCACCTGCTTTGGCGGTCTTGCTGGGTTTGCTGCCAGACAAGTCTTCCTCGGCTTTACGTTTCTTGTTGGGTGCGTCGCGGAGGACTTGGTCTTTGAGGTCCTCGGGATCTGATTCTTCTTCTGAAGAGACCTCGTCAAAGTCATCCTCGCCCAGCTCGCCGAAGTCAGCGGCTTGGTACTTCATCAAGCGCTCGACGGCATCGCCATATTCTTTCTGAACCTTGTCGAGTCCTTTCTTCTCGCCGCTCTCTTCGAGTTTGTCCATTTGTTCCTCGAGGGCCTGGACCTTCAATGCAGCGGCATCTCTTTCTACAAGACCATCTGCTCTGATCTCGTCGGCTTCGTTCTCCTCTTCTTCCATGCCTTCTTCGTCTTCGCCAGGCTGCTTGTAGACAATCAAGCCGTTGGGATGAATCTTCTTGGGCTTGCCGTACGTGTCGAGGTGGTAGACGGCCGAAGGAGGGTACAGGACGAAACGCTTGCGACCCTTCAGCAGAATGTAGAGATTGTCGTGGAAGTCATGGTGAAGGCCAGAGCTAGTGCCAGCTTTGGTCTTGCCGAGCCAGATGTTCATCTGTTGAAGAACGAGGTTGCCCATCATCTCGGGACGCATAGGAACTTCGTCGCGCAGAAGAGCACGCACAGGTTGTGGGAAAGTGCCATTCTTGATTTCGTTGTCTTGTCCATCTTCCTTCTCTTCATTGTCCTCGTCATCGTCCTCGCTGTCCATGTCGTCTTCGTCATCCGAGTACTGGGTGGTGAGGTAGTCGTATTCCTCCTTCTCTTCCCTTAAGGAGTCGAGAAAAGCGCCAAAAGTGGTATCAACGCGCTCGACATCAGTGCCATAGCGTTTCTTCTCCTTGTGCATGGGCTCGACCTTGACGGAAGCATCGCCAGCTGTTTCGCGCAAGTAGTCGACATTAGACCAATTCTTGGTAACAAAGTCGAGGTCTTCCAGCTTTCCTTGGATTACAACAGGTTGGCGCTTGTGAACGAAGTTGGAGTAAAAGTCTTTCGGCTGGCCGAGCTTCCATTGAGGGATCTTGCCGTCGGTCATCTTGGGTGCTTCGTAGGTTTGTGATTTGACAGCCTTCTCTACTCTCTTGCCAGATCCAGGCTTGTTCTTCTTGGTGCGTGTCATTTTTGGTGTGATATTATGATGAAGACAAAAAGGAGACTTGAGAGCTGGATTTTGCGAAAGATGTACGGACATATATTTTTCTTATCACCGAGGATGTGGAGAGAGCAGGTAACTCCTTCCACCTTGATTGGCTTCTCATTATCGAATCGACCCCTTTCCTTTTCAACTCCAAAGCTCTACTCCGAGTACTCGGCTGTGCGTACTGGAACACAAGTACCTTCTTCGATCCGTTTTCCATCATGTAGCTCTGCTATTCGAGAAGTTGAAAGCACCACAGCTACAATGTTTGTCGTGCTCTCGCATTCCCGTCCACACAAACCTACCCGTCTTGCCTGGCACCCAAACACACAGTCTTGACGTATCACGACGAGTTTTCCCTGTCCTGATGTATTCAAAATCGCAGTGGCAGTTGCGATCCTGCTCCTTCCTGTGAGATTCGAGCTCTTTTACTATCCTCAGGCATAAAAAATTCACCCAGAAGCCCCAAGTGCTCTTCTGCCTCCTGCACGCAAAGAAAATGTCTGGCTGGTGCCCGTTATCGTCGCTCAAGCCATAATGGCAACTGACTGCCTTGCCTTCGACTCGAAATCTACGCTTGTATACGTTTCTGGATTTCAACCTCCACGGGTCAAGGCTGTAGCGATCTTCGTAGGCTGGGGGAAGGTCCGGAGCAGGTGTGGGTGTAGGCCTTGATATCACGACTGTTGCGCTGTTCTTGGCTACAGCCGCAGGTTTCGATCTTGGTGAATCTGTTGTGCTGTTCTTGGCTGCACTTGCAGATTTAGACGTAGATGGACCTGTCATGACCATCAGCATGGCTACAGGGTGGAGCGCTCCTGTGTTTGATTCCGTTGCTCTCATACTGTCTGCTGCTGCGGCTTTCGGTCGTGAAACTTTGGTTCGCCATTCGGGACGTCTACCACTATATGCGTACGCCGAAGACTCTCGGTCAATCGTTGGAGACGCCCACAACCTGTCGCAAGCCTCTTCTGTCGTCATCCTCGATGTCGAGTTTCGTGCCGGGGTATTGAATGTGTAAGTTGAGGAACTGCTTTTGAGAAGATGTTCAGTCCCCTCTCGCTAGCTTTATAGGTCAGGAAACCTTAGTTCCTAAGCAAAAAAGCTAAGAGTAAGTTTAAGAGGATTTGGTGACCTCAGGCCATCCAAAGTTCAATCCCCATGCTGAGATTTGTCTGACCTCAGAACCATCTTTGAAACACTTTCCTCAACATGATTTAATAATTGTCGGAGATATGGGTCAGGCCAACTCTTCGTTGAGGCCGACTAAGAGACCAAACGCTTTGCGTCCTACCAGGGATCCTACTCGCAGTCGACAATCACTCAAAGACGAAGATTTGCCTTGGCGTATGTCTGGAAAACCTCGCACGAAATGCTTTGTTCGAAAACTATACCGAGGACGATCAGTATGGCATGAATATGCTTGGAAAAAGTCTTGCGAGGCCAACCACAAGCACTGCAAGGACAAGGAGCCAGAGGTCCTTTTCAGCTGCAAACTAGAACCTAAGAAGTCAAGGCATCTCAGGAAGATCGACAAAAAGTGTAGGACTATTGTCATGAAAATGATAGACCATCGATCTGCAATGCGGTGTGACTGCGACCTGGAGTACATCAAGACTAATAGAACAAGTCGCGACATGACGAAGGGCTCCATCATATGCGAGACAAGGGACAAAGCAATTTTCAAAGCTATGGCAAGACACGACAAGATCTGTGGATGCGGAGCCTTCGAGTTCATTCACCAGAACGAAGGCAACTCCAGATCGTCTAAGACTCCTTTATCTTCGAAGACTCGAACATCTTCAACAGCTCCCAAATCTACTCGAGCACATGGCTCAACTAAGACTTCGACATCTTCCAAGCCTCCCAAGCCTACCAAGTCTTCCCAGGCACATGCATCGCTCAAGACACGGACGTCTTTCAAGACTGCCAAGACTTCCGACAGGCCTGTAGCATCTAAGACGTCCACATCGCCCAAGACGCCTATCTACAACACTTTCACGTCGGTAGATTGTCAGAAGGACCCTTCCAATGACAAATCTGACAACGAGTCCGACTACGATGACAACATCTTCGAAGGCATGACACGCAAGTTCTAAATAATACCTCTGGACGCCAGGATTTTGCTTGTGAGCTAGGAATATACACGCTGAAGGTTACATGGATATCCATACGCGTGAATATGAATATAATTTCGCTTGATGTTCTACCCTGCCTGTTCATGACCTGTATGTCCCTGTTATTGCATCATTGCAGAGTGAGTCTCTCATTGACCTTTTGCAAGGCGCTGTAACATATCGCACACCTCAGAAGCCACAAAACCAGGATCATCTCTTTGAATAAAGTGACCACATCCTTTGGCAACAACAGGACCTTTGCTTCTATCGCTCGAAGTCAACGTAGCAAGCTCCTTGTTGTACTCCCGCCAGACAGGGTTAATATACTTATTGACTAGAGCTGGTGAAACACCAAAGCTTTTCTGTGCACCTCATTAGCAAATTTTCAGACGCCATTCGTGAATATAGTAAACACTGACTTCATTCTCTTGAGCAAAAGTCATATCATCATGTCCCACAACCGTAAGCCGCGGGTTTCCCTCTAACTTCGGCTCACTAGCTTCTGGAAGCAATCCCTTCAATGTCTTCCTATTTAACCCCTCAGGATTGGGTGCAGCTACATCAAATCTTTTTCTGTATTCTTCTTTTACACTGCGCATATCTTCTTTCGTCGTACCCTCTGGCAAATCCTCGTCTTTGAAGTCAGGGGCATCGACATCTGGCCATAAAGCCACTAAGTCCACATGCGCCATTATAGAGTCCAAGAATATGAAGCCAGATACAGTGGTAGGGTAGGTTTTTGCGAATAAACGAGCCACAGCACAGCCGATGGAATTGCAGACAAACACCACTTTTTGCTGGCCCAGTGGGATGCTCAACTCCTTGTCGCAGAACTCGATGAGGAAGGTGTGGAGATCGTATGCGGCATCTTGGACATCATGATCGCCTTGAGGATCTTTGTCAGAACTCCCTTGACCATAGCGATCATAAGCCAATAAATGCGGTTGCGATATTTTCGTATCTTGTGTTCTAGAGTGTATAGCCAGTATCGTTCGCTCCCAAGATTGTTTAGGTAAGATTAGGCCATTCAGAAACACCACCAGAGTTTTGATCGTAGGTTCTCCGGGTAAGAAGCTATAGCTGAGGTTGGCGTTTGGCTTCGTGGACAGCTGTATGGTGCCGTGACTGATGAGATCCGGAGTTGCTGCCATGGTTGAGTTCACGAATCACAGAGTAGAACTTGCGATACGAGGACTTCGTGAGAGGCTCTTGAAGATTATTTGAGAATGTTCGAGGTAAATGTGAAGGAGAAGTTCAGCTCCAATGCTGGATCAAAAGCGAAAGTGATGCATGTGGCTGAGCGGACGGCGACCATCCACTTTGGTCGCAGATCTCTAACCTTTGCCCTCTAGCGCAATCCTACAGGCATTAAAATACTTCTTTATCGATAGGCCGTCATGTGTGACGGCCCGTCAGACCGTCAGTTGCGACACGCCATGGATGAAGATGAACAGTGAGCCATCGAAGCTGTGAAGAATTGGTGTTGTCTTGCTCAGACTATATTAAGCAGAGGATGCAACTATGTAACAAACGAAAATATAAGCATATCACTGATGCGTGGGCTCTTTTGTGTCCTCCCAGGCCAAACAAAAGGAATAAAATCATAAACTCATTTTTTGGTCCAAACCGAAAGAAGACCCGCTCCTGTAACCATGAAAGATCGTTTCCTCAGAACACAAACAGCAAGATAGGTAGAATCACCTCGCCCAGACTACAGCCAACCAGCCAGGTGTGCGGGATAGTCGTGATCCACGGGCTGCATATTCGGCGAACTCGACGCCGTCAACGAACGCTGCAACATCATCGGCACCAAATGGTTTCTCCAAAGCAATTAGCCATGACTCGACGTCTTTGATCTCACGGTCTGAAGAAGTGCGACGATGGTGAGTGTTATGGGCTGCCACTGCTGCTCCAGCCAATGCTTCACCTTCCCGGCGTTGGTCACCTGTGAATGCATGAATGCCTTGAAGAGGCTCTCTCGAATTGCCATTCGACGGTGTCCAAGATGGAGTCTGCGGATGTGAATGCGATTGTTCGGGGTATGCAGCGCGGAAGCTATGGCCTGAATGGCTACCACCCGGTGTAGTCGAAGCTGAGTTCGAAGAGAAAGCATTGTAGAACCGGAAGTGCGGATTGTTGCCGTTGTTCTGACCAGGGGCTGATTGTGTAAGACTTCTGCCATCCGCCACGGCAGAAGCCGCTGCTGCAACACTATTGATCGCATTCCAACGCTCCTCTTGCTGTGCATGAGCTTGTGCTTGCTCTGCAGAGGTAGCGAAGGATTGCTTGGGTGGCGTGGTACCAATGCGAGGACTGCTGATGTCTGAGCGAGCACCATTGGGCATTTCAGAAGGTGCGAGAGCATCTGACATGTCAATATCAGAATCTCCAGAGTCGTCCGAGTCTCTTAACGCTCTTTCCAGCAACACTCGTGTACTCTCGGCATTTGGTGGGTGTAATTGAGCAGTAGCGATACTTTGTTCGTGGAAGACGCCTGGCAATCGGGCTGCAGAATCCACCCAAGTCTTTCTCAGACGGGAAAAGTATTTGTGGGAGCGTTTGACCGTTTGGAACCAACCACTAGCCATGTATAATCTGTTTTTCATCGAAGCGAGTAGCTCGATGGCTTTGCGGGCAGCGTCTGCGCCACTGTCGTCCTTGGCAGTTCGACGAAGGTAGCCATGGGTGTCCATCCAGGGAAAGTTGATGACATAGACACCAAGTAAGGCGACGTTGTAAAGAGCAAAACCGACCAGGGGAGTTTCGACCACAACGCCCCATTCTTGGAAGGAACTAATCAAGTCGACAATGTCCCGGGCGGCGTTGAAGCATTCACGAGCACTGTCCTCCCAGAATCCTTGCGGCGAAGGTATGGTATCAAATCGCGTGCCATCGAGTGGACCCGAAGGCTTGCCGTGTCTGAAGGGAATGAACGGGAGGAATTCGCGGGTGAGGAGGAGTTGAGAGAGAAGCAAAGTGAGATGCACAAGAGCATAGGGTGTTGAAGAGTGTAGGTTGATGTGCGCAGACGTGTTCTGTGCCGTCAAAGAGTGATGCCTAGGAAGGGCGACCTTGAAATCTTCAAGTGTTTTCCTTAAGCCATACCATTCTGACTGTGGGTTCCATGGTGGTAGAGCATCACGTCTGGCCTTATGTCAGTCATTGTCCAATCGTGTTTGTGGTAGTTTGACTCACTTTCTTCCTCCTCCACATGCCCATCGCATCACCTTACCATGGATGTCCAATACCTTGATGTATCGACTAATCAGACCCTCGTCAGGACCAACCTCCCAACGGCCCTCGGGATCTTGTGGTGAGGATCTGCCAGTTGCACTGTCATGAATTGAAGATCGCTTATGAGCAGAGTTCGACGGATCGGTAGCCAAGGAAGCGCGGCGCTGGCTTTGAACTTCGGCTCTAGAGGGACTTTCTTCGCTCAAAAGCAAAGTACGCACTTTCTCGCCAAAGAGAAAGGCATGTTCTCCAGCTGGTAATTGGATGCGCAAATCTTTGGCATTGAGGGCCTGAGGTCTGAATTTGCCATTGCTGAAATAGCGATCCAGAATGAAGCAAGCCCACAGGGTACGACGGCGAATCTCTTGTTTGACAAAGGCATCGTTCTGGCAACTAGCATCGGGCGATGTGTTTCCAGGATCGATGGAGCTCTGTTGATCATTTGCCCGAGATGGTAATGAGCGTGCTAGAGGTTGGTCATCCAGTTCCTCCTCGTAGTGTAGTCCCATTGCCTGCGCAGAACGAATGACGATACCGAGATGGCCCCATGCTTTTGGACCCCGGTTCATGCCCCACTCGTGCAAGGCGAGCATCAGCATAGCATGAATCGTCGAGATATCATAAAGGCCTAATCTGTCAGTGGTCACATTATTGAGCTGAGCGGACGCAGCAGAGGCATAGAACTCGGCTGCAATAAGTGGATCGCTAGGACGATTGGCATTTCGTGGGGAATGGTGGGCGACAAGCACAGGATGGAAGCGGGAAGTCAAGGCTAAGAAAGCCAACAAGAACTCGGTAGGGGCCGGAGGTTGGACCGGCGGAGCCGGAATGTTTGTGTAGGGACGGTATTGAGGTGCCTGAGCTTGGGAACTAGCCTGACGAAGCGGTTTGAGGAAGGTAGGAGGGTGGATGAAAGGGAGGTCGGCGGAGAAGTGAAGTTGGAATATGTCGAACTAGACAATGCATTAGCTGGGTACACTAGACGGAATTCACAATGCCTCTTACCAATTCCTTCCAGATGGCCGGAGTCAGCAGACTAGAATCTAGAGCATCTGCTGGGACAACAGAGGGTTCTGTATAAGCGGGCATAGGTTGGCCTGGCAAGCCGGCATTACTCTTGCGCTGCTGCCGTTGTTTCCGGATCTGATATGTAGTCAGTATCCTTAATCCGACGGACGAGAGAAGAGACTACCTACCTCTTCAGTCATAGCATCAACCTTGGGAGCAGGTCCGGTCAGACTGTTCTCCCTCTTGCGTCCACCCGTTACAGGTACCGGATAGGTACATTCCCGGTTGCCGGCCTCGCAAGACCGACACGGTGTACCAACACCACTGTTCACACATTTGACCTTGGACCGACGACAGCGAGCACAGGCGATTGAAGAGCGCATACGTGCCTGAGCATGCCGTGTTTGTTGAGCGTTACCGGGTTGTTGCCGGGATGCTTGATCCGAGCCCGGAGGTGCCGCTGGCGAAGGTTGTGTGAATCCTTGTGGAGCAGGAATAGGATGAGCCGGTGTTACAGTTGAGGTGATGTCGGGACGAGGGCTTTTGCGAGGTCTGGCATCGTAGTCGTCGCTGCCGTCGGGGGTGACGGAGAAGCGGCGCTTTGGCGACGGTGCCGAGGGCCCCGAAAGCAGATTGGAAAGAGCGACCGAGGAAGTAATGATTGCGGCTTGCGTGAAGATCTCACGACTTGTATCCTTGTATACAGCAGCCCGACGAGGCACTGAGAAACTGCTCTGCTGCACGCAGAGACGGGTCAAGGGAATAATATCTCGCTCAATACTGTCGGCTACTAGCTCGGCGATAGAGCTCAGATCAGCCGAGGGAAAGCGAAGATAGCGAAGTTTGCGGAGTAGCTGTTATCCAAGCAAACACGCGCCAGAAGGAGACGGCAAGACCAGCAGGACAGCAACAGCGATCGCTCGTGTGAAAAGTGTGTCGAATGGGGAAGAAGAGAGAAGGGAAAGGGATAACGAAGGGGATCCGGCATCTTGGTTCTCTTGAGCCGTGGGCCATCACCACACATGCTGCTCGGAGAAGCTACAGGCTGCTGCTCATATCATCTCTTCGATTAAGCCGACACGGTCCGACTCTCTCCACATCAAACAAACCCGAGCGCCGCCCGACTGTTGATCTAACCCTCTCGCTCTGACATGTGATATTACTCGCACTGCTTTTCGTGTATCCGTAACACTGCCGCCGCCTCCGGTCCATCTCTCGACTCCCGGAATTTTGCGTCGTTGGCTTTTTTGCCTCCCGCTGGTATGCAATGCAGAGGAGTAGGCTTCACACCTCTCTCCTGATGTCGTTGTTCCCCTAGGTACCTTTTGCCTTAGCCGCATTCCTTGCTCCGGTTGGCCTGCTTAACCGCAACCGCAGACCGTATCCCGCCAGACCGGCTCATCGTGCCTCTGACTCGGCAATTCATACTGGGACATCTTCCCGTCCACTCAGCTCTTTCATATTTACCCAGACCAATTCTTTGGAAGCTGTTTGTGTTACTCATGACTGCCGAAATGTCGTACAAGAGCGTACCGAACCCCGCGCTCTCATGCGCGGCTGCACTCCTGCTAATATTTGCCCCGGATTGAGGACAAGCTTCCATAAAATCTATATCTCATCAGAGATCAATTAGAGGAATTGCCACATCATGATTTCTCCTTTGGAAATGATATCGAAGAGGTTATCATGACATTACAGGATCTCGTGGTATGTCTACACACCAGAAACCGGTTGTGCCGTTGTTTCAAGCAAGGGCATCGTGAGTCTTTTATCGACATTGTGGAATTTGCATAATGTCGATTACCACAATGTTTAACTCGAATTGAGACAGCCTAGATGATCGTCCCTCTCATCCAATGAGCTATCATGGCAGAGATGTCATCCTTCATTTTTCCTAAAGATGGCCGTTGTTTTGAGGGTATGTGAACGTGCCGCTTGTAGTCAAAGATTGTCTTGAAAGCCATCATAGCATACATGTTCTTGACGATCTTGTTTCAAAGTCTATTGGCCGGCGGAGATACCTTCCATCGTATGCAAGTGTATCAATTGAAATGGTACGAGCGGAGATCCTAGGCATTTAGCTCAGACAGGCTCCTAGGCCTAGGTCAGAAGTCGCAAGCATGACAATGAGCAAGGTTGAGGCACATCGATTCCAGAGCCACGGATCAAAACACATACATTCTTGTTTCACGACCCAGCAATGTGACGTACCCCTAGCTACTGTATGTGCTGACATGCCATGCATCATCACCCTTCTTCACCTTGCCAATTATCGACCGATCTTTTAGGCTGCTCGAGCGCACATCCTCAAAACACTAGTATATCGATCCATCGAAAAACTCATGTTCTTGCTCCATCTCGCCCTTGCTTTCTGCAGAGTTAGTACTGTCATCGCAAGGAGAGCTTCTTGGTGAAAAGCTCGCATGTTCTGGACTGTCATGACTAAGTTCCACTTGGCCTCCATCGCCATTGGCATCATATGAGCGGAAATTGGGGATGCCATCGTAGATGGGCTGTGGATTTGCGAGCATCTTTCGACCACTAGGGGTTGCATTAAACTCTTGTTTCGTGGCAGAGCTCGATGAATTTTCATTGGCGACAGTTTGAACAGCGTCTTCAATCTTGGTCTGTTGGCGTCTCTTGTGGTCACTGTCTTGAAGCTGGAGCGGAGCTAGCGTGTTGGAGTCTTCATACAATTGGTCGCGGGCTTGAGCCTGTGGAATGCTCTGACGAGGTAGCGACAGGCCAGAGATGATGTCTGTCCTAATAGCAGCTGGAGTGGGGAGCTGTCTTGATGTGGGAGGTTGCACGGGTACGGATTGGGGGCCCGAAGATCGAGGTAGGCCACGGTAAGCATTTGCCAGATAGATACGGACCTCTTCATGGTTTCTACCTGTGAAGAGTCGAAGAGTGTCCATGACTGCTCCCATCTTGATCTTGTAGATCTCATCGGCAAAGGCAGCATTGTGCAAGACCATCTGGGAGATTTGAGCATCGAGGTTGTGCGACATGAAGTCTTCCATGCCACGCAAGAACGCTTGGCCTGGGATCGGATTGAGAGCACAGTACTCTTGTACATGACCGAACTGTAGGCAGCCACCGCACTGGACTAGATCCTCTTCACAAGGGTTGGGGAGGTGCTAAACCCAGATGTCAGCTGAGTGCCTTGCCTTGCTGAGACAAGTTGGTCGCAAAAAAGAACACTTACCCATTTCTGGCAGTTGTGACAGAGGGCGAAGTACTGTCTTGAGTGTCAGCGAATACGTACATTCATTCGATGTATGTTCATCGGCTTGATGTTTTACCCGGTAGTCATTCTGCAGCCTGTGTGGTCCACGGTGACAAAAGTTCCAGGTGTGGCCAAAGGCGCCGCAGTTCAAACATTCTTGGAGCGGATGTTCACATGTGTGAGGTGGATGAGCTGCAAGGATTAGAATTGCAGTAGAAAAGTGCAGAGCCTATGACTTACTCTTATGACAATTGTAACAGAGGGTCGACATTTTCGCAAAGCTTTCGTGAGTCGACTCGCGCTGAAGGCGGGTTGCGCAATGATGAGAATGATCCGAGCGTCGATGGAGATGACAAACAGTTGGATGAGCGGGAAGCTTGGGAAATGGGCATGGAAGACATGAATCGCCAAGGGCAGGAAGTGGGCAGGCGCATCTTCCTTAGGCTTCCAGGCAAGCAGGCAGCCATGCATTCGAGCCGTATCGTTCTCATTTATACCTACATCATCTATCGCTTGTTCTTTTTCCAACTTCCACCCTTGCCACCTTTTCGCGCAGCTGGAGGCTTGCGGTCAAACAGCTTCTCTCTGATGAACCCAGCATCTGCCAGTCTCAAATAACTGGTAACGCCCTGATCTACAACAGCCAGGATGACACTCTTGTACCCATTGCGCAACTTTTGATACAGCTGTGCATCTTGACGAGGTGCCTGGTACGGTTGTGTGTCGATCAGATCGCCCAGTTGAGCGAGCGTTGGGAAAGTTGTCTCGCGAGCATTGACGACTGCAATACGGAAGTCAGGCGTACCAGGATCGCTTTTCTTGTATGTCGTCGAGCCTGGCTTCCATAAGTGGTACGTGATTCTGAATGCGGGATCTGTCGTCTCTGCAGAATTCCTCTTCCTGGCTGTTGGATCGTAGCTGGGGATAATCGCAAGGCGGCGATAGATTTCAGCTGAACAGATCAGTAGGGAGACATGCACATCTCGTCGACTAGCACATACCGTAGTTGCGGTAGATCCCTGGTGTTACCAGTGGACCAAGTTTCTGCTCTTTCCTTGTGGCAGCTCGGGGAACGAACATACTTCGCCATCCATCCCTCAGCAGGCCTAGACTCCAGGCAGTACCTTGTACAGTGGGATAACATTCATCTCCTGGCTCATCGCCTGGTCCGTCCCAGCTCGGCGCCCTGTGAACTGTATAGCCTGCTCTCTTCAAGCCCGCATACACAGAATATCTTTCGAAAGTCAGAGCGCCTTCATTGTCTCCTTCCATGCCCAAGAATGCAGCATAAGCACCTTGTAAACTCATTGGCAGACCCTCGCCATCTTCGCTATCGTCATCGTCGTCCACTGGCCATCTAACGTCAATTGTACCTCTCTCGAGCAAGTATATCGCTTCTTCCGGGAGCAGCCAGATTCTGTTTTCCCCCGCGGTACGAGGGCCGAGTGGATCTTCTTTTCCAGGAAATACCTTGCCCATGTTCTTGAATAGGGGTCCTTTGGGATCTTCTGTATAGGCCATGTTGGTCTCCGGGTGATAGTAAGCCAGTACATGCTTTTTGGGTTGGTGGACTCGCTGGAAAGAGAGCGCATTGTGCATTGCATCTCTTGATGCACTTAAGGCATCCGACTGTTTATTTGTATGATGAGGCTCAAAGTCTTTTTCGCCTCGTTTCGGTATTTTCGTATCATCGCCGCTGAGCACAAGTCAGCAAAGTCAACAAACCAACATCTATGACACAATTGCAACGCACGAGAAGTTCAAGAGTAGACGGAAGTCTTGTGTCTCATCTGAGAGATCGATGTCACCAACGTCTGGGCCACGAGGGATAACATCCTCGTCTACGTCTGCCATGATACCTCGCAGCCTCTCGACCAGTTCGGAAGCTTCTACAGAGGGTTAAAGTGAATGGATGAGCAGAGGTCAGAAGCACAGCTTGCGAGTGAAACTTGGCAACTTGTCTCAGAAGGTACTTCCACAGGATGACCGATTCCAACTCTTGATTGTGTTTCTTTCTTCTTGACACACTAAAAGGTCGCTTGCTTTTGGGTGTTTCTCGCACACAACAACCATCCGACGCGAAAACGCAGTTGCAGTCAGAAAATCAGAACCACGCGTTACCCTTTTCGGCGCCAACCCGGCGGCTAAATCAGCCCTAGCCGCTTCACTTCACTCCACCCAAAGTCCACTTCCATTGCCAGCATTCTTCACCATCTAGCGGCTGTCGCGTCCGCTTTGGTCGTTCGGCATCTCTTTCCGTCACATAGCTTTATCATGGCTCGTCTGTCCGGAACTGGTCATCCAGTAGGCATGGGCAAGACTGCTACTGGTGTCGGCGGTAAAGGTCTTGGAAAGAGCGCTGCCAAGCGTCACCGGTACGTATCGTATTACTATCATTGCTAGGTTGGTGACCCTGTTAAGATCTGCCACAGCAAGATCCTCCGCGACAACATCCAAGGCATTACCAAGGGCAGCATCCGGTAAGCAACTCCGCCGTCCAGTTTGTGACATTTGTTAACAGAAACTGTAGTCGTTTGGCTCGCCGTGGCGGCGTCAAACGTATCTCGGCCACTATCTACGATGAGGTCCGCTATGCTTTGAAGAATAGGCTGAAGACCGTACGTCGGCGATGAATGCGATCACATAACCCAGTCACTAACATCCAGTGTAGCTTCTCCAGGATATTTGTGCTGTTCTGGAATGCACTGCTCGTAAGACTGTTACTGTTCCAGACGTTGTCTTCGTTCTTAACAGACACGGCACTCCCATCTACGTAAGTTGTGTCGTTGAGCTCTTTCCGATTTACCCTGACATTTAGCAGGGGTTTGATGCGCCCTTCCGCACCCGCATTTAGGTGCGCCAGGTTTTGTCCAAATATTGGATTGTAACGAAGAATTATGAGCAACGTACAAACTCAGGCGTTTGGTGGTAATTCTGTTTCAGGTTTCGGTTTTCCAGTTCGGGGCATACGAAAAGCAAGGAAATAGGACTTCAAAGTCGTATACAGAGCATGGAATGGTACAAAAGACTCGTCACAATCTCATCCAATACCGCCTGATGCAAAGGAAATGTGAATGGATTGGCCTGGGGAAGTTTAGAATGTCGTGCAGCATTTCGGCGCCAAAATGCGGCCTGTTTGTGGAGATGGGTCGATCATCTTCAGGCCTGCCGTGGGGAAGATCTGTCCCTTGAAACCTTTCTTTCTGTACCACTCCTTGCAATAACGGATGGCGACCGCGAGCTATGTACAAGCAGGCTCTAACCTACCAACTCCTGGTTGCTGCGATTTTCAGCCGCTCAAGTCTACCACAACCTTGTACCCCCAAGATGACTTGCAACGACACTGTCAGCTGTGAAGATGCACAGTTGTTTTTACGTATGGCCCCGGGGACACTGGAAGCTGACATCGTCTCCGTGGCCGCCACTCCCTTCGAGAAAGTACTGTGCATTTCTGCAGCTAGATTGTGACAGCCTTTGCCACAGGGAAAGATTGTAAGATCGTGAACACACTGTGCATAGGAGTGAGTGAAACGCCCTTTTCGCGCGCTGCCACATGCATGTTTCATGTTTTAGGTGCATGACAACCAACACCGCAGACGCCTGCTTGAAATAATTGGACTGTTCCTTTGCGCCTACTATTCCGAAGCACCTTCTTCGGACTTCCGTCTTTCACACTCCTTTGTACAAGCGCATCAGCATTTAATTACTGCCGCCACGCTCCTTTACCACTTCTTTTTCTCAGATTCAACCCACGCTCTTTTACAACCTTTCGTATTTCCTTCTGCTGCTTTTGCAACTTTTGTTTTCTTTACTTCTTGCAACATGAAGATCTCTTCAGTCGTTCCTGTGCTCGCCTTGATGGCTGCGCAGAGCGTCAATGCACACACTCTGTTTTCTGAACTCTACGTTGATGGCGCAGCTCAAGTAAGTAAGGACCCCTGACTGTATGCTGAACTATAGAACCTGTGGAGAGATGCAGAATGTTTTCTAGAGACAGGGTAGTATCCAGTGAGAAACGACACATCATCAGCTCTCTCTGGTCACATCTCGAGCCAAGAAACATATATGTTTTTCCACAGCTCGTCTATTGCTCCACGTCTTCGTGGAAGCAAGACGATAGTTGCATGTCTAGCACATGGGAAGGTCATTTAACACCATTACGCGCAAAGCTCACTCTATGTAGGGTGATGGCACCTGCATTCGCATGCCTTCTGATCCCAACACTGCCACCGATCCCATTCCCAGCCTCGACAGCAGTGACATGGCCTGCGGCGTCGACGGTACTAAGGGTTTTGCTCGTGTCTGCTCGGTCGACAGCGGATCTGTTCTCAGCTTCGAGTACCGCGACTGGCCCGACAACCCATCAATCGGCAGCATCGACATCTCTCACAAGGGACCTTGCGCCGTTTACCTCAAGAAAGTCGACTCGGCTATCGATGATCAGGGTACTGGCGATGGTTGGTTCAAGATCTGGGATGAGGGCTACGACGAGTCTGCTGGCAAGTGGTGCACTGAGAAGCTGATCGCCAACAATGGTCACCTCAGTGTCAACATGCCTAATGGCCTACAAGGCGGCTACTACCTCGTGCGCCCTGAGCTTCTTGCTCTCCACAACGCCGACAAGGGCGATCCTCAGTTCTACGTTGGCTGTGCTCAGGTCTGGCTCAACTCTACTGGCTCCCAACTTCCTCAAAAGACCGTCTCCATTCCAGGCTATGTCGACTACAACCAGCCCTCCACCTCCTTCAACATCTGGAACGAGCCCATGGCCTTGCCTTACCCTATCCCTGGTCCTGCTGTCTATGTTCCTTCGTCTTCAGCTGTCGGCAACCAAAAGCTGAGAGTGTCTCAACAGCAGCAGACTGAAGGTCTCGCCCCCAGCGACTGCGTCGTCACAAACGGCAACTGGGATGGCATCGAGCTTGACAAATACAGCGACCAGGCCGGCTGCTGGAACGCCAGTACTGCATGCTGGGCACAGTGCAAGGAGTGTTACGCCGTTGCTCCGCCTACTGGCAACGCCGGCTGCAAGATTTGGGAAGACAAGTGCCAGAACATCAACGACCAGTGCAGTGCTGGCAACTACAATGGTCCTCCCAACTACATGCAGAACCTCAATCCTCCCGTCAAGCAAGTCAGCCTTCCTGCCGCCGTGTCTGCTCAGAACGGCGATGGTTCATACCTTCCTGCTACCGCCGCCAACAACCCCGTAGCCACTACCTTCACGACTTCCGCTCTCGTAGCTAAGGCCACAGCTGTCACTCCTCCTTCCGAAGGCAACTCACTGACCGTCTCCACTGACGGTAGTTGCGGCAACGGCGTGACCTGTCAGGGCTCGAGCCTCGGTAATTGCTGCTCAAGTCACGGCTACTGTGGCTCCAGCGCTGAGTACTGCCAGGCAGGCTGTAACAGTGCTTTCGGCACTTGCAGCAGCGGTCAATCCAAGAGAGACGAGCACAACCACATGCACGTCCACAAGCATGCTTACCATGTCGGTGGCGATGTCAGAACGATGCCATGATCTTCTACGTTCATCTCATGACCAACTAAAACATCTCGGGAGCATAGGATGGGGAGTTTGTTCTTTTCTGGTTCAGTGGTTTGAGAGATTTGCATTGGGGACGAGTAACGTTGCTATGGATGCTGTGCGTCCTTTTATTTTCCTTCTTCGGCTCTTTATCTTCTCTTCTGTCTTCCTTTAGGGATGATGTCTCATCAAAACTGTTGTTCTGCCGTGCAGGATGTTAGTCCTTGAGAATCACCAAACACAATATGACAAGTTTGCTCTGATCATTGTTTCTTCACCAAGTGCTATCAATTGTGATAAACGGTCCAGTCTGGAGTCCGAGGTTGAAGAGTTGAAGGAGATGAATGATTATAACATTGAAGGTGAAGAAAGAAAAGGGTATCTCTGCAACTAAACCATGACGCCGGCAATCCTTTGCAGCAAAGATCTCAACCACCATCAGAAAACAGAAACAAAAGAAAACAACCTCGCAGAGATTGCAAAGAACATAAGGAAAAAGACAGCAACAGAATTAGTAAGACCTGTCAGACCAACATCATCACCACCAACCACCTCTCCTCTCGTTAAAAACCCCAGCGCTCATCTGTCAGGATCCATACTTGCGCCCCCTCTCGCCCATCGATTCTTCATACCATCTCTGCGTCTCGAACACCCCCTCTTGACACCTTCATCTCTGACGTGAATGACAAGTAAAGCCAATGCCAGACTCGTCCACACATCATACCCCACAACATTGAAGTCAAAGACACCTACTGTACGCAGATATCCGATGGAATCGCTATCCTCAGCGCCAGGCACAAAAGCAACGATACCAAGCAGCGTATGCGAGACCAGGATACCGTACAACGGAGGTGGTTGATCGAGGTCATCGTCAGCAGGTCTGATGAACGGGGCAGGACGTTTCGGCGCCTTGTCAGAAGGTGCAAGCCAGTGTTTATGAAGATTGGAAAGGCGAAGAAGTAGAGCATCTTGTAGAGCATTGACGTCTTCGTCTCTGGTGCCAGTGTGGATCTCGATGAACGGATAGGAGGGGAACTGGTTACTGGAGTCCCAATCTGACCATGCCATATACCGTTGCACTTCATCCACGATCAATTTCTCTGGAGCAAGACCTACAGTGATCTTGTCGCGGACTTTAGGACCCAATTGCATCAGTCTTTCGAAAGCATGTTTGGCACGGAAGTCTTTGTTGCGTAGAGTGTTGATGTAACCAGGGTGATCATGATAGGCAGGCAAGAACATGCCCTCAGGCATCATGGGAAAATCGAGATGCCAGTGGAATGCGAAGACGGGTTCACGGCCGCGGTTGTGAATGCGTTGAATCAACCAGACTGTGTTTTGGGGCCAGCCACGGGCAAGGAGTTGATCTTTGGATACGCGCTCGTCTTCGAGACTACCGACACGGGCGCGTGAGTCCAGGAGAATGGTGTCCTCGCCGTCCTGAGCTTCTTCGAGGAAGGAACCGAAAAGAGAGGGTTCATTCTGAGAAGCTGCGAGGAATGATGAATTGGCGTGTGGAGAGGTGTCAACGTCAAGGGCGGAGTTGTCATCGGCGTCCGTGTCGTTGAAGACAATGAAGTCCTCATCGCCGTCAGCGTAGACAGAAGGAGCATCCTTGGGGATCACGTTGATGACGTCTTCATCACTTTCGTCTTCAGTGCTGTTGATGATGATCTGTGGGACGTCTCGAGGTAGGGCGCTCTCGAGAAGTGCTTTTTGTCCTGGAAGAGGTATGTTGGAGCGAATGGTAGGGTTGTAGATGTTGTAGTCGTACTTGATGCCATCATCCTCATCGACAGATCCTTCAAGTCCTTGGTCTGGCAGTCTTGGGGGGTTGAGGGTATGGTTGTAGACGTCGTAGTCGTAGCGAGCACCTTCCTCGTCGTCCTCGTCTCCGCTGTCATATTCATCATCTTCGGAGTACAAGTTATCAATGTCCTCAGGCTCATAGAGCTCTTTGGATCCTGCCATTTTCTCCAGCTTCTCATCTTCTAGACGGACTTCTTCGATGTCGTCGTAGTAGTCGTCATCTTCCAAATCGTCATGTCTGGTTCTCTTTCTGTGGTCTTCAACCTCGAGGTCTCTCTTTCTCTTAGAGCCAGCATGTGTATCGGCTGGTGTGAGTGGTAAGTAGCCACTGCCAGGACGTTCAGGAGTGACAAAGTTGGTCGGAGTGACGCGCGAAGGTCGAACATGGTGGACAGGAGTGCTTCTCTTCTTGGTCGCAGGCTGTCTTGGAGAAAGATAACCCCAAAAGGCAGCCGAAAGTCGTTCGAAAAGTCGGGGCGGCATGACGAAGGTGTTGTAGGGCCACAGCGAGGATTATCTTGAGGTTCGATCGAGTCTGCGCCAATGATTGCCACGATGGATGTTTAGGCAACCAGAGTCGACAACAGCTGGGTGAGATTGAGTTCAGGTACGACGACTTCTAGAATGAGTGATCGAAAGTCGAGTATTGTCGAGTCTGAAGAGTGAATACACACTCATCTCGATATTGAATCTATTCATAATTGTTTCAAGTGATTGTCCGTCTTTGTCGTGATTCATGCTGACTCTGACAATCATGAATGCAATTTCCCCGCATGCGGTATACAAAGCTTGGACCACTCTCCTTCGCTCTTGCCGTTTCCAGAACCTTATCTTATCGCCCAGCCACCTTGATGATCGAGGCTCAAGTAGTATCATTATGCGAGCTGAACAGGGGTATCATTGAAATGCAATATAGCTACGAAATAAGTGAATCAAAATCCATCCTTCTCTCCTCAGGTAGTCAACTGCGCTTTCTTCTTGGTCGCTCTCATGCCCAATATTGTTCCATCCCTGCCAAGCCCTCTGCCACATTCCAGAACAATCATTCTAACAAAGTCTTTGAGAAGCCAGTAGCTGCTGTGTGCACCGAGCATCGTCAAGTACTGAATCTCGAGCGGTCCGCCTCCATACTTGAGGAAGAAGTCAATCTGGCCGTTGTCGTTCAGAAGCAGCATACGCTGCTCAGCAATCTCTTCCCGTGAGAAGTTATGAGTTTCCAGCTCGACGTTCGAAGGTAATCTAGGCAGTTGATCTGGTCGCGTGTTCGACGCTCCTTCAGGTGACGAGTGGAACCATGACCCAGATGACGAGAACCATCCCGAGCTAGCCGTCGGCACCCATGCTGGTTTGAGAGATGCCGCATATGAAGCATCGACTGTGGCGTTGAGACGGTACGACACTGGATCATAGGGGTTCACGATGTTGTAGATATTGTCTACAGGCAGACAGCCATACGTTCCATGGCTTCCACAGATCGGCTTTCTGATTGATGACAGGTCCGCTCCTGGCTTTTGCTTGCCCAGACGTGGGATCAGAGAGGCTCGCTTCAAAAGCAAGAAGAATCCGGCCGGCGAGCCACACAAGAAGAGAGCAGAAGTGTTGAAGAGGAAATGATCTAGTGGTGAAGTGTCCAGATCAACAGTGGTAGGATCTTTCAGCTCAGGAGGTATCGATGTTGGCTGTTTTGACAGAATGTCAACTGCCATGACACTGCCTAGTGAGTGTGCAATAATGTGAACTCGTCCATATTGAGCAAAACCTGGGTTGTTCAAGCACCACAGCTTGTAGATCCGATTGGCCTCGGCAATAACGGCAGCGATCATCTTGGGCTGGTGGTCGGACAGATAGTAAGGAACATCAAGCATAACATCGGACACAATGTTTCGCACAGATGGCAAGGTCTCCGGCGTGATGTCCTTGAGCCCGAAATCGTTCAGCGCTGGGTCGTCCGGAACGTCTCTTTGGCCATCCTCGAATGAGAGACTTTGGCGCCAGTTGACAGGCAGAACCATGATACCGCCCATGTTCTTCCTCAAACGAGCTTTTACACTATCCGTGCCCAACTCAACGCTGACCTCTCGGCGGAACGCATTGATTGCGTGTGTGAAATGGAAGCTCTCCATACGTTCTGATAGCTTCTGACCAATACCATGAATCACGAGAATCAGCTCAGTGACCTTCGGACGCTCAGCGTGAGCAAGAGCAGGATCAGACTTCTGTCGTCGGTTTGGAGGTGCTCCAGACTGCGAAGTAGACACGCCTTCCTCGGCCTTTGTCGCAGTAGAAGTTTTTTTGGTCGGATACAGTCGATCGTAGGCTGCTTGGTCGAAACCCCGAACAACAGGTATGCCTAGCTTGCGACCTTTACGGATGTAGTTCGCGAGTGGGCGGCGACCGTGATAAGCTGATGGCTGCAGGTTGGGCTTCAAGATATGAGCTTCGGTTGCGTTCGCATAAATGACACCAGCGGTAGGATACCATCTTGGCAGACCGCCTCCAGAGGAATATGCTGATGTACCAGAGGCTTTGTTGTCAGGTCCATCCACACCTGCAGCGATATCGATAATGTCGCAAGCAACTTCAACGATATGATCACGCTCCTTCTCGGCTGAGAATGGCTCATCGTCAAATGTGGCCGAGGTCACACTACCCCTCTCGGCCCTGGAAGTGGTTGGTCTACTCTCCAGCCTCTTGAACAAATCAGGCCAAAGCTTGTGCAAGATCTTGGCTTCTCCAGCAGCACCAACCTCGATAGCACTGTTGAGCTCATCGTTCCAAGTTTCGGTCCAAGGCTGCAGCTCGGTGTAGCCCGCTTCGAGCATATTGGCCACAGGAGGTTCAAGCGGAAGCATAGTATCCTTGTAGAACCAAGTTGCTCTCACGACAGGAGAGACATCGTTGACTGGACGCCAGTATATAGGTTCCAAGTTCAGATCCGGCATGGCTACCTGGTGCAGCCGCGACACACCGACAGCTATCTTTGCAGAAGGGCCTTCTGGGTCAGCGCGCGGCTTGATTGGCTGCTTGGATGCATTTGGAGGATTGTCCCACTGGTAGCTGTCCAGCGGCTGAGGTTTGGGTCTGGTTTGAAGTCGATCAACTTTCCGTGCTGAGGGAGCACGAATGAAAGGGGTACCGGTAGTATCGTGAGCCTCGGCCTCTGGTGGGATGGCTGGTGCCTCATATATGTCGGCAAGTCTGTTGCTCCTCGTTGATGCATCACTGGTTGATGCTGGCCGGCGGGTAGAGGGGCTAGTACTCAGTATGCCCAGTTCTGTCTTCTTGCCCTTCTCTTGCCTGCCACTTGGCTGAGGGTCTTTTTGCTTCTCGCCCCGCTGCTCGCTGTACCGAAGAAGCTTATGGCGGAGGTCATGCCATGCCTTGTCGAGGGCGGTGTTATCAAATTCGGAAAATGGCCGAGGAGGTAGTTTCGCGTAGGTCGTCTGGGCAGTCTGAGCAGAAGGCGGTAAAGGGGATAGCGGATCGTCTATGGTTAGTGGAGAGGTGTAGAAGAAGCGGGCCTTCACCGGAGGCGGTGCCTCGCTATGGTGCAAGATCTGGCGAATGTACTGATTCGTTGACGATGCCATTATGTCGTCTTGGACGCTTCATCTTCAGACAGACGATCCGGCATGTTATTCTAGCGGTGTTTTTGTTCATCTGTCCGGTGTCCGCCTGAGCATGACCAAGGGACCCACCATCGACCTCAATCTAAAAACGTCATTGGTCCGAGCTTGGCATGTGAATGTCACCGCAAACATCACCACCTGCGTGCCTTCCTGATCAAGTAGTTGGTCTTTGCAGTGCTTTTGATTTGCTGTAAAAGTATTCTGATGCTTTCGTTGCTTGCGTGTACCCATATCCTCCCTCTTCTTATCATGGAATAGAACAATTCAGCGCTTGAAGAGTCCTTAATGCAAATGCGATCACCCCAAACTCCTTGACATGCTTTCTTTCCTTTCTTCCCATGCTGAAACAAAGGGTATCATATGCGAAAAATCCGTCCATGCTGCCACTCAAGACCCCAAAGCTCCACACCCTCATGCTCTGCTTCTTCCTTCTTCTTTCTCTGCTTCTATCTCGTGCTTGTTGTTCGTTCGTTCGATTTTCTGGCTTGTGTTAACTCCTTCTCACTGTCAAACATCCGAAACGAAACTTACTGTTGTCTGGATTGTTGTTTTGCTTCTGTGAAAAACATGCTGCTGCCCTTTGAGTGTGTCCCATGCGTATGTGTACCCTTTTTTGTTCTTTGTGTGCGAGTATGTTGGGTCATGGAGTGTGCGGGAAAGGCAGCCCACGGTTCCATGGTCGAATTATTTTGATGCCTGCATGTAAGTCAAGGTGTGGTCGACCGTGAGCTGCAGGGGCAGCAGCATGTGTGATGTTTGGAGTGCCGCAGAAAGAGAAGCCCTTCCATGGCCTGTCGACTTTGCTTGTGCGCAGCGCAATCATGCGTAAGGAAGGCGGTGGACACATTCGAACATCGCTGTGCTGTGTTTGGATGTTGGATATGGTCGGTTGAGCTCTTCTCATAGCTCAAAGTGCTTGTTAAAGCCTCCGAGGTTGAACATAGAGACCATCGCGCGTCTAGCGTAAGGTATCTGCTCCGGGCCGAACTCTTTGGTAGGATTGGAGAGTTCAAGAGCAGAAGCGAAGCCGTTCAGGCAGGTGAAAACGCCGCAGTCTGAACCGTTATTCTGAATGGCGCTGCGACGGTCAACTTCCTTCCATTCGCCTTCGACGTATTTGTCACCAAGCTCCATCTGGAGCCATTGACGACCGAGCTTTATATAGCGGGTGCTCTTGCGGTTGTCTTCGGAGTAGCCAACGTCCAGACTGTCAAGGTACTCGATGGTGTGAATGTCAGGGCAGATAACAAGCAACGACCAATGGTTACCAGGGTTGACCGGGAAGAAGATACGCTTGCATTCGAGCAGCTTGTCACCCTTGATGCCCTTGCGACGTGACCATCTTTCGATGGCGTTGATTCCCTTCTTGGTGACTGAAGAATACCAGCCAGTTATATAGGATGCAAATGGCGGCACTTTGCCCTTGGTGTGGCCGGCCTTGTCGTTCATGGCATTGCAGAGAGCGGTGAAAAAGCCGTTGATGATTTCATCGTTGAGCCATCCTTCGGGCTCGCCGGTGCGGTAGTTTGCGGAATGAAGAAGAGTTGCAAAGTCTTTGCGGGTCAAGTCGTTGCCTTCAGGTGACTTGACGATCGCTCTGCCAGGGTTCGTGACGTTGAGAATTTCTGTGACTTTCTGGTCCAGTTCAGGAGGTAGCTCAGACAGGAATAGGGCGAGCTTGGCTCTCAGAGGAGCTTCTTGGTCTTCTTCGGTTTCGGTAAGTTGAATTTGGCTGACTTGTTCAGCAAAAGCAGCAGCTTCCTCTTCTGAGGTAGCAATGCTCTTCTTCCAATCAATGAGGGAGATCGAGATGTGAAGGTTGGAGCGTTTGCCAGATTTGTATTTTCCTTCAGAGTAGGACCCTGCCTGGATGTTGCGACAAGCCCAGTAATGCTTCTCAGCAGGGTTTATTGCGTTTGCTTGATTGGTTGCAAAAGCGATGGCTTCCTGTGTCCAATGTTCGGATGAAAGAATTGATGGATCTGGCCAGCGCGATTCCCAATGCTCGAGCGCAGCCTGTAGGCGAAGCTTTTCAGCATGGAAACGATCGTCAGAGCTGGCAAGAAGATGATCGGTATAGAGGAGGTCTTCGTTGTCTTGTTCGGATTCATTATCGACTGTAGGCCCAGCGTCGGGCGCTTCATCAAAGTGGTTGCGCTGAATCTGGAATTTGCGGCGCGCATCGTTAAGTGCTTTGGCCTTTCTGATGTCTTCGTCGCGTTGTTTGCGAATTCTATCGCGAGAATAGGGCTGGACGGCAAGGTCGTCTTCGCCATCAATATCCATGCGATTGTCAAGTTCTCCTAAGCAGATGCTCCAGAGATCAATGCCGTCCTCACTGGGACCTTCGGCCGCGTGAACGGCCATGATTCGTTGAGTTTTCTCCTCGGCGCGAGCAATAGTTGATGTAAGAGTTGATGGAATGGACGCGTCTGGTTGCGCTTGCGGGATGTTGTGGCTGATGTTTGGTGGGTTGTGGCTGGTGGAGGTGGACTGTGCGCAGACGTCTTCTGCCTTCACTTCCTCCTCATTCACTCTTTCGTGCTTTGGTTGCTTTGCGAACCAGTTTCTGCGGTCGCTAACGTACTTCTCGAGTTCGGACAAGAGCTGCTGCGATGGCTCGTCCATGGTAAGTGGTCGTAAAACTGTGCGAGGAATCGTAGGTGAACGTCTTGCTGGCGAGAATCTTTTAACCGTCGAGATTGATGGCTTCATGCTGTGAAGCTCACGGACTTCTGAAGAAGCTTTCTGGACTTTGCCGGCCTTCGCATAAGAGATGCTGACCTCTTTGACAGGCGACAAGGTTGGGACGAAGCTCTTGGTGGCAGCTGCCTTGACGGTACCCACGGCTGTGACAGAGCCGGGACCGCTGGCTGAGGTACTAGTATTTCCAGGCTCCCTCGTCAATTGTTGCTGTGCCTCGGAACGGTGTTGAATCGTTGCAGTAGCTCGAGCGAACCCACCAAACTTGCTTCTGAGTAGTTGTAGGTTGTTGACATCGCTCTTGCTACTGCTGCTGTCGGCACGAGCAAGCTTGTAACGAGCCACTGGACTCAGAGAGCGACTGTCAGAGGCCAGTCGGGGGTCCAGAGATGACCAGACAACAGGTCTGGTGGTCGAGGTAGCTTCGTACGAGTCATCGCCAGCAACGACAGCGTACTCACCACTGACCACAGTCTCGAACGCCTGGTGGTGACTCGAGCCGACCTGGTACTCCATGTCCTGGTCGGTCTCAATTGATGCCACCACAGGCAATCTCGACTCCTGACCCTTCTGGAAACGAATGGCGGGAGGCAGGGTCATGGCAGGCGCCGGGAACGGTGCCAATTGATCCAGGTTGTCGTCGGCATGCTGGCCGACGGTGGCCTCTTCATCGCTCTCATAGTCCGGGAGCTCTGTCAACTCCTCGGACTCCACGGAGCCGGCACTCTGGCTGACGCCAAAGCCCGCGTCGAACATACTGTGTAGGCCACCCTGCGAGGGAGAGCGGGGTCTACTTGCTGCAGCCCCCTTTCTTCTGCTGCGAGAAGAGCTTAGCCAGCTAGTCCTGCGAAGGACAGCTGCATGGTCGCCGAGGTCAGTGACCGAGGTCATCTGCCTCTTGGGCGAAGGAGACTGAGCGTCGTCATCATGGTCCGACGGATCGCGAGACCGCTTGCCGCGAGTCGGCGAGATCGCTGAGAAAGGAGGCCTTTGGGCACGGGTAGGCGAACCCAAGGCGGTGGTGGTGTTGCTGGCAATACTGCCAGGCCCGGACGAACGGGACTTCTTGACGGGTCGTGAAAACTCCCACGTCTCGCCGGACTCGGTCAAGAAAGACTCGAGCTTGCGCTTCTCGCGTTGAGGAGAGATGCTGCTATTGTTGTTGTTGTTGTTGTTGTTGTTGTTGTTGTTGTTGTTGCTGCTGCTGCTGCTGCCGCGAGGAGAGACAGCGCGCGAGGAAGAGGCGGAAGAGTGCTCCATCGTGCAACGCTTTCGCTTGCTTTGTTGGAGACACTTGAAAAGGAGGTGCGGAGCAAGGCAAGCAGTTGGTGGTGCTTGTTGTCGTTGTTCAGAAAGAAAAAATTGACTGGTTTCGGTGCGCTGAGAGGAAGAAGGGTTGGTGGGAGAAGTCGAGAATTGGTTTGATACAGACCAAACACTGCTTTTCGTTCGTCATTTCGTGTTTGTCCCTTTCACTCGAGTTCGTCACTATAGCGATACATATCCCTTGATTTTCCGCCTGGATACCAATCAAGTCAAAGTGTCCCCATCGACCTACCACGCTGTGGTGAATCAACCTCCTCTGTGGAGCAGATTGACTCTCTCTCCTACCAAAGTGCTTTCGTAACCGACTGTAGATATGCAGAGTGTCTACCAACCGAATCAAGGCAACCATTGAGGGCATTGTTTGCTGCAGGAAAATTGTATTAGGCGACTCTCTCTGTACAAGCTGACTGCTGATTATGCATTTTGATAGGTGTATAACAGATTACACTGGCATTTGGAATATAGACAAAAGACTTCGATGGTTGTAAAGGAAGTAGAACAGGGATGGAACCAGTGAAGAGCTTGAGCAGTGACAACAAGTCAATACCTATCCACTGACTGAAATTTACGGCTTAGATTGAATTCTCTTTTTGGAGAGAATCCTCGAATATGCAAACACAATCAAACGTGAACGTAAGTTGATGATTAAAGAGGAGAAATGAGGATGGAGTTGCAGCAGCAGAAGAGCGGGCGGGCGGTGGAGAGGTGGTGGAGCGGTGGAGCAACTTGAGCAAAGCACAAGTTTCTCCTGTTTGACAAGGCGCAATCGTAAAACAATCTCCTCGCTATCATCCTACTGCTTTCTATCCGAACCTCAGACTCCCTCCCCACCTACCGCAGCTGCCCAAATCGATATTATTCCCTGCCGCCTTGTCGATCCTGTCAGCACAATCGAAGCAGCTGACGTCTGCGACCGACTCGAGCGCCATCAACGCTCATCGGGGCGACAAGACACATCTCGCCAACACCCACGCCCAACTTGACAAGGCCCAGACACCCCACGCTGACCAGAGTCAATTCGCTATCGCAACCGAGACCTGAGCTCGACCATCAATCTGCTCGTCTGCAACGCTATTTCTTCTCAACCATCTCTCGTCGCTTGCACCAGCCGCTGCCCCTCACATCCGCACCAAAATGGCCGTTTACGGCGCGCGCTACACGATAGAGCAATTGAAAGCTCTTCGTGAGTCGCCTCTAGTACGCAAGCCAGACGAACTGCCCTCGATCGATGAGTGGATAGAGTAAGCCCCTCCTGTGACCGCCTCCTACCAAGTCCGCATGCTCAACAAAGAAAAGAGGTACTCAGCAATCGCAACAAGAGAATGGCGGTCGCAAGCCACGCAACCAGTCCCAGAGACCCGAAGAGCCTGCTCCAATGGGCAACTTCTCATCACAGAGACCATCATTACTACAGACTAGACACACATCACGCTCTGCCCAGCAGCCTGGTACGTCATTCGCTCTGCCTAATCTTGCAGAAAGCTTACATTCACCAGACGAAATCGTACTTGGTCCACCAAAAACATCGTTCGCATCATCTCGCAACATCAACAAGCTCGAAGAGCGTGAGCAGGAACAAGAGTCACCTGCTGCCAACCAGCGCTCGCGCTTCTTCCGTGACAGAGAGACTACAAAGACTGGCAACAACAGAGACTGGCGCTCGTCCAAGCAACAGCAAGAAGACGACGATGCTTTCGCTTCCGAGCCCAGATTCACACCGCGCCAACCGCGCGAAGGCAATGGCAATGGCTTTGGACAGCGCTTCGATCAGCGCTGGGCCCGCGACAACCTCGACCGTGACCGTGGCGGTGACCGTGAGCGCGAACGTGAACGTGAACGTGAGCGAGAGCGAGAGAGACCTAGTCAGCGCGGTGGCTGGCGAGACAAGGCTCGCAACGAGCGTCAACAGGATGCTCCTGAGAAGGAGCCAGAATGGATGGACGAGCCATTGGAGAAGGAGAATAAGAATCAGATGCACACACAGGAAGACTTTGAGCAGTGGAAGGAGCGTATGAAGGCTGCTAACAACGGATCCGCTGCCGAGACCAAGCCAGACACCTTTGCCGATGGCGTCGCCACTCCTGTCAAGTCAACGCCGGCACATTCAAAACCACAAACCCCGATGGTAGAAGCGCCTGGCTTCGACAAGAGTATCTTCGGATCCTGGGGTGAGAGCAAAAGGCTCGAGAGTCCTGTCGACACGCGCGCGATCAAGGCTCCGGCTGGAGGAAAGGGAAAGTCTTCTCGCTTCGCAGCCATGTTTACTCCCAAAGAGGAGACTCGACCTGTTGTTGAAGAGGCTGCCACCCCCGCTGCACTAGAGTCAAACGAAGACAAGCAAGGCTTTGCCAGAATCATGGCCGGCCTCCGTAGAGGACAATCACAGTCCGGCGGTGTCGACTCGCCCATCAAAGAGCAAGATGGAAGAGGTCCACCTGCTGGTCCGCCGCCTGGCTTTGGCCTCCAACCATCTCAAGACCCTCTGGCTGCACTGTTCGACAAGGGCCCTTCATCGCATCAGTCTCCTCGACCTCAGTCTGGTTTTGCTTCCGACTCTTTCTTACCGCCTCCATCTCAGTTCAGCCGTCCCACTAGTAACGTCGCCTCCCCTGATCCAGCATCTATGAAACCGAACAACCCTGTTTCGCATCTACCTCAGCAGATGCAGAACATCTTCCTTGACCAAGCTCCTCGCAATGGCTCAACGCCCGAAAACTTCAACCAACAACACTCACGCAAGCAGAACTCATTGAACAAGGACTCGGAGTTCTTGCTCAACTTGATTCAAGCAAAGAACGCCAACAGAGCTCCTCCTCCGGCTCGCAGCCAACACGAGCCTGAACCTTTCCAGCTCTTCCTTGACCAACCACCGAAGACTCAAACTCAGACTATTGCGCCTAAGCCGCAAGCTCCTCGTCCTACTGAATCGATCGAGGAGCAATTGTTCCGTGGCAACCAAAACATGGATCAGGGTCGTCCTCGCGCTCCTCCTGGCTTCATCGAGGATCCCTCGATTGTATTGCAGCAAGCTCAGCGCAGCTACCCTAACGGTCCTCTTCAGCCGCGCCGCCAGAGCACTGCCCAGCAGATGCCAAACGCTGGTCCTGGTGCTCCCCAAGACTTTCCTCCTAACTTCCCATATATGACCGGCGGCCCTCCGCCTCCTGGTCCCGGCGACCGCCTCCCTCCTGGTTTCAATCCCAACATGCGTCACCCTCCTGGCTTTGCAAACATGCCCAACATTTTCCAGCAGCCTAGCTCACAGCCTCCACAGCAAGGCGGAAACATGCAAGGCCCTCCTCCCGGCTTCCCATCAGGCATGGGTATGCCGCCTCCCGGATTTGGAGCTCACGGTCCTCCCCCGCCTGGCTTCTTTAACAACCCAAACCACATCCCCGGCGTGCCCCCTGGCTTCGCTCCTCCGGGCATGATGATGATGCCTGGCTCTAATGTCAGAAGCCCCGATGGTACTCCTGGTATGCGCAGCCCTCAAGAAGGTCCTGGTATGGGTATGCCTATGCTCCAAGGCATGGGTGCTGCCTACGGAAACAGGCGCTAGGAGTCGTCTTTCAGACCCTCAGATACCGGAAGGACATGCTACCAATCACAGTATATGGCCGGTTGTCAATAGTCATAGAGGCATGATGATGAAGGAAAGTGTCAATGACCAGGAAAAGATAAAAAAGAAGGATGCCTTTTTCGGTTTAGTGTCCGAGATAATTATGAACAAAATCAAGGGCACTTTGGCCTTATTTGCTATCCTACAAATTGTTGTCCTTTCGTTTAAGTGATATGTGTTCGTTACATAGAATTCCTGAACTGAGCACGCTTGCCGTGTCGCTCACCGTTCTGGACTATGAACTGGTGTATATCTCAAATGGGTGATAAGGCCTCTCTCGAAATCCGAGCCCATAATTTCTTCAGATAAGCATTGCAGCACAATCGCACACTCGATAACCACCAGACTTTACAAAACGATGCTAGAGGTACCCTGCAAGCACTACACGGAGCATTGACAACCGAAGGAACAAATTTGATCAAATTGTTCAAGAAGAACATGTTTAGATGGTTGTGTACAAGGCAACCCTGCCCGGAGCACAGGCCAAGCTCGGCGAAGAATGGCTAAAGTCCGTTGGCTGGTGTTTTTCCAAAGAAAAAAGTTACCCTCCATTTCCTTGCGACCATTTGAACACAACTATCGCTTGCAAACACGATTCGATACGTCTAGCTCGGTCGCAAATACTAGAGACTTTTGCTGGATTGATTATCACATACTCGAAACGTCAATATGCCAGCTCAGGGCAAAGCAAAGGGCAGTCGCCGCAATGAAGGCGCCTCCTCTTCTGCTGCAGCGAGTACGTTCCTCATGTGGAGTGTACAGAGAGAAACAAACTGACATGTGTAAACAGGCGACCCTCGTTTCGCATCCATGACCACAGATCCTCGCTTCCGTCTTCCCTCAGCACGACACAGCAAAGTAGGCGTCGACAAGCGTTTCACCCGCATGTTCAAGGACGATGATTTCTCAAAGAAAGCGTCTGTCGACAAGTACGGTCGCAAGGTTGCAAAGAGCAATGCGAAGAAAGAGTTGGAACGCTTCTACAAGATTGAAGATGGAGATGAGGAGGAAGATGAAGAGTCAGAGGAAGAGATGGGAAAGGCACAGAAGGTCAAGCCTAAGAAGAGCAAGAAGCCGGTGAGAGAGGTTGTGGGAAGTGATGAGGAGAGCGAAGAGGAGGCTATTGCTGATGACGAGGAGATCGAGGCTGAGCTCAAGAGACTGGATGGCAGAGTCAGGGATCCGGCGAGAGAGGGCGGTTTCTCGTCTTCTGAGGACGACAGCAGTTCTGAAGATGACAGCGAAGAGGAGGAGGAGATTGAAGAGGATGCAGTGGAGTTCCCTAACGAGGAAGCTGCTGATGTGCCTCTTGGTGATGTCTCGTCTCGTCTGGCTGTCGTCAACCTCGACTGGGACAACATCCGCGCAGAGGATCTCATGGCTGTTGCGCAGAGTTTTGCTGCTACTGGCCGTGTTTCCAAGGTCGTCGTATACCCCAGCGAGTTTGGCAAGGAGCGCATGCAAAAGGAAGAACTCGAAGGCCCACCTAGAGACATTTTCGCCAGCACAACAAAGGAGATCGACGAGGACGAAGACAGCGACGACGAGGAAGAGAGAATCAAGAAAGAGCTACTGAAGGGAGACACAGGCGAAGAGTTCGACTCCGCAAAACTGCGTCAATACCAACTGGATCGCCTAAAGTACTACTACGCCGTCATCACCTGCGACTCCAAGGAAACAGCAAAGTCCCTCTACGATGGCATGGACGGTCGTGAATATCTCTCCACAGCAAACTTCTTCGATCTGCGATTTGTCCCTGACGATGTCGATTTTGACACCGACACCCCTCGCGACGAGTGCACAAAGATTCCCGCAGGCTACAAGCCCAACGAATTCGTCACAGATGCTCTTACCCACAGTAAAGTCCGCTTGACATGGGACGCCGACGACACAACAAGAAAAGAAGTCCAGAAACGTGCCTTCTCTCGCGCTGAGATCGACGAGAACGACCTCCAAGCCTACATCGGCAGCGACAGCAGCGACGACGAAGATAACGACACTGGCATGACAAAAGCAGAGCAGCAAAGACAAAAGATGCGTGCTGCACTGGGTCTATCCACCGAAGCAGCAAAGTCAAAATCTAAAGACGATGGCCCGGTTGGAGATATGCAAATCACTTTTACTTCCGGTCTGTCCAATGCCGCAGCAAAGTCCAAGGGTGTGTTTGAGAACGAACCTATCATCGAAGAAACCACACGCGAGAAGTACATCCGCAAGGAGAAAGAACGCAAAGCCCGTCGCAAGGAAAAGATGAAGGCAGCCCGCAATGGAGGTGAAGCTGCAGCAGAAACATCCGACAACGAGGCCATCACAGAAAAGACACCCGCAAGCACAGCACCAGCAGCAGATGACGACGATCCCTTCAACGACCCCTTCTTCAACGACACAGCAACCTCCCAAAAACAAGAAAAACTCGCTCGCAAAGCAGATCGTCAGAAGAAGCGCGAGGCGAAAGAAGCAGCAGACGCCGCCAATGCCGCCAAACGCGCCGAGCTGGAACTGCTCATGGTCGACGAAAACACCGGAGCTTCCGAATCCATGCGCCACTTCAACATGAACGAAATCGCCAAAGCCGAAAAGACCCTCAAGAAGAAATCGAAAAACAACAAGAAAGCCAAGGATGCAGCTGAAATACTTAAACAAGACGATTTCAGTATGGAAACGCAGGATCCGAGATTTGCCAAATTGTTTGAGAGTCATGAGTTTGCTATTGATCCTACGAATCCTAGGTTCAAGGGTACGCAGGGTATGAAGGCGTTGTTGGAAGAGGGAAGGAGGAAGAGAAAGGGTAGGAGTGATGAGGATGGTGAGAGAGCTGATGCTCCACCGGTAGAGAAGAGGGAGAAGAAGGCAAAGACTGAGGCTTCTTCTGGTGGTGAGGATTTGAATTCGCTGCTTGCGAGAGTAAAGGCAAAGACCAAGGCTAGGTAGAGAGGTTGTTGATCGGATAGTCACAAGCATAATGCATGAAAGACCTTGGCTTCGAGCAGGGCTGTACTGAATGTCGACCCACTACAAGCGATTCGCCGATGTGCCTCACCACTCCTTTGTCTCAAGCCTACAAGCATCAAGGACAACAGATGATCACTAGCTAACCACAAGAGTTCTTAATTGTCAAGAACCACAGCGACAAAGCAGACATCATCCTTATGGAAACTTGGCTAGAGAAGTGGACAAAAATTGGACCTAGACGAGAAGTTCTACAGGCTCGTACAGTATCGTAGTGTCTGGTGAGAGATGAAGCTCCGAACCTTCTCCGTAGAGGCAGCTCATCTCCATGTTAATATTCCTCAAACCTGTAGTTGCAAAGCTGCATGATATTTTCAGGAGGGAAGGTACCGCTCACTAGGCGCCACTGCCTCAGGGATTTTTCCTGTTTTCGCCTCGATATCCAAATTCGTATGCATTCGTGTACATGTTGCACTACGTCAGAAATTGGGATTGAGTAGATGGTTTGGTCATCATCTCCAAGCAATATGATCGAAAAGTAATGCTTCTTTTATTTTTGGCATGAAGCTAGCATAGAGCTCACAGTCTAGCCTAGATTCGGAAGCGTCAGAGAGCAACAGCTCGGATGAAGATGAGAAGACATGGGAAAACGCCTCGCTATGCAGTCTTGATGGCCATAAAAATTCCTTATGAACGCCACCTCTTTTTATTAGTCGTGAAATATCTGTACAGCTCAGACTCGGAGAACGGAGGCCTTGCTCTCAATGCCATCGAAGATGCATGTGTTGTCGATGGGCACGTATTGCTTCGTGATGACCTTGATGACTTCTTGGGCTACCATACCACCGACCAAAGAGCCGATATTGTGGAGCTCGGATGCACCGGCACGAACACTGGTCATTAGTCAGTATTACTTAAAGCTACAGTAGGGGAAGACACCTACAGTTCGCGCACAATGTTGGCGCATTTTGCCTTGAGCTCATCATATCCGGGATTCTCGATGAAAGTGCCAGCTTCATTGATCAGAGAATCTATGATATTCAAAGCAATGCCGACCATCTTTTCAGTATCAGCTTCAATGTCAGCATCAGTCGAGCCAGGGACTCTAGGCTCTCCGCCAAGTGCGTCGACGTTGTGGCTACCGACAAATGCATCCCAAGCGACAAAGGCAATGTAGTGCAGGATACCGCTATCCAGGCCAAATGTCAAGTTGTTGAGGTGTTCAACAGCAGATTTGGCAGTTTCTTCACCCCAGTGCAGTGGGGCATCACCACGTGCAATGCGAAGAGGCTTTCCACGCACCAACTTGATGTGAGCAGCACCCTTGCAGAAAGCCTCGACTTCCTTCTCGTCGATGGGCTCCGTGCGACCAACGCTAGCTTCGAGTGCTCGGACAGTTTGCAGCACCTCTGCAGCATCCTTGCGGGCCTTTGACTTATATATGTTCTGCAGCTGGATGTAGTCGGCACTTCTAGCCTTCATATCGGGCACCGCACCAGGAAGAGGAAGTTGATGATGGGTAGAGTAGAAGGTGTGAACAGCATTGGCGATGAACCAGAATGCGGATGAGGTAGGCTCCAGAGATTTTGTTTCAGGAGCATCAAGCACAGCGAGGACGGAGCCAGGAGCGGTGGGAGGGTTCAATGACTTGATGATTGCAGCAGTGGCTTCGGCAAAGTTCTCTTCATCAGGTGGAGAAGCTTTTGCGACCATGTTGCGGAAGTCAGTCTTCTCCTGGTATGACTGAGGTGGTTGGCCGTTGTGAGATGCACGCCATTCGTCAAGGAAGTGTAGCAGAAGCAGAAGGTATGGAACGTGACCAATGTCCTCAGACGACAATGCCTGAAGGTTGCTGGTCTTCTCTTTTTGGAATTGGACAAGTTCGGGCCATGGAGCGAGCAGGCGCAAATCGGTTGTGGAAGCAGGATCGGGGTGGGTATCGACTATAGGGAAGGCTGGGGGTAGTGAGAGAGAAAAGTGCGAGTAGAAGCCAGAGCAATGGATGTAGAACAGAGGTACGTGGTGTGTCTGGCAATGGGCTGAGACGACGTCAAGCACGTCGGGAGCGATGGGAGCGGTGACGAGGATGAGGGTGTATGGATTGAGAGCGGCTTCTCTAGCGATAAAAGCTGAGAGTGGCTCGGTAATGGCGTGTCCTTGAACATCTGGGTTCAGTTCTTGCAGCAGGCGGCGGCTCGATTCGGCGCGGAAGGTTCCCAGAGTGCTCTCGTCGAGGAAGAAGTTGACGCCCAGGTCTTGTTCCGAGACAAGAGTAGAGTCCAGGATAGTGAAGTGACCAATGCCAGGAAGGATCAGGTTCTTGAGAGTCTCGACACCGACGACGCCAGGACCGTTGTTGATGAGCAGGATGTGGGCTTGTTCCAGGGCGGCTTGTCCGCTGGCAGCCCAGAGACGGAGCTGTCTGTCGTATCTCTTTTCCTTGGATGTAGGCACTCCCTGGAGAGGAGGCGGCGTGGCCTCTGCGTTGGCTGCCATGATGAGATTGTGGGTGGATTGATGGACTGAATTGGACACAAGTTCTAGATCAGGAAGCTACGGCGTGCACGGCGTGGTGTCGGCGTTTGACTGATGACGAAAGGGAAATGGCGGGGCAGTCGGCGGGAGAAGCGATGCCGGCCGGTCGTTTGCACGCGCCGCCAGACATTCAAGCATTATTCAGGGCACCCCGCTACCAACATTTGCTCTGCGGCTAATATCATCTTTTTGCTCGTTATCATAAGAAGCCATTTATCCAACCCATCCGCTGTGCATGTTTGCTGGTGAGTCCTTCTTCTGAATATGTCACTGTGACCGAGGCCTCGATTGCTCATACCGCTCTAGCTTCGTCCCAACAAACATTTATTCGTCTGCTGTCCTCGTCACCTTCGACCCTTATCCTCCGCTCTCTCCGCCCTCTGTCTCGTCCACACCAATTCTCCCGCAAAATGTCCGTTACTACTGGTGCTCCCGGCTCAGCAGCAGCTGCTGCTGTCGACATGATCGAGCAGGCCAAGCGCAAGGCCGCTTACCGCGCCGTCGCCGACCACTTCGACTCTGAGATGCAGTTTGTTGGTATTGGTTCTGGAAGCACAATCATCTACGGTGTTGAGGCTATCAAGGACTGCTTGGCCAAGAACCCTCCCAAGAACGGTCGCTACATCTTCTTCGTCCCCACTGGTTTCCAGTCGAGAAAGGTCATTGAGCAGGCCGGCCTGATGCCCATGGGTTTCGACAGCTTGCCCGAGAACGTCATGTTGGATGTTGCTTTCGACGGTGCCGACGAGGTCGACGACGACTTGAACTGCATCAAGGGTGGTGGTGCTTGCTTGTTCCAGGAGAAGCTGGTCGCAACTCGCGCAAAAAAGTTTGTCTGCATTGCTGGTAACACTCTCACTCGGAATCCTTCTGCCTCACCTTGTGCTGACACTTTATTTTAGACTACCGCAAGAACCAGACCCGCCTGATCACAAAGTGGCCCTCAATACCTATTGAGGTTGCTCCCATCGCTCACGCGACCGTTATGCGCCAGCTCAAGCTCATTGGTTCTATCAACCCCGTGCTGCGTGAGCACACCCTTGCAAAGACTGGTCCCATCCAGACCGACCAAGGTTTCTACATCATCGATGCTCCTTTCAAGCCCCTTCTTACCCAAGAAGACGTCAAGAACGGCAAGGATGGCTCAGGCACGGATGGTCAGTGGGAGGTCACTGCCCTTGCACACAAGATCAAGTCCATCTCTGGTGTTCTCGAGGTTGGTCTCTTCTTTGGTCCCAACGGCTACGAGGTCCAGGCTGCTGGCGGCCAGGGCGGTCAAAAGCCCGTTGCTGCTTACTTCGGTAACGAGGACGGCTCTGTCAGCGTCAAGGAGGCAAAAGCTCACTAATAAGGTGGTGCTGATTTTCCGTCCCTTGTGATCCCCTCATGTCATACGTGCCATCTGCTCATCATGTTCATGCCAAAAGATACCAAAGTACATTGGTAGTATCTGTTCTTGGGTACTGCATTTCCTTCTCTCCTTGTTTTCCGTTTCCCGCTCCGAACAATGTGCTTGAAGAATCGTCAGTCTATTGTTCAACTGCCTTCGCCCTTGTAAGCCACGTAGTCACCGAACTTCTGCTGCATATCAAGGGAACCATTTGTTGCTGAGTGGTGCTTATATCAGCACCTATGGGAAAATGATATGGAAGAGGCTCGAAGAACCTAAAGGTACTGACAGCTTTTATATTCCCATCACCAGCGACAGCTATTCTTATAGTTCAGAAAATGTGCAACAAGTAAAACCACATTCTCAATGGTCTGGTGGCTAGCAACCACCTCACTGTCGCCTTACAGAGCTAACCCAGATCGGCAGTCACTTTGTAAACAACGACCAATTCACCAATCATTAATCAACAACTATAACAGCTTGCCCAAGTTCGAGCCTCTGCATCAGCTAATAATTTCTCCAGCAATTTCTCAACCATGGTCTCATGATAGACACACCCCTGTGGAAAGGTGGTCTAGTCACTGTCAGAGGCTGGAGGGGAAATGAGGCAGTAGAGGAGGACGAGGACGAGGATGAGGGAAAGTGAGGAAGTAAGTCAGCCCCTGAGCCACCAGACCTGTGATTTCTTTTTTGCCTGGTTGGTCTTGGGAACCATTGTGAATTTGCTGTGTATAACTCTCTGATGATGCTGACAGGAAGAAAGCACCAAAAACTCAATGATACACGGACCGCGAGGATGAAGTGTGTTGTCACGAGGAAGGAACACTGATTCCTCGCTGGTAGAGTCTACGATCTGAGTTGCGTTGATTTCAGGGTTGTTGCGGGTCGCGCCTTCGAGACCTTCGCAGTCGAAGTTACGCCATGTATCTGCGGCAGGTGCAAAGCCCACAGTGTGAGAGAGCTGGCCCTTCTGACTAGGACTAAGTACTGCAGTTCATTTCGATCACCAAGTACTTTTGATACACCTTCACTTCTGCAACCTCATTGAAGCACTCAATGCTTTTCAAGCAAACGCCGAGATCCCTTCCTCCTAATTAGACCTTCACGAAGACAATTGCGTTGATCAACTACTCAACACTGATCGAAAGATTTGCTCGTCACTTGAACTGTCCGTCCCTTACTGCCCTACTGTCACCTCGCGCTTGGTTCACATCGATACAAAGTCTCAATACGGATTCGATGTCACACACACTCTTTTTTTAGGATTTTCCTTCAGCTCTCTTTTCCAACATTGACTTTTAAACATCCTTATCAACTACATCACCAACCTTCCAAGCCATTCCTCTTGCATCATCATCATTAGTAGAAACAACCCAGGTCACTACTTTCATAAAAATGTTGAGGCTCTTTTGCAACCTGGCGATTCGAAGTGCAGTACACCTGCTATTAAGGCTGCACAGGAGAAGATGGAAAGCGTCACATTAGAGAACTATATTGACGAGATCAAGAAGATCGCAAAGGAGGTAATTATCGATGCAAACATGAGAGCTTGCGGTAATCCATGAAGAGCGTGTTGATGGAGCATCAATGATAGATTGAGCATCAGGAGTCATAACAACAGTGATGAGGAAGAGCTCGTTTCCAGTTCTAATGTTATCGTCAATCAGAATATTATAGATACAACAATCCCCAATGACAAGACGCATCGACCTTAATTCACGCTGGAATTCAATGTGAGATAAATCGAAGGCCGACAGAAATGTTTCACTTCTTCCAAGTTCTAGTAAGACCCAAACTTGTCTATAAGCCCGACATCTGTCTTTCACTTGGCTCATCTCTTTGTCCCATTCAACAACATCTCCTCCATCTCTGACACATCTTCTCTGACCTTGGTTCTCGATCTCGGATGCAGTAGATCAACTTCACACACCACGTTCTGTCAAAATCTTCTGTCCTCCACTATCCACACGACTTAAGATGTCTAAGCGCACTGAATCGGACACACCTACTGAGACCAACTTCGCCGACGAGATCAGCAAGAAACCGCGCCTCGATCTTCACGAGCAGATCCAGCGCGCTGGCATCCTGGCCACCCAGCTGCGTGAGGCGGCCAACAAGGATCACTTGGATGCCAAAGCATGGACTGCAAACCAGATCGCAACCGACGAGCTTGTCCGCATCTTTGAGAACATGCAAGAGAAGACCGCTGAGTATGTGACGCCGTTCGAGCAAAAAAACCACCATACTTACATACAAGCAGTACCTCTCAGTCAGTTGATGGCCTCATTGCAGCTCAGGTCAAGCTCGAAGTCAAAATCAAGATGGACATCCTCCAGCAGAAGACCGGAAACCGTGATCGGCTTGGTACCGAGACCAACACTTATCTTCTACCTTGGACGCCTGCTTCTAGAGAATCTATGGCAATGGCCGCTCGCGAGAAGATGGAGGGCGCTACTTCTGGAGACCTTGCTGCTCAAGTCACAGAGGCAGTTGAGTCGACCATCGTTGAGAAGTTCCAAAAGGGCATCGACAAGCAGCTGCGTGGTCTCATGAAGTGAGAGGCTGTTAGATGAGAAACAACACAGCAAAGACGCCTAAGCAGGAGTGTCTTCGGAAGTAAACAGTTCTATTAGAGCCAGAACTTTATCAAGCAGAAGCAATACAGAAGAAGACGCCTCAACCACAAGAAATAACAATTTCCAATTCAATTTTGTACAATCAAGATTCGCTACATCATACATTAGTATCTGCAAGTAGATCTTCTACTTTTTGCTTTTTGCAGTCTCGGAAAGGTCACGAACTCTTGATCCTAAAGGACTTTGAAATTTCACTGTGTCGAACCTGGAATGCGCAATGCCATGTCAAGTTGGAAACGTCACTACAGAGACACCTCGATGGAACGACATCTCTGTAGCTGTTAATCCTTTCTAGCAAGGCACTGTACGCTCTCACAACCGAAATCTTTACTTAACACAACACATCATGAGAGAGGAGTGATCACAAAGAGCAGGTTATAAGCCCGGAGAATGTTCTTAAAGAGTCGTCAGATGGTGCAAGGGTTCTCAAGTCATGTAGGGAGACAATATACTGTAGGGAAAAGACATGCGTCATGCAAGTCGAGAACGTAGCTTAGGAATGACCGTATTTCATTAAATGGCGTTGAGATGATGGAGATGAGTTGGTCTTAAAGAAGAAAACAGGTCGAGAAGAGGGAAGTGGCAATAACAGATGATGATGAGGCAGGAAGCAAAGGAAAGAGAAAGTACGGGATGAGGCAAATGGCAACTTTTGGAAATAGCAAAGGACAACAACTAAAGGCACTCGATCAGAAGAAGACCTCAAACAAAAGGAAAGAGCAAAAGACGGTAAAATCAAATTGAAATAACTTCTCTATATACAAGAAAAAATAAAACAAAATATATACATAATTCGTAACAGACGTAACGCATAACACGTAAACACACGCAGAGCAATCCAGGCTCGAATACGTGATAAACGGGACGGCGTGGCGAACAGATATTGATAAATACTGAACGCAAATGCATGTCGAACCCGATTTAAGAGGGCGTGAGGTATAGTATCTTTTGTATACAAAAAAACAGCAGGAAAAAAAGAAAAAGATCCTCCGAATCGCTTCCACGGTAGTCTACAAGAAAACGCCATTCCCAATTTTTGTATCTTTGGTTCCGAAACGCGTTCCTGTGCTATTATGATGCCATGACCAAGGCCAAAAGGGCCATGCGGACGAACATGCCATACTTCATCTGCAACAATTGTCAGTAAACAAATCAGAAACCTGGAGAGGGCTAAACTTACCTGTCTGAAGTAAGCAGCTCTGGGGTCGTTGTCAACCTCAGGGCTGAGCTCAAGGTTGCGAGGAAGAGGGTGCATGACAATCATGTTCTTCTTTGCGTGCTTGAGGGTGGCAGCGCTGACGACGAGACCATCCTTGACCTTCTCGTACAGAGACAGGTCCTCGAAACGCTCCTTCTGCACACGAGTGCAATAGATGACGTCGGACTTAGCGACGATCTCGGGAGTAAGCTCGTGAGACTCGGCACCAAGTTGACCACGGCTCTGGAGACCACTGCGAACCTTCTCAGGAAGGCCAATCTCCTTGGGTGCCACCAGGTTGATGGTGCAGTCGTAGTGCTTCAAAAGCTCGCAGAGAGAGTGTACGGTGCGGCCGTACTTCAGGTCACCGACGAAGGTGATAGTGAGACCATTGGCTGTACCGACCTCCTCACGGATGGTGAAAAGATCCAAGAAGGCCTGGGTAGGGTGCTCGCGGGAGCCGTTGCCAGCGTTGATGATGGGGTGGTCGGCAGCTTCGGCAGCAACATCGGCGCTGTCATCGTCAGGGTGACGGAGGACAATAGCATCACCATATTGGTCGAGAGTGCGGATGGTGTCTGACAAAGTCTCGCCCTTCTTGGTGCTAGAGTGAGACTCGTTGATCATGATGCATTGACCACCAAGACGCTTCATAGCAGCATCGAAGGAAGATGAAGTACGAGTTGAAGGCTCGTAGAACATCAAGCAGAGAAGCTTGTTCTTGAGGATATCGAGAACACCCTCACGCTCAACACCCAGACGCATCTCCGAAGCGACAGTCATGAGGAGATGGAGCTCCTTTCTTGTGAATTGGTTGACAGAGGTGATGTCTCTGCCCTTGAAGGGAGAGTTGTGAAGGAGCTCCTGGAGAGAAGGTGTCTGCTTGGCAATGGGCTCCTCAAGAGAGGTCGATGGAAGCTCAGCGAAGGTCTGGTAGTCGAGGCTGCTGACTGCCATGTCGTAGTTGCGAGCAATGGCCTCGATCAGAATCTTGGCGTTCTTGACGTTGGTGACCAGAGGAGTCTGGTAGTCAACGGCCATTCTGCGAGTACGGTAACCCTTGGACATATAGTTGGCAGGGCGACGGAAGCGGTTGCTTGAGGGCAAGTTGATGTACAAGTCGATCAAGTTGTTGGCAAGAGCGTGAGTCAACGAGTACTCAGTTCTCTGCTCGTCGTCCTGAAGAGCCTCCAAGAACTTGCAAGGAACACCGTGCTCCTCGAGGAAGTCAGCAGTACCAGCGGTGGCGTAAAGGCTGTAGCCAAGCTTGTGAAGCTTCTCAATGGAAGGCAACAATTCTTGCTTGTCCTTGTAAGCACCGATAGACAGAAGAATGTTCTTCTTGGGAAGACGGAAGCCGGTGGCGACGAGAGCCTTCATGTAAGCCTCGTACTTGGTGCGACCGAAACATGCGACCTCACCAGTGGAGGCCATCTCAACACCAGTAACGGGGTCAGCTCCGGAAAGACGCGAGAAGGAGAATTGAGGAACCTTGACACCAATGTAGTCTGCGGGCATGGTGACAGGGGGGTACTCCTGGAGGGGAAGACCAGTCATAGCCTTGGTGGCCAATTCGATCAAGTCGACACCAGTGACCTTGGAGACGAAGGGGAAAGATCTCGAGGCTCTGACGTTGCACTCAATGACCTTAATGTCGTTGTCCTTGGCGATGAACTGGATGTTGTAAGGACCGGTGATGTTGAGAGCCTCACCAATCTTCTTGGTGGCTTCCTCGATACGTCTGACGGTCTCGGCATCCAAGTCCTGAGGAGGCTGGATGAGAGTGGCATCACCAGAGTGAACACCGGCATTCTCAACGTGCTCAGAGATGAAGTGGCCGATCATGGTACCGTTGCGGGCGACAGCATCCATCTCAATCTCCTTGGCACCCTCAATGTACTTGGTGATGACGACGGGGTGCTCCTTCGAAACCTCAGCAGCCTGGTTAAGGTAGTTGGCGAGGTCGTGCTCGGAGTAGACAGTGTTCATAGCAGCTCCAGAGAGAACGTATGAAGGACGGACAAGCACAGGGTAAGAGACTGCGTCACAGAACTTCTTGGCCTCGTCAATGCTGGTCAGCTCCTTCCATTGAGGCTGATCGACACCAATTCTATCGAGCATACGCGAGAACTTGTATCTGTTCTCGGCAGAGTCGATCATCTCAGGGGAAGTACCAAGAATCTTGACGTTGAGACGGTGGAGAGGCAGAGAGATGTTGTTGGGAGTCTGACCACCCATAGAGAGGATGACACCGCTGGAGTTCTCGAGCTGGTAAATGTCGAGGACGGTCTCGAGGGTGATGTTCTCGAAGTACAGGCGGTCGGCCTCGTCGTAATCGGTGGATACGGTTTCCGGGTTGTACAACGAGGAAGTCAGCACAAGTCATAAATGAAGGAATGTAAGGATTTACTCACGTTGACCATAACAGTCTTAAATCCTTGCTCCCTCAAGGTGCGGACAGTGCGGACGGAGCACCAATCGAATTCGACGGAAGACCCAACTGAACAAACATGTTAGTCACTTTCTTTGCATTTCTTATTCCAAATGCTCTCACTTCTGTAGACGCCTGATCCGAGAACCATGACACCGTTGTCGTTGAACTGAACGTCACTTTCTACGCCATTATACGTCGTGTATAGATAGTTCTGCAAGAAACAAGTCAGCAAACATTCATGAAGGTAGAAGGGAAAGTGGAGCGCCTTACGGTGTACGCTGGGAATTCACCAGCGACTGTGTCAATTTGCTTGACAACGGGCATGATGTCGTACTCGAGTCTGTGCTTGCGGACAGTCTGCTCATTGGTGGACCAGAAAATACTCAATTGCTTGTCTGAGAAACCGAGCTCCTTGGCCTGTCTGAAAAGAGTTGAAGGGACTTCGGTAACCTTCTTGGTGCTCATGAGCTTGCCGAAGTCGCTCAAGCCCTTGAGCTTGCTGAGGAACCACTTGTCGATCTTGGTCAACTCCCAGATCTTCTCGACGCTGTAACCAGAGTGCATGGCGTTGGCAATTGCAAACATTCTCTGGTCAGAAGGAGTCTGCAGCTCCTGGTCGATAGACATAAGAGCGCTGGTCTCCTGGAAGCCGAGGTTGCTGACATCGACAGCTCGGATAGCCTTCTGGATTGCTTCTTCGAATGTTCTACCAATGCTCATGACTTCACCAACACTCTTCATGGCGGAGCCGAGGAGAGTGGAGACACGAGTGAACTTCTTCAGATCCCAACGGGGAATCTTGACAACGACGTAGTCGAGGGAAGGCTCGAAGCAGGCGCAGGTAACCTTGGTGACGGTGTTCTTGATCTCGTTCAATGGAATACCGAGACCAAGCTTGGCAGCAACGAAAGCCAAGGGGTAACCAGTAGCCTTAGAAGCAAGAGCCGAGGAACGCGACAGACGAGCGTTGACCTCAATGATGCAGTACTCTCTTGAGTCAGGGTTGAGAGCGTACTGAATGTTACACTCACCAACAACGCCGAGGTGACGAATGACGTTGACGGCAGTGCGTCTCAACATCATGAAGTCCTTGTCAGAGAGAGTCTGCGAGGGAGCAACGACAATGGAGTCACCAGTGTGGATACCCAGAGGGTCGAAGTTCTCCATGTTACAGACCGTGATGCAGTTGTCCTGGCAATCACGGACGACTTCGTACTCGATTTCCTTCCAGCCCTTCATACTACGCTCGATGAGGACTTGAGGACTGGCAGCAAAGGCCTTGTTGCAGAGTTCGACAAGTTGCTCCTCGTTGTCGGCGAAACCACTGCCCAGACCACCGAGAGCGTATGCGGCACGAATGATCAGAGGGAAGCCAATCTGCTTACCAGCAGCGATAGCCTCCTCCATGTTGTTGGCAGAGGCGGACATAGCGCACTTCTCGCCAATCGACTCCATGGCACGAGCGAAGAGCTCACGATCCTCAGTGGTGATGACAGTGTCGATTTGGGTACCGAGGACCTTGACACCAAGGCTCTCGAACTCATCCTTGAGCTGGATACCGACCGACAGAGCAGTCTGACCACCGAAAGTACAGTAGATACCGTCAGGCTTCTCCTGCTTGATGACCTTGCGGACAAAGTCGGCGTTCACAGGAAGGAAGTAGACCTTGTCGGCCAGACCCTTGGAAGTCTGGATGGTGGCGATGTTGGGGTTGATCAAAATTGTGTAGATACCCTCCTCCTTAAGAGCCTTGATGGCTTGCGAACCAGAGTAATCGAACTCACCGGCTTGACCGATGGAAAGACCACCACTGCCAAGAACCAGGACCTTCTTGACGGAGACTCTGGGGTTGGCCTTCTGGTTCTCAGCAAGATCACCGCCAGGGAACTTGATGGGCTGGTGCATCATGCTGGGGTCCTCGATGACCTTCTGGACGGCATCCAGGAAGACATCAAAGAGGTTCTCGGTGTCCTGAGGACCGGGGGCACTTTCGGGGTGGAATTGGACACTGAAGTAGGGGCGGCTGATGTGTCTGATACCCTCGTTGGAGCCGTCGTTTGCGTTGACGAACAGCTCAGACCAGTCTTGAGTCAAGGTGCGCGAGTCGACGGCGTAACCGTGGTTTTGGGATGTGATGTAGCACTTGCCGGAGATCAAGTTTGTGCAAGGAATGTTGTGGCCTCTGTTACCGTACTTCATTTTGACGGTCTCAGCACCCGAAGCACGGGCAAGAAGCTGGTGTCCCAAACAGATACCGAAGATGGGGACTCTGGCCTCGCGGATGTTGGCCTGAATGTTCTTGACAGTCTTCTCCATCAATGCCGGGTCACCAGGACCGTTGGAAATGAAGAGACCATCGTACTCCTTGCCAGCCAACGCGGGGAAATCGTAGTCCCAGGGAACGACCTGTACCTCGACACCACGCTTGACGAGGCATCTAAGCTGGTTGTACTTGAGACCAACATCGACGCAGACAATGCGAATGGATCTGCCCGAGGGGTGCTTCAGGGCATTTGAAGGGTCGGGCGAGTAAATCTTGGGTTCCTTGATCGAAACTAGACTATGTCAGAAGCAGCTTCCCCACCTGTGTTGTCAGGTAGCCTTACCATCTGCAACCAAGTTCTTGTTGTTGGGGTTGGACCATTCGACCTCCTCAAATTCGGGCTTCTCCTCGGTCTCGCCGTTGCTGAGGGTGATGCCGTTGGTGATAGGAGCAGCAGCCTTGGAGCCGGACTTTTGCAGTCTCATGCGGCCGAGCATGCTACCCTTCTCGCGGATGATCTTGGTGAGGGCGCGGGTGTCGACTCCGCAAAGAGCAGGCACGCCTTGCTCCTTCAGCCATTTGCCCAATGAAGAGGTGGCCAGGTAATGTGAGTAGTCTTCGCCGCAGTAAGAAGCAACAATCAGACCAGAAACGTGGATCTGAGAGGCCTCGAAGTGAGCAGGGAGGTCCTTGAGAAGAGGATCCATCTCGTTTCTGTCGGGCACACCATAGTTGCCGATCAGGGGGTAGGTGAGGACCAAGATTTGGCCTTTGTATGAAGGGTCGGTGATGGACTCCTCGTAGCCGACCATGCCAGTCGAGAAGACCAGCTCGCCGGCTACGCTCTTCTCAGCACCAAAGGATTTGCCTTCGGCGAGACGGACACATTCAGTGCCTTCTCTGGCCTCAAGGGCGATGAGCTTGTCTCCAGTGTGGCCAGCCATTGTGCAAGACGAGGCCAGTTTGAACTGATGACACAAGGAGGGAGAAAAAAGACAAGGTGGTTATGAAAAAATGTCTCCAGGGTCTTGGCGCTAAAGCTGTGTCCCCGCGATGAGGAACGTGCGTGCTCGCCGGCGACCACGTCATTTTAATGGTCAATGTTTCTCCTGGAGATCGCAGAAAGACGGGGAAGACAATGTTCAGCTGTGAACCTGAAGACACAGATGCTCTGGAAAGACTCTAGAACGACAAGTGAGCAGATGTATTCACTATTATGTCGCTTCCCCTGTCTCCTACAGCTGCACCGACGCTCATTCATGGCTTCAGTGACCTTCGATCTGCACAAAAAAATGCAAAACTTTTTACACCTAAATGGCCGCCGAGACAGGCCGTTGGTACACGCAGATCATTTTGTTGAGTGCGGTATCGCTGAGCTACCACTCCTAATAATGTCCATTGAAGAGCAAAAGACTTTGTGCCTGTCTATCAAGGTCGACACTTGCTCGTGAAGCAAATTGAAGGACGGTCTTTGGGCTGAATCATTTTTTTCCAAGCCCGTGAAATCGGTTCCTGCGGCGATGCGGGAGTGCGGGAAGATCAAGCTGTGGTGCTGCAGGTGCATCAAGCACAAGGCAGCTCCGGCCGAAGGGTACCGTTGAGGATGAATTGACCATCAATTAGTGGCACTTATGCCGACTTAGCCAGGATTAAGGACAATTAACGAAATTATTCGGTCATCACTTTGCTCGCAACTTGCGATGAGGTCAGCAGCTTACAACAAGCTACACTCGAACTCTCTTTGCTTCGACAGAGATACATAACAGCTCATTGCCTGTTACTCTTGACTGGCACGTATGTTCTCCTTGCTTAGACGCTCGCAACTGATCAATACACACTTGACACCCTCACGTATTTCAATTCGCAAAATGGCTGTCAGTCGACTGAACTTTTCCTCGCTATTCGCAGCACACTGATGATTTGATAGACCGAAGACAAGAAGAAGGATATTCTCGATTGGGTTGATCCCAAGGACAAGTCTGGAGAGTTCAAGAGACAACAATCCACCTTCCGTGATTTCATCAAGAACGAGCCAGGTGCAGAGTTCCCTGCCGAGAAAGGCAGATACCATCTCTATGTCTCATATGCATGCCCCTGGGCACACCGTGCTCTAATCGTCCGTAAGCTCAAGGGTCTTGAGGATATCATCTCTTACACTTCTGTCCACTGGGAGATGCTCGAGAAGGGCTGGAGATTTGCCAAGCCTGACGAAGGTGTTCCCGGAGACAACACCACACCCGATCCTCTGCACGAAGGCTATACTCATCTTCGGGATATCTACTTTGAGAACAACAAGGACTATGAAGGTCGCTTCACTGTACCTACTCTCTACGACAAGAAGCAAAAGCGCATCGTCAACAATGAGAGTAGTGAAATCATCAGAATGATGTATCACGCATTTGACGATCTGGTTGCCGAGAAGTTCAAGAATGTGGATCTTCTCCCTTCAGACCTCGAAAAGCGTATCGACGAGACCAATGAGTGGACTTACAATGATATCAACAACGGTGTCTACAAGTCAGGCTTTGCCACGTACGTGTCTATGCTTCTCGAAGATGAATTGATTCCTGACTGACCCTACTCAGAACACAAGAGGCCTACGAGAAGAACGTCAAGACTTTGTTCAAGTCGCTGGATCGCGCAGAGGAGGACCTTGCCAAATCTGGCGGTCCCTACTATCTAGGCGACAAGCTAACCGAGCTCGATGTGCGCCTCTACACAACCATCATCCGGTTCGATGCCGTCTACGTTCAACACTTCAAGTGCAACATCCGTGACATCCGCAGTGGCTACCCTAACCTACACAAGTATGCTTTGATCCACTATTGACAAAGGAAAGATTATGCTGACATTTATCACTTTAGGTGGGTGCGTAACCTGTACTGGAACCACGATGCCTTCAAGAGTACCACCGAGTTCACTCACATCAAGTGCCACTACACAAAATCGCACAAGCAGATCAATCCGTTCTCGATCACGCCTGTCGGTCCAGTGCCAGACATTCTTCCTCTCGATCAGGATGTGCCCGCAGCTGCTGCTGCCATCCGTACGACAAACCAGTAAATGTTTTATTAATTGAGGCTTCAATATTATTGTACGCTAGCAATCTCTGCAGTCTTCCTTGATCCAAACATGGCAGAATGCACTGCACATCTTACGACTCCATGATATTGCGATCTCTACCCCGATGTTGATTGCCAATGCGCCGTTATGTTCTTTCAGATCGATGCCAGCCTTATGCGACGTTGTGGCAGACTCAAAAATCAAGGCACACAAGTGGTCCAGGCAGGTCTATTCTCAGGCGCGGAGCCTCTTACTCAGTGATCCGTGCTGGGCCCCATAACTGTCACTGTAGATGACAGATGCTGTAATATCGTTTCTTTGGCTGTCTGCGTCTGACCTTGATACACATTGGCGCAGAGCTTGTCTGCGATATCTGCCACATAATGCAAGCGAAGCCGGGAAACTGGAAAGTAAAGCACGATCCTAGAGTGGATAATAATGCCGTTTCCCGCTGCGAACTCACAGTTGCTCGGCTCCACTGCGAACCGCGAGTCCCGGCAACGATTGTGTCTCATGCGCAAAGTAATCTCATGGTTCATCTCGGAGTGCACTACGAGTAAGAAGCCCTTGCAGAGGAATCAATTTTGGAAAGGAACTTGGTCGTAGCCAAGACTTTTCTGGAAAATGTCAATAATTTCATGCTTCGCGATTAAACTATGCACGCTCTAGACCTTTGTGCTTCTGCCAAGACAAACGACTTTGACCAACTCGGAGTAAACGACAACACTCCGACCACATCAGACCGAGCAGGCAAAGAGTCGCTTCGCCATTTGATGCAGATGCCGGCCGAATGCACGCGGTCGCCGCCAATGCTCTTTGCAGAGGATTTGAGGTATTCAGCTGGCGTGTTGGTCGAGCGCCTACGACCCACTTGAGTACGTAGGTTCTTCCAGGGGGCTCTTGGTGCTCTTTTCGCGCCTGCAGGTCTCTTAAAAGTACTCCGTGTACTGAATTTTGCTTCGTCTTGGTATTCTACGTATAGGTTTGAAGACCTAGATGTCAATACTTGTTTGGCATGCAAGACATCTGCGACTATCCACGGCAGCGGGCCGCAGGTATATCTGAAGATCGGGGGCTATAGATCGTCAAACCCGGCATCTTTGAGAGAGGTGGGTTGCTCATCCAAGGTGTTTCTCCAACGTTGTGCACCAAAAATGCCTCTGCATCAGAAACTTCACAAGAGATCGGCGATGGCATCCCTGAAATACGTTTGCGCTGAGAAGTCAGGTGCAAGCGTTACCGAACTAACAAATTCCTCTGCAAGCCACCGGGCTTTCCGATAAAGTCAGAGAAGGGAATTTGAGCTCGAAGTTGTCACGGTTGCGAGAAACCGTTTCGGCTGGGCTTCCGAGACGCATTGTGATTGGCAGGAACAACTTCGTTCTCTTCAACGTCGCGTCCAAACATGCCTCCGGTTCACAGAATTTCACGTGGCTGCGTCGATCTGTCAGCGCAAGTCTAGACCTGTGGCTTGCGCAAGAGATGATATTGTGACAAAACCATCTCGAGCTCAAGCCTCTTGCACAGCACGAACCGAGATTTTTGGACCCAGAGAAGCGTCTCATCAGGTTATGGCTTGCACCATTGACTGCATCTGTACCAACAAGGTGGATTCAAGCGCCTTCTGTGCGCAGACTGGCAGTGGCTTGTCAGCCCTCTGCTGAAAGCACGGCGCTCGTCATGTCATGTTGCGCGATGCGTTGCAGGTGTCAATGGACCCTGTGAATGCAGGGGCTCGAAATACTATGCATTTGTTGCGGTGATCGTTAAACATCAGCCCATTCGACTCAAGTCCATACCGAGTCGTACCTCAGTCCAGGTCCACGGATGTCTCAAAGTCCCGGGCGAACGCAACTCCACCGACGTCTTGCCGTTTGCGCCAGCGACTGAACAGTCACAACGCCTAAACATTGACGCTCTTTCCTAAAGAGTTTAGAGTTTGCTAGGTTCTGTTCTCTGCCCCTGAAAGAGCACTGGAGAAGCTTATTGTTGACATTCGCAGATCACTGCTCAATGCGGTCAACCTTCCTCGACCTCAAATACATATACCTCAGATCATCTTCACATCTTCGCCTTTGGATTCTTGTTCATCAACATACCAAAACAAATCTCATCACTTCATTACCCAAAAGAGATTTTGTCACCGCATCACACAAAAGTCACACATCAGTATGAACTTTGTGTATACCAACACCATGGGTGCTTACCCCCAACAAGCCTTCTACAACACATCGGCCATGGCCAACAGCCAATGGCTGCTCCAACAACCAAAGGATTCGGGTTACGCCAGTGACGACCACAATCTCTTTGAGAAGGCTTTCGAATCACAACTTCCCAGCATTCCGCAAGTGGCATCAAGCCACATGAGCCAACAAACACCCATGTCCGCTTTCTCCGACTCATCATGCTCTGATTCCTCAAGCAATGGCAGCCACAGCAGTCCTTTCGAGTATGCAGACTCGCTTTGCACACCCCCAACAAACTATGAAGCCCATTGGAACCCTTACGAGAGCCTGGACCTGAGTGTCAAGAAGCTTTCCATCGATGCTGGCATCACATCCATGACTGGTTACTGCGATATCGACTCCATGCTCACAGCCGCCTACCACAACACAAGTGCTTCACAACCTAAGCGCTTCAGTGCTTTCTCTCAATCACCTCCTCGCTCTTCCTCATCAAATCAACAATCCCATCTTCAACAACAAGACAGCTCAGTCGAGGCCCCCACATCACCAGCGCTCGGTCGCCCCAAGGGTAGCAGAGTAGACCACCAGAAAGTTGAGCAAAGGTACCGGGCTAACCTTTCCGATAACTTTGAACGTCTGCGCGCCTCGGTGCCCGAGATCGCTACTCTGCAACCTGCAAGAAGCGGACAACCCCCGAAGCCTTCAAAGGCCGAAGTGCTCGCAGCTGCCGCTGAGTATATCAGACAGCTTGAGGAGGAGAATGACATGCTCCGAGAAAGCATGATGAATGCTGCCGCTGGCGAGCTTAGAAGGAAGAGAGCCAAGACTGGCTGAAAGTCTTTCACGATTGAATCATGTATATAAAAAGTGGTGTAATGTACATAATCGGAGTGGCGTTCTGGGAATGGTGTTCTTACCCTGCTGGTACTGGGCAAGGTGGTTTGGGATGGTCTCGGTCTCGGTCTTTTCTTCTTCTGACAATATACCCGCTTGGAGGCTTCTCAATTCAAATGCTTGTTGATATGATGGCACAAAGTCTCTTCTGTGCTTCGCTTTCCCTCTTCTCTCATTCGTCCCAATCAATCAGAGTTTGGCGTTGGAAGCATAATTCATGTCTCAAGCGCCAGACCGGAGAGATGAAGGCTTTCCGTATGGTCAAAGTCAAATCAACGTTGCTGTCCCAGCACGTTGGCTCGGTTGCAGGATTCCGTCTACTTTGCGATGTTCCACCTTTGCGAGTCGATGAAACAGTTGAAAGAGAGCATGCCACACGTACGTATGCTCGACAGACCTTTCATTCTCGTGTTGCGCTTGATCTTCCCCACGATCTCGCCCATCGTTGCTGTCGCGGCTATTTTTGGGCGAGATGTCGCAAGGCACAAGGTTCACTCTCTCAGCCTTACACGGGTCAAGCACCACAGACCCCGTTTCTCTGCAAAGTTGAATTCAAACCCGACCGCGTAGACGAGCATATGTTGCCTAGCTCGCTAATATGTCCTCGGTCCGGGATTTGTTGACCTTGTTATTTTATTGAACAACAGTAGAACTTGCTCGAAATTTTTTGTTGTCACTCCAAGGCCGTAATTTTTAACTCACTATGCCTCTCTTTTCTCTACTCGCTCTGCGCCGGTCAAGGAAAGGGTCCTCATAACATACATATTAAAGACCCTCTCGGTAGAATTTCTGAGCAGCAGTCCGTGACCTTTTGCTCGGACGGCTGGCCATTATCGATCACATCGTAAAATAGCTCTCGTGTTGTCGTGCCTGATCGCATGCGGCAAATGCTATCTTGCACTTTGACTCAAATTGGTTTATTCTCCTCCGTATTTTCGAGTCAAATATTATCTTAGACTTTGACTCAAATGGTTTTGTTTCTTCGTATTCCCGAGTCAAATGCTGGCAAGCAAGGTATTGACAGAGTACGAGAAATTGATAAAGTAAAATGTTATTGCAACAATAGTCGTTGTTGATGCCGCTTCGCTTGCAGAGGCCTTACAACAGGTCGGCAATTGAAAGATTCTTCACAGATTCTGTAAAAATAACCGATGTAGACACATCACGGGGTTCAAGGAGATGTTTCTCGTGCAGTAGTGGTCATTCCCGATCATTTCTTTGACGTTCTGGTTTGAGCAGTGCCCATCTCCTGCTTCCAGGCTCCTCCTGCGTTCTCTTGTGTCCATCGGTCGGCTTCTAGCTGTGCCTTCTGCTTTCCATTCCTGATTATGCCTTCCTTTTCTCTAGAGAAGTCTCTTGCTCTCCTCGAGGTACCGCCGCGTGCAGAGCTTGAGATTCCATGGCGTTGAGTGTACGGTTGTCCTGTACGTTGAGGAATCTCTGATCCAACAAGTAAGTCTTTGAGCTGGTACTTGGTATGCTTCCTCCGTACCTGGAATCCATATCTTCAGTATCATGACTCGTCGAAATCTTATGTGGATACTGCCTGCCATGTCAGTCTTCCGTTCCCGAAGTGCGCTCAACTTTTCCAGCGCGCTTGAAGGGCGGACTTATTGTCTTGAACATGAGATATGTATGTGTGAACATCGAATATCCAAATCCGAACCACAGTAAAATTTCCCGGAACAGTGCATGTCAGACGACCCTTTGCGGACACTCTGCTTTATTGTCAAGATATTCATATAGACTTATAGCCACAATTATGCTATATGCCATCGTAATAGACATGGCCATCGCATACAAGGCCTTTAGCCCAGATTCATGTTCAGTTCTGGTAGTCCTGGTGTACCAGCAGCTAACATATCATCCACTGTCCAAGTGAATTGATCAAGTTGTTGTTGTGCTTGTTGCGTTGAGAATTGTTGATCCCACATCGCCTGTCATTGTGTATTAGTTACATATAAGACCGATTGTGTGATGTTGTCTCACTTACCCAGTTAATGTCGTTGGATACGTCTATCATATTGTCTAGGTTCAAAAAGTCGTCTTGGGGGCCCCATTGATTTGTTGCTGACCAGCCATTATTCGTGGGTAGGGCAACAGACGTTGTCATCAGCTCCTCGGGCATCGACATCTTTGTAAAACCTGTGTCTTGCAAGACTGGAGGTGCGACGTCACTACGTTTGTCCAGCTTTACCTTCTCCAGCATTATCGTCATTGCTTTGCACGCCTTCCTGATCTCTGCCACGGCGGCATTTTCGATCGTCTGGCCTGATCTGTCTGATCCAAGTGCAAGCTCGAAATCAGCCTCGCCCGCTTCCTCCCAGACTTTCTTTGATGCTTCAAGTGCTGCTACCATATCTTCACGTGTAGCGATCTTGTCGGTTTCCGGATCAGGTTGTTCATTGAGTTGGCGCGCTAGCTCCAGGCATATGATTATGCTTGCAAGCAGGAAGTCGTATGTACCCATGAAGCACATGTACCACGAGATACTCTCGAGCTGCCCGCCGGGGCGGGATGCCCGATATATTGTCCGATGATGCTCAAGTGTTTTCATCGCCGAGGAAATACAAGAGTTTCGAGAATAAGTCACCGCAGCTTGGGATGCTGATGCCACCATGAAGCGACGATGAAGAACTATCTTGGCTTTTAGATAAACCAAATCAAGACCGAACCGACACATCAGTGACTCCGGATCCTCTGTAAGGCATTGTTCCAGGTCTTTGTATTGGAGCCCATGGGGTATGGATGCTTTTGTCGCATTCAGTCTCTTATCAAGCTCCATCACTTCGAGATATGAGGGAGGTTTTGTTGCATGCGACATGTCCGCTGCCAAAGCAAATACCTGAACCAGTCTGGTCTTGCTAGCACCGTAAGCCGAAGGGGTGAGTTGTTCGACGGGCCTTGGTGGCGGTAGGGTCTTGCTGTGTATGGAGAAGTCTTGATCGAAGAGATTGTGTGGAGGCTGAGTGTCACTTTGCACTGCACGCAGCATAGCAGGTAGACCGAGCTGGAAAGATCCAAGGGTGTCGAACATGTATAGTAAATACCAGACCCTTCGTCGCATCTCTCCTGCGAGTACTGAGATGTTACTGTAGTGACTTGGATCTCGATGGTAACCCATACGAAGAGCCAACCTGAAAACGATGCCCATGAGAAGCCAAACCTCATTAGAATTGTTATTCATGCTACCCCCAGCATGGAGTATCAAACACTCTATCGTGTACGTTTTCGGTTTCAGATAGTTTCCCAGCACAGCCGCCGATGCCGCTAGTTCTTGGTAAAGGTCGGCTTTCCTAATAGTGGCCCGGACGTCTGGAGTGTTGGGGTTTCTTAGAGCACGTAATTTGAACAGACTTGCCATGCCGAGCATTCCATACAGCACGCCCAACCACATCACTGGCGCGCTAGTTGGTAATCGCCAGAACTGTCGGTATTCATGTTGGAATTGAGGGGCGTGAACTATTGCCTTGTAAGGATGTGGTACTCTGAACCAGAGTGAAACCAGTGCATCTGCTTCGACTTTCTGTGGCATGTATGACAGTAATTCGGCTTTTGTAACTCGGCGAGGTGAGCGTAAAAGGCCAGGCAATTTTTCATCGTAAACATTCAACGGTTCCTCGTTGCGCCATGCATCGAAGTCGTCGTCTGAAGCCTCGTCGCCAGAGTCTTCAAGGTCTCGTTTCAGTTCACAGATACTGTTCAAGATTGTGGCCCAGTGAGACGATCCAAAGTAGCTACAAGATGGAAGGTACTGTTAGCATAATCCTGAGGGATTTGTCGCCATATGTACAGCGTTCGAAACATCTCAAAACAAGGTATACGTCAACTCTGATACTCGAGAGTCGCAGCAAACTCTCCATTGTCCGACGAATAACACTGCAACGCCACAGGAGAGTTGCGAGCGCAAGATCGAAACGCTATCTAGAGTCTGTTGACTCATGCCCTTGACACCATGGTTCACGTACCTGGTCTCATCCCTACTGATTCGTAAATGTCCGAATGATTCTAGTTGTTGAGGTGCTTCATGTTGATGTTGCTTCTTTGGTGAATTGCCATCTTCGCTGTAGGGTGGAGTCACCTCAGATTGAGTTTTCTCTGGCTCAGACAGGCTTCGAGTAGCAGATCGTGAAGATTCAGACGTTAAGGTGGGTGGAGAATCCCTGACACTGACAGCAGTGTTGTTCGATTCTCCACTGCTGGTCGTAGTATCGTTACCATTTGATGATCTTGAATTCATCAAATCGACTACGAGCTGTTCGAGATGATGTATCCGACTTTTGACATCTTGTGGACCTTTGGACTTTGTTTTTGGAGGCAAATAGCAGCATGCTGATTCTTTGCTTCGCTTCGTACATTGATCGCATGGCGTCGCCCGGTTACATCGTAGTTTTCCCTGGCGGCAAGCTGTACAGCTGAGTTGTGACCTGGCACGCTTTTGCTTCATATGCGCTTCGTTCGCATCTCTGTTGGACATGATGGCTTTATCGTAATGAAGGATTGGGTGTTTGTTGGGTGTGACGAATCAACAAACGACAGAGATGGAGGTGGCTGCCTTGCCAAGCTTGCTCGACCGCACCTTTCTTACTCCTGGTATAGGACGGAGTCCGACGGCGATAACTCCGAGAGGAACCGTTGGTCAATACTCTCACTGATTGACCTCGATCCTGCTACATGTCTACATTCTGATTGTCTGGGCGCTCTAATCTGATGTTCTTCGTGAGACTCTAATCTTTCTAATTTTTCTTCTTTTTGTCCTTCGCTGTTGTGTTTGTTAGGATAACCCTGCTCAGAAATGCGACCATTTATCATCGCCAATACTGGACTTTTCTAGTAGTTTATGTACAGTTTGGTTAGACCTAACTCACGTCCTGCAAGGTACCTCGAGAGCAGTGATGTTATGAATGCTACCATGAGTCCCAAAAGCGCTCGTGCTAGATTCGATTCCGTGTAAGAGCACGGTCGAATTCCATCCTTCAAACATATTGTCTTTGTGCGCTTGTTCACGATGATGAATTGATTGTGAGAATAGACCACGGCTTCGTTCTTATGGAATTACGAGTATCTGCTACTATTCATGAGCCGCATATGGCTTGACGAGTTCGTGGCATCATGAAGACTACTGCTTGCCTGTTCATACGATTAACATCTTGCTTCATTTGTCCCTTTTCGCACGATAGGATAGAAGAAACCTACTGTTGTCACTGGAGAAGGTGTTGCTGACGGCGTCCTTGGTTTGCTCGTACATGCTAGAGCTCTTGTCACCCGCCTTCTGCGAGCCCGACTTCATGCTGTCAGGCTGCATGGAACCGGCTACGCTGTCCATGCCACCAGATGCCTTGTCCTTGGTCTTGTCCATACCAGACTTCTGGCTGTCGGGCATGACGGTCTTCGAGACCTTGTCGGTGAAAGATTCGCGTCTGTGTGATGAAGGGTCTGTTAGACTGAGTCCAAACCATTTCGAGGGCGTTCAAGCAACTTACCCCTGGTCAGACATGTTGGTCGCGCTCGTATACTTCAAAGGGTTGTCTAGATGAACGAGAAATGTAGAAGGATGAATTCAGTTTCTACAACGGACTTGCCTTATATATCGCCAGGCGAATGATCATATTGGGATGAGGTGTGACAAGAGAGTGTTCAACTCACCCCTCTTACAATACTACCAACGTCATTTGGGTCTGTTGGTATCATCCGCCTTGCTGTTCAGCCTTGGAAAGCTGTCCTACACGTCTCTTGTGACCAGGTTCAAATGGCCTTGGTTGGTCTCAGGCCTCATAGATATGCAGCATGGGCTGAAGGCAAAGCCCAGGCTTTAATATGGAGAGTCCACCACGTCGTTGCCTGCATGACGGCCAACGTCACACTACGAGGGGTTCTGAGTAGTATTCATATGCCAGACAAAATTCCTCACCTGAGCTCGCCTCGCGTAACGGACCCAGATCCGACCCATGGAGAAGGTGCATTTCATGAATACATGCAGAGAATCTGGTCTAGATGACAAGATGCTGTGAGCCAGAGAGGGCGTGAACCACTCGGTCCACTATTGCTATGTTGCCAGTCACTATTCACACGTTCCTTTCTTCCTCCGATTCGGACTTCTTTTGACCAAGACAACTGCCGGCCACTCTGCCATATGATGCAGCCTTCTTTCATCGCTATTACCCCTTCCAACATATTATTGATGTTATCGTTTGTGGTTCCAGCCTATTGCGGATCTCTCGCTTGTCCTCTTAGTCGTTCTCGCTCCTGTGTTGCAATCGTCGATTGCACCAAGAAACATAGGAAACATCAAGCACAAGCCTGCCTTACGTCGTGCCCACCGAACATAGCCGTCCAGCAGGCGCTTACCAGCCTATGGCATCACACTCGACTCGTGACACTTTTGCCCTCTAGTTTGCTCGGTGTTATTTGCTCGTTGTGTTTCATGTCCTGACTTATATCTCGAGATTCGAGAAGCAAGTCACTACCACCGAGGGCCCCACCTTACGAAACATAGGCAAGAGGAAATCAGAGACGACGGTCAGCAAGATGCAGCGTCAAGAGCTTGCGCACACAATGCAACGGTCGCGCCGCTCTGCGCTGATCTGCGGTTTCGCACTCGCATTACTGTTAAGGAGTAGTGTCACTACCCCGTAAAAGCGCACGCACTGAGAGCACAACGACCAGAGCGTTGGCCAGAGTGGCTGTGTCAAACGTAAAATCGGAAGGAGGAGGAGAGAGTTTTCCGGGCTGAATTCTATTGGATGGGTGGACTCGCAAATCGATTGCAACATTTTGTGCTTTTCGCATTATTATTCTTGGACATTTCCCTGTGACCGCGAGCAGCACATTTCCTGCACTTGCCGCAAAGAGAGTTTCATTCCTTCCAATGCCTATATCAAGGTTCTGATATAGCTCGGCCTTTCGCTCTTGATTTTGCCAACTTGTCAAATCAAATCGGAAACATGGCTGTAGTGCGCAATCTCCCCTCTGTTCCATCTTCGAACAGGCATCACAGTTCTCGTCCGAACTTCTCCGCAATATTACCTTTGAGCAGAAAGACTCTTGTTATTGATTGGGCAGCAGATCGACTCATGTTGGGTGATGGTGATGTAGCCGGCATGCGACGAACCCAGCATCCGGATCTTCAGTTGCGCACGCGGCGCGCCGGAGCGCCAACAGGCAAGCTCGGACAGCAACATTAGTGTTTCTTATTGCACTGCAAGAGGAACGACTGTCAAGTCTCGCAGAACAGCCAATGGCGCATCTGGACCCTCCTTCCTGCGCTTAAATCGCCAAATGGTACAAGACAAGAACAACAAGACCACTACCATCATCTCTCCTGATCAATTTCGTAATCGCTGCCTGCTGCAGCTAGTTATTGGAACTTGTGTCGGTCAATTCTGCGGACCGTGTGATCTCCAAAGCCCTGTTTACAGATGATGCCATGTCGAGAAAGAGTAGCAGATCATGCGCTTGGTAAGTACTTTTAGGTATGCAATGTTGACGGAGAAATTCTATCCCCGAGTCTAATGTGGTCTCACGCATTTTATTACGCATACGTGTCGGATCGACTTGGTGCACATCACCTCCAGGGATTACTGATCATACCAACCACCTCCAGCATCAAACCCGCATGTGATAATGATATGAGCCTGCCCCTGCCTTTAACTAAACTGGTTCAATCCTTCCGAGTTGTTCGCAACCCGCGCTAAAGGATCTCGGAACACCCATCATCTAGTTTGGCGGGCTCACCAAAGGGATCGTGGCCCGTGGAAAAAGAGTCGAGGATTCGTGCAACGATGTTGATCTTAATCGTTAGGATGGCTGTTTGTGGCGTCCAATCGCTGGCGCTAGGAGCGGCTCCACATTGTCTGAGTTGTAAAGGGAAGGAGGTCGCGCTTGTGTAGGTTTGAGGTATCATGGAAGAGATCAACGACAGCCAACACAGGGCGGCCAGTACGTTAGAGAACCAGCGAAAATCGGAGAGAAGGATGTCAAGAGATGAAAGAAGGATTCTCAAGTATTCTGCTACAATTCAGGAAAAAGCAAACCGCTATATGTGCATCGCAACCAGTGCCAGAATCGATTTTGCATGGCATATTCCCCCCCCTCCCCCCCCCCCCCCCCCCCCCCCCCCCCCCCCCCCCCCCCCCCCCCCCCCCCCCCATATCATGACTCCGGGTCTTCTGTCCGAGGTAACCTTCCAGGTCGTGTGCTGTCGATACATCTAGAAACGCCGAATGAAGTACATAGCCTGTCCCCAATTTTATAGACCGCTGAGAACGCCAAAACTGTAATGCCCGAGAAATAAAGGTCTTGGGAAGACCGAAGTAAGACATGAATGGTGAATGGGAACGAACCCTACAAGACCAGGCGCATTATCGCTAAGACCTTTTGACATATGCGCTACCCGGAGCTTGTGACATAGGGTGCTGATGATGTAGATCATGCTCTGTCATGGCTGATCCTAATTGCTGAGGGTGATACCATTGCGTAGGAAGAGAATCGTGCCTTGACGAATAATCCATACCCATAGGAGGCTGCTGTTGGTAGAACCCCCATTGAGGAGGGTACATACCTATAGGAGTCATGGTAGATTCGCTAGTGACAGGGGTGGACAAGGAAGCTTCTGAAATAGTACCAGGTGGTGCCCCTGTGTCGAGAGGTGCAAGATTGTAGTGTGAAGAACCTGGTCTTGTGTATTCAATCGGGTTTCCAGCAGGCGCAAAGCTTTGCAGCTGAGGCTCGATATGCCCGTATGACATAGAACGTATCGGAGGCTGCTGGATGGCATATTCGTCTCTTTGCTGTGGGAATGCAAAAGATGGATAAACGTTCGGAGAGTGTTCGGCTGTCGTCGAGTAGTTCGAATAGTCGCCCATTTGCGAAGAAGAGTTCCAGTGTACGGGTGTCGGAGGCTCAGTCCCTGGCATGTCACCAGCGTAGATGGAGGGATAGCCAGGGCGAGCAAAGGCGAACTCGGATGCGACTGGTGCTGGAAATTGGTCAACAAAAGAGACTTCACTGACTTGCCACGGATCGTCTTACTGGCTGTAGAAATGCCCAATCCTGTATTAGGATCAACTGTGCCGTATTCCGGGGGAGCGTTCGATGCAAGATGAGGGAAACGACCCATTTCATGATCGTGATCGAGTTTTGAGCCCGGAGGATGCATCTCTGTGGGCGAGTTTGAGATTACTGAAGAATCCTTGGATCCCTTCGTCTGCGCGCGACTCTCTGGACCTCCTGCCGAATCGACAGGGTAGAAGACACATTCTTTCTTCAGTCGAATGCAGTTATTGCATCTGCCCATATCATCGCCTTCCGCGAGGACACATCGTATTTTTCGGCGCCTGCAATGAGCTAGTGGTAATCAGTACACAAATCTCGAAAATACGAGTGATCCAGCATCTACTTACAGCAAGCAATTGATATGCGCTGATAACCTAGTTTGTTCCTTCTTTTGTCGAGAGCGCTGGGTGATAGTCCTCCTGACTCTGAGAGTCCGTTCAACTGCGGAGTTGACGAAGCGCGTTTGAGTATAGGGCTCATCTTAACCTTCGAGTTCTTCCTTCTCTTCGCAACTCCAGCGGATGCCGAATGTGGTAAAGTTGGTGTATGGTAGTAGCTTGCTGAAGGGGCCGAGTCTGTAGGGGATGTTGATTCGAGGTCGGAGGGGCCGTCCTGGATGTCGATCTCAGGCATGTCTATATCTGTCTTGAAAAGAAGTTCGAGGCAACTCAAGGTGAGCGATTTGGTAGAAGGGGGCCGCGGACCAGTGGACCCTGTAGTGGCAATGAAAGAGCTCAAGTGAGAAACACTAGAGAGATTGATATCAAAGATTTTGGCAAGCGCCGGCCATTACTCAGGAGAGGGAAAAAACAATGAATTGCAAGGGCGCGACTATTCAAAGATTTCCGGTCCCTTGGAGAAGATGCGCCGTGACACCAAGACCTCAGATGCGGTGTTAGATCCGACGCAAGAATGAAGATTGACCCTATGTGTACGCGTTGGATGAATGCGAGATGATATGATGATGGAAAAGTGACAAGGTTGAAACCGTGCGAGAAGCAATTGCCGGGACTATCGGTTCGCAGATCAAAGGAGACGTAGTAACGAACGAATGAATGGAAACAAGTACAAGAGAGGAAGTTCAAGAGGAAAAAGAGGGCTCTTGATGGGCTACAGAGTGCAGAGCGAACAGGCTCGGGCCTTGAGACGGAGTTACCGATTCCTGGGGGAGGGACCCACGCCTTCTGGATGCAGTAGAAGAGTCGGTTACGAGATTGGCCATTGCTAAGGTGGCAAATGGGAGACAGAGCCCTTGAATTGATGCATTTTTGGTTCCAATCCTTGCATTGGGCTGGGCATGATGGATGGTGGCTGTTCTGCCCAGTTCAACGGCGGAAATGTCACTCATGATCCATGCCTGGGTCTTGCGCTAACAGGGCGCTCGGGCCCGCTGATGTACGTGGGATCAAAGGAGCGCCTTCTAGACCTGGAAAACACATGGCTCATCTACCGAGGCTTGGTGATGCTGCTGATGCATTTCGAGTCTCTCTCATAGGGCCTTGTACGATATGCGCACGGCACTTTCCTCGTGGGTGCGTGCAGCAGCAGCGACATGATCATACTGTATCCACCAGGTCGAGCGTCTCCGCGCATAGCCTGCTCGACGACTTGGATCCTCTTGCACCGAGAGGGAGAGACGCTGACGAATTGTAACCAATGCATTGCTGATCTTCTTCTCTTGCATTCACAGTTCACATAGCCTAAACAGATCGTTGGGCCACCCAAAGCGCCACGTTATTTGGCAGAATTTGCCTGGTTGAGAAGGGATATTCAGTGTCATGGACTTTGGCATTCTAATCTCCGCTGGCCATCATGATGAATAGCGCCGCGTATCACTTCTCGTAGTGCTGTTTCATAACGACCTTCCGAATGCGTGGCCTACCAGTGTCGCTCACTTGTCATCGATGACGCAGAGTTCAAAAGTTCGCGCGCTTGCTTGCAGGAAACAGCGTTGACCCGATTAGCTCAAGGACCGCGCGCCACTTTGGCCCCACCGCTTGTTTTGCGGCTCTGGTGGGGAGCTGGCAGATCCAGCAGGAGATGCGCATGCGATCAAGTGGATGACTAAAAACCCACCACCGAGTTTTGCGACGACGCTCCACGAACAGGAATCGCGTCTCAGAGCTACCACTTCGTGGCACCTGAAGCATCGAACATCGATTCATGCGCCAACAATTCCTTCATGTTGCGGCTCCTCCCAAGCAAGGGGTCTGCGAAGGCGTATTGTAGTCTGAGACCAACCTTGACATTCAGCCACACACAAAGGCGTTCGAACGCTCCAACAGCTATGGTACCGAGCGGGATCCCCAGTGCCACGCTTTAGTTGCCGGCAATTGGCGCAAGCATTAAGCAGATTCAAAGATGAACTGCTGGGATTCTGTATAGATCCCCAAGTGGTGGACAGTCATCGTACCAGGCACCAGGCTTCATTGGAAGCATGTGTAAGAGATTGACTATATTGGCTTCACTGCGTCTATCTTATTCCCATACGATTCTTTCCCAAGATAGCCACTTGTATCAGTGGAACGCGAATGTCTGTCGAACAGAACCCACATCCATAGCGACGATCAATAGGTGCTTCGCCTCTCCGAGAGTCTATCAGCACGTGAAAAGATGACTCCGGCACGTTGCAGTTGGTTCGTCAATCATATGCCCCATTGCAGCTTGCCATGTTCCGGGACGTGCAAGTGTTGCGTGCTTGAATGTAACGATCCGAACCTTGGAAAATTACAACAAAGCAAGCGGTCCTTCTACCGAAGCACCTAGACACCGTCGTGTCTCAAACCGTTGCTGTAACTTTGTCTACCAAGCTCGTATTACCTTCACATTTTGTAGATGACTCGTGCTGGCGAATCGATTTCTCAGCAGATGGACGTCTAGGGTATGCTCAGATTTGACACTCAGCTGCTCCTAGGCCTCCCTCGTGTCTGTTGTTGCTAGCGGAATTCGCTTGTTGATGGTTAGCGGAGAGATTGTAATTTTGCCTGCGAATCAGGCCTTCAGCTTGTGATCCGAGCAAGCGAAATGTGCTCTGTACTCTACACAACCTCCTACCTTCTTTCTGCACGGCTGAAGCGTCGTTTAGAGGTAAGTAGGCATGTTCCACATGGCGACCAGCCGACAGAACAATAATCAAGTTTGTCCTCCATGTGGCCTCAAATTTCTCTTCCATTCTCGTTCTTGTTCTCTGATTGCTCGCACCTTTGTGTCTGTTGTGTCTGTCTCGTTTTCTTTCTTCTCCTTCGTACCATGTGTTCTCTCTCTCTCTTGCTCCTCGTTCACTTTTCCGTGTACTCTACAGGGAGTGTCTGCGTCCTATGATTTACTTGCAGTCCTTGGATATGCAGACGCATGAATTTGCGCGCTATCCGACGGCTGTGAAGACGCCCTGTAGAAATACACCATCCTGTACCAGTCTATACCTCCAGGTATTTCTCGCATGGGCATCGACCCCTCCGACAAACACGACCAGGAATTTCTCCGCACTCAAGTAACAAAGCAACATCCGTAGAGAGCCGCCAATCTAGCTCTCGGTAGACACTACCCTTTTTTGAGAGTGTCGTACCATCCCATGGCTACGCGTCTCGAGTACGAAGAAACTTCAACTCATTCTTTTTTTCTTCTTTTTTTCTCTTCTTTATTTCCCCATTGTTCTCCACGCCAAGACGTTGGACTCCGTTCAATCTCGTCCATAATTGTTGCGTGCCAACAACATATAGCTAAGCGAAGCCTCGATGATGACTATGAGGACTTCTCTCCTCGACTGTCGGCGAAATGCCGTATCAATTAATCCTTCAAGTAGCCATTCCCTAGCTGCCGAAGTCGGAAACAACCAGAGTCGGCGGTACTAAACTCGTAGTATCTCCGAGGCTACCCCACATTGAGGACAGCGCCTGCTTTCTTGGTCACATGGAGGAGGCAGGAAGCGCGTTCTCGTACGAGCAACTGTTTTGGCTACTGGCAAGACGGTTTCTGAACAAGAAGACAGAGCGACGTTCAAAGAAGCGGTGAAAGCGCTTTGAATTTGTGAACGCGTGTAGCTCTTGACTTGTCACTCATGATAAGGATTGTCTTGGGCTTTTGAACGACTCCAATTGGTTTATCTGAAGCCGTAATCTTCCTTGTTGGACCAACGTTCTAGATAACATGCAGCTGAGAGGAAAGATAGCGTAGTAAGACTGACCAATGGCGGCGCTGATGATGCAACGCCAGGTCTTGTCCTGGGCCCTTTTATCTTTCGGGCTCCGCATTTTCCGTGCGGGGTATCTATCCTGTATCTCTGAGGGAACACTTTCAGGAAAAGAACAATCAACCCCTTCTCGTAGCATGTCCTATTGTCCCTTCTTCAATTAACCCTTTCGAGAGCACATCATCAACATGGCAGACACAATCACAATCCCATCGCCGTCTGTCTTTCTCCGTGCCTCGCCGGACCCTGTTCCCCAGCTTGATAACAGCCAGCAAGTACTCGACGACGAGCAAAACAAGACGGCTGCCGCCAAAAAGCGAAACACAACGAGGAAAAAGTCTGTCGCTTCGACAGCAAAACCTCGTCGTGACGGTGCTGCTGTAGCCAAACCCAAGCAGTCTAAAAGTCGTAATGGTAGGCTGCAACCCATCACGAATACTGATGACACTCACCTTTTCATGTTTCCTGTACTGAAGCATATTGACTTCCAGGTTGTGTTACTTGCAAAGCCAAGCGACTAAAATGCGATGAGAAGAAACCCGGTTGCGAGCAATGCAAGAAGAGAAACGTCGACTGTGGTGGTTACAAGAAGGACTTCAAGTGGAGACCCTTCGAAGAGACCAACGTCGCCTCAAACATTGCTAAGCAAAACAACGGATGTGAGTATTGGAAAGCAAAGGACCCCGACATGTTAAGTGTCAAGACCTTACAACTTAACTGCTGTTGTTGTCCATGTGGATCGTGGTCGCTGACGCATATTTTCTGCAGCATTGATTGTGCTGGGCAACGCAGCGGACAGCTCCGGCAAACGAAGCCCAGTATCGCCTCCAACGAGAGCACCATCATCAGAAGCACCCGCTCAACTGTCGTCTTCGTTTGCGCAACAACTGTTCGTGGCTGCTCCTGCACAGCCGGGGGTTCCGCGTGCGACTTCTACCGAGAAGGAACGCTCGGTGCCAAACTCGTCGAGAACCTCCCCTGCTGAAGCACAACCCGAGCAAGCCGCATCTCCCACAGACTCTGCCAACGATGCAGGAACATCATCTCGGGGGTCGCCACATGGCATACCCGCCGTTGGCGGCTCGCCAAAAGAGAATGACACGACGGCGGCGCCGACAGCCATGATGCCGGGCACCAAGGAAGTCTTCGACTTCGACATGCACTTCATGGATGAGTTCCTGAACATGACGGACCCTCCACTCATGGAGGACATCGAGATGGACTTCAAGAATGTTGAAGAACTTACCCCAATTGTGCCAGACTACGATGCCTGGGCACAGCAGCTTTCTCATTGCCCAACATTCCAAGACGACAGCACCATGTCGAGTCCACCGGCCATGGTGTTCCCCCAACGAATCACTTACATGTATGAGCAGCCCTCGTTCGCACAGACAAGTCCAGAAATGTTGATGCTGCGGTTCGACCGACTAACCTGCGGCATTCTTTCCATCAAGGATGGGCCAAACGAGAACCCATGGCGTACACTGATCTGGCCGATGGCTCAAACCTCGCCAGCACTGTATCACGCCATTTCTTCGATGACCGCATTCCATTCCTCTCGGGATATTCCCGCTCTACGTGTAGCAGGACATGAGCACAAGAGTGAGAGTGTACGAAACTTGCTCGAAGGTATCGAGGAAAGTACCATGAACCTTGACACAGCTATTGCCACCACACTGGCCCTAGCCTTTGCAGAGACTTGGGACCAACACCTTTCGAGCGGCAATGACCACATTCAAGGTGCCCGAGCCATGATTAACATTGCGCTCAACCAGCACAAGCAATCGGCTTTGACAGGCCTGAACCTCGCAAGACTCAAGTTCCTTGCCAACGCCTGGGTCTACCTGGATGTCCTCTCCCGTGTGACTACTGCAGATGAAGACACCTCTGACGACTATGACAATCTCTATTGTCTTTACAGTAATCCTGAAAGTCCTCATATTGGTCCGTCAGGTCACCCGGGGTTCGGCATCGATTTTGGTCTGCCGATAGACTCTACTCTCGACCCTTTGATGGGTTGTGCAAGCACTTTGTTCCCACTGATCGGTCGTACAGCAAACTTGATTCGTCGCGTATATCGCGCCGAGTCGAACTCGCCTCCCATGATCAGCCAAGCCATGGAACTTAAGCTAATGCTCGAGACATGGGAGCCACCAGCTTTCGTTGAACCGCCAGAAGATCCCACTTGTGACGTTCGTCATGCTTTGCAAACAGCGGAGGCGTATCGCTGGGCTACACTCTTGTACCTGCACCAAGCACTTCCTGAAATCCCTGAACGCCTTACAACGGCAGACATGGCAAAGAAAGTGCTCGTGTTCTTAGCTACCGTGCCGCTTGCCAGTCGTTGTGTCATCATCCACGTCTACCCTCTCTTTATGGCTGGCTGTGAAGCCGACGTAGAAGAGGATAGACAGTGGATCAAGAGCCGCTGGGCTGCCATGTCACAACGCATGAGAATTGGTATCATTGACAAGTGTGTCGATGTCATGGAGGAGGTTTGGCGCAGGAGGGACGAGTACAAGAACAAGGTCTTGCCTAGCAAGGTCGTGCCTGTGAGACGAAACATGGTTTCACCTTCAGATTTGCAATCATCTGTAGGCAACAACAGACCGGCTGCAAACAGACGTGGCTCGTCGTTCAACAGCATTGCAGGCGCAAGCGAAGGCACCATGGCTTGGGCGAACAAACTGCGACGCATGACCGTAGGCGACCCAGACAAGATGGATTCAGCATCCATCTCGTGTCGAGGCTCTCGTGATGCAGTGAATGGAGCAACAGGCACACTGCTCACAGTGCGTGGAAGGTTGCATTGGATTGGTGTGATGAAAGATTGGGGTTGGGAAGGTGAGTCTCTTTGCAAAAAAGTCCAGGTTTTCGCATAAAGCTAACCATCTCGTAGTGCTGCTTGGATAATGATGATGTTGCATGAATGATGTTGCTTGGATGATTATTGCATAAGACGGCCACCTGGGAAATTGTCGCTTGCATAGGTTGCGTACACAAAATGTTGCTGAGATGAGTGTCGTTTGGTAGTGGTAGGCGCTTGGTGGAGTTTCTCGGACTTTCGGATGTTGCATCCCAATTGAACAGATTAAGTAGAGAGCATAACAACATTTTCAGAAAATATTGTCTTCGTCGAAGTGAAATGGCCTTTGGATGATCGATGTCTGCTGCCTGGACCGATGTTGCTCTGGTCTGTGTTGCTTGGTTGAATTGTCGAAAGTGTTGCTCAAGGATTTCGTAATAGTGTCGCAATGGATGTGTCGCTATGGAAGTGTCTCTGGGCGACTGTGTCGGAAAGATACGGTATCAGATCATTCACTCAGGCAATCCTGCAGAGATTGGCTGCATTGCTGCTTGAACATAATGTTGATAATGTGATGATGCCTTGAGGAGGCACTCAGGATTGTCGCTTGGAAGGGTCGCTAGGAGGTGCCACTGGAAGTGTCGCTGGGAGGTGTCGGCAAGGTTGCTCTGGATAAGGCAGGGTTGGTTTGTGTTGCTCAGGAGATACTGCTTTGGTAGATATTCAAAAGTTTGGGTTTTGTCGCTCAGGAAGTGTCGCTATGGTTTGTTTGTCGGAGCATGAAGATGGATATCTTTCACACACATGGCTGCTGCTTTGGAGTGTTGTAGTGTCGACACCGATATGATTATCATAGCATGACAATAGATAGTTCGGAGTAGAAGATAACAAGGGTATGAAGTTTTGATTTTCTCTTCTCTGCAAGTTTTTGGGGGTGTGGATGTTTAATAACGTACACTTTTTGAGACTTCCGGCAGTCTTTCTGGTGAATTATGTTCAGCCTCCTGTGAGGTTCAAAAAGAAGCGTAACCTCGGGTGGCAGAGGGAGACGGAGCGTTTTATGAGAGAGACTTCGGGCGCACGCCTCGGGCAAGGCAGCTTGGCAAGCCCGCACGCCATAGCGGGGTTGCATGACTCTCGGGACAGACCTTCTGATTTTGGACGCTTCCCTACCGCCCTTCTCCATCGCCGCGGAACAACAGGCGGGGTTTGCCCCGACCTGCCCTGACCCATTACGGCTTATCTACATGCCTATCACAGACATGTCAGTGTCCTTCTTTGGGATATCTTGTCCACTATCTCCCCCTGTACCATATCACAGTCCAACAACTTCACAATCTCACAATCTCAAAGAGCGTGCCGAAGTACCTTGTAGAGACTGGTATCGAGTAAGTCTATTCAGCACGTAAGTGTTCAAGAAAGCAGATAAAAGGTGGTGAGTCTGTCTGTTCTGTCCATGTCAAACTGCTATTCGAACTGCCATATACAACATGTCTGCCCCCGTTGCAATGAAGCACTTTGCGAACGCCCAGAAAGAGTACAAGCCACCGCTCATTGCCAATGAGAATGCTTTCCTCGGCGACGTATACAGCAGTGATCAAACCAATCCTGAGCATCCTATCAGCTGTGGCTTCTACAGGCTTGAAAAGGGTAACGTTTTCCAATCTCTTGTAGTTGTGACCAATTTCTCTGACATCGAACAAAGGCACCCCACTTGTCTACACCTACACTTATGACGAAATGAAGATCGTTGTGGAAGGTGTGTTGGTAGCAGTTCATCTATTTCCGCCCAATAGAACTGATCTCGGAATTCAGGTCAATATACCATTTCGGACGAGGCGGGCAACAAAGTGGAGGCCAAGCCTGGTGATGTCTTCTTCTTTCCCAAAGGCTCGACCATCACGTTTACGACCGAGGATTACGGCTTGGCCTTTTACACCGGTGCCAGAAAGGAAGGTGCGGCGTAGTCAGAGGATCGAGTCTTGGAACGATATCTTGGGACTGATACCAGCCCAGCTCCTAGATGATATAGAAGAATGACACCCTATAAATCAGAAAGTTCACGATTCGCAGATATCACAACATTGTACACCTTGATGGCTCAAGGTTGTGAAGGTATGGGGGATCTGGCATGAGCAGTTCAAACAAGGCAAACACATGGCATGGCAGCTTCCAACTGCGTCAGAAATTCTTGGATTTCCTCATCCATCAACTACTTCACTCTAAAGCTCTTTCAAGAACAATAATAATTCACATTCCAATCCGATAGCATCGTCGTCATATCCTCTTTCAATACTACAACACTACCCAAGAAACTCGAGCGAAGCGCAACCCAACAATGCCCAAAGAACGCAACATCAACCCAGTCGCAGCCCAGCACAAAGCAGACAAAAAACAAGCCCTCAAAAAGTCAAAAGCAAACGTCCAAGCGCAAAGAAATGAAAAACTGGCTCGCCGTAACCCAGAACGTCTTCAACGACAAATAGACGACCTCAAGTCCTTGGCCACGACCCAGCAGCTACGACCAAAAGATCAAGCCACCCTAGAACAACTCGAGAAAGACTTGCGCGCCGTGAGAAAAGCAAGGGATATTTTGGGCGACAAGGCACCTGGATTCAGACCGAGGAGAGAAGACCGGGAAGGAGGTCAAGGACAAGAGGGCAGAAAGAGAAGGAGACAAGATGAAGATGGAGACGAGACAGACGAGGATGTAAGGAAGATTCCTATGCCGAGGGATACACCGCCGCCCATTCCACGCAGAAACCAACCACATCAATTGCCAAACAAACCTGCTGCTGCGACACCAATAGTAGCGCAAACGACATACAGCTCTGCGCCTGTACTGCGCAACCTCAAGGAAGAGGCCAAAAGGTTCGTACCTGCTGCTGTGGCGCAAAATATTGCAAGACAAAAGGGTCAAGGTGGACGATTGCTGGAGCCTGAAGAAGCGGATAAGCTCGAGAAGGCCGGCTATAACGACGCGCGCAAAATTGCGGACGAGATGGAGAAGGAGGCTGAGTTTGAGATGATGACTCGACAGGAGAACGCAGGACAAGCAGCTGAGAAGGCTTTGAGACAAGTCGAGATTGAAGAGGTTGAGGACGAAGGCATCTGATACAACACATTTAATTCACGACGGTCATGATATTATTCTGAAGAAATCATTTCATTAATCGTCTACTGTCGACTACCGTGTTCGTCTAAGCTAGTTCATAGCTTGTTTGCGCTGGAAGAAGCCCTGTTATCGAGCAGTCAGCACCAGTGCATCACTCGATATGAAAACGCCAACAGTGGTTTGCTTACCAACATCAAGCTTTCGTTTCATGGCAGTAGTAAAAGAGGCACTTACATGTGCTCGTGGAAGAAGTTCAGCAAGACGCCATAAGCATCCATATAGTTCTTCTTGACGTTCTCGTCCTCAAGGTCGGCACTGTTGAATCTGGTTAGATTGGCTTCTGCATTGCATTTGGACAGACTTACCGAGCAGCCATGAATCCGTGAACCTGGTCGTTGTACCACTTGACAAGGTGCTTGGTCTTGACGCCCTGCTCCCACTTCTCGACAGCCTCCTTGTCCTCATCCTTGCTAGGCAGCATGGCGATGGGAATGCTGATGCCAGCGGCGTCGTTGGGGTCGACCATGGCCGGGTGGCATGCAGCAGCAGCCTTGAAGACGGTATCCTTTTGTGAAGACAAGTTCACGATCTTACCGCCCCAGCAGAAGCCAACGATGCCAAAGGACGAAATGTTCTTGTTCTGGCTCTTGATCTCGTCAATGACCTTGGGGATGCGGCCGACGGTCTTGGGTGGTGCACCGGTGGTCTGGAAGAACTTTCCGAGACGCTCCTCCTTCTCCTTCTGTCATGGTTGTCAGTCATCTAGCGTTATAAATGAGGTCTAAAGGAAGGCTCACAGTGTCAGGAGGGTAGTCGTTGATGTCAACAGGCTTGCCCTCGAAGAAGTCGGGCATGAAGACTTGGTACTGGTTCTCCTTGTCACTGGTTGCAAGGATATCGGCACCCTGGAGAGTCTGATCCTTGAAACCAAAGATGTCGTAAATGACGAGAATGGCCTTCTTTGCATCGCTGGGGCCAGTGGTGTAGGTCTTCATACCATCAATGGTTGTGTAAGTACCCTTTGCATCATAGCCCTTGCTAATGACGGGCGGGACTGTACAGCAAGCGTGAGATTGCATTGTGGACTTGTATCTGATGGGTTTGATATATGTAGTGTAGCGGAAGAAGGAACGAGTTGAGATGGGTTTAAAACACAAAGAGGAAGGTGTGACGGGCAAACGCATCTTTTCTCTTTTCTCTTTGCTAAATCGATGACTTGGCCCAGGGAAGCTCCACCGAGGCATCGAGAGCTCGATGTGTGGGGTATACATCGCGTCATAGTCCGTCACATCCCGTAGATCGATGCCGTTATCTCCATGTCACTCGGATGACCCTGGCTATTCGATATCACTACGAACAATTTCACTCTCATAGTAGCGTACAGTGGTGGGAGAGACGGTCGAAATGCACCGTGACCCTTGGTCTAAAGATGTGGTCACGGAGATAGTTGAAGCCCATCTGCACGAGATATCATCCCTGTGTAAATCATTGCTATTTTCATGGATACATACGGAGTGAGAGTCATGTCTTTCTCGAGAGGTAGCAGGTACCCGACTACGGGCTCTCATCCACAAGCGTCACTCCCGCTCTGTACAGATCGATAGTGCCTAGTATGATGATTGGATGTCAAATTGTGGTCCATGATGAGATCAAAATTGATAAGTTAGAAGTGAATTTCGACAATTAAATATCGCAACTTTTGGTAATTTCGTATCATCATAAACATTATCAGTCATTAGTTTCCGTCAGAATCCATCTCTTTCATGTAACAATCAAGCCGTTCTTGCTAGTAGCCAAGATGTCACTCCACGACACATCCAAAGAGCCAGTGTCATCTCTTGCAGCCCAAACCTTGGTGGCTACATCGGCCGCCACGAACAAACTGCCCACACCAGACTGCTGACCAGCTCTGTACATGAATGCAGAAATCTGCTCGCGATGGACGGGGTCCAAGGCTTCGCAAGCCGCAATGAAACCAGGCCAAGCAACGTAGGCAGAAGTATCGCCGTACTTGTTCTTCTTCTTCTCGTGCTCCAGGAGGTGATGAATGGTCTTGCCAACGTAGAATTGCAAGGTAGTCGCATTCGTATCCCTTACTCGTCGGTAAAAGTAAATGATCAAGGCGCTGTGCATCGCTTCCAGAAAGTTGTAGAGGAGGTCGGTTCGCACCTCAATCTTGTCAGATCGTTCTGCTGGCCCGTACACAATCAGGGTTTGCTTCTCAGCCAGTAGCTTGTACGGATTCTTCCAGTCGCAAATTTTGCTTTCGATCATCTTGGCTCTTTGCGCAAGGTCCTGAGACATACCGCCAGGATATGTGGAACGGCTCCGACGGACTTCATCAGCCAGATGAGTGGCGTGCGAAATCAAGCGGAAGAGTGATTCAGGAATGCCGTAGATTTGCTCGAACATAGTTGGTTCGTCTTGGTCGGCCGGAAACTTCACCAACCGCGTTTCCAAATCCGCCATGTCTTGATAATCAAGATCTGAGCCCATCTTCACACGATCAGTCCACAACGAAGGATACCGGCAAATTGCGCTTGGCTTCTCGTTAGTCATGGCGTATGACTGGTCCACTAAGTAAGGCCGTGTCTCTTCCACCGGGGTAAAAGTGCTCTCCTCGATGATCCGTAAGTAGAGATAGATGCTGTGCAGCATGTTGACTTTTCGCGATTGTTTGGGTTTCTTCAGGCTTTGCATGTAGATGAATCGTTCGGCGTCCAGAAGATAGCATCTTGCTTCTTGCATCTGTCCACTGACCACGCAGACTGTAACCATGCTGGTCAGGGCCATCAAGACCTCCTTGTACTTTGACTTTTTCTTCTCCTCGCTCTGCTCACGCAGACAAAGCTTCAGCCGTGCCTTTGCCTTCTCGCGGTACGACTCTGCAATTGATTGCCAACTGTCTGCCTCCACCGAATCGGTTTGTAGATGCTTCAAGTTGAAAGCGCTCATAGCAAGGACTGCAAAGAGCAATGTCATCTTGGCATTGTTCGAGTCTCCGAGAAGCGACAATTCTCCGTAAGCGCTGATTGCGCAAGGCAGATGAAGAATCTTCCACGGGGGCTTCTCATGATGCAATGGTGTAAAGCAGGACATCATAGACGTCTGATAGTGATCCAGCAATGTGCGCATTACTCCAGGTGCCATTCCTGCGACATCTTGCGAGAAGGTTAATGTGACAGGTGTAGGTAAGCGCGGACTGAGAGGGAAGAACCTGGCCAGGTCCGTAATACTGGAGTTATCCTCGACTGCATCGTAATTCATGCTAAAGCTTTCATCCATGCCTTGGCCAAAGTTGAAAACGGGTGATGAAGTAGCCCATGAGAGAGGAAGAGGACTTTTCGTCATGACAGGCTGGAAGTCATGCGAAGGTTGCTCAATGTTCATAAAGTCAATGCCGTACCAGTCGTCCTCCGGTAGTGAGTTGATAATTGGCAGAGCTTCAGGCTCAGGTACAGGTGAAGATGAAGGCGTTAGTGACGGTGATTTAGGCCTATTCACAGAAAAGACTCCAAAAGGTCCGTGGTTTAGTGGTGCGTCGTAATCCATAGTTTCGGCTTGAGTATCCAGTTGCAAGAGAAGGCCTTCAACCTGATGCTCGGGGATTTGTCTTGTCATCCTTGAACACTCTGCAATACGCTCACGATCTAGTGCATAGTGAGTATTAGGATCGAAGTATTGTTTTCCTTAAGGACTTACCCGAGAAGATTGGTTTCCTACGAAGACCCATTTCTCTCTCCGGCGACTCTGTACTACATTTCCGTGAAGTAGTCTTGTTAGGCACCCCAGGGTCAAGCCAGATTAGTCCTTGAACAGCGCCTTGTTGGACACAGTCCAGATTTAGTCGCCTGCAGGCCGAGCATTTTGGTAGGCTTCTATCGCACTTGACCTTGCGCGAACGGCAGGTGGAACACGCGTTTGATCGCGGACTCATTGCTTTTCTATGATCTGCTGCAAAGATTACAGAAAAAAGAGAAGGCAAGACCGAGTCACTAGATTAGAAAATATGCGAGGCCACGAAGGCCGAAGGCCTGTCGTTTTGCTCATACCGGTGAATGCTACTCGGAGTAAAGGTGTGGTCAATCGGGGGAAAACACTCTCAACGGCAAATTGGAAGTCGAAAACCGACGGCAAGGGGTATGGTCGGAGAACACAAAAGGATCTCTATCGAACAAGCATGCGCAAAATTTGATCGCGAAACGTTCTGTAAATCAAGCAGTGCGTTCTCCGTCTGCTTTGCGCAAGAGGTCAAGGCTGAAGTAGGCTTTTCTCCTTGCCATGTCGGCGTCTTCGGACAAAGCGGCGTGTCGAAATTCTCCTTGTTCTCACTATCGGTGTAAAGCTCCTTTCGTTTGGCCGAACTGTGCCCTCCACTTTCCTCGGCCAACACTTGCTCTTGTTAGGGCATTATGTTGGCCGTGATAGGGATATCAACCTCACCTACCTCTTGACGTTACTCAAGCTTGATATAGATAGCTGTTCCCAAATACTCCATTTTCCAATTGCAAGACAACACATACTTCTAGTTCTTGATTAAACATGCACCCCGACAAGTCCAAAGTTCTTCTTTTTGGTAGCGGCGGAGTCGGTACAATTGCAGCACTAAACCTCGAAGTTGGTGGTCATGCAGAAGTCACAGCTGTGTTACGCTCAAACTACAATGCTGTTAAAGAAAGAGGTTTTGACATCGCATCTTGCGACCATGGCACACTAAAAGGATGGCGACCCACAAATGGTCAGTCTTATCATTTGCAAATTGAAGGCCAACAATACTAATGCCTTCAGTCGTCAATCATGTCCCCAAGGTATCGGAGAAGCAGTTTGACTACATTGTCTGCACCACGAAGAATCAGCCCGACTGTCCACCTGCTTTGACCGACCTCATTGCTCCTGCTGTCCAGCCTGGCCGAACAGTGATTGTTCTAATTCAAAATGGGCTTAACATCGAGAAGCCGATCTTTGAAGCATTTCCCAACAACATCGTTCTGTCAGGTGTTAGTATGATTGGATCGCATGAGACTCAGCCTGGTGTGATTGAGCACGACGATAATGACCGGGTACTGATCGGACCCTTCCGCAATACCAATCTCAAGGCAGAAGACGAGGAGGCCGCCGCGAGGGACTTTGTTCGTATCTACTCTGCTGGCGGAAAGACTGACTGCGAGCTGCAACTAGACGTCAACTTTGCTAGATGGCGAAAGTTGGTCTATAATGCTTGCTTGAACTCAATCTGTGCTCTTACCGGACTGGACACTGGTCGCATTCGACTCGCGGATGGTGCGATCGACGGACTGGTCAAACCTGCTATGGAGGAGATCAGAGCCGCAGCGAAAGCGGTCGGCGTGAACCTGCCCCCAGATGTCTGTGACTTTATGATCAACATCGATCCCTTGACGATGTACCTACCCCCTAGTATGCTGGGAGATATTAGAAAGGTCAGTCAAAATCTGACCCTGAAATCTTCCGGGGACGCCATGAGCTAACAGATGCAGGGCAACTTCACCGAGTTCGAGAACATTGTAGGAGAGCCTTTGAGGGTTGGTACTGCTCTAGGTGTTCCGATGCCGACACTGCAGGTTCTCTACCATCTGCTTCAGGCAATCCAATGGCGGACCAAAGAAGCCAAGGGCAAGGTTACGATTCCGCCAAAGGGAACCTTTGTGGCTGAGTAGATGACCACGCGTCGAATAGATGGTGGAATCCAACCAATGCTCACACGGGGTGAACCAAGAACTTCCTCTTCCAAAGCTTTATGAGAATATGTAACATCGGGAAAACGAGCCGCGCTCGGTCTTGGGTTTGCAGGAGGTGCAGCACGGTCTAAAAGTACAGCAGACCCTGAGCTCCGCGGGAAGCATTGATGCGATTCATAAAGTGCTCGCTTCGGTAAGGCTTCGCCGGCCCGATAAGAGCTATGGTTATGGTTCAAGGAATGACATTGTGTTCGTTGACAGTCGGTACTGTAGATAGACAGCTGAGATCTAATGGAGCGTACGTTCCAAAAGCTGGCCAAGATCTACCGACGCATCTCGGTATCGTTCGAGAGTCGAATACCACCGTAAGAGATGTGAGAAGCATGTCACCGGAAATAATGCCAAGTTAAGCGAGAGCGCGCAGAAGGTTCCATTGCCTAAAAGTCAAGCAATAAAGTGGAACTCGTAAGCCAGTCGGAAGCCTTCCAGATCAGCATCACAAGCCAGCGGCTCTCGAAGCAAGATGCAACCAATCAGAACGAGGGCAATGTCATCAACCGTGATCTGGTGCTTTCGCTCTCGTGTTGTCTCCTCGATCTCGCAGGCAAATCAGACATACGCGGTCGCACACGCTTAGAGGACATAACTCGACAGTCGCCGTTCATCTTGAGATACGATCGTTGAAGGATCCTGGAAACTTGCACACCCGGTGTTGACTGTCACATCGCCAAGAAAGAGCATACTCCCCCAGCTTGTCAAACGACCATAGACGCTCTTGAGGCTGCAGCCAGCGACTTGCGCGCTTTCTACGCATTTCTGGCTTGGCGCGACTCTTTCGCTCGCACTTCTCCGTCTTGCAGGGTGTTGCGCGCATCCTGTCGACAAGACGTCCAAACCTCGAGCACTTCCATCCATCTAGAATGTCCAACCCAGCCTCGACGCTTGCGCCGTCTCCTGCCGCCGCTCCACGCTTGTCCAACGAACGCTCCAAGGAAGAACTCGAACTCGCCGAAAGATTGATCGAGCACTCACAAGGCATCCAACATGGTCCTGCGATAGCCGATCGTCGCACCACTCCCTCGACAGCAGACGGCGGAAGCAGAACCGGCGGCGATGTCGAGCGCTTGTCCGATGATGGCGGCAGCGAGACGAGTCTTTCGGCGCAACAACAACAGCTCACTCCACAACACTCAAATCACCAGCAACAACAAAACCTCCAGTTGCCATCTATCCACGAACTCACATGGGTTAAACAGAGGAAACCATTCAACACAGGCATGGGAGGAGCAGGCCAAGTGTGCAGGTACTTGTATTCATCCATCACCTGATTCTTCTTGGGCTAACCAACTACCAGCAATTGCGGTACAACAAGAACACCACTATGGCGACGTTCCCCAGCTGGTGATACGATATGCAACGCTTGCGGTCTCTATCTCAAGGCCCGAAATCAGATGCGCCCCGTCAACCTAAAACGTGGAGCTCAGGCATCTCCAGCAGGTCAACAACAACAGCAGCCAGAACAACAGACGACAGCCTCAGGCAACAGAAAGAGTTCGTCGCCAACAACAACGACTAAGCAACTTGGAGGAGCAACATATGTCACTGACACGACGTCGAACGGCACATGTCCTGGCGGAGGTCGCTGTAATGGAACCGGAGGTCACGATGGATGCAATGGTTGCCCGGCATACAACAATCGAGTCAGTAAGACGGCGCAGATTGCTCTGGCACAAGCAAACGACGGCCGAGCACAAGGTCAACATGGCGCCAGTCAGAGCCCGTACCCACATACGCAGAACAGCCCCGGACCAAGTCAAGCGCCGGCGGCCAATGTCACGGTGGCCTGCCAGAATTGTGGTACGACAATTACGCCATTGTGGAGACGCGACGACAACGGACACACAATCTGCAATGCTTGCGGTATGTTTGCGACACCTTCTTATCTTATCTTGATCAGTTCTGATTTTGATCTCTCAGGTCTCTACTACAAGCTCCACGGCGTGCATCGCCCTTCCGGCATGAAGAAGTCAGAAATCAAGCGTCGCCGCAGAGTCATGCCTGCCACCAGCGATCAACACCTCGCCCCTTTCTCCGTCAACAACTCACAACCGATCTCGCCTCCTCCTGAGCCCGCTTCGCAGAGATCCGTACCTCCCTTCTACCCTCCGCCGCAACAACAACATCACCAGCACTCCGATCACTCACACTCTCACCAACTTCCTCCGACCTCTTTCGAGCCTGCTCGTCTTCCTCGCGCGCCCATCGCTGTCGACTTTACGCATTTTGGCAAGCCGTCACGCCCGACATCGGCCGAACAGCCCGAATCCGCTCAGCCTTCGAACCCACCAGTGTCGCGCAAACGATCTTTTTCCATCAGCAATGCCTCGGATCAAGCACGCCAACCTCTCTCGCCAGCATACCCTCGTAGCGATCGAAGTCAGAGAAGCGAAGCCGAAAACATAGACCCTTCCCTCTCTTCTGCAGCCCCAGCACCTGGATCTAGTACCTCGATCCAAGAGCACAAAGCCCAGCCAGCCGCTTTGGGCTCTGCAGACTTGACACAATCCGGCCAATCGTCGCGACAAGAAAAAAGAGCCCGACTTGAACAAGAGATGGCTATGATGAGGGAAGCGCTTTTGGCCAAAGAAAGAGAGATGGCTGAATTGGGCGACTGATCAATCATGAACTTCACGATTTCCTTTCTTCATTCTTCTGCATTCAGTGGTGTTACAATATCTGTACTTTCAGCGTAGCAAGGACGCGTTTGAACGGTGGACTCGGCTTATTATTGCTTTCAATTCGACTCGAAAGAGCTGGCGGGCAAGATCGCGTTCGCATATGCATATAGGGCTGGTAGCTATAGTGCGAACTGTTTTAGCAGCATGTTAGAGTATGTAGCAAACTGGCGATATTTGCGTACAACCTCCTCATGTGCTAAAGACTGTCGCAAACTCATGGCATACCGGCTTTTCTACTCTATGCACCTCTAATGACGGTTCTCGGCTAAAGCAATGCAATATACTTTGCAGGAAGGGAGCGCAACATGATACGCATAGCTTCACTGTGACAACCTTCGATGCATCTCGAAGAAGCAGACTTGTCTCGATGATCAATTCTAGATATGAACCACTTTCCGCTATGTACACCATTCTACAGATAAGACTCTGCTTTCTGGTGCCATTCTCATTTCCGTTATCTAGCATGCTCAGGCCTACTACAAGGGAATTGGCTATCGCGAACCGAGCTTTCCGTGTCGGTCACATTTTACGTTTGGTATTCGTGCACAAGGGATCCTACTTACCACTCAACATGCGCGAACAAACCTCCTTCCACATATGCTAGAAATCCCCGGCCCGAGGCAGGAAGACGTTATCTGGCATTGAAGGTCAAAACTTGTCACGCGCTTTGGAAAGCTGCTTGAACGCGCTTGGCCGATGCCGCCCGTCGTCGCGCTTCGTATTTGCACGACACCTTCCTCTTTCGCCATCGCTCTGCCTGCGGGACATGTCGTGTGCCCCGCGTGCCTTTGCCAAAATTACAAACTTCTGTCCTCCATTCCTGCCTGCTCATCTAGGCCTATCTAACCGAAGCTATGACTATGAGCTTGTATACGAGCCTGCAGCCGTAGAGCCATTTGACGCGACTTTGCCTCTGGATAAGGCAGGTGAGAGATGTTAGACATGCACTGATCGTCCCCTAGAATCTCCTGGAACCAAGTCTTGGGCATAAACTCCACCAATTCGTATGGCAATCAGAGGCTTAAGCATGGAGTCTAAGCGTTTGCCGTGCCACCACTCAACTTCTTAGCAGGTGCCCTCATGATCACCATCCAAGCTCTTGCAGTAGACTGGGAGTGATCTGCAGCTATCGTATTGTGTAATCTCCTTAATGTTCTCCACTATCTTGTGAGGCGGCATCCACAGAGCACAGGTGCTACTGGGTATTCGACCAAGCCCAGCAGCTAACCGTGAGGGGGCGTAGACAGGTATAAACAGGCCAGGACCCCCTTCGATTAATCCGAGTCTCTCTTCATCCAGCCGTGCTTTCTTTGTGCTGATCATCATGTTGTCGGCTTCCCTTCTTTCCATTGCGGCTTTGACCGTTCCTAGTGCTCTGGCAGCTTCCCTTCGTGACCAGCTTCCAGGAGTGCCAGCAGGATGGTCTGTCTCAGGTACACCTGATGCATCTCAGTCGATTACTTTGAAGCTTGCTGTGAAGCAACAGAACATCGATCAGCTTGAGGGCCTCCTAAAGTCGGTCTCTGACCCTTCAAGCCCGAACTACGGACAATACTACACTGCCGATCAGGTCAATGCTCTGTTCGGTCCATCGACCGGCTCTGTCGATGCCGTGACTTCGTGGGCTAACTCATCTGGAATGGAAAGCAGCCTCGAGCGTGGCCTGCATGTTACTATCAAGACAACCATTGGCGACGCCAACAAGGTCTTCGGAGCCAATTTCACAACCTTCAAGGATGAGTCCACTGGAGTTGAGAAGTTGAGGACACTCCAATATTCAGTTCATGATGAAATCTCCGATCACGTTGAATTCGTTTCCCCTACCACTTTCTTCGGACGTACAGACGCACAGAGTGCCCTAAGACTTCCTGAGAACGTTGGTATTGAGAGACGTGAACCCGCATCAGAGCCGCTTTCGGATCTGGCCAAGCGTGTTACTACTTGTATCTCGCACTCAGCTCACGGTACTGCTTACCTGGGCCCTGATTGCTGGAAGCAGGTTCTCAACATTACCTATGTTCCCGATGCCTCCAGCGGCAGTCGCATCGGCTTCGGCAGTTTCCTGAATGAATCAGCTATTGAGGCCGACCTCTACCTCTACGAAGAGAAATACGGGATTCCCAAGCAGTCTTTCAACGTCACACTTATCAATGGTGGCGTGAATCATCAGGAACCTGAATACACCACCATTGGGGAGGCTAACCTCGATGCACAAAACATCTTTGGCCTGGCTCACCCCCTGCCAGTAACCGAGTTCATCACCGGTGGTTCGCCTCCTTTCATCCCTAACTTGGATGAGCCTACTGCGGCCGATAACTCCAACGAACCCTACTTGGACTACTACGCATACCTCCTATCTCAGCCTAATGAAGCGCTTCCGCAGGTGATCTCCAATTCTTACGGTGACGACGAGCAGACCGTCCCCATCGACTATGCCACATATGTCTGCAATCAGATCGGTATGATGGGCCTTCGTGGTATCACTATTCTCGAATCATCTGGTGATACAGGTGTTGGTGCCCCATGTCAATCCAACGATGGAAAGAAAACTCCTCAGTTTACACCAGCATTCCCTGGTACCTGCCCCTATGTCACCGCTGTTGGTGGTACGCAGGGCATTGATCCCGAGGTTGCCTGGGACGATTCTACCGGTGGTTTCAGCAACTACTTCCCTCGTGCATGGTATCAGGAGACTGCTGTTGAGACCTATCTTGGCTCTTACATTAGCAAGAGTGTCCAGGAGTACTATACCCCCTACACTAACTTCAGTGGACGTGGATTCCCTGATATCTCGGCCCACAGCTCGAATCCATACTGGCCCGTTTTTGCAAACGTGAGACTCCACCCCTCTTGACTGTGATAATTTGTTACTAATAGCTCTTTAGGGCGTCCTCGCTCTCTACTCTGGAACATCTGCCGCAGCCCCAGCCTGGGCTGCCATGATCGGAATGCTCAATGATGCTCGTCTCAAGGCTGGTCAGCCTACTCTTGGTTTCGTCAACCCACTTTTCTATTCTTTGAAGTCTGGCTTCTTGGACGTCACACAAGGTGGATCCGTTGGCTGCAATGGTGTCAACGGTCAAACCGGTGCGCAAATTCCTGGTGCTTCGGTCATTCCCTGGGCTACTTGGAATGCAACTATCGGTTGGGACCCTGTCACTGGACTTGGTCTGCCCAATGTAAGCTTACGTTCACCATTGAAGATTACATCTAGCTGACAGATTTTAGTTCGGCGTTCTGCTTGACACCCTTGGCCTCGGTGCTTACAACAAGACCGCAACACCATCGTGCCCATCGTGGAACAGCCTCGAATTCACTCCCTCAACGGGAAGCACCTACAAGATCGAGTGCGGCATTGACCACGCTGGTGGTGTTTTCTCCCAAGTCTATGTCAACGGCACCGACAGACTGAACAACTGCATCATGGTTTGCGAAGGTACTGCTGGTTGTATCGACGTCCAGCTCTCCGGAACTACCTGCTATCTCAAGGGTGCAGTCGGAACTGCAGTCTCCAGACCTGGTGCCGTCGGTGCTCGTCTCATCTCCCAGCCTGTTGGTCTCCACGCTCAGCTCACCACTACTGTATCTTGCCCCAGCTGGAACAACACAATCTACAACACTACCTCTGGCTCTCAGTACTTTGTTGAGTGCGGTGTTGATCACCAGGGCGGTGACCTGAAGTTGGTCTACGTGAATGGCGGCATCAAGAGCTGTGTTGCTGCTTGCGAGCAAACACCTGGCTGTATTGATGCTTCGCTGTCTGGCTCTGCTTGCTACCTCAAGAGCAAGGTCGGCAAAGCTGTGCCCAACTCCAATGTCTTTGGTACCCTTCTGATCTCCCACAAGGGTAACTCAACTGCTTAGACGTCTGTATGATTGTTATGATTGATATGCTAGTTATCAAAGAAAACGTTGGATGCATTTAATGCAATCACTACTCAAAATGTAATTGTTCAGAGTTCACATCTAGATTAGTAGTGCTTCACTTTCAACTTCGACCGCTTTGGGAGGTCGCCGTTCACTTGGACGGACTGACACAAGCATATCGATCCTGAGATCAATACCATCACAACAAGCGTTAATCTCGAGGCATGAGAGGCTGTCAATTCGGAGCGTGCCATGTGCTAAGATTCCTCAAATGCAACGACTGGACATCTGACCTCAAATTCTCTCAAGAACTCTTATCACAGATGATGTGACCAATGTGCTACACCAGGCTTAAAACTTTTTCATCTATTTGTATAACAAAACGACCTAGATTGTCGAGGCAAGATATAAAAGCCTCTGTCCTGTCATATCCGATGATTCGAACACAAGAGGACAAAATCTCATAGCATGCATCTATACTTGATTCTCGCAGCACTTGTGGTCGCTTGCCAAGCTAGCCATCTGGTCAACATTAATGGCCTACCCAGATGTATCGTGAGTATACCCCAAGGTAGAGAGAAGACTCTCGATAGCCAACGCAGACCTACAGCAAGATTGCATGCGTGAGTCCAGCTCGCGATTCGACATCGAACACACGAAAGTCAAGCATATCTGTGGGGTCGCACCATCGGGGCGGTACGAAAACTGGATGCACAACTGTCTCAAATTATCTCAATGGTATCGACAGGCTTGAAAACACAGTGAAAGAGATGGTACGCTTTTCGATTAGATAGCTGATGCATCAAGTTGAGTACGTGCAAATATCACAAATGGCTATCTCATGATGGCCACGATGAGCTTGCTACACTGCGGTCATGTTGAGCAACTTTCTTCGCAAACTCTAGAGGATCGGATGACCTGATGCCCTACAGAACAGTCATCAGACAGGCTAATCGACGTGTGATCACCCTAGCCATCGTTGTTTAGCTTTAGAGTTGCTCGTTCAATTGAGTGATTTGATTACAATCGCTAAGAGTTTGTTGAGAACCCCCGCTCATTTGGAGCGTACATATAATCTAGTATTTCCCTACTTTCTGTTGTTCCTCCCAAGCACACTTCCTCTTACAAAGACAAGATGCAATTCAGAAACTTGTTTTACCTTGCAGCTGCAGTCATGGTGACTGCTAAGCCCCCACCAAAAGACACTATCAAAATCCAACAGTGGTCCCCTTGTATGGTAAGTGAATCCATCATGCCTTCACCCAATCACGAAAAACAGGTTGTAATGAAAACCGACAGCAAAGATGCATGCGCGAGGAGAGTTATCACTTCAACATCGAACACGCGACTGTCGAGAAGATGTGTATTGGCGGGCATGCCGCGCAGACCTGGATTGCCTGGGTTCGGGACGGCCTCGAACACTGCCTTTACTGGAACTGTGCCATGGAGCGGGATGATAAGGAGATCGACGGTGAGATAACTGCTCAAGTAGTGAATGCAAAGACACGACCACTGATCCTTCTTGAGTAGACCTCTGGAATTGGTACCGCACGACATGCGGACCTTTTTGGCAAAAAGACGGAGGTGACTGATCCTTCTTGTGTGATCCTCTGGAATTGGTACCGTAAGACATGCGGACCTTTATGGCCTTGAAATGTCAGGAGCCTGACCAACGGACACTTCAAGAGGATACTGAGAATGTCGCACTAATGAGCAGCGGAGTACACGAATCTCAATATCGTAGATAAGATCAAGAATCAACTTTTGACTCACCCCCAAATCGTGCCTTCCAGGTTGGACAACAAATCATTGAGTTCGTCAGGCCTGACCAGCATCTTGAATCAGACTATGCATTCTGATAGTATACTTATTGCTAGCCGTCTTTACAGAAGATGTCAAAGATGTCCAGTCGACTGGTCATGTCTTTGTAATGTAAGATGACATTCAGGAAGTGACGTCCGAGAATCGGGGATAATCTCTTCGGCCCACCATTATATCCGAGCCCACCTTACTATATCATAAGCTCGCATGCTTTGTTTGTCAACACCTTCCCAACTCAAACCAGAATTCACAAATAAAGAAAGTACAGCTACGATGGAAACTTCCAAGTACATCGACTTTACCCAAAAAGACTTCGTTTACAAAACCGTCAACAACCATGACATCTCAACCACGGTCTTGGTCCCGAAGAACATCAAACCAGGAAAACGCCCATTGCTCGTCCATTTCCACGGCGGTTTCCTGATCTGCGGATCTAAGCTCTATGAAGAGTGGCATGCAGTATGGACGATCCAACTTGCAGCCCAGAAAAATGCCATCCTCATCACACCAAACTACCGACTTTTGCCCGAAGCAAATGGCAGAGAAGTACTAGACGACATTGCAGACTTCTGGACTTGGATCAAGAGCTCTCTACCAAGGGAAGTTGAGATTATGGGCAAAGGAGTGCAGGTGGATGTGAACAATGTGTTAGTGGCTGGAGAATCAGCAGGCGGATACCTGGCCGTTCAATCGGCACTGTTGCATCCAGATGCTGGCATCAAAGCGGTGATATCACAATACGGCATGCTGGACAACAGAATTCCACACTTTTCGCAGAAGGGAGAGAAGAACATGGCTGGAGCGCCTCAGCAACCAGAATCCGAGATCGAGGATTACCTGAGGGATGTGAAGAAAGGAGCTGTGAGAACCGAAACACATCCTTGGGAGCTGTGGTTGTTCATCTGTGTTACTGTGCAGGCTGGAAGATATCTGGAGTTCTTGGGTGACGGCCAAGGCGTACATGCGATTGACAACCTCGAAAAGGTCAACAGCGTGCCGGCATGCTGGATTATCCATGGCAAAGAGGATTCATTGGTAAGTTTGTTGGCGAAGAATGTGACAATGAAGTACTCGACTTGCTAACGGGGATAACAGGTTCCCATCGAAGCCTCGAACAATTTCGTTGACAAGCTCAAGCAAGTACAACCTGACACACCATTGAGGTACACGATACAACCTGGCGAACACGGGTTCGATGGTGCGGTGACTATGGATGCGGATTGGGTCGAGGAAGGCTGTGCCTGGCTAGAACAGTATTGGCCATGAACACTAGGAGGCATATCAGTCTTCGAAACTGGCGCAACATCTCAGATGCTCCAAGTCGCAGAACAGATGCTTGAGAACATACATAGAAGAGCTATTACTGAGCACTCGACAACCAAAGATACAGTGTAGCTGTCTGAACTTATTTCCTCTCCTGTACGGTCTGGAAAGCGTGCCTAAGTGCTGTATGACATCCAAGTCTCAAGTACAACGGAAACATAGAGCAAGAGGTGCAGGAAGAGTTTACAAATGGTAGCCTTGGTACCTGCTTGATCGAAGCCCCTGCCAGCAGGCTTTTTCGGCAGTACTCGAGCCATACCTCCGTGGATCATGTATGGTTGATTCTCTCATCCTAACTCACCTCGACTATGGTTTATTGACGGTGGAGTGGCGGGTACAGCACATGAAAAGTCAAGAGATCTAGTAAGGGAGAAGTCTGCAATGCATGTACTCGCATATGAACTGTTCTGTGTACCGCGAATGCTAGAAACGGGAAAGGGTATCTGAGAAGAAGAGAGCAGAAGAAAGAAGAAAAGAGAAACAATGAGCTTCATACAGCAGCCACAGACCCAATACCACATGACATCGTTGTTTTTATGAGAACTTTTGGGCCATTGAGATGCCGTTGATCTACAACGCCAACCCAGAGCCATCTCCTGTCCACCTATATAATGCAAGCACCTCCCTGCGGCGCTGCTGTTGTTCGCCAAAATCTTCGAGACTGCGTCCACGGACCTGACTCAAAGCACTGCGCATGACTTTACGGAAGTTCCTCTGTGAAAAAGGTTAGTTAACGATCAAATGTGTGAACGAAGACAGACGAACCTGGTACTCTGTGTTCAAAGTCACGACACAGACTTCATGTGCTCGGACAATCTGCTCGCATGCTTTGACGACACTCGCGCTGGCTTCTCCTTGTAGCTTGTCGGCAATCAACAGCAACAAAAAGCTACCCTGGAGGAGATAAATGCCAAAGAAGAATGGCATGAAACTGAGATCTGGATCATAATCCAGAATACCACTGATGGCATCAGCAGCCGAGACAGCATGCCCTGTAGCCGAAACGAACGATTGTGAAGATATCCATAGATCGTTGTCGTCTAGGAGAGATATAGGGTCCCATTTGCCGTTGAGCAGGATATGTAGCGTGTGCATCAGATGCGTTCCATAAGCCACAATCGTCTTCGTGAGAAGTACAGTCTCGGTAATGCGGTTGCTGCTCGTGGACTGGTTTGAAGGACTGGCATTGTCGACATGCGTGCCATCAGGATTGGTGCCATCGGCCGGGATGAACCGAGCTTCGAACGCCTCCAGACTGCGACCATACGAATCCAGCTGAAGGCTAATTTCGTGTGCCATATCATCCAGATCTGTGCCATTCCTGAATCGCATACCAAATCGAGGATGATTGCGAGTATGGTTTAGGTCCACGATTTCTCCCAAAATAGTCATTAGTGGCAAGAAATAGCCGAAGATGCTATGTCCCGTACATTCCAATGGCGGACCTCTTCGTCGGTAATACGTTTCGGGCATGTTTTCAGTCGTGTAGTACTCGCCTGCCTGATAGACAGACTCATCTTCAGGTTGCAACAAGCCTTCGCACTCAGCATCCAGAAGAAAAAGCGGTCTGTTGTAACAAAGCGCAAGATGTCTGTCGACAATGTATAGTAGCCACCAGGCTCTCCTTCTCTCTTCTCTTTCTTCTTCGGTCACGACACCTGGTTGCGACATAGACGCAGGCATGCCGCTGAAACGGCGCGAATTGAAGCCTTGCTGACCATTCATGCTGATGTCGTTTTCGGCGTTACCTTCAGCGATCGCGCTCTCGTCCTGCTGCATGGAGGGATCCGGGTTAGGAGGTAGTTCTCGACCGAGTTTGAGCTCTCTGGCCAGAGACCAGGCCGCGTTCCACCAGCGTAAGCTGGCAGCTTTGTACTCGCTCGCTGAAACCACAGTGGCCAGGTTGATGTATGTCGCAACGTCATCCAAGGCTCCCGCAGCACCTGTAGACCCACCTTCACTATCATGTCTTGCGGTGTGCAATGCCACACCGAATCCTCCCAGTGCAACACCGTTCACAACAGGATTAGCTGTTTGGGTAGAACCCTCCGTTGGTGTGTGAATGAGGGGTCGCAGGAGACTGACGGTAAGCTCCAAAAGTTTCTGGCAGACTTTACCCCTGGCTGATGGAGGGGAGGTTAGAAAGGCAGATTCGCTAGTTTGAGCACCAACCCAAAGCATACTCGCAAGCAGAGCAGGACTGCACGTTCGAGGATTATTTTGGCGTAAGAAAGAATTTTTGCGGAAGATGATACCCAAAACGTAGGGAGAGGCAGGTTGGATGAACTTGCTGTATGAGCTTGAGAAATAAATCTCCAAGAGATCGCAGGCAAGACTGATTGGAATGATGGCGGAGATTCTGGAAAGAATAGGCTTGAGTACAGGGTAACGCAGGGTCTGATTGGTGGGTTGCTGAAAGTTCGTATACAGAGCGGCAGAAGGAGAAGGCAGCTGTAGCCATCCCGGAGATCCAGCATGTGGAGAGGTGCCCATTAAGCCATGAGCAGAGATGGGCGACTCACCCATCCGAAAATTCGTGCTGAAATTGTTGTTTTGACTCTGCGGACTTGGTACAGCATACGGACTCTCGGGGTTGAAGGTCATGCCATTGGGATAGGCTAGTGGAGCGGAGAGGGGAGCAGCACCGCCAGGCATCATGGGGTGGTGAGCAACGGCGGATGGAGGCTGTTGCAGTACACTGCGGTGGTAGTCATCCATCGGACCCGAGTAGTTGGTAACGCCGACGGGAGTTCGATCAGGCATTGCCGAATGGTTTGCGCGAGGAGCAGGCAGGATACCGGGCTGGTTCTGGCCGTCGACTGAGGCGCGTACATTAGAGTATCGTTCATTTGGAGCTCCCGGAACGGAATCTTTGTTGAGGTTCAGCGGCGGTAGATGGTGCTGCGACTGTGGCTGAGACTGTGGTTGTTGCGCTTGAGCTGGCGGAGGAGGTGGAGGTAGAGGTGGGGCCAGGGTCTGTGGATTGGATACGGTCATCGAGGCCCTCCTCTGCGGTGGTGGAGGCAGATGGTGATTGCTCGACCTCCGCCGCTTGAGCGAGTTCTGGGCAATGTCGGTGGCGTTATCCGGGGGAGCGGACTGCTCATTGCTCGACTTGGGACTGTCGTTGGCGCCATTGTCTGAAGTGGCAGTGGCGGGGTTCTGAGACTGGGCAGCAATGTCTTTGCGTGAAGCCTTGCCTCGCTTTTTGCGCTCGCGGTTGTACTCGCACGTAAGACCGAACTCTGTATATCATGACGCGTTAGTCCGGGCTTGGTCTCGGCTGGGCATGGTCGAGTGCTCAAGCGGCGTGTCAACATACCCACGCAATGCGCGCAAGGCGTCTTGCCATCGCACTTTGTCCTCAGCTGGTTACATTGGTCGCACGCCCGGCTGATTCTTCGTCGCACTGGTGCTCCATTGCTGCTGGTCTTGTTGTTCGCATTCTGGTCTTGGCCGTTCTGGTTCTGGCTAAATGCATCGTGGTCTTGCGGAGCTGGGTTCAGGTGCGAGTCGTGGAGTTGCTGCAATGCGTACTGCGATCCCTGTGCCAGAGCGTCCAATCCAGACATGGGAGCTTGGTTGTGGTCGTGGTGTGTCACCATGTTGGCACTCGACATGCGGCCAAAGCCCTGAGGATAATGCATGCCGCCGGCTGACAGCATTTCGATGAGTGCTGGTCCTGGAAGGTCGCGTCCTCGGCCGTCAAGTCGAGATGTGTCGAGTCGTTCTCATACAAGACGAGGGGCAAATTAAAGCAGGAAAGAGCGTTTCCAAAGGCTCTCGAACTTGGGAAATGCGGGCACAACTTGGGGATCATTTGCGGGATTCATGCAGCCCCGGGAAGCCGCCAAGTGCTTCTCCACACCTCGGTCTAACCGGCGCTCACCTTTTTTAACCATGCATGCACCATTTCCGCTGCCCGAACCTTCAATTTGTGACATTCCCTGGCTGCCTCAACCTTCCCCGAGTCCCTGAGCAATCTCAATCACCCAGCGATATACTTTGTGTCAGCCCTTTGCCCATCTCCGAGCTGTTGTTGTGAGCAGCAGCAGCGTCTATCTTCGCTGGCCAAGTCCGCCGAAGCCTCTGTTTAGCGAGGTTTTAGGTGGCGTTTGTCTTAGAGCCATGTTAGCTTGTCCTGTGACCCACTCAGGAAGGCGTGATGTCGGCTTGGTCCACGTGATATCAGCCACCCGACTCGCTCTGCCGGAACCATCTGCGTACTTCGTTCCAAGAAGTCGATGATCCCTTCTACTTCTCTACAACCCCAGCTCGCAGGGCTGCGACGTCCGCATCTGACACGTCTGTGGCCTGCCTTTTATTGAAGCTTGTCAGGACTACGGCGAACTGCATCCACGTGCATCCTGACCCAATACCTCCGAACACTCCTGTCTCGGGCCTATTTCAATTACTTGATCTACTTGTGAACCCGTTCCGCACGGCCATCACATTTTGCTGTGGATCGAGACCAAGCCCCCAGGACTCCCCACCATCACCCCCGGCCGTCCCCGGTGCTCTGTTTGTGTTACTCCATCTCTTCACATTTGCTCTTGTTTTCATGGCACTATCTCGGTCTCAATGCCTTGCTGACATGTCGTGACCTCATAACTCGTCTATCTCGCCGAAGGATTGCTCATGCTTTTTGTGTCACCACAGACCATGACAGCAGGAGCCGTGTAGCAGACCATTTGCATTGCGATGCCGCCCCTGACCAATTCCTGCATAAGAACATCCTTTTTTACGTTCAGCATCGGGTATGCATAGCCACATGTGGCTGCACCTGAAACTGTGCCCATTATCCTTTCCAAGATCTTTCGCGCCCTGAAACTCATCATGTCGCAATGCATCCATCGCCATCGACTTGATTGGCTTCTCGCATTAGGCCAGACTCCTCAATCGCAAGTTCACCATTATGGTCGTAGTACAGAGAAAGATGTATGGCTTCTCTTTGGCCTCTATTCATGGGATTAGGTCTCATCCGGCCCATGGTTACCGCTCAAGGATAAATTACGGGCCTAGATTTTAAACTTCCAGCCAAGATGCTTATTTTGACATATATCAGATCCGTCGTCAATGGCCGCGCCTACTTAGCCTAAATGCCTATCCATTTGATGTCGACGTAAGTACTCTCTAAGGAGAGACGTCACGTACAAAATTATGGACGATCCATGCTCGAGCTCGCTATTTTCAACTACTGACATACCAAGCTAGCCACCTCTGGAGCGCCATGCAGATACAGAAGCCTGATGGTCCCCTGTTCTCGAAAACCATGGATGCAATCTCCAAGTTATTATCATGTATGCCCTGGCCATCGCAAGTCTCGACTCCTCGATATCCTCTCAATCAGCTGTTTACCTGGGATCAGGATAAAATCCCCAGAGATGGTAGAACCAACTTCGAAAAGCCATGAAAAAATATTAGGAGAGTCATGATCTGAGCGTCGACCGGAGACCGTCTTGCCATCTCTATATGGGCTGTACCTTCCTCTGGTGCCGCAATGGTCTTCCATGCATGGTTCAAGATGGGAAACTACCCATCTGAGAAATGTCCAGGCTGGGTCCCCCTGACAGATGGCCTTGGGTTTTTTCTTTTCTACATCAAAGTGGTTACTCTCCCGACGGAAGCATTCTTGCTATGGGTAGGACTGACGTTAGCTTATAGACGTCAGTTCAACATCGAGTTTGTGCGCTTACCATGCAATCGGGCAGTGTGCTGTTGACAAAGCAACCTTGGTCTTTATTGGCATAGAGCTTGATATCTTCTACCATCCTTAGATGTCAACAACTGCCACCGTTCACAACTTTTCCTGTTCCTCTGGCGAGATATAGTAATACTATAGACTTTCGAAATGCAAAGTCATTTCCCAAATCGAACTGTGGCCATGGAAAACGACTACAATGACATACTCTCTTTGGATATCGCTTCAATTTCTAGAATATTGTGTATCTTGATAGCTATATTGTGACAGCCTTCTACACACGGAGATAGTGAGGATTCCCTGTCAATGCACTAACCTTGGTCTCTGTCTACAAGTTCCTCTCATATTTCTCTCTGGCCATCTCTTTCACAATCTCTGGTGTCAAGTCCACATCAAGCAGATCAATCGATGAACCTCTCCAACTAAGTTTACACTTGAACAACGCTTTCATCTTTGAGTCAACAGTCAGTGCTTGTTTCCTCCTAAGCTCATAGAACAACCAATCCTTTTCCTCGAAACTGGTGGCTTGCATCTCAAGTTCTATCTCTGCTATCACTTCTCTCTGGCTCTTGACTAGTGATTCTGCAGCTCCTTTCTTGAGCATCTCGTTAAGGTTGTTCTTGTAGCCTTCGAGCGTGTCTTTACTAATGGGTTCAAAATGAGCTGGTAGAAACTCTCTTCCAAAGCGATAAATTCCCTGTTCTAGGTTTTTGCGCTCGTCTGAGTCGGCATTAGGCGACAGGGCGGCTAGTTTTTCGAGAGTGTGCTGGTAGCGGAGTTTGTTGATTTCGCGCGATCGCATTTTGGACACATGCTCGGATAGTGCCCTCAGAGGTTGTTGGCCAATGTAGCGCTGGCGGAGTTCGGTTTCATAATTCTCTCTCGATCGCTCAAATTTGTCGCGGTCAAAGGTATCTGGCCATCCCGCTTCGAGGTAGAGGCTTTCATAGGCTGTAAATCTTTCCTTGTCATGATCTGGAGAGTATAGTCCACCAGGGATCCATTGTAAGGTCCTAAAATTGTTGATCATGCTGCGGAGATAAGGTATTGCGTTGTGTCTGAAATCACAGACATTGCCAAAGCAAGTTTGAGAGATTGTGAAATTATGGGTGTTGACGAAGAGGATTGTACCATGATTGCCGATACTGTTGAGCGTGACGTGCCAGGGGCGCATGTAAAGGAGGAGACGTTCATTCCTAGGATCTTCCTCAAGTAATTTTCGATAGGCCTTTTCCTCCTCTTCTTTCTTTGCTTTCGCTGCTGCAAATTCAGCTTCTTCTTCCTCCAATGCCGCGTTGGCGAGGATAGTGTCTTGTTGCAAGGTAAGAAGTTCTTCTGCTTCGATCTCTTCTTCGTCTGAGGAGGGAGCGTCGGTCATTTCTTCGTCGTCAGTCGTTTCGTCGTCATCAGTTGCTTCTTCATCATCGGTATCTTGATTGCCGTCAGTCGTCTCTCCCCAATCGGCGTCCTCAAGATCGTCGTCTTCAGGTTCATCAATCATCAGCCAATCCTTCTCCTCTTCCTCTTCCTCCTCCTCCTCCTCCATCTCCCCACCTTCCTCATCAACATCTTTACATTTCAAGTCCCACCCGATAGCTCTCGCTCCCTTCCATCCGACATCGGTAAAGTAGCATGGATCAGAACATTTTCTCCACCAGGAGAGTTCCTTGTCCTCTCCCCTTAGATCATTATCAAACTCTCCCCCATACAAGAACTCTCCTTGGTCAGATCCAAAGTTCCAGTTAGGTCCTGTGCCGTCATAGCAAGGAAGCATTTGCAAGAGATCCACGACTTGCTTCTCTAGTCCGAACAGAGCAGCATGTTTCAAGGATATTGGGCAAGTATTGTGTGGAGCGAATGACACAGAAGTAGGCGGTAGGTAACCCATCTCGATGAACAGAGTGTAAAGTTCGTTCATCAGTGAAGCTATGGTAGCAATCTTGGGATGAGTTGACGCTGGAAAGACGGCATCGTATATAGATATGTCTGTTGGTGATATAAATGGGCGTAGGCAATCGGTCCTCTGCACCAGTTTCTCCCAGGTTGTTGGTTCATCCATTGTCGCTCTTTTGCCTTGTCCGAGAGAAGTACGTCGATTACACACAACTCCGGAGGAAAGTCTGATTTCACAGTTTTCAACTAGAGCCTCTCGTTCGCTATATGGTTGTCTCTGCCTAGGAAATCGTTCGAAATAGGCTTCAGTTTCGCGGACGTTGCGCCTGGACAGGCAGCAATGCGACCAAGCGACGCGTCTTAGGCATCCTGCAGAACCTGGACTTGTATTGCACAACGACCTCAGTCGTCGACTAGGATGATCATCTTTTAACTGATTACTGAATCGCTCAACAATGTTTGTCTCCAATGCTCAAAACATCTATATATTGTCGTCGTAGAAGTGCAGAAGTGCGGCCACAGAAACATCCTCATATAAGCTTTCCCTGAGAGTTTCGCCCTTTCATTGCACTTATTGTGTATCCAAGATTCGTCTTTACTATTGAAATCTTCACGATAGGGAATGTGTCGGTCGCGAAGTTGGGACTTTCTATGGTCAGGGAGATTCAACAGTCTGATCTCACAGCAAGCAGAAGATGGTGGTGTTGCTTGAGCATGGCATTCTCGTATCTAACCGTCTCACTTCCGTTCTTAGACAGGTTTTATCCTCCTTTGTACTCTGCATTGTACCATTTCCGAATAACGGCGAATCGCTCTACTACACTTTCTTCTCACATATTTCCCCACTCCAACTCTTGTCCTTTTTGGTTTCATCAATATCATGATCATCATGACTCTCGTAATCTCGGCGCGGCACTTCCCTGCTCGTGGCAATTGTGCGTGCTTTCCTCTGCCGAGTGAAAGATGTTATGTTCAGAGAGAGGTGTCTGTATATGCACTGACACTGTCCTTGCGCGCGTGTCCATGTTCAATCAAGCTCACAAGACGAGCTTCCACAAATCCGGGCGCCTAGAACCAAATCTTGATGAGCTCCTCGCTGACTGCGGATGGTAGCAAGACACCTGACTCGGTGATGATGCCAGAGATAAGATTAGGAGGCTGTTGAAAAGATATTAGCTTTGATCGTCTCAGGTAGATGTATAAGGTATAACATACTGTAAAGTCAACAGCATCAGTGTTGGCTACGCTGTCGGAGACACCCGCATCAGAGTGGGTGTCCATGTCAGCTACGCCCTCATCCTTTGCAGAAACGCTTCCAGTAGTGCTGGTGGCGTCGCCTGTGGTCTTGAACTCGACAATGTTCTGATCGATACCCAGATCAGTCTGACCAAGAGGGTACAATCTAACGAACTTGTGACTTTCAGATACAACGTAGAAAGGCTTGTTGGCGGCCTTGGCCAGCATGGCGATCTGATAGGTGCCCAATCTGCTGATGATACCTCCATTCTCGACAACACCTTCAGCACCGACGAAACATTGTGAGACCTGGTTCAAGCTGTATGCGATAGCAGTGGGAGGGATTGTGGCGACAGGGATTCCAAGCTTGCGCAGCTGAGCGATGTTGTCCCTGCTCTCTGCATCCGACGAGTCGGAAACAACGTAGATGACACGGAAGCGAATGCTGCCTTGAGCACCGAAACCAGCACTTGTCTCGGCAGCTGAACGCAAGAGAGCACCAACGACACGTGAACCTCCGTTTGTCAGGACAGTGTTGCCGTCGCGAACAAAATGTCTACCGAAACCAGCGATTTTGTCACGAGCCTCTTTCGCACGCTCGACGAACAAGCGACCGTTCTGGACCAGGTGGGTACGGATGGTATCAAAATCGCTGTTACGGCCAGCGGTGGGTTTTTGCAGAGTGGTGATGATGTAGCGTTGGAACAAGTCGGTACCGGCAGAAAGAGAAATGGGGTTGGGAATGCGAGCCTTCAATTCGGCAGTGAGAGTCGATAGGAGGTCCAGAGTTTCCGAGACAGTGGTCGCGGGGGTGTGGGCAAGAGCGAGAACCAGGGCTTCAATGGCGGCGACAGGCATGGTCAACTCTGGGTCATCGGCCAGCAGTCGCTTGTATGTGTCGACGACATCGAAATTTTGCTGCTTGTTTGCGGAGACCATGTTGTCGAGGTAGTAGCTGTCGAGCAGAGAGAGGCGGAGTACCGAGGGACGAGAAGGTGGAGAAAGATTGGACGAGGTGATGGGCGTGGCAGGGTCAAGTCGAAAGTCGACCTGTGGTTTCTGGTATGGAAGCTGAACTTGAACTTTGGGCTGTGACTGTTTCTGCTCGACTGCTGCGCCAAAAGAAGCTTCGACTAGCGAGTCATTAGCCTGCATCTGCTCGGAGTTTAAGACCGGTCGTTGCTGCCCATCTTGTTGCATCATGCTGCTTGTCTCCTACTCTGCATGTATAGAACGAAGTGATAGCAGACCTAATGTCCTTTGGCCCACCCTCGCCCATCAACGTATCACCAAGTAGCTGGCTTGACATGCCATGACTATGATTGCATCCTGACATGCCTTGCTGGGCATTTTGCCAAGGCGGCTGGATTCACATGCCAATCACTGCACTTCCGCGCTGTTTGACTCCTTGTACTGCTGTACGAGTACCATTAAACCAACATCAAAGCCGCACTCCGAGACAATGACAACTCTTGATCCAGCCACCGGCCGTCCCTTGCCCGACTCTGCCATTCAGCGAGTCCTGTTTGTCTGCCCACGCGTCCATGTCTACCAGATTCCCCCTCTTACCTCCAACAAGGGCTTCTCTGCTGGATCATGGACTGCCCCTCCGCGCCCAACCGCCCAGATGATTTTCACCGCCCGTCTGCGTATCATTGAGACATCGCTTTCAACCCAAATAAAGACAGATATTGTGCTTGAGGACCCCAAGACTGCCGACCTTTTCGCTGCTGCCCCTTACACGTCGCCTGCTGTAGTTGAGCAAGCCAACGATAGCAGTCGCTTCTTTGCCATCCGTGTTGTTGGAGAAGGCGGCATGAAGGCCACTCTGGGTATGGGCTTCGAGGAAAGACCTGACGCTTTCGACTTCAGCATCACCCTGTCCGAGGCCAGGAAGCTTCTCGGCATGGAGCAGAAGCTCGGTCCTGGTCAGGCACAGCCTCAACACTTGACCAGGAAGACGGTCGAGGAGCCCAAGAAAGATTTCAGTTTGAAAGAGGGGGAAAGCATCCATGTTGAGATTGGAGGCCGTGGCAGAAGGCAGCAACAATCCAATGCTGCAGTCAAGGACGATGGCAATGCTCTCTTTTCCATTAAACCTCCACCACCTCCTGCTTCAGAAGACGACTATGCGCTTCCTTCCCTCGCTCCTCCGCCATCAGCTGCTCATGTCAAGGCTGCCTCCACGAGCCCATCGCCCGCCAGGCAACAACCGCAATATCAAGCCCAACAGAATCCGAATCAGCCTTCGGCACAGGATCTAGGTTTCGATGACGGCGAGTTTGGCGAATTCCAGTAAACGTTAATGATACAGGATGCTTGATATACAGGTTATGCTCTATTTACATCGCAAAAGACTTCATCATCATGATCGAGCGTTGAGCAGCGCCCACAGGAGTCCGACTACTGCCACACCAGCTGCAGCACCCTCGAGCGCTATCGTCGTCACGTCGATTCTTTTGACTGTGACTTGACGGTCGGAAAACAGATCTTGTAGCTTGGCTTTGTAAAGGGCCAACTTGGCAGACAAGATTTCCTTCCAGAGGGCAAGTCTCTCTTCCCAGTTCTCGGGTTCCGATCGTTGGATCGGCTCATCGACTAGGTTTTCTGCAGTCTCGGTAACCTCTACACTCGGACCGTTGATTTCAACAGCTTCTTCTGGCAAAACCTGTCCAGCTGCGAGTGTTGTCTCGCCGACCGCTACTTCGCTCTCGGCCATGGCTTCGGGCTGTACGTCAGGGACAACCTCAGTGGTCGTCTCGTGCTTGACTTCTGCAGTTGCCTCCATGGTTTTGACGACTTGCTCTTCAATCTTCTCCAAAGGTTGTCCAACAGGCTCGATGGCCTTGTCAACTTCGGCCTCGACAGCAGAAGCCAAGGATGGTGTCATAGTCGTCTTCTCATCAAGAGCAGTTTTGATTTCTCTGACAATCCTTCTTCTTCTCCAAGGCTCGAAGATGATCAAGTTGGCCAGTAGCAAGAAAATATTTAGACCCATAAGACCAAATGTCACCCAGGTACTGTTGCGACGGATCGTGTCACTCCAAATCTGCTCTTCGTGATATTGCTTGCGTTCCTTTTTCTCCAGCTTTGCTCTAGCGTCCTCGAGATCGCGTTCGGCGTTGGCAAGGTGCTCTTTCGCGGCCTGCACGGCTTGTTCGTTCAGGTGTTCGGAGCGGATGAGAGACATGTAGCGTTCGAGATCGGCGGCTGCCCATGAGTGTTTGCGTTCGAGAAGGCCAACAACCTCCTTTTGCGAAGCGGCTTGCTGACTGTAGGATGTTGTGTATGCGACCTTTGCGGCGTTGACCTCGGCGTGGGCGGCCTTGACTATTTGTTCTGCCTTGAAGTTAAAATCACGTAGCATGTAGAAGGCACGTTGATCTAGAAATACCTTGGTCGATAATGTCGCGACGTAGGCGTTCAATGCCAGAGTAGTCAGTACCGGTGTAGTTGTTGACTTTGTGACTGACGACTGCGGCTTTCGCGAGCAATTCGTCCATACGTTCTTGTACACGCTTTGACAAGTGCCATCTCTGCTCTTGATGTTTTGAAGGCAGTGCCTCTTCAGCCTTTGCTTCCTCTTTCACAACCTTTTCGGCAACGACCTCTGCTTCTGTCTTTGGGCGCTCCTCTTCAAGGGAATCTTCCTTTGGTGTTTGTTCCAATGTTTCCGGGGTAGTGGTTGTAGGAGCTGGTTCAGCAGGTTGCTCCTCCACTACAGGCGCAGGCTTCACCTCGGGTACCGGTTCACGTGGAGGAGGAGTGGGCCGGGAGGCTCTTGCGGCATCAAGAATAGCTGCATCGATTCTTTGCTGGATATGCTCGGGCGGTGGTGGCATGTAGAACCTCTCATCTGGCTTTTGAGGCTCGGCAGCTTTCGTCTCGTCGTCTTTGGCTTCGGGATCATCACGTCCTGGTGTAGATGCAGCCCTCCATGCTGAAGAACTCCATTGCCTCTTGCTGATCCATAAGTCCTTGGCTGGAGGGTATAACCTTGAGAATGAAGGTCGACACCGGGTCGCGGATGGGTGGATTATGACGGAGCTTGATCTCGCGGAGGCGACGATGTTGCGTAGCAATGCATACGGCGGTGTTGGTGTGCTCATTTCCCTTGCGTCCCTCTCTTTCTACCTCATCCTCCCAGAGCAATTGCAACAGTATGAGATAGTCTGGTTAGAGCTTGTATCGAGGTGAAACTCGGTAAGAGCAGCGGACACTTTTCGGCGCAGATGGATTTAGGCGCGGATCGGCGCCGAATCTTGCCCAGTTGTTTACCCTTGACGTATGCGGCAGGAGCGTTGCCCTTCTTGCCATGTGCTTCGATTGCTTGGTTCACCGAACTTTTTTGGCCCGCTCTCAACGCATCTCAGTCATCTCAAGTAAAGTCTCTCTTTTTTGACCCTGCATATCAACTTGGTCCCATATCCTCATTTTCGACAATTCTGTTTCTTTTTGATCTAGATATTCTAATCATCACACATCACATACATCATGGCTCAATCACTCCCCGCTATGAAGACGAACCCCAAGTTCATCTTCTTTACCGACTTTGATGGAACCATCACCCTCTTCGACAGTGAGTATTCTCTTTTCACAATGTCACACTCCAATTCATGTTTCCATGAAACATCTGGTATCGTTCACGCCTTGCAGCCGATTTGGTGTACAGTACGGAAATCCTCCTGCCGATCGTTTCCGGATCCACCATCCTTATAATCACGTCCTATATAGCCTAGATGCCTCTTCAGAAATGAACATGTACTCGATCGGTCTGCTGGTGACGATGTGCTAACACTGTTTCAGGCAATGACTTTATGGTAATTACGCTAGCAGATTCTAAAGATCCTTATAGGTCTGCTCCATCTCTCAAGATCATGAACCTGACTATATGACCAGACCGACAATGTTGGCTTCGGCTACGAAAAGAGACGCGAGGGTAACATGAACGTTCTGAACGGCACCGAGAGCTTCAGGTATGATTGAAATCTCAGCCACTGAATTCTAATCTGAACTAAAACATAATACAGAGACTCGTTCAAGCGCATGATGGACAGTGTCAAGATGCCCTACGATGAGTGCATCAAGTACGTCTCGGACAACGTCAAGCTCGACCCTGGTTTCAACGACTACTTGCAGTGGGCTATCAAGAACAACATTCCCACTGTTGTTCTATCATCTGGCATGGAGCCCATCATCCGCGCCATTCTCGAGAAGCTTGTTGGCGAGAACGCAAAGCATATTGATGTCATCTGCAACAACATTAAGGCAAGACCTGGCAAGCAGATCAACGAGGAAGGAGGTTGGGAGCTCGTCTACCACGACGATTCACACTTTGGTCACGACAAGAGCTTGACCATCCGTCCTTACGCTCAGCTTCCCGCTGATCAGCGCCCTACCCTGTTCTACGCTGGTGACGGTGTCTCGGATTTGAGTGCTGCTAAGGAGACCGACCTTCTGTTCGCCAAGTCTGGTCATGGTAAGCTTTAAGTTTTGCTGCACATGAGGATCTAAAAAGCTGACTGCAGAACCAGATCTCATTCAGTTCTGTGTCAGAGACAAGATTCCTTTCACCGTCTTTGAGGACTGGAGCCAGATAAAGGCCAAGGTCCAAGAAGTTGTGTAAGTCTTCAGCAATTGACCCTTTTCATACTCATATACTGACCGCCATGAAGTGAGGGTAAGGTTTCCGTCCAAGAGGCTGCCAAGCAGGGTGTAGAGGCCTACGAGAAGGGCCAGGCTGGTGTTAAGCCTACCGCCTAAAGCATTTCCGAAAGTTCTCCTTTTCTTGCATAGAACATTAGACTATTTCGGATGGTTTGAAAATGGGCATAGATGACAGAGAAAGATAAAAAGGATTTCGATTAGGAGTCAGATCTGGCGGGCCACTGATTCTGATGAAGTTCAATGAAATACAATAGACTTGACATCAGTCCTCCCCGTGTGCTAGAAAATTGTGATAATGGAGCTAAAGACACAAAAATCTTCTGCAAAGGACGTGGTTTCCACAGGCCGATTTTATCTTCAGAGAAGAAAAAAGGAAAACTGAGACGCCAAGTCTGCCTTGGCTTTCCCGCGGCGAAGTCAGTGCAACTTGAACAATTGAACATCTGCGACCAGAAACCCGGCCATATCACACTCGCACACATAGCCATTGACTCGACATGGCTCTTAACCTCTTTACACGCCTGTTCAGGCTGCCTGCTACGGCGCGTTCCAACTTTTCGGCCCTCAGCACCACTCTTCGCTCACCGATCGCCGCCTCACCACGCGCATTCAGCACATCGTCACCATTCTCGGCTACATACAACCAAGTCTTGCGCGGCTGCCGTGTCGCTCAAAAAGCCCGTAAACCTACCTCGCCACAATTGAAAGATAGACCTGAGATGAAGGGCGTGTGTGTGCGTGTCGGAATTACCAAGCCAAAGAAGCCCAATTCGGGAGAGCGCAAAGTCGCAAGAGTCAGATTAAGTAACGGCAGAGTCGTTACCGCCTATATCCCTGGTGAAGGTGCGTTGCGTGCTGTCGAGTTTGCTAGAGAAGAGAGTAGAACAATGAATTGCGCGAAGAAGACGAAGAAATGGGTATACAGAAATTCATGGCTAACACGGCTTGGTTTCAGGTCACAATGTTCAGCAGCACTCTGTTGTCTTGGTCCGTGGTGGTCGTTCGCAGGATTGCCCCGGTGTCAAGTACCATCTTGTCAGAGGCGCCTTGGATCTGGTATGTTCTATCTGTCGTTTCAGTAATTATCTTGCTGATGAAATTACAGGGTGGTGTTGGTAACAGAATCACTTCACGATCAAAGTACGGCACCAAGAAGCCCAAGGCTGCCTAAACAGCCTAGTTCTACAATTTACGACCTTACATCACACTTTCAACCTCTGCTATTTCTGGCTTTGCTCCAGGGATGATCGTCCGAAGGTCATGAGGCCAAAACCCCCTGCTGTCTCATCGTCGTGCTGCAACACGAGCTTGGCGCCATGACCTGCTCCAAGCATTCCGTTCTACAGCACCCCACCAACCGCCTCTTTTCAGCCATTTTCTCTTTGTACTTACCATCTTCTGCTCTTACACTGCCCTGAATCTGATCAGGTGCATATGCATGGCGTTTTATGGTGGTTGGTTTCTTGTATACTATCAGGAATAAAGCTTGAGACAGGAGAAGAGCTCAATCGAGCACTAAGCAACCGGTCTGCTCATCTACGAAAATCTGTTCTTATCCGTACGAAAGACACCAGGCTCTAAAGAAAAGATCATCTAGCACTATCGATGCCCAGCTGAGTACATCATGATCACCAGTGCATGCACTTTACTTTTTGGCCTGCGACCATTGTTCCAAGAGAGACTCGACTATTGCACGCAACGTCTCGTGTTCTCGCTGCACCTTCCCCACTGTACTACATAACTCGACCCTGCATATCTCCCTAGTCTCACTCAAGGTATGTGATGCTATCGATATGGGATAGCTGCTCGTCCATCGCTTCTTCCTTGGTAATGGTCTCTGCATGGCTCTCAAAAAACGGTATGAGGTGAGTTGTTTCTAAATGCGTTCACATGTGTCATTCTTGGAATATTTAAGAAGCCTTCTTGCCCGAGTGCTTGAGATCGCATGCATCAACCTAGCAAGTTTGATTGACACTGTAATCACCAAAGCATCTACAGCATATTTTGAGCATAAGTTAACTTTGGTGGTCATCATGCTTCGCCTGCTTGTTCCCATCACTCTTGGTTCTCTCCTCGCCAGGTATATCATCATTCATCCAGTCATCTATCGTCAGGAACTGACAAAGTGTATAGCAACGTCAATGCAGCAGCCTGCTTGCGCTGTCCCGTCTCAATCACCTATACCACACCTAGCGGTTGCCCAGCTCTCAACTGTATCGAAGCCACCTGCACTGTGACAACCACAACAACCATTCCAACCTCTTACTGCAGCACAAAGACCCGTACCGCATGTGTGCGCTCCTGTGCTGCTTGCTACACCGAAACCATCACCGAGCAAGAAGAACCCACATTCGAACCAACAACCATACCCCCAGTCACCCCTACTGCGCCTGCTGAGCCAAACACGACCATTAACCCTGGAGGCCCTATTATCATTCTCCCTACGGATGCTCCTTCGCCTACTGAATGTGCTCCGTACACGATCACAACTACTGCTTCCAACCCAGCGTGCACGTTCGACACTTCGACATGTATCAGACCTCTGTGTGTGTTTGAAACTACGACTACGATTCCTCCTTGTGGTCTTGCCGTGACAGAGACTGAGCTTGCGGCGTGTGCTACTGGATGTCCGGCTGGCTGTGCTACGTTCACTTATACCACTACCGGCGGACCAGCGTCCTCTACAGCTCTTGACTGAAGATGGATGATTGAGGTACTTAGTTGGTGGATCTCATTTTTCGGCATTGAGGATTGTTCCATCTTTTGAGTTTCCCTTCTGTGGGCCAAAGCAGGACAGAGCCGTACGTCAGATAGCTTAAATGAAGACTTTGCAACGATCAGCGCCACAACGATATATGGCAATTATGGACGTAGTTTATGTTCTGTGAGTCAAGCTGTGATCATCACCCTGCTCAACATCGTTCTGGTCAGTCGCAACGTGGGGAACCTCGGCTTGTTAGAGACACAACCACCTCGGTGGTCACTTTATGCGGGGATCTTGAATCAGCTAGGATTGCTCTCCTGCGAGCAAAGAGCTTTCTTCCAAGAACATTCATACTGCCAAATTCCAGCGATTCACACTCTACTACACAATGACGGCCGCACCTAAGAGGTCTCTCGCCCTGTCACCTCCGCCAGTTCCTCAAACCATCGGCGGCGGATCCTCGTATCCAGGCATACCTACCATAGCTTCTCCTCCAAGCTCGCCCCGCTTGAAAGACAAAGTCTGCATTATAACTGGTTGCAACAGTGCTCTAGGCATCGGCAGAGCTTCAGCCTACGAATACGCTTCAGCTGGTGCAAAGGCATTAATCCTATCCGACTTTGACACTTCCAACCTGGACAATTGGAAACAAGACATTGAGAAGCTGTATCCGGGAACACAGGTCGTAGTGCAAAAGGTGGATGCTGGGAATGAAGAAGATGTCAAGGCAGTGGTGAAGTTAGCTCTGGACAAATGGGGAAGGCTGGATGTCTTCTTCGCCAATGCTGGTATTGGAGGTACCATGGAGAGAGTCTACGATGTCAACAAGAAGGAAGGCAAGACGGAACAGGATTTCATGAGAACCATGAAAGTAAATGCATTGAGGTTAGTGGCCTTGTCTCCTTCCAATAACTTAGCCTCGAGACTACAGGCTGACCGTCTTCAACCAGTGTCTTCCTCGCAACAAAGCATGCCGCCAATGCAATGATGCAGAACAAACCCAATCCCAGCGGCTCCATCATCGCTACAGCCTCGGTGGCTGGTCTACGGTCCAACGCTGGCCCTACAGATTACTCAGCGTCCAAAGCTGCTGTCATCAGCATAACACAAACATCAGCCTACCAACTCGCAGGTACTGGCATTCGTTGCAACGCGATTTGCCCAGGCATCATCGAGACAGGCATGACAGCAGCAATGTACAAAGCAGCAAGAGCGAGAGGCAGTGAAGGCAAAATTGGGCAGTTGAACCCATTGATGAGAGGTGCAGTAGCAGACGAGGTCGCCAGAGTTGCCTTGTTCTTGGCCACCGATGAAAGCAGTTATGTCAATGGACAAGCCTGGGCTGTGGATGGAGGTTTGAGTGCTGGCTTGCCATTCGTACCAGGCAAATTAGCTTGATCCTATACATAAAACATAGTCCAAACGATCATAGAAACATGGCGAGAGGATTGGGCCTTTCGAGCACGAGCGATTTGGTGTGCACAATATGAGTAGAGGAAGCAATGTGATGTTGATTACTAGAGCTCGAAAAACGTTTAAAAAAAAGTAAAAAAAACACAACCAAACGCCATGCTAAAAGAACTAGAAGAATAAAGAATGCTCACCCCTGGACATCAGGAGAAGCGCGCCATCCTGTAGGTGTGCCTGGCAGATCCCCCTTTCCCTGTACAAACAAACAAGGTAATCTCAGCCCATATCGATGATTGACGCTTGTACTTAGATCCGCCCACAAGCACCTTCAAGATGAGGGACGTATCAATCATACACTGACCTCACCTGGATCCTCTTCAACTAACGCGTCGCTCCATGCCCAGCTGCTCTGGGCATCCAAGCCGGCGCCTCCACCAACCCCAGCACCACCATTAGATTGAGTAGCCATACCCTCGCCTTCACCTCTTTCTACGTAACCACCCTTCTCGGCACTCAACTCTTCGTAAATTCTCTGGAAGTACAGTCGCAAGGAACGCAGTCCACGGAGATATCCCCTGTCTACGCCATCGGGATCTCGTGGTGGGCAACTGGCTGATGCCTTGGTCTCGACGTCCTCGGCTGTCACACAGTTTGCAAAGTCGACAATCTTGAGCAAGATTTGGTTGTTTGAACTGGGTGTACCAGTACCATTTTCACCATCGTTTTGTTGTGATGGAGCCTGACGGGGTTTGCCCTGTTCATCCACATCGCCACGGTCATAGATCATCAAGAGCGAGCTTGCATACAAACGGTATCCAGGTAGTTTCCGGACGATGCGCTCGAGCTGAGTGATCTTCTCCAGAACAAGAGGAATGTGCTTGAGTGCTCTGCCATGGCTTACTCCATCAAAGAAGAAGCGTGTCAACGCGGCCTGGAACTCACTGCCTGCTTTGAGATCACGACCAAAGTATTTGTCCTCGAAGATGTTGGATTGAGTCTTGATGTTCCAGACTTGCATACCACACACGCGAACGCCAAGCTCGCGAGAAGTAGTCATTTTGCACTTGCGTCCCTGAGACTTTTGCTTTTTCTCGTTGGCAAAAATACCGTACTGACGAGTACCCATCTTGAGATCAAGTACGCACGGGTGTACCATGCCAGCTGTGAGATCTTCCAACAGGATAAAATGTGCAATGCGTCCAGGGTCTTCGACTCCTTGATCAGGGTTGCGTGGTGCATCGTTCAAGTCAATGGAACTGCCTAAGACGGGAACATTCGAGGTTGGGTCAACCTTCAAGTCGGGAGCGTTTTGGGGGACAGCAGGTACAGTGGTGCGATCGCCTGCCTTGGTCGGAGATCCTTCAAGGTCATCCATCGCAAAGACATCCTCACCATCACCACGGTAACCTTCATCCTCGTGGTACTCAAGATCCCCGCTGGTTGCATCTATATCGCCCTTCTTTCTACGCAGACCACTTCCAGAGTGACGACGTCTGGGCGTCTTGTAGGCCTGTAGGAGAGGATTGTCTGCTTCTGTGTTCTCCATACTCCTGCTCTCGCAACTCATGGGCTGCTCTTTGCGTGGGCTGATCATGTAATTCTCAAGAGACTGCACACTGTTGTGCGGCGATTTGAGTTCCCGGTGATTCTTGATCGCCAGTCTGCGTGTGGCATCGGCAGGCGACGAAGGAGGTTGCATGGCCGAGACGTCGGCACTGTTGCGACGTTCGTGTAATCTCACGGGTTGAGGGTTGCTCGCCACATCAGCATCTGGTAATGAAGGCATCGATTCGCGCTGTTGGATCCTTCTGATGTTCCGACCATGATGACTTCTGGTTCGTCGATCATGACGATGAATGACAGGAGGCGAGAATACATCACGGAAGACCTGCAGCTTCAGATCTTGATTGACACTGGTAGCGCCCCAGCTGGCCTGTTGACGCAATGGTGGACGATCTTGGTGACCGTGACATGTTTCAGGAGAGTAAGAGAGACGCCGGTCGCTCATCATTTCGCTGATAGAGTGAGGACGAGTCTGCCGACTGGGTTGGCTGACATGGGAAGGAATGGCTGTTGCAGGTCTTTGGGGTAACGTGCGCTTTAAGAAGTCTGGCAGTATATGCTGATTGTTGATCAGACTGACCTCAGGCACGGCGTTGGACTGCGACTGTGAGTGGCTGACAATACGAGGGGCATCCTCCTTCTTCTCCTCGGGTATGGCGGACCCTTTCTTGGGAGACTGCAGATCCTGAGGCTGTATGTCAGGAGATTTAGATTTGTCGAGGTTGTCCTTCTTTTTCTTGTTCGGTTTTTTGTAAGTGACATTGAGGACGCCAATATACCTCGGGAGAAACTCAAGTAAATCTGGATGGTACTGTTCAACAGTTTCGTAGAATTCATTCTCTTTACTGTTCAGCTGCTTGCACACAGCCTGACGAGAGAAACTGTAAACAGTGCTGTGGCCTCCCACTTGATGGTTGTAAGGCTTCAACTCGACAGCTCCAAGTGGAGGAGGTTGTGATTGGGCATCGGATGGCTGTCGATTCGCCGAAGGACGCTTGTGGAGGGCACTCTTGTTTGTGGGAGTAGGAGTTGGAGTGGCGTCGTCTTCGTCTTCTTGTTCTTGGGAGTAAGCCGAAGATTCGGTGTCATAATCGGACTCTGAAGGTTGAAGGGCAGGAATCACATTGGAATGACGCTCGTCGGAGAATGGAATTTCACCATGCAATACTTGACTCTCGTCTTCTGACAGCAACGCAATCTCAACGTTACTCTGCGGGACATCGACGCCAGCCTCGAGAGCATCCTTTATAGGGGGGTGGATTTGGTGCTCAAGCAGAGGCGGTGAAATCACAACCTCCTTCTCTTCATCCTGGACAGAAGAGATGGGCAAGGGGAGTGCAGCAGCAATACGTGTAGACTTGCCACGATGAGGAATGTACTGCGCTGAAGAAATCTGTTCCTGATCTGACTCTTCATCCTCAACCTCCTTTGCCACTTCTTGTTGAAGCAGCCGCGCCTGTCGTGTCAAAAGCGATGTATGAGGTGTCTCTTCGCGTGGGAGCTCCTACACGAGTTAGCATCTAGATAAAGGCTTGTAGAAGATTTCTGGAGCTTCCGACACCGAAGGACTAGATGTAAAAAAAGATAGGGCACTGACCTTTTCGAACGATTCGGACAGAGCAAAGTTCTCGGATGGGACCTTGCTGTTCGAAGGACCTAAAATGATATGGTGATTGCGGATTTCTTCAAGCAGGCTCGGCGGGATTTGATGTGCAATGCGCCCTTCGGCATTGTTCGTCGTCAATGGCTTCTGCTCGGCTTCTGCTTCAAAAGTGCTTGATGTAAGCACAGTCTTACTGACAAAGTCTTGACTATCGGTGTCGATCGCTGGCTCCGCAGATAAACCGTCATTCTCGGCCATCGGTGGGGGTAGTTCTAGTAGACAATCAGATATGCAGCACACACGGACGGAAGGCGGTACAGGCATACCCGTGCTGGTATGATCATTACGTTCGTTAATAGCGGATAGCACTTGTTGATCCTTCTCCTGTGACTCCTCGACGTGCTTTTCCTTATCTTTCTTGTCGCGGCGCTTTTCGTGCTCAGAGTCATGATCCTTGAACAGACCGAGATAATGACTGGTCTTCCTGCTGCGGACGTTGAGGCCTTGGTCGATCTTAGGCATTTTGGCATCAATTTTGCGATCCACGTCGTTGTCTGCCAAAGCGAGGTTCCTGCCCTGCGACTCGGCAATGGATTTTCCAGCCATGCGGCCCTGGCCTTGACGCCAGGCTCTATAGGATGAACGGTGAGCACTAGATTGGAGGTCTTCGACTGTCGTTCCCTTGGGCAAATCAGGGTTGTTCGGACCAGTTGGTGTAGTGGGTCGTTCGAGGGCAGATGAAAGCTGGGGGTCATAAAGCGAGTGTCGATTGGATCTGGATGTGAGCGGGTAAGGGAGACGGTTCAGGTCGGTGTGCGGAAGGGTGTGGAAAAGCATGGATAGATCGGTCATGCTCGTCCGCATGGGTGAGAGCGACGAAGCCGACATGGCAGCGTCGAGGTCGAGCGAGCTCTGAGGGCGGTCCAAGCTTTGTTCGTAGTGGTGTGTCGGTGTTGCTATGTCGCCTCGGGGTTGGTGCGGTTGTTCGTTGGGATGGCTAACGTCTTCGATATGCGATTCCTGTCGCAATTGATGGCGTTGCAGAGCCTGCGATATCAAGCCGGCCCTCTCGAGAGGCGGATCCTTGGTCGGCTGCTGAGGAGAAGTTACGGGAGTGTCGCCCTGGTAGCTCGTGGCAAAGATGCTGTCGCGCTCAGACAGCGGGACGGCGGTAGAGTACAAGGCATGGTGGGAGGAAATGGTATCGCTGCGCGTAAGAACTGGATCGCTGGTCTTTGAACGCGCCAGATTTGTACGAGTCGTCTGCATGAGGAGGCCCAAGACATTGGTCGGACGGCTGCCGCGTTGCCGTTGATGTCGTTATCGGACTGAGGGAAGCAGCTGGGTTGCCAGTACCTGTCAGACAAGGCAGGGTGTGTGCGGGTGTTTGACGGTGATAGGCCGCTTTGGAAAAACGTGGGTTGGCAGTCTGGCTGAGCGAAGTCTTGCCTTGCCTTGTTGAAGCCTCACGTCAGTCGCTCATCACGATCCACCATGCCTGCGTCTTTTGCTGAGCGATAAATCTCGACGATCGCGCACCCCTGACAATCACTGCACTTAGAGCTATTCACCTGCCTTTCGCTCCGTGAATTTATATCTTGCTTGGGCACCCACGAGCAATTCCTTGACTACAAGCTTCTATTGTTCGCCCCGTCAAGAGCATGTCTACTGACGCGGCTCCTCGTTCTTTCCCCAATCCCAGTAGGCAGGAGCCGATGGCCCGATAACTGTGCAAGTGCGACGGCCAATCGAGCTGCATCTGACGTGTTATTCTTCTCTTTCTTATCACAAGTCATTCAGCAATCTCCCCTATCTCGCTTGTTGCAAGTTCAAGACATGGTTCAGTCTGGGGCTGAAACATCCAGCGAGACTGATTTCTACGCCAGCGCAAGTATCGCTGTCATGTAACTCCCTCACAAACGCAATCATCGACATGTTTTCTGGCTGTTGGCTCATGCAGTGGCATGCGCTTCATCAACACATATGTCAGTCATACACGCTGCTGCTGTGCTATCTGTTTCCTGTGCCAATAAGGCTTTGGATCAGCAGAGGTTTCGATAGTTGATCTCCATGATGCTCTCATGTGTTTTCTGATATCTCTTCCGGAACTAGTTACCCCGCTGGTGTTCTGATGGCGCGGCGCAAGTGCAGGCACGAAATCCGTCAACCCGGATGTGCAGGTTCTGAGACGGGAGCGCTAGCTTCAGCTGCTTCTGTGCAGCTGACACAGAAGCAAAGACAAGACGGTTGTTGTATGTATACGTTGATCTGAGCAGCCACGCTGCAGTGGAAGATAGACCCGAAAGTCAAATCACTAGGCAAAATCCTCCGCTAGAATAGCTTAACATGGGTGAGTCTAAATGTGCCGCCGGACGGTGCACCCTTGGCGGACCGCTCAGGTACCGAGCAGCACCGTTTCGGACTGAACCAATATTTCCAACACGTCCCTTGGTCGACCGTCTTGCCTCTCGCTGGCCTTGCAGACATTTGTTTGGCTTACTACTCTGTCGCTTTGTCGTCACAAACAGGCCAAGAGACACTTGGGCACCGGTTCAAGTGGGTGAGTAAGTGAGTGATCGGCAGCAGCGTGGAATTGAGTGGCCCTTGCGCTTTCTAACGGTTGGACAACAGCCAGCGTCTGAAGTCGAGAAGCACCAAAGAACAGTGCAATCGCTCACTACCCTCGCGTGACCTTTGTACGACGTGAATCTCACTCGAAGCTCTCTTCACCTGGCCGCCAGTGCCACGAGGTGCTCCACTCCTCTGGCACCTCAATTATGGACTCGACCCCGCCTACCTCGCCCATGGGCGGCCACCAACATCGCGTGTCGATAGCAAGTGCTTTGCGCACACCAAGAAGCTCCAGCCGCCTGAGTCTTGGAGGTCGCGGAGGAAGCAGTCGCGCCTCCGACGAGGACTCCAAGACCGCGGTGAAAGTTGGTGTGTACCCTACGTCCAACGACCCCTATCCTGCTTCTTCGCTGACTGGCGTACAGCCGTTCGAGTGCGCCCTCCTCTGCAACCATCCGATCCCGGCTACGACTTGATTCCGCAACGTTTCCGCACTTCTACCTGCGACGTCTCTTCTGCTACCAATCTCGCCATTCAATCGACCCAAGGGAAAAAGCTGTTCGTCTTCGATCGCGTCTTCGGCGAGGATACAACTCAACAAGGCGTTTGGGAATATGTCAGCGACAGTGTCGACTCCTTCATACAAGGGTACAATGTCTCCATCCTTGCATATGGTCAGTCGGGTGCCGGAAAGTCGTATACCATGGGTACAGCTGGCTCCGAGGGCGCCTTCGACCCTGTCCACGCTGGTGAGTCGCATTACTTGGATTTCAAACAGGTTGAGAGATTGACTAGGGAACAGGCATTGTTCCTCGCGCTGCCGCCGCGCTTTTTGAGAAGCTTAATGTTTCTTCAACCGCATCGGCTCCACTGACTCCGAGCAAATCGGGCCTTCGTTCTCCTGCACGTTATTCAGTCTCGGCAGTACCTAGCCTCTCGAATCTGCACCGCCAAACGAACAGCGACAAATCATGGACATTGACAGCCACTTACGCTGAGATTTACAATGAACAGCTCCGCGACTTGCTCGTTCCAAGTACTGTGCCTGAAGCCGACCGCGCCCAGGTCTCGATTCGCGAAGACACCAAGGGACGCATTCTGCTAACTGGTCTGACCCAAAAACCTATCAACTCGGCAGACGACCTTCTGGAGGCTTTGAGCTTTGGTTCCAACATCCGCCAAACTGATTCGACTGCTATCAACGCCAAGTCTTCGCGCTCTCACGCCATCCTCAGTCTAAATCTTACTTTGAAAAAGGGACCCTCGGCCAACAGACGTGCTTCTGTCCAAGTCGACAATTCTACCGCAAACGACGCTGTTGTGACTACGGAAAGCAAGCTCCATTTTGTCGATCTGGCAGGTAGTGAAAGACTGAAAAATACAGGTGCTCAGGGCGATAGAGCAAAGGAGGGTATATCAATCAATGCCGGTCTCGCTAGCTTGGGGAAAGTCATTTCGCAGCTGTCCACTGCAAAGCAGGGTGGCTACATATCCTACCGCGATTCTCGATTGACACGTCTTTTGCAAGACTCTCTGGGCGGAAATGCTATCACCTACATGGTCGCTTGCGTCAACCCGGCCGAGTTTCATCTCAGCGAGACACTCAACACAGTCACCTATGCTCAACGTGCTCGCGCCATCCAGAGCAAGCCTGAAATTCAACAGACGACTGAAGAGGCTGACAAATCATCCATCATTGCTCGTTTGCAAGCCGAGGTTGCTTTCCTTCGAGAACAAGTCAACAAAAACAATGAAAAAGGCGAACAGCGCATCCTGGCTGCTGGCGATCACAAAGAGCGTCGTGAAACCGAGCTACAGGATCAGCTCATGGATATGCAGGAGAGTTACAATGCGCTCAGTGGACGCCATGCCAAACTCATTTCTGAGATTTCAAAAGCCAAGGAAAACAACCAAGAGGATACCCCCACCCTCAGAGATGCTGTAGGAGAGTCGGCTATGGAGAGACTCAAGCGCTCCAACTCGTTTGCCGAAGCTGTTGAACAAGTTGTAATGGAATACGAAAAGACGATCCAATCGCTGGAGGCCTCTCTGTCCAACACTCGCTCCACGCTTTCTGCGAGCGAGAGCTCACTCATGGAGCGTGAAGCTAGGATTGCTTACATGGAGTCGCAAGCCCAACAGCTGCAGGTCAGGCTGCAGAAGGCTGGCGAGCGTGAAGCTAACAACGATGCCTACCTGAGAGATTTAGAGACCCAGATCGAGGGTGCAACCACTAGTGAAGAGAAAAGTTCCGCTCTTATTACCAGTTTACGCAAGGAGTTGAGCCGAGTAAAAGACACTGAAAACAACGCCGAGCAGTATATTGCAACAATCGAGGAGAAGTTAGCAGAAGCAGAACAAGATCGAGAGATCATGCAGCGCGAGCTCGATCGTCTTGAAAACGTCATCGAACGCCAAAGAAGTATCGGCAGACTGGACAACCTTCTCGCGGAGCTTGACAATATCCGTCATAGTGATCAGACTGGACGGTCTCAGCAGCTTAATGGACACTCGGCCGACATCAAGGATCACAACACAGTCGACAAGGAGTCAGCTGTCCTCGGTGCAGTGCCATCTGGCGAACAACCACCGGAGCAACCTGTAGATTCAGCATTACCCGAGTCAGTAACTGACAGACCGACTACGTCTAACACTCAACAGAGCCAGGATGTGGAAGATCAACGGAGAAAAGATGAACAGCAAGTAGCCCAGTCCAAGTTCATGGCCGACAAACTCGAAACCATGACGCAAGAACTCTTCGACCTTCGTAGCGAACACGAGACTACGATCAATGATTACGACAACCTTCAACGCAAGTATGAAACTGCACTGCAAGCACTCGCCAAGATGCATGAAACACACGAAGAGGAAACTAGACCGGAATCGAGAAACTCAGACAAGCCAGAGTCTTTTTTAGAGGGCGCGGGGGTGAATGGTATGAAGGAGGATGGACAACTGGCCGCATCCTCGCGTTCCTTGGCAGCGGAGTTGTCATCGGGGTCGTTTTCGCGACACTCTTCCACTATAACGAACGAGGAGTCGGACGGAACAGATGGGGCTCAAGGCAGAGTCCAGAAAGATATTGAGAGTGATGATGCAAGCACGATCGTTGACGAGGACGAGGCACCGCTTCGTCCAGAAGAACGGGCACTTGCCCACGAGATGGAAATGCTGAGGCAACTGCATATCCAGCGAGAATCAAGCTTGAAGGAGATTTCGGACAACTATGTGAGACTGTCCGAAGAACACAAGAATGCTCTAGGTCAGGTTGAAGATCTGAAGCGTGAAATACAGCGAGCTCAACTGGCGACCAACAGACAATCATCGCCCTCGCTAGTCAAGCCCATCATTCGTCGCAAGCCCAGTCAGGATCTCATGGCCAACACCACGACCAACAACGATCGAGCCATGCGATCATTCGCATCACTGCGTAACATTGCGCTCGACAATTTCGAGTCGAACATTGATGTCCGCCAGAACTTTGAGATTCACCTCAACACCATCATGGGTGATCTGCATGATCGAACCGAGAAGATGCAGGCCCTCGATGCAGAGGTCACGGCTGCTCGAAAAGACCTCGACGCTAAGACTGCTATAATCACAGGCTTGACACGCGAGAGAGCTAGTGTTTCGGCTGCCAACACCGTTGACTTTACTGTTGTCGGTCATATGCGCGATCAACTCACGAGGAGTGAGCAGCAGGTGACCCTCCTCCGTGAGGCTCACGAAAGCAGGGAGAAGGAGCTCCAATCCCAGGTTGATCAACTCAAGTCGCAATTACAGCAGCACGTCGAAAAAGATGTGGTCGCTGGCGGTGAGCGCTCGCATGACGATAGCGACGATCGCGTCGCCCATCTGCAAAAGCAACTGTCTAACTGGGAGTCTAAACATGCTCAAACGACGAACTCAATGAAAGAATCTGAGACTAGGCTGCTCGCTACTATCGCAACTCTGGAGGGTTCTCTCTCCGAGGCACAGAAGTCGGTTGCCAGTCGCGATGCCGAGTACGATGCAGCAATTGCCAACCTTGATCAAGAGCGAGCTCAACACAAAGAACTCGTCAGCTCGTTAGAAAAGCAAATCGCTGACTACCAAGCTGCTAGCAAGGAACACAGTCAGAAGCTTTCGCTGCTCGAGCAATCCTACGCAAGCATTAGGCAGCAAGTTGATGAGGACAGCAAGGGCAGAGAGCTTACAGAGAAGGAGTTGCAGACTCACCGCAATCTGGTAACAAACCTGGAAAGTCAGATTGAAGCTCATAAGTCCGCGATTGGGATACATGAGCAGAATCTGGAAACCCTGAAAGCATCTCACACAGAAGAGCTTGAGGGTGCAAAGACTGCTTTGGCAACAGCTGAGCAAAACTTCCATGACAAATACACAGCCCTGGAGGCGCAGCACAAGTCCGTCCAGCAAGACCTCGAACGATCTCAAGTTGATCTGCAAGAGTTGCTTGCCGAGGCGGCAGCCATCATGGGCCATGAAACCGACGTTGGACGGTTTCCCTCTCATTTGGCTGACTTTGTTGGACAAAACAGAGACATTAGTGCTGGCAAGAACAATGAGCAAGATCTTGAGATCGCTCAGACCAGGGTTGCTGCTCTTGAGGTCGAGATAGCGCAACTGAAGACAAGCAATCAGGAGATTATGTCTAACATGGAGCGTGCAGTGGAGAACGAACGTAAGAGTGCTGCTCTGGTGCAAGAGTTGGAGGATCAGCTCAACTCCACATTCGATTTGCACCAAGACACAAGCAACAGACTGTCTGCTATACAAAGTGAGCGACATGCGCAACTCGAAGAAGCGACAAGTGCCAGGAATGAGATGAAGAAAGAACTCGAGGATGCCAGATTGAAGGTCTCCTTACTTGAGTCTCAGCTTACCGAACTGCAACGCCGTTCCATGGCATCGACCTCTCGTGACTCGATGAATTATGCTCGCGAGTCGTTATCGCCTGAAGCTGCAGCGTTTGCACTTGCTCGTACAAGCTCGCAGACCTCTTTGATGAGTCGTCCGAAATCTAATGCTACAAACGCAGCTTCGGGCCTTCCTTCTCCACCGCCTGCGATTCCTCTGCCACCTATTCCTACTCCGGGTCTCAACGGCTTGAGTCCTTTCTTGAGCCAGAGTAGCAGCGTACCAATGGGCTTGGGTATCGATGCTCGTACTTCAAGCCCTGCACCTACCACTACCTTCACTGCTTCATCTCCTCCTGGGACGCCCCTCCACACCTCTTTCCCAATGCCACCATCAGCTGCACCTTCGAGTGTGCAGCCTGATCCTGGTTATGCACAAGTGATTGAGGAGCAAGAGTCTCGCATTCGTACTATTGAGAAGCACTTGTTTGCTGAGAAACAGCTTACGGCTACGCTGGAAGAAGCTCTTGTCGATCTTGAGACATCGCAGAATAAGACCAGACAAGATCTCGAGTTATGGAGGAAGAAATGCTCGAACTTGGAAGATGAGCTGGTGGGACTACGCAAGGAACGCACAAACTCAAGAGCAAGCATGCAGCAAGTAGAGGAGGAGAGGGAGATGAGACATCGTGCGGAGCGTGCGAGACAGGCGCTCGAGGAACGTATGCGAGAATTGAATGCGGGACAGAAGAAGAAGAAAGGAATGTTGAACTGTTTCTAAGCTGTTTGATAGGTAGAGGAGCTGCTGCTCTTGTGGAGGATTTCTGTTTTTTCTGTTTTATTGGCACTATACCCGGAGCTTTTCTGCTACCACGCTCTGCCAAAGAATCTACATGTCTTTGATTTTCTGTGCAACCTCCCCGTGTGCTAGAGACTTTCACACTATCGCGATAATTCCCTTTTAATATGCCGCGGTCTAGATCACTGAGAACAAACTATCGAAATGCACAATTGCGTTTTGAGTGTCTGTCTGACCGACCACACGGGTGGTTTCGATGGAGTTCGATGGTGGACGGAGTGGACAGCTTCACAGATGGCGGGGCATCACATGTGACGTGTGAGACTTGGCACGCAGCCAACCCAGACAGCGGACAAACAAACTCTCGCCTCTACCAGTACATCCCGCACGCCTATCGCTTCCTCCCCTCTCATCATCGATCTCGGCAGTCGACTGTCCTTTCCATTACGCGCACTTCCCCATTCGAACGCTAGTTCCGCCCTCAAGATTCCTTCGTCCACAGTCAAACTGGGTAAAAGGCGCTTGTCCGGCGAGGCCGAGGCCAGTCCGTCCAAGAAAGCTATGACTGTAAGAGAGAACTGAATACACAGCTGGGCTGCGAGAGTTGTGTTGCTGACACAGGTACAGGACATCAAGATGGATGTCGACAGCCCCGCCGCTGCAGTCGAGCAGCTGAAGGAGGCAAACGGTGAAATCGACGAATCGCTATACAGCAGACAGCTCTACGTCCTGGGTCATGAAGCCATGAAGCGCATGGGCTCGTCCAACATCCTGATTGTTGGCCTGCGCGGTCTCGGTGTCGAGATCGCAAAGAACATTGCCCTCGCAGGTGTCAAGAGCTTGACCCTGTACGATCCCAAGCCTGCTCAGATCCAGGACCTGTCATCACAGTTCTTCCTCCACCCCGAAGACGTCGGCAAGCCGCGCGCTGAAGTCACCGTTCCTCGCGTTTCTGAACTCAACCCCTACACCCCTGTAAACCTCCTCAAGTCGACCTCCATCACCGACGACCTCAGCCAGCTCAAGGACTTCCAATGCGTTGTCCTCACCGACACTCCTCTCAGAGACCAGCTCCTCATCTCAGATTATTGCCACAAGAATGGCATCTACCTTGTTGTTGCCGATACTTTCGGTTTGTTCGGTACAATCTTCACCGACTTTGGCAAGAACTTCACAATCGGCGACTACAACGGCGAGAATCCTGTCAGCGGCATCATTGCAGACATCGACTCAGATGGTATCGTTTCAGCTCTGGATGAGACAAGACACGGTCTGGAAGATGGCGACTTTGTTACCTTCACCGAAGTTGAGGGTATGGACGCCTTGAACGACTCCGCCCCTCGCAAGATTACCGTAAAGGGTCCCTACACCTTCTCCATTGGAGACGTCTCTGGTCTTGGTGACTACAAGCGTGGAGGTCTATACACTCAGGTCAAGATGCCTAAGTTCCTCGACTTCGAGCCTTTGAGCCAGCAATTGAAGAAGCCTGAGTTGATGATGTCCGACTTTGCCAAGTTCGACCGTCCCGCCCAACTTCACGTTGGCTTCCAGGCTCTTCATGCATTCAACGACAAGCACGGCCATTTCCCCAGACCCCACAACGAACAGGATGCAACCGAGCTCCTCAAGCTCGCACCAGAGTTGGCAGGTTCGGGCGATGAGAAGGTTGAGTTGGACGAGAAGGTCATTCGCGAGTTGTCATACCAAGCTCAGGGAGATCTTAGTCCTATGGCCGCTTTCTTCGGTGGTCTCGCTGCTCAAGAAGTTCTCAAATCTGTCTCCGGAAAGTTCCACCCTATCGTGCAGTGGCTCTACTTTGACGCTCTGGAGGCCGTCCCTACCTCTGTCAAGCGTTCCGAAGAGCTTTGCAAGCCTACTGGTACTCGTTATGATGGTCAAATTGCAGTCTTCGGTAAGGAGTTCCAGGAAAAGCTCGCCAACAACCAACAGTTCCTCGTCGGTGCTGGAGCCATTGGTTGCGAGATGCTGAAGAACTGGGCTATGATCGGTCTTGCAACTGGACCCAAGGGCAAGATCACTGTTACGGACATGGATCAGATCGAACGCAGTAACTTGAACAGACAGTTCCTTTTCAGATCAAAGGATGTCGGTCAGCTCAAGAGTGAGTCTGCTACGAGAGCCGTTCAAGCCATGAACCCCGACCTCCAGGGCAAGATTGAGTCCATGAAGGACCGTGTTGGCCAGGATACCGAGCATCTCTTTAACGAGGACTTCTGGAACAGCCTCGATGGTGTAACTAATGCTCTTGACAATGTTGACGCTCGTACCTACGTTGACCGTAGATGCGTCTTCTTCCAGAAGCCTCTCTTGGACAGTGGCACTCTTGGTACCAAGGGCAACACCCAGGTCGTCCTACCTAGAATCACGGAGTCTTACTCTAGCTCGCAAGACCCTCCTGAGCAGTCGTTCCCCATGTGCACCTTGCGCAGTTTCCCCAACCGCATTGAGCACACCATTGCTTGGGCCAAAGATCTCTTCCATACATACTTTGCCGGACCGGCCGAGATTGTCAACGCATACATTACTCAGCCCGATTATCTAGGTGCTGCACTCAAGCAGTCTGGCAATGAAAAGCAGACACTCGAGACTCTGAAGGAGTTCCTGGTTACTGACAAGCCCGAGACTTACGAGGACTGTATCAAGTGGGCCAGAACTCAATTCGAGAAGCAATACAACAATGCTATCCAGCAGCTCTTGTACAACTTCCCCAAGGATGCAAAGACATCTAGCGGTCAGCCCTTCTGGTCGGGTCCCAAGCGCGCTCCCGACCCGCTCAAGTACGATCCTAACAACGACACTCACTTCACTTTCATTCTCTCAGCTGCCAACCTCCACGCCTTCAACTATGGTATCCCCCAGAAGGGTACTAAGGACAAAGCCGAGATTGACCAGCTCGTCGATAACATGATCATCGAAGACTTCAAGCCTGACCCGGGTGTCAAGATCCAGGCTAACGAGAATGAGCCCGATCCGAACGGTCCTGCAGCATCAATGGATGACAACGACGAGCTCGACAAGATTGCCAAGTCATTGCCTTCGCCGAAGACTCTTGGTGACTTCAAGTTGACCCCTGTCGAGTTTGAAAAGGATGATGACACGAACTTCCACATCGACTTCATCACTGCTGCCAGCAACTTGCGCGCCGAGAACTACAAGATTGTGACTGCCGACCGTCACAAGACCAAGTTCATCGCAGGCAAGATCATTCCTGCCATCGCAACCACCACCGCTTTGGTGACTGGTCTTGTGGTTCTTGAGCTGTTCAAGATTATCGACGGCAAGGATGATATCGAGCAGTACAAGAATGGCTTCGTCAATTTGGCTTTGCCGTTCTTCGGTTTCTCAGAGCCTATTGCCTCGCCCAAGGGCAAGTACCAAGGCAAGAACGGCGAGGTTGTTATTGACAAGCTGTGGGACCGCTTCGACACTGAGGATGTCACTCTGGAACAGTTCCTGAAGGACTTCGCCGATAGGGGCTTGGAGATCACCATGATCAGTTCCGGAGTCAGTTTACTTTACGCTAGCTTCTACCCTGCTGCCAAGAACAAGGACAGACTGCCTCTCAAGTAAGTCACTGTCTACTGTCATCTCATTATCGTGTCCGCTAATAATCTTCCAGGCTGAGTGAGCTCGTCGAAACCATCAGCAAGAAGCCCATTCCCGAGCATCAAAAGAATGTCATCTTTGAGATCACTGCAGAGGACACCACGGAAGAAGACGTCGAGATACCCTTCGTGCAGCTCAAGCTGAGAAAGTAGTACTCTCGAGCTGGGGGATCCAAAAGGGTGAGGTGTTCGTAAACATGGTATAGAGGTTGGTGGAGGTCAAAATCGAGTCACATCGAAAAACATCGGCCGCATGGGCATAGCAACGACGACACACGTCTCAATGATACATTTATTAACTTGCAATCAAGTAGTCTTTGTCGCGTGAATATATATACCGCTGTGAGGGCATTGTGGTGAAGCTCGTGATGGGTAGTTCGAGTTTGGCTGATGGGCGCCTTCCGGGATCTAACCGAACTCCGAGCCCTGCGCGTCGCCCGCTCAAGATGGAACACGACTGCCTGCCAAAGCCGACGCTATCTGAGATTCAGTGAACACTCATTCCTCCAAGTGGCTTAAGTCAAAGCGTGAATTGCACGCTCAATTGCGTTCCCGCGCTACTCTCGAACTGAGCTGAGATTCTACACGTATCTAAACTCGACCTGGCACGTGGCTCTTCGTCTGCGCGAGAAAGTTTCGAAAGTTCATGAAGTAGTGGCATTAAGCTTACTTGTTCTACATAGTCTGGACTTATTCTTGTACACTCAGAGGGCAAGGTATTTCCGCTCAGCATCACGTTCTTCGCAGCTCTAGACAGCATTGAAAGTTTATGAGACAATGGCTCGATGGTTGCGAGAACATAAGGGCATGAACAGCAATATCTGATCTTCGCAGACAATGATATTTGAGCTCATCGTTTCAGGCTATATACTCAAGATGGTCTATAGCAATGTCGAGTTCTGATGCCTCTCGCTACTGCGGTTCCATGTACGTGAACGTTGCTCCTCGAGAATCCGACGACCAAACAGGCTAGTCACAAGACTGTCACGTGTATCTTGGCAGTTTCTCAAAGAATCTACTTACTCGATCAACGACAGGCTGTGAGCGCCCTTAGAATTGTCCGACTATCTTGTCCTCGCCCCTGGGTGAGGCTGCCGGTTTTCAACCTGTTGACATGATTCTCAGCTATCCTCAATACTACGATAAGACGCATGGACATTGTTTGCCTTTTGGTCGCTTCATTGACACACTCCACCAACACTGGTCACCGCTAATGGGGCCGCAGCGACCTCGATGCAGATGTCTGTGTTGAATATGATGCATGATCGCTACGAGGTTCGTGGTGGATGTGTTTGAGGTAGTAACTTGAAGATTGCTTGGTCTATCTATGAGTGTAGCTTTTTGCACAATTCAACGTTCTCTGCCAGGGCCAATCCCTGACCATCCGACTGATCATGATGGCTATAAACAGTCGCTTCAAATCAATCCTGTACAATCAAGTGTCTCGAGGGCCAAATCTGATCTACTAATTGACTCTCGAGATCATCCTTTGCAGACAGCCTGTCTCTTTAATGTCGGCATAGACAGTTGCGAATTGTCTTGACAGATGGAGCCTCATACGATCGTACAGTGTATGTATTTTCATACTGGTCGGTCAGTGGTGCTTGAGACTTGGGCTCTTGCCTTGACGATCTTCGATATGGGCGAATGCTATTCAATGTACGCTCTATATAACATTTTTCATACTGGCATACAGATATCTTGTCCTTATGAGTGCATCACCGTCGAATGTCAGACACATTTCGAAGAGGCATTGCTACACGTATCGTGGAGACCATGAGCGGCCACAACCAACATGCGGCAGAAGAGAAGGGAACATTTGGTCCTGGACTGTATACACTTTGGATTCATGTTTGAGCTACGTAATAGAAGGTCGTGTACTATTGCCAGGATATCGTGCTGTTCAGTGACTACAGTTTCTGAACATATGTAAGTGCACAATTGATCTGTTCGCGAATTATTGCCTAAAACGAGCTGCTCTGGCCACTTATGAACCTTGTTCGAGCGACTTTCAAACCCGGGTCTACTCCGTAATCCAATATACGATTTGCTGCAAAGCGCAGGAGATTGTCAGGAATCCCGCCCAAATTCAGGTTGAGCCTGGCTTGAAGTGAAAGACAACCAACTAAGCAAGCAACATGGAACTGAGCAAGCCACATTTCACCGCTGATCAGCCGTCAATGTTGACCATGACGCACGTCAATGTTTGATCTGACTGCCTTGTTTTGCTGATTCCTTTTAAAGCAGGCGCTTACCACTCATGCGAGCGCTTATATTATAACCCAGTCATCGTCCTTTTCTGAACATCACAAGAATCAATTCAGACAGTCAACAGACAACATGATTTCGCAAATTCTCCTGATCATCATCACCATCTTCCTGCCCCCTGTCGGCGTCTTTATGATCGCTGGCTGCGGCGCAGACCTCCTCGTAAGCAATTGCATTTATCGATTACTCTATGACATGGCTGACATTCACAAGATCAACATCTGTCTGACAGTCCTTGGGTATGCTCTCTTGTTCTATCACCTTTTATGCCTCTCTCATTCAACGACTTTCACATATAAGATGAATGCTGACTCTTGTAGCTACTTCCCTGGCCATATCCACGCGTTCTACCTCGAATACGTATACTACCACAAACAGGAGCAGGCCAACATGGGCGTGTTCGACAACAACAGAGCAGCTGGAGTGTACAGCGATAACGTCCAGACTGGTGGCCGTGGCTATGGCACCATGCCAGCTCCCGCGACTGGCGCTCCAGTCAACTAAAAAGTGGCTCCAAAAACGGCTCTGTTGAGAATGATTCTCGAAGCTTTCATAGAATTGACCTGTGGTCGAGGCATCTAGAGTCCAGCCAGACATGCTGATCTGGAGTCCGCAACCCTTGGCTCTGGAATATTGCAACCCTGATATCACGAATAATGAAATCCTTTGCTTGCCTCGCACCTGTGCTTGACTGTCACATCACGGATGTATGAATGCACGACACCACTGGAGAATGGAACGATGTCTACCAGGCGGCATTGTTTGAGTGGCCCTCGATGGCCTTGTCCAAATTGTAAGCCATAGAAACGCGGAGTCATTTCGGCGTTCGTGACCATGCATCGTCTCAAGGAGAGACATCCAGGGTGAGAAAGTGTAGTCTTACCAATGAGCGAGCAGAGGGCATTTTGTCTTCACATGGCCTACAGAGGAAAAGACTCACAGTAGTTCACGCGCATTTTAAGTGTTTGATACATGCCATAGTCGCACTTGAGATGTCGTGATGCAATTGAATAACAGTGATGTGTTCAAAATGAAGGTAGAGCTCACTCAAGACCTGGTTGATAGCTCCACATCCTCTCAGCAAGCAAGGCTTGCAATGCTGATGACTGACACTTTATTTGAGTCTAGGAGGCACAACTTGCGAATTATAGCCTTTGTAATACAAGAGATCTATACAGTGACTTTGAGCCATTAGATCTATGGTAAAGAACCAATACTGTTAAGGTTAGAGAGGGACTTGGTAGAGCATGTATTTTGGGTCAGGGTCATCACACCAACAACATGACACAATCTAATGCACAGAGTGGACGATAAATGGCATGGAATAAGTAGAATGTTAGCATATTCTACCGATTTTAAGTAAAATATTCCACTACTTTAGTATGGAATAGAATTGTTAATTTAAGTAGAATATTCTAATATTCTACTCCTTAATAAGAAGGTTAAGTTATATAGTTATCCCTCTTACTAAAAAGGTTACCTTATAGTAAGGTTACTTATATAATAGTGCTAAGCCTCTTAATTACTAATTAGTTCTATAGTATAATAGTAGCATATTCTAGTAAAGTTGTAGTTAGGCGTGTTATAATAGCTTATAACATGCCTAACTATAGGTAGAAAGACTAGAGTTTAACTTCCTATAGAACCATTTTTTTCTTTTTAGTTAATTATTTAATTAGTTAGATCTTATCTCTAAGATAAGATCTTTACTACCGATTAGTAGATTACATAAAGCCTTATATAAAGACTTATACATTCTTCTTAACGTATCTTAACTTAGCTATCCTATCTTCTATCTTCTTACTACTTCTCTCTTACTTAATACTAGAGCTTAGCTCTTAGTTTTCTTTCTATCTTATTTAGTATATAATCTAACTCTAATCTTAATCCTTA